GAAATGACGAAAAAAAATAAGCTAAAGATAATAATTTTCCTCTCTCACGGTGCCTATCTAGCATTTCTTTAGGTCAAAAGATAGTATTGCAGCCTAACTTGGAACCTTCGGAGTGTTTTCATTTGGTGAAACTAGTTCACGGACCTTCATCAAGATCCCAAACCTAAACCCAGATTATTTCTTGAGGAGGTTTTTTCTGGCCAGTTCTTATTTTTTGACAGAAGCTTTTAGAATGTCGAAAACTTTCCATTTCTGATACAGGGTGATTGTTCTGGAGGTCAGAGATACCCTGTTGTTCAACATACCTTAGTTACCTTTTTCTTTCCAAGTTAGACGGCTGCTCCATTTCGGGATATTCTGACTCCTTCATTTCTTCCTTAGATTCTTCAGTTGCAATTTCGACTCCGACTTCAGTATCACTACCAGTCTCGTGATTTTCTTGCTGATTAATCGTGTCTTCAGCTTCAATTTTTGAAAACTCTAACGCTTGTTCAAGTTCTTCTCTATTCAAAAAATTTGGTGTCAATCTGATATGTCTTCTTCTTCTATGGCGTCTTTTTATTGCTGGCCTCTTCAAGAGTGTAAATTCCGGTATCAGGAATAGAACTCTAGGATTTTCGTTCTGTCGAGGTGCTACTTCTTCGGGAGACTCAAAGTTGGCATCATTTTTAGCAACGTCACCAGAATTTGAATTTTCACTACTAGTATCTAATTGATCATCTAATTTAGGTTCAGTACAATCTTGGAATTGCTTATTAGAATCTGTCGAGTCAGCCAGGTGGATTTGTACACTATCATCTTCAGTTTCATTTGCTATATCAAGGTCGTTCTCTGTTTCACTTGGTTCATTATCTTCTTCGGTCGCTTCCACTACCATCACATCATCTAAAAATTCCTGAACAATATCTTTATCTTCATTTGTGATACCTGTAATATCATGTTTTTTTGGCCCTTTAAAACCTGAAAAAAAGGAAGTAATAGCACTTTTAAATCTTTTTACAGGAGACTCATCTTCATGCTCAATGGAGTGTTTTTTGTCGGAAGCTTCTACTGGTTCTAGATTATCAATGGCTTCTTCCTGTTGCGGATCAACATCCATAGATTCTGGTTCTCCTATGAATTCCTCATGATCAATATCTCCACCTTCTACCTGCAAATCAACACTATTAACGGATTCATCTTTTGAAATTGGTTCCTCGTTTTCATCCACTTCCTTGTTTCTGTGCTCTGCATCTTTATTTTGTTCATCTCTTGAATCATTCACATCGATTTCTTCGGCTGATTCTTGCATCTCACCTGCTTCTCCGTCTCCAATAAAATTCTGATCTTCCTCTTCCTGATTCTCTTTTTCATCAGCATCTTCAATAATAATACTAGGAATTTCTTCTTCATCTTGTTGCTCTTGGTTAATTTGTTGGCTACCTGTATCTTCCTCGGTTGTTCCACTAGGACCACTTTCATTAGAATCACTTTCATTAGAATCACCGGTCTCTTCGTCTTCACTGTCAATTTCTTCAAGTTGTGGACATTCAATAACTTCAACCAGAGCAGTAATTGACTCATCTGAGTCTTCTTCACGACTAGATTCTTCATCGCTTTCTTGATCTTCTAACTGTTGAACTAGATTTTCAACGATATCATACACATTATGTTCTCCGATTTCAACAACGGGTAAAACAAAGTGTTGACTATTCTCAATTTCAGATTCAATTCTGATTTCTTCATAATTACTGACCATAAGGTCCTCAAATGATTCCGGAATTATGTTATCTTGAGATACACCATAAGACAGGGCATCTTCTAACTCTTGCTGATCCTCGACATTACTGCTGGTATTCTTCGGATCCACCTCAGGTACATCAGGTAGTACTTCTTCAACTTGAGCTTGTTGTACATCGGTACTTTCATCCCTATCATCATCCTCTCCATCTTGTTCTTCAACAATAGTTTCAATTTCTGGCACAGTAATATCATCCGCTTTGATACTGTCAATAATCTCTCCATTTTTAATGGATGCTTCTTCATTATCCGAGGCATCTCCAGAGCCTTGCAACATGTCATGATTTTCAAATGGGGGGCTGGTTTTTTGAGTCTCTAAGCCTTGCTCGGGTTCTTGTACTTTTTCCTCGATTACATCATCCAAAGCATGTACTTCTTCTTGTATTCCTAAGTACTGCTCTTGTGATTCATCGTCAACAATTTGACTAGCTTCCTTGTGTTCTCCAGATACAACGCTTTCGTTTTCCTCATGCAGCTCATCCAGGTACTCAACACTAGAAGAGTCTTCATCGAAAATAGGTTCAATTACTGGAACAGGTATTTCGTTAACAAGACCCGGTTCATCATTGGAGCTTTCAGATTCATTATCGCATTCTTTAAAATTAACTTTCGCAGTAGACTCTTCTTCAGGTTCTAGATCGACTACTTCATAGGCATGTCCAGTTAATACATCAGTATCTTTGACCTTTGGTGACTCAATTGCTGTGAGTTCGTCAGTTTTTATAGGAATTTCTTCAACTTTGTCAACAATTTCTGATTCATCGTTACTTTCAGCGTCAATTGGTGGCTCTTCTTCAACATCCTCTTCTTCTTCATTAATTGAATCCACTGGTAATATATAATCCCTAACCGGTGGTGGTTCAATGATTGTAAGCTCTTCTTCCTCTTCTAATGAACTACTTTCATTATCTGGTGAATTTGCAATGTCATCTATTGGTGTTTGCATAACTGCTTGTAATTCAGGATCTATTACTTCATCAATACTATCACTTTCTACTTCTTCTGGTCCTTCCATGGAATCAATATCCATTTGATCATCATTTTGACCATTGACATTCTGATCTCCATCAGCATTCATTATAGTGACATCTCGGGAAGAAGATTTAATTTCTCTTTCCAAATCTTCAACAGCATTGAGTTTAATATGGTATTTCTTCTCTGTTTCTTTCAATTTCTCTAAAACAACTTCAGGGTCTTCTTCCTCGATAGTTTTAAAGATAGGCAAAGGTGGTTCTTCATCTGAAGACAGTTCTTCAATAGGATTATCTGTTTTGATATCACTAGGAAGCATATTCACATCATCTTTCATTGATTCAAATTGGCTTTCGTCTGCTAGTGAACCTTCAGAAATGTATTCATCAACTTCTTTGTCGGCAATCATCTTTTCTTCACTTAATTCATGAGCATAGAATGGATCAGGGACGGGTGCAATTTCTTCCGATGCAAAATCGTCATTTTCAACTTTCGCATATTCAGCTTCATCATTAGTAGTGTTATCTGGTTCTTCTTTGGTTGTTTTGTTGTCCGTGAATTCAGAATCTGCCATATACCCTGATGCTGCATGTTTCAATTTATGTTCGTGTACGTTATTCTGTAGAATCGCAGATGCAGCAAGACTTAATAAATCTGTATTTGAATAATAGACATTTGCTTGATTTGCTTCTTCGGTTTCTTCATCTTCTTCCTCGTCATCAAGACCTGCTTCATATCCTTCAATGGCGGATTCGTTAATGGACTGTTGTACTTCATCTTCTGGTTCATTATCTGATTCATCTTCGAGTTCTTCTGCATCATCATGCTCATCTTCGAGTTCTTCTGCATCATCATGTTCATCTTCTAATTCTTCATCTTCGAGTTCTTCTGCATCAGGTTCACCTTCTGATTCTTCCTCTACTTCCTCATCGACCCCCTCTTCCTCTTCCTCTTCCTCTTCCTCTTCCTCTTCCTCTTCCTCTTCCTCTTCCTCTTCCTCTTCCTCTTCCTCTTCCTCTTCCTCTTCCTCGCTTGTTGACTCAAGTTCAATAGGCTCTTCTTCATTACCTTGTTGTGCAAAATAATTGTTCTCTTCATCTTCTTCATTATCTTCTTCAACGTCATCAGATTCTTCAATATTCAATTCACTTCGGTAATTGTATGTATCACTTAATCGAGGTCGGCCATTTGTGACATTATATGAAGGTACTTGGGTGATACCATATCCCAATTGATTATTAAGTTGATTGTGAAGATTATAATCAAACACGGTCTGTTGCTGAGCATTCTCATCATCAAAATCATGGTGACTTTGTTCTTCCTCGTTTTCTTCATCTTCATCTTCATCTTCTGGCTCGTCGTCATATTCAATTTCTTGTTGATATTGTGGTAACTGAGTGATATTATCATTTCCGTATGCAGAATATGGGTTCGATTGAAATTGACTGTAATCAAATTGTTGAATTTGTGATTCTTGTTGAGAATTTCTTGCTTGCTCTTCATGGTCATCTTCCTCATCTTGTATCTCAATTATGTCATCTTCATCTGATATAATTTGGATCAGTTCATCATCACTAATAATATCCTGTTCTTCCTCTTCTGCGTCCTCCTGTTCCTCTGCCATGTCGTCAGAATTATTCATATCTTCTTGGTTTTGTTCATGAAGTAATTTTCCTAATTTCACAAAATCTTCATCAAAATGCATTGATTTATATTCCTCTTTTAATTTTTCAATTTTGTTAATTTCGTCATTCTTATCAATCAATTCATTCAATTCTTGATCCTGACTGTTTTTCAAATCATGAAATCTTGATTTTAAACTATCGATCCAATCAATCACATTTTCTGCATCCTGAGTTTGAAATTTCAAAATTGACCCTGTAGTATCATTATTAATTGTTATATGAGAATCATGATGAAGATTTAAAAATGAATGTGTTGGCGTCAGATGGGATGGTGGTTTTGAAATTGGAGTAGGTGTTGACGTTTCCGATCTTGATACATTTACCAAATTATTCTGCTTCTTAGATGAATCAAAAATTGGTTTTAATTTAAATGGCGATGGGAATTGATCTGGTCCCATTATTTGTTAAATGGTAGGGGTTATCTAATATTATGTTGATGTCTATAGATTTGATGTAAACAAATTATCTCGGTTTGTTAATTTGAGTCTGAATTTGTATTTTTTTTTTTCCATTGCGTCGCTTCGTACAGTGTTTCTACTTTTTGTTCCTACCAAGTTCAAAGAAATTATTAATACTAGTGCAACAATTCAATTCATAGTAAGGGAGATTAATTATTCATAGTAAATGGAGTCAAAATGTTCACACTAGGGGAAATAATACTTTCAAACTAGCTGCCCTTTTTTGTTCATATCATATATCATACATTTTTAGTATGAACAAATAGAGGTCACGTAATATAAACGTTTTTTGCGTACTGATATCAAAACTATTGGCCGCCTTAATATGAGCTTTTCTTAGCAAATAGTGCGAATAATTTTGACACACTGATCTGAAAATTATGCTCACACTAGTGCGAAATAAAACTGCAACGACTGTATCAAGAGAACGTAATGGAAATATTTGAGACAAATTTCAAGAAAATTGATATTATGAAAGTAAAAATTGTCATTGATAGACTATATATGACTTTTAATCTATACAATATGTTGAATTTTGTTCATTGTATATTGTTTCTCTCTGGTATTAGTTGCATATCACTCCCTTAATTATTATCTTTTATAGTTTGTCTTGGACAAACTAATGACAGAAAATAGTTTGAAAAGTTCAATAAATTGTTTGTTTTTTCCCAGTAAAGGAATTATCCAAGAAGCATGTTCACATTCATTATACATTTATAAGTTTCAATAGTTATGAATTTGGTTGCTTGTAAGGAAGGTTTTATATTCGGTGGTTAATTATTTACTTTTTTTAGGCCCATTCTTGGGGCCGTTTTTGCGGCAGCCTTTTACCGTGTTTTCAAGATGTTGCATTACGAAACTGCCAACCCTGGTCAAGATGCTTCTGAATAAGCTTGAAAACCCGTTATTTTATTGTGGGGGTTGATACTTCTTTTTTTGTGTGGCCCAGCAAGAAAGCGCGAAAGCGAGAAACGAAAAATGAAAAACGAGAATCTTAACAGTATTTATTGCCATTTTTCCAATTTTTATTCCTTCTTGACTTAATTTTAACTTTTACCTTAATTCCTTATATAGCTCTTTATTTAATACATACTAATTTGTTGGAAAAATAGAAAAAGAGTGTTGGGAAGAAAATAATGTGCTGAACTATGGACATGTTGAGTAGTGTGTTTACCGATCACGTGATTTCTTACACGTGGTATATCACATGATCTGGACATACAACTAAATTTGGGATAGAGTGGTTCTAGAGTATGGTATCTACTAAGTCGATTAACGTGATGGAAGAAGCAAAAAAGTCTAATTTAAAGATTTAAAATGCTTTCAAGTAATTTCATATTTTGCTTACTTGAATAACCTACAATAGAATTGCACTTAAACAAGTGTAGCATTTTTATGAAACATGCTGTTTATATTCTTTCAACAATATCAGTGACCAATGCTCGTGAAGAAATAAATTATGTGTCTAAACTAGCTGCAAATTTTACTGAAGTTGAGCAACAAGATAAAAGAAATGTTTTGTTCTAACTTCGTAAAAATATGACAATAAAATTAACGTTTGTTCACAAATTGTTAAATAACATATTACTACTTTGGAAAACACACTAAATTCACATGATTCAAAAAAACCTAAGCTCTTGCTATAGCACAACAAAAGATTGATCTTTAAACCTAGAATAACTTGAACTGTCTTTGGTGGCATCTCAATTAAATGTATTATGGAATCAAAAGCAACACATACACTGATTATTCTGGTCGGATGTCGCATTTCGGTAATTACTGCATATAATGAATTAACTGCATGTTGCTTAACAATAATCACGTGACATATTTGATTAAACTGTGAATCGAAATTGGGATACACACGCACGATCGTTTGTTCCATTTCACACGATAGCTACAATATTGGAATTATTGCACCATAATCAACTAGATGCAAAAATTGAGCACTTTAGACTAAATGGAAAAACAAACATCAATGGTTAAGAGAGAAGAAAGAAGATGATCTTGGACTTGAACCAATCATCGAGAATTTACTAGTTGATTCATATAAAGAGATATACAGATTAGATGCATTGCTTGTGATATGATATATTTCAAGTTATTTGCCCCGCTAATGCTTCATATAAAATTTTCAAGCTTATTCAGAAGCATCTTGACCAGGGTTGGCAGTTTCGTAATGCAACATCTTGAAAACACGGTAAAAGGCTGCCGCAAAAACGGCCCCAAGAATGGGCCTAAAAAAAGTAAATAATTAACCACCGAATATAAAACCTTCCTTACAAGCAACCAAATTCATAACTATTGAAACTTATAAATGTATAATGAATGTGAACATGCTTCTTGGATAATTCCTTTACTGGGAAAAAACAAACAATTTATTGAACTTTTCAAACTATGTTTCGTCATTAGTTTGTCCAAGACAAACTATAAAAGATAATAATTAAGGGAGTGATATGCAACTAATACCAGAGAGAAACAATATACAATGAACAAAATTCAACATATTGTATAGATTAAAAGTCATATATAGTCTATCAATGACAATTTTTACTTTCATAATATTAATTTTCTTGAAATTTGTCTCAAATATTTCCATTACGTTCTCTTGATATTGTATACAACTATTCCTGTAGATGTTTGAATAAAAATCAAATAGATAATTTTCTTACAAAAAATATAAACATTCAAGTTATTAACAATAAACACAAGAAAACACTCAAATACAAGAATATCTTCTCATGAAATGGGCTGGATATTATTTGTATCAACTAAATATGATGATCTACGCTATTTCAGCTATTCGTCCAGCCGATGTTCATCTGCAAACATCAGACCTGAGTACGTTTCCATATGAAACCTATACGGACAAAAAAAAAATAAATAAATTAAAACAGATTTGATAGATTTTATTATCCGTTTGAATGCTAATATTGCATGCAACGCAATATGTACAATATCACCTTACATTCCCCATTTTTTAATGAAACCACCTTAATTTTTCTTCTTCTTCTTCTCTGCTTAAATTCATGTGCATGCATAAGGAAGATTCAGTCTAGAATTAAAGCTGCAAATCTTCGAATAATGAACATAATATTTTAAGGGCAGTGGTTTGCATTATGGAAAACCCTGTGATATTTTTGACCAACACACTTCCTCCCATGATTTTGAAAGGACATGAAATTCTTACAACAACCGCCTGTGTCATACCACTATCCCAATATATATCTTATTAAATGAACTAAAAATATTATACAAATAAAAACAACCTATAGTATGTATATATGTATATATACACGAATATATATATTTATTAAAAATCACATTTCCCAGGATTATGGACCCAAGAAACAACTTATACATAGCAAAATTTAGAATGGCTTTGAATTCATGTCACTCATAGTAAATAGCAAATCATCTTCATCATCTTCATCTTTTTTACTCGATTTAAGTTTACTCTTTTCATGGCTATGGCTTCCACTACTTTGCCCACTATGTGGTTCGTCTTCATCTTCAAACGCATCATCATATCTTGATGATCGGTAGTCATATACAGATGGACTTGTTGCTAACCCACTAACAACAACAGCAGTGGTAGCTGCACTTTTAGTAGCACTACCACCAACATTGGATGAAACAATTGTAGTGGTAGTAGTGGTAGTGGCTGTATGATGAGGAAGTTGTGAAGGAGTGCTTCCAGTTGGCGAAACAGTTGAACTTCTCTTTGGTGATGACATAAACCTTGCAAATTGTTCATCACCTTTCGATCTAGAATCTTTAACCCTAGAATGAATTGACGACATAACATGTGCATGGTCATATGAACCCGGAGGTGAATTTAATGAACTCTTTCTGCTTGAATGACGGGATCCATGCAACATTGAGCTAGCATTTGCACTATCACTTAATTGTTGGTGTTGGCTACGCAATAATTGGTACTTGTTCAAAGTATCATTAACTGCAATACTACTAGAACTAACACCACCAGCATTACCTAATCGTAAATCAGACTTGCTATCAAGCATACGAATGAAATCACTAATATCATCACTTTCATCATCACCGCCTTCTGTTTCACTAAGTGCAGCATCAACACTATTACTATGACCTAATAAATCTGATTGTGGTGTTTGCTGTCTAGCACTGGCACTGCTGAATCTTCTACTGACACGAGAACCAAATGATGAAGAAAACCTTGGTGTGTTATTTGAACTATCTGCATTAACCAAGTACGAATCATCATGACCTGTAGATGAACTCACAGATCGAGGGACAGAAGTACCATAAACCGGATTTGTATTAACAATTGGAATGGTGTTTGTTGATGGTGTACCACTTCTTGGGTTACGCAAAAATGCCGCAAGCGATGCATTGGATGTTGATTTGCTACTAGTGATCGAAACACGTCTTTCCAAAGATGAGGATTGCAAAATTGGTTGATTTTGAATGGTTGGGATAGGTGGTGGAGAAGAACTCATAGAACCGACCTTAAATGGCTGAATGCGTATTGGCGTTTGTGATTTCTTTGGTGAAGTCGATGTTTCCTTTGATGATGTCGAAGAGTTTGGTGATAATGACGAGGAAATCTTCTTTTTATTGCAAAATTCTTCCTGATCATGACGTTTAAAATGAGTCAGAAGCAATTCCTCATTTTCATGAACACAAAAGTCAGAATCATTTCTATAGGCAACCGAAATTTTTAATGATCCAAGACTTGTTTGCACTGGCTGGAAAAACTTTTGACTCATGTGGGATTCAGTGGAATTGGAGTTTATAATTGGTTTTGATAACCCAATTCTTCCTTTAGAACTAATTGGTTGATTACCATCCAAGATCTTATTACCCAAGGGCAACTTATTGTGTAGATTCTTTCTTACTTTAAAAGCAGGCATCAATCTGGAAAAGCCGTAGATGCTTCTAAACAAAATAATTGCTTGCTTGTAACTTAGAGGCAACTCATCAACCATAACAGCAGGATCATTGGAAGAATTTGGTTCAAATTCAATCAACCATCTTTCTAAAACAACTTCCAATTTCTTACCCCCACCTTTAGCAACGGTCCAGGGGTGTTTAATATCATCAAATAATACCAATATCTGATTGGGAGGCAATTGCCTCAAATCGATATAAGTTTCTATAATCATCGGAGGCAAACTTGCAAGTTCAGGTGTTTTCCATAATCTCAAATCATCTTTAGTAATATCAGGTATACTATTCATGTACAAATTAAACCATTTATTCAATTTATTTGATTCTTCTTTGGTAGGATATAGCGATGGAGATATAGTTTCAGGATACGCCCTGGCTTCCAATACAATCTGGGCAGCTTTAGCAAAAAATTTCTGAATCACCTGTGTTAATTTGGTTACCTGTATCTTCGTTTGATGTTCGTCAGAATGGTGATGATGTGTATACTTTTCTTGTTGTTTCAAATCTGACATCTCTAAGATGTGCTAGTAGAATATGCAAATAAGACAAGATATATACCACTAGTATAATAAACCGGTGGATACTTTAGATAGTAGATACTTTAAGGATGAAAGTGATAGGGGACGATGGGACTTAGATAAAAAAAAAAGCAGAACTCTTTAGTTTGAGGGATTTAAAAAGGGGGGAGGGGATTATGGGAATACTTTCTTTTATTTCTAATTCTCGATAATTGTTAACATAATAAGTATCAGGTGTCTTTTTTTTTTTCAATATTGTATTCCTTTTCTGATGTCTACCTTAATGATATGAAGGTTGATGTTTGAATGATTGATTGGGATGGTGGTTGTCTTGCGCTTGACCGATCTTTTTTTTTTGTATTTATTTTTTTTTTGGCGTGCGTAAAACTAGGGTTTTCCTTTTAGTACGCGTGCAAATCCAATGAGTCAGATAATAAACAATACGGATATTAATGACTTATCAAGAATGACAGGTTTTCGTTTGTATGAGGAAACAGTTTATTCAAAATGAATAATAAGAATAAAAACAAAGTAATGCTTTTATGTTGTAGTTGAAAGTTGCAGCTGGTAAAAGTAAAAGTAAAAAAAAAAAACCAGGTATACCCACAACTTATTGTTTCTTTTCTTGTGTGTGATTGAAGAAATAGACAGTGATAAAGAAACCAAATAAAATGTATTATTGGTTACTTGTGAGTGTAATGATATAGAGTGATCTTTATTTATAAGAAAGATAACCACTGTTCTAAGATACTAGAAGAAAAAGAAACAGAACAAGAAGAACAAGAAGAAGAAGAATAAATATATATATAAAAAAAGGTAAGGAAAGAAGGAGAACAGTTTTTATTACATTGGTTGATCTCTTTACTTGTAATCCGATAGACATCACAAAACGTGAATCTGAGCAAAAAAAAAAAAAAAGCTCTTATCGTGCAACCTGAACAAAATGTGTGGATGTCAATAACAATGACAACACAGTTTTTAGTTTTACTTTTTTTAGTCATTCCCATATTTACTTTCCAGGTGAATGTTAATCACGAGTTTTGCCACATAACCATGGGCGAATGATAATAAATATAATAATAATACTACTAATAATAAAAAAGAAACACGTAGTGAAAACTAAACCCGCGGTCGATGACTGGTTCCGATAAGAATAACAACCGCTTTTAGTCTTGAGTTGCTTTTTTAGAGCTCCGGCATATAGAGGTTTTCAACAAATGCAACTCCAATTGTAATGATAGCAAAAATAACATTTGGACATACGGAGAGGGATGAGCAATAACAAACACTTTACTCCTCAAAGTATTATAAGAATATATTGTTGAGTAAAATATAGAATCAGCCAAGAGGAGATCAAGAATCATACAACTGCTGGCGTATTGTTGAATTCTGCTTATCAGTAATCAACAATATACACACCCACATAATATTAACCACCTTTGTTCGAAAGGTGGGGGGAGGGGGAGGGAGAGAGAGAGAGGAGGTACGTGCATGGAGAATTTAAAAATATGTTGTGCAGTTAAGCGCGTTTTTTAATTTACACACTCTACTATCCAACCGTGGATAGTATGTCATAAAATTCCTCGAGGAATTTACATGTCACCGGATAATAGAATGGGAAGGGAAGAGCATGTTTAAGTCCAATAATTGTTCAAATTTCAGGTAACGTAATCATCCAAAATTGCGTGTACTTCATTATCAAGGGTCATTCTTTTGCCTGTGCGTGTAATTTGTCTATTTGTGTAATAATACACCCAAATTCGGAAATAAACTAAAATACTTCACTCCCTGAACTACAAAGTTCAACAACTTATCATTATGAGCTAAAGGAATGTCGCGTGGGCAAGGAAGAAGAAGACAAAGAAGACGAAGAAGACGACGAAGAATGTTGGTAAATGGGTTGTTGATTGATGTTGTTGTCAAGTCGACTCTACAACATTTTAGATTTACCCCCTAAAAAGTTTTGTTGCATGGTAGGAAAATAATTGAAAACACGAATATGAAATTAAAATATCTACAAACACGCCTATGGGAAATCACCAATTCTAGGTCCAAAATATCCATCTGGAGCATCAACTGTGGCATTCAACCAACCAGTTAAACTAACGTCGACACCTTCAAATGACACAGTATTACCCCACCATGTGATATCTTTTGCATGATACATGACAGCGAAAAAAATGATGATTGAACTAAAGGCAATACCAGCATTTAAACCAGTAGAAAGAACGTAATTGTATTTTTGCCACCAAGCTTCGTAATTTCTTTTGATGTAGTGCATAAATGCAAAAGCCACGTAGAAGCCAGGAAGAAGGTAGGTCAAGTTATATGGAGCAAAATTCAACATACCACCAATAATAATTGATGGCTCAAAGTATTTGAAAACCTTCTTTGGTCCCCATCTCTTGACAATAACACATGGAATAGCAATCAAGAATCCAATCAAGAAACAATATTGTAAAATAGGATACAAACCACCAAACACTTTCTTTGGACCAATAACCCCCCATAACACAGATGCAGAGTAAAAAGTTCTACCATTTGGACAAGTGAATCTTTGTGGGTTTGCTGGATCACAATAGTCTTTGATACCACCATCAAGTTGGAAATTCAAAATACCCAATTGAATGAAAGAAGCAACAAAGATTGACAAAAGTTGAACTCTGTAAACAGCTCTTGGTGGAAGCTTAGCATAATGACCTTGTTTCAAATCGTTAACGAAATTTTGTGCTTGACCATCAATGTTATAACCCAAAGCTTTAATGAATGCCAAGGCTAAACCATTACCTGGGATAGCATACCCAATGATCAATTCAACCAAGACATTCAAACCAAACGAGAAACCAGTTCTAGCGTAAATGGTAGTCAATGGAATCAAAAACACAAAATTGATACCCAAGGCAAAGAAAATACCCCATACCGGAGTTTGAGCAGGATAGACTTTAACACACAAGATAGCCAAAACTAATGAAACAACAACAATAAGAAGGTACCACCATTCTGGAACCTCTGGAAAACGAGACATCATCTTGGAATGAGGGTCATCATACCCATCATAAGTGGATTTCTTCCAATTTCTCAAAACTCTCCAGAAGGATGTACAGGCATCCCACATATCTTTATAATGCATACCAAATTCATAAACAATATGAAATGGGTAAAGAGCAAAAAAGGCACCATAGACCACTAAATTACCGGCAGTATAGAAGGGAGGACCAACTTTGTTGTACTTCTCTTGATCAAATAAACTTTCTTCGTTGACAATAGCAGTGACGGAATATGGATCACCAGTGTTTGAATAAAGACCATTATCATTAATTGGAAGATAGCCTGTCCATTTGTAATTGGAATACCAAATACCAAGAATAGCAAAGAAAGCAATAAAAGCACCAAGCAAGTTACAAGCAGTAGTAAAGAATGGAACTTGCAATGGTTGTAACAATGCACTCAAATAATTCCAATCAAAAGTAGGAATTGGGTTCAAGCCTAAACCTCCAATTGATCCGGTAACAACAGCCAAATTGACATTATCTGGCTTAATCCAAGTCATCCAGTTGAAATAAGACAAAGCTTGGAATAAATAATCAGGAATCCAAAAGTATACAAACGATGCCCAGAAAGTAACAAAAAAGAACATATAACTGGAAATCTTCCATCCATTAATTTTCTCCTTTTTACTTGGGGTTAACAAAGCTTTGTTCAATGCCAAGGATGGTAAAATAGATGGCCAAACAGCTTTAACAGGATAAACAGCAAATTTTCTCATGATACCTGCAAGACCAACCCCAAGAAAGTTTGTTGACAAGATCAATAAAATTTGATAACCCCAATCAACCCATTTATTATCGTAGAATTTATCTGATTTCTGCATAAGAATATTCCAAGCTGCATATGAAGTACTACCACCAGTAACACCACAGAAAATAGTTGCCAACATTTGTTCTTTGAAAGTATATGGACCAGGGTTTAAGTCAATTCTCCATTTCCAGATGTTGAAACTCCAATTAGGTAAGATCCATTCACAAAGCAAACCAGAAGGATACAAGAAAACTTGAACCACAGAAACACTAAGAGAGATTGCTGGTTGTCTTTCAGCAAAGAATTGATTGATAACAGCACCAATACCCGTCCAAATAATACCAATCAAATACACCCTGAATGTTTCAACAGGAATAGTTGGATCATCATAAGGGAAAGTAACTGCTCTAACTTCAGGGTATGGTGACCAATAGGCAACCAAGACAGCTTCTAATCTTACTTGCAAACCCCAATCAACAATCGCAAAGTCTTCACTAGCTGCAGCAATATCTGTCTTTTCAATATCATCAGAGGTTCTAAACTTTTCTTCAGAAGTATGGATAAATGTACTCAATTTTTCTTTAACAGAATATGGATGTGGATTCTTTTTTTCAGAATCTTCACTGTCTTCACCAAGAGATGTTTCTTGTTTATGATCTCTGGCCACCAAATTTTCCCATAATTCATAAACACTGTCCAGCATGTTGACATCATTGTCATGGTCCACAATAGCTTTCTTCAAGACATCAACAGCTTCTTGTGTTGACATATTTTCAATCTTTTCAAATATAAATGTAGCTTGTGGTGGTAATTCTTCCAAAGAAACCAAAGCATCAAAATGTAATCTTTTCAAAATAATCCATTTTTGAGCATCAGTTAAAGTTGTTGCAACTTCACCAATAGATAACGGTTGGGATTGGATAGCACGAAGGTCCACTTCATGATCTTCTACTTGTAAATGACTAGCAACTGAAGTGATTCCATCACCAGAAGTCACTGGAGCGGCTGGATTACCTGGAAATTTTGGTAATTCAATCATTATTGTTGTTTTGCAGCAAACAAACAAGCAAACAAACAATTACAAACTTTGATGGATAAATCTACATTCTTATATACTTTAAACTTAGATAAGGAATGTCATGAACATCAAACGGCACCAATTTTTTGTTTATGCATAAATCCCACAGCAATATCAAAAATGTGGTTGTATTCTACTGTGTATTATGGATCTTCATTTAATTTTTTTTTTCTTTTTAAAATTCACGCCGCTTTTTAGTTTTCAAGATAACGGAACAAGGTTACAAATTAAATCACAAGTTTTGTGAATTTCAAGTTTCCGGGATATTAATTTCTCCACTTTCTAATTAGTTCTTCATTTCATTCAAAAAAACATAACTGTCATATTTTGCAACTTGTTTGATGATTTCTTCTGGGTTTGGGTCAAGAAAAAAAAATTACAAGACAGCTATATACGAATTATTAGTTACAGGAGGGTTTTTGACAGATCTCTTGGAATAATTTCTTGACTTTAATACCACACGAGATCTTAAACCAGTTAAGAAAAAAAAAATCCACTCTACTAGTTTAGATAAGAGGATGGTTTATTAATTTGTGTTTAGTATAATTCTCCCATTCTGCTTGATTAATTGATTAATTTTCTGTAAAAAAAAAACAAAAAAAAAAATCATTTGGTGCCGTGCCACACGCCAAGATTTTATCTCTAAAGATATGACGGATATACTGCAAAATTATACAACAAAAAAATTTCATGCCGTGTCAAAATAGCCCAAATGTTCAGATTGATAAACTCACAAGATAAACTCGTCATTTAACACTGTGGCTATATTACCGACTGGTTTATTGATTCTTCTGTCGTGCATTGCAGGTGAACTAATTTAGATTTCTTTTCGGGATCTGATTATGTGTAATGCAATGAAAAAAAATGCATGCAACTTCCATTTTTACTCCTAACCTGTGTAATCAACAAAATGATTCATTTACAACACTGCTGGTTCTTTAACATTTCATCAACCATGATGTTTAAAAGGTTTCTTCTGGAATGAGTTTCACATTTGACATCTATCAGTAATTTTTCTTTTTACGCGCTACGCATCATTTGCTATGGTCAGCAAAAAGACATTTACCTGGTTTGCCGATTGTGAAATTGGAATAGGGCGGATAATGGTCAAAATGGATGGGCGCGAAAATCAAAATTAAATGAGGCTTTTTTTTTTGGTTGTCGTTCATGTATCTAAATTGTACATTGCAATTTATTTCTACAGATAATGCATCTACGGAAATGACCCTTTTCTGGGTCCAAAATAACCATCTGGTGCTTCCGTACGAGCATTGAGCCACCCCTTCATTTTGGAATCAAATCCCATATTGGAAATTGTATTTCCCCACCAGTTTATTGGTTTTGGATAATACATTACAGTGAAAAATATAATGATTGAACTGAATGCTATCCCGGCATTTAATCCAGTTGATAAAATATAGTTATACTTCTGCCACCAAGCTTCATATCTCTTTCGAACGTAATGCATAAAAACAAACGCAACATAAAAGCCAGGAATATAGTAAGACAAATTATAAGGTGCATAATGTAAACATCCACCAATAATCACCGATGGCTCGAAATATTTCATATACTTTCTGGGAGCATACTTTTTCATCACAATACACGGGAAAGCCAATAAGAACCCAATTAGGAAACACCATTGTAAGATAGGATACAACCCAGTGAAGACTTTCTTGGGTCCAATAACTCCCCACAAAACAGAAGCTGAATAGAATGTTCTGCCATTAGGACAGGTAAACTTTTGAGCATTGGTTGGGCTACAATAATCTCTTATTCCACCATTTAGTTGAAAATTTAGAACGCCTAACTGTATAAATGAAGCAATGAAAATCGATAATACTTGTGCTCTAAAGACAGCTCGTGGAGGTAGTTTGGCGTAATGACCTTGCTTCAATCCATTTATAAATGACTCAGCTTGTCCATCAATATTATACCCCAATGCTTTGATAAATGCCAATGCTAATCCATTCCCTGGTATAGTATACCCCACAATCAATTCAACTAAAACATTCAACCCAAATGAAAATCCCGTTCTTGCATAAATACTAGTCAATGGCACCAAAAATAACACATTTATACCTAGAGCAAAAAATATACCCCACACTGGTGTTTGTGCTGGATAAATCTTTACACAGATAATGGCCAACACCAACGACATCACCACTATTGAAAAATATGCCCATTCTGAAACTTCAGGGTATACACCGTGAGGATCATCTAATCCATCATAATTTGACTTTTTGAAACTTTTGGCAACTCGTCCAAGTGATTTAAAAGAATCAAGAATTTCTCGATAATTCACCCCAAGTTCATAGACAATATGGAATGGATAGAGAGCAAAAAAGGCACCATAGACCACCAAATTACCGGCAGTATAGAATGGAGGACCCACCTGATTGTATTTCTCTTGATCAAATAAACTTTGTTCATTGACAATTGATGTTACAGAATATGGATCACCAGTGTTTGAATAAAGACCATTATCATTAATTGGAAGATAGCCTGTCCATTTGTAATTGGAATACCAAATACCAAGAATAGCAATGAATGCCACACCCATTCCAATCATATTATTTACTGAGTTGAAAAAGGGAACTTGCAATGGTTGGTTTAAAGCACTCATATAATTCCAGTCAAATGTAGAGATGGGATTCAAACCTAAACCACCAATGGATCCAGTAATCACTGCAAGGTTTTGGTTATTTGGTTGGATCCATGTTATCCAATTGAATGTAGAAAGTGCTTGAAACAAGTAGTCAGGAATCCAAAAATAAACAAACGATACGGCAAATGTTACGAAAAAGAACTTGTAGCTTGAAATTTTCCATCCATTTGTGATTTCATTTTTTGAAGTAGTTAACAATGTTTTATTCAATGCTAAAGATGGCAATATTGTTGGCCATACGGCTTTAACTGGATAAACGGCAAATTTCCTCATTATTCCTGCAAGACCAATTCCAAGAAAATTTGTTGACAAGATCAACAACACCTGGTATCCCCAATCAACCCATTCATTATTATAGAATTTATCTGATTTTTGCATGAGTATGTTCCATGCCACATAGGATGTACTACCACCAGTAACACCACAGAAAATAGTTGCCAACATTTGTTCCTTATATGTGTATGGACCAGGATTCAAATCAATGGTGTACTTCCAAACATTGAATTTCCATTTTGGCAAGATCCATTCACAAATAACTCCAGATGGGTACAAAAAAACCTGAACAACAGACATTGCAAGAGTAATAGCTGGCCTTCTTTCTGAGAAAAACTGATTAATTACTGCCCCAACAGAAGTCCAAAAGATTGCGATTAAATATACTCTGAAGGTTTCAATTGGTATACTAGGATCGTCATATGGAAATGTTACAGATCTAACTTCAGGATATGGAGACCAATATGAAATCAATACCGCTTCCAACCTAGTTTGAATTTCCCAATCTGTAATTACATGATTTTGAGAATTAACTTCAATTATTTCTGGAAATTCTGCTGGCGATGTTATATCAGTCGTTTTTTCAGTACTTCCTTCAGGGTTCAAATTTGTTATTGACGTCTTTTGAGAATCAATTATGGTAACAAGTTTCCTCCAAAATAACAAATCCTCCTCTGGAATATTTACATCAGTGAAATGTTCTGTAATGCTTCTTCTTAATACTTCAATAGATTCTTCAACCAGTATTTCATTTGTCTTTTCGAGAATAAACAAGATTTCTGGCGGCAATTCATCCAAAGATTGCAAAGTATCAACATATAGCCTTCTCAATATAATCCATCTCTGATCATTAGTGAAATCATTGTCATCCATGCCAATTGAACGAGAGCTACTTTTCATTCGGTGTAACTCATAATCATTCTCATAAATATTTGATTCAATAGGGGTAGGACTAGGGTGATGAGAAGACATGGTATATTCTGGACTTTAGCCAAAATTATTTCAAATTAGTTCCAATGCATCCTGGAAGTATTTACGTCTTTTATACTTATCAAGGCTCTTCATATTATAGTTTCAAGGGGTGACATGGACAACTCAATCGGACTTCAACCTCCTCCATTCAGGCATTACAAGAAAGTACATATGGATTGTGTGAAAAACAGCAACCAGCAGTGTATTATGGATACAGCACAGCATCAGTTGAATTGAACAGATAATATCATTAATAAAAGATAAGGTTTTGCATAATGGCATATCATTATTCTTTTCCCTTTTTCCATTTTCAAACCACAAAGTATGTTGGATAGTTGTGAATACACGTCAGAAAAAAAAATTACTTTGATAATGTATTCAATTCAGAAAGTCATGAACCTGCTGTCTTTCAATTTCGTAATTGATACAATTGACAAAGCATCCAACTTTATCAGTGATTACAATACCATGATGTCCTAAATACATTGTGACATGTAGTAATAACATGCTCTTGGTGACTAACGATCATACATGCATACATTGTTTACTTACTTTAGTATCCACCATCTCCAACCACTCTAAACTAGAATTATCAATATAATGCACCATTGTTTATGTAATAACTCTGTTTATAGAGTTTATCCTCTTACAAAGAATCATAAATACAAGAACTACAGTCATGGACAACCAAAGGTATCAGTCTGATGTTATCTCATCGAAAAATACACGTGACATCCTGCATGTGAGAACTACAGAAAATTTTATTTTTCAAATCTTCTTAAATTTTTTTTTCTTTTCTCTTTTCTTAGGATTTTCCTAGGATGAAGACCAAGTTGATCAAACAAACACTATAACTCATTTAACCATCCTGAGGTGCTTGTTTCATTCCTTCATTTCTACATACTTCCTTATACAATACTAACTTGAAAGAATGGATGATATTCAAATAGAGACAGCTAGAACTCAATCACCCAAATCATATTTATACACTTCTCTAGCCCAAGTCCATTTAGGTGAGATTGCATCATGTATTATTTCAAGATTGATATCTAATGGAAGATTAACAGCCAAGGAGATCAGTACTCGTACTGAGATTCCAATCAAAAATGTCAAGACAGCTTTGGTTTCCTTGATTCAATTAAACTGTATATATTTTTGGGAAGAAAAGGATAAAAAAGTTTATTATAGTTTGAAAGAAACTGGATTATTGTTGTTTTTATATAGTGGAGATATTATAAACCACATTAAAAAAGAATATGGAGAAGATGAAGCAGAAATTGTGCAAAATATTTTAACTTATGGTCATGTTAAAGTTAATGATTATTTATCCCAATTTAAAGATGATAAATCAAAACAAATTGATGAAGAAAATAGATTTTTAAGATTATTTAATGAAAAATGGTTAGTTAGATTACAAGATTTCGATTTCCATCCTTTAGATGATATTTGGAATAAAATTTATCAAGAAAGTTTAGCAGAAACTCCAAGAGCATCATTTACTTCGGAAACTAAACGTACTCAAGAAGCTCAAGATAAAGCCAAAATAAAATTGACTAATTTATTAGAATCAGGACAAACATCAAGTGATTTATATACAGAAGTCAATGGTGTGAAAAAGTTGAAGCCAGATTTGGTTATTACTTTTAATTTATCTCGATTCCAAAAACATTTAAGAACAAATGCATTAGCTAATTTAGTTAAGGCAAGAATTGGATTGTTAACTGCTATTATCTATGAAGCGGCTTTGAAACATATTGAAAGCAGTAGTCCGGATTTGACATACCCACTTTTGAATATTCCTGGTTTGATCAATGATCCAACTATAGTTAAAGAATATCTTGCCAAGATTGAACAAAAGCTAACTAATGAAAAGAAGATCACTTTTTCAGCAAGAGATATTGAAAGATATTTACCTAAAGAAATTGATTTTAACAATTCCATTATTACTCCAACATTTGCCAAACCAAAAAGACCAATTGAAAATGGTGATTCTTCTCCAAATTCAAAGAAAATCAAACTTGAAGATGGATCTGCTTCTACAAAATCACCATCAACAACTAAAGGACCAAAATATAATTCAAGCATTATAGAACAACACTTGAAATTATTACTCAATGGTACTAATACTGCATTTATTTATGAGATTTCTCCAGGTAACTATGTTGTTCCATTTAACAACTTGTCCAAACTATTGAAACAATTCAATTTTGAAATGTTGGTTAAAACTACTTTGGGAGATCAAGGATTTAGAATATTGAGATGTATCAAAGCTATGAAATTATGTGATGAAAAAGCCATTTCAAATGCTGTATTGTTAAAAGAAAAAACTGTTCGTAGTGAATTATATCATTTGGTTAAAGCAAATGTTGTTGAAATTCAAGAAGTTCCAAGAAGTGCAGATAGAGCAGCATCTAAAACATTCTATTTATTTAGACACAAAGAAAATTATGAATTCTTAGTTAATTGTTTGGTTTATGACATGGCTATGATCCTTAATGGTATTGAGAAATTTAAATCTGAACATCATATTTTACTTGAAAAGTGTAATCGTATTGATGTTCAAGGTCAAGAAGAGCAATTGTTATTGGAATCTGAATTGAAAACATTACATGGTTTACAAAATAGAGAAATTTCAAACATTGTAAAATTAAATAGGTTAGTAACACTCTTTTCCATATTCAATTAATAAATACATCATTATCATCCATAGAGGTTGATCTTGATTACCACAAGATGCCTACAGTGATTGTGTATGTTCTGTAATAATAAATAAATATATATTATGAAACTTTAAAAAATGCTAGAAGATTTATCAAATGTTAGTAATTAAATAATTGAAGAATTTGCTAACCCGATGAAAAGGTTAAGATTAACTTTGTCAAAAAAAAAATAATTTACATTGCCATGATAATTATAATGTAAAAAGAAGAAACATTTGTAGTTTAATTTTTTGTTTTCCTCCAAAGAAAAAGTTGGTGATCCTGGTTGCCAATCAAAAAAAAAAAAAAGCATAACAGAAACTGTTGCCAGAATTGGCACAATAAACACGACTTTTGCTTTCACATGAACCCTGAATGACAACCCATTTAAGAATCCAAAATTTATTCTAATGCCCCATAAATCATATTTCTCAATCTCAACTGATTATGGATTTCCAGATAATATAAATCAATTTTTAGCAATCTTATAAAGGATCTGTTGAGTTAATTCTGTTTTAGCTTAGTGAGGAGAATTGCTTACATTTGGTAGCACGAAGATCTAATTTACGATCGAGTTCTTTCTCCTCCTTCTCCTCCCATTCTTTAATTACTTGAACAAATCAAATTCATCCCTTATTTCATTACATAATATAATTGTGTTTTTTTTTAAAATAAAAAGTTTATTATTTACTGAACTATCAAATACTATAAATTGAATCAGTCTTCTTCTTCAGCTGCTTTACTAAGATGAACATAAGTTTGAGGGATTTCAACATCAGTATCAAATTTATCTAAACCAGTTCTTTTTAATTTAACTTGACTTCCAGAATAACTTGGAACATGATGAGCAATATTAAATCCTTCAACTATAGTAGTTGGCCAAATAATTAAAATCGACAGAAATGCAAGTGTCCATCCAATTAAATTTCTAGTTGCATGAGTATAATTCTTAAATAAATAAGATGGCAGTGGCCATGTAATTTGACCTTTTGCTCCATCACCTAATAATCTTCTACTATTAAATGAAACAATATTAGTTCTGTAAATCGAGTTAATTGGTCTTGATAATCTAAACATGATTGAGTAATGAAACAAGAAGAAGAAGAAGAAAATATAATTAAAGAAGGAGTAATAGGATTTTAAGGATATTTATATGAATTTTTTTGGGGAACGATATGAATGACAATCTCCTCAATCGATTTTTGGGGAATGAACAATAAGCCCCATACTCAAAAAAAAAAAAAAGAATTGCTGTGCAATAGTTGCGAATGTACCGAAACAATAAAAAGCAATGATATCTCAAACTGACAGGATTGTTTGTATATTGATAATGAATTGATATCATTGATTGTTTTAGTAAAATCTGGAGTCTCCTTAACTCAATTAAAAGAAACAGATCTTCTATTAATTTCTCAAAGAATAATTATTATATATACATTACCAATTTTGCAACCACTCACGAAATTTACAAACAAATAACTTTTAACACCAATGTATATTACTTAAACTAATACATCATTATTAATCACTTTCAATATCATCTTTTTTACTAATACCAGAGTAACCAAAAGGAATTTGAACATTAGTTTCGTATTTATTCCAACCAATTCGTTTAGCTTGTACTTGAGTACCATTATCACCAGGAACTTTATGAATAAAATCAGATCCATAAACAATACCAACTGGCCAAATTACCATAACTGTCAGAAAAGCAAGTATCCAACCAATTAAATTCTTACTTCCTTGAGTATAACTTTTAATTATATAATTAGTCAGTGGCCAAGTTGCATGACCTTTTGTACCTGTTTCTAATAATCTTTTGGAAATTAATGTATTGGATTTAACAATAGTTTGAATTGATCTCGTTTTAAACATGAAGCAGTAGTGATAATATTAGAGAAAAAGAATTGGATGGAAATTAGAAATATAGAGAGAGAATTGTTGAGTTATTTATAAGATTTTGTGACAAACATTATGATGGTTTCTTATTAATAGGTTCGTTCGTTCATTGGAAGTTTTCCATCTTTACGGCATCAAGTTCATGAATGTTTTGTACGACTGCGAAAAAAAAAAAACCATAATATTTTGCACTCTTTTTCAAACCCCGTTGTGTTTTTGATGTTTCACTTCCGTTGATAATTCCTTTAAATATATAGAGAATATCTTAGAGTTATAATTGTGGCGTCAATAATTCGTCATGTTTGCATGGATGGTATATATCCGGTTGCATTCATGAGTAACAAAAGGCACATTGTTTGAATACCAGAATCTAGGAGCAAATTTTTCACACATACTGTATAGATACTATTCTTTTAAATTAGTCTATGCATATGGTTCTTTTCCCACCATTTTGACCCCATGGAATAAAAATATTATGCAGTGATAATCTTTATGATTGATTTCCACAAACCCCACTTTTTTATTTGTCCCAATCATGACACGTGAGTTTCAAATCTACAATTATCTGTTTCTAATAAAATCTAAGCATATATTTCTTTCTCTAAATCTAAAATTAAACATCATCTTCAGGAACATCATCACCTTCATCTTCATCTTCTTTATCTAATTTAACAGAAATTTGTGGAATTTCAACAGTAGTTTGAAATTTATCTAAACCAATTCTTTTCAATTGTACTTGACTTCCAGTAAAATCAGGTACATTATCAAAATAATCAAATCCTTGAACTATTGAAATTGGCCAAATTAATAAAATTGTCAGTAATGAAATTAACCAACCTATCATTTTTTTACTTTCTTTAGTATAATTTTTAATTATATATGATGTCAGTGGCCATGTTGGTTGTCCAAATGTTCCATCTCCTATAAATCGTTTACTAGTTAATGAAAATAAATTAAATCTGGTTGATTTGAAAGAAATTCGTTGTATTGGTCTTGATAATCTAAACATAATGATGAATGGATGGATGAGGAAAGAGGAATAAAAAGAAAAAGTAATTTGAAGAGTAATTTATAAAGGGTTTCCATTGGGGGTATTTATATAATTAGAAACGTTGGGATTATCAATATGCAAGGAAATACACTAAAAGTTGCTATGATTTGATGTTTGAAAGAAGTCTATAGAAGAATAGAATATTCTATCGAAATTAAGATTGCGAAAACAATCAAACAAACAAACAGAGAAAAAAAAAAGCAACCAAGAGGATAACATGATTTACATAATTGATAATTCATAAAATTAACATGTTCTTTTTTCTTCTATACACAATTACAAAGTATCCTTAAAACCCGCAAAATCAAATTGTTCTTCTGTTGGAACACCGGCAACTGTATACTTCACTTTAACTCTTAATTTTATCTTTGCCCCTTGTTTACCAACAATCTTTAAGCTTTGCCTTATTGGAGATCCACCTGGGGTTAAGGAATCACCTCCCGAGGTAGAAGAAATTGTCAATTTTTGTGTTTTTGGTACAGCAATCAATAATTGGAATTGTTCAACTTTTGAGTTTGTATTTGATGTAATTAAAGCATCCATAGTTGCTTGTCCATCTTGTGTGAATGCCTTTGGAATAAATACAACTTTGACATTACTATTGTTAAAGGCAACAATCTCAGCAGCAGCAGCAGCAGCAGCAGCAGCAGGTTGTTGCTGTTGTGATTGACTTGGAGAAGAAACAGCAGGAGATGAAGGGCTATTGAAAAGATCTAAAATGGCTGCATTGTTGACTGGTTTGTTAGCGGATGAACTACTTCCACTACCACTGAAAATATCATTCAACAAATCAGGTTGTGGTTGGCCAGCACCAGGGGTAGTAACATCGTCATCCATTAAGTCGAGCAACAAATTGTCACTACCACCAGCAACTCCACTGGAACCATTGGTGGATTTCTTAATTATTGGTTTATTGGCTGAAGTTGATTTATGTAAGGTCAAAGCTTCACGTTGCTTAACTGGTGGAGCTGGCATACGTGCTAATAAACCTCTCTTTAATGTAGCATCTTGACCAAAGATTTGTTGGTATTCAACAGCTCTAATTTGAATTTCTAAATTGGTATCATGAGTCTTTGAGCTCAAAATTAATCTCAAATGTTCAATAACCAGTGCATATTTAAATTTGATTGATAATTTAATAATTGCAGTTAATGCGTATGATGTCAATTGTACTGTTTCTGATTCTGAAAATGTGGAGTTATTAATTGAATCGTCAATGAGTTGACTTAAAGTTTGTTCAGTGATGGTGATAGATTTCTCTTTAATTTGAGTAGAAGTGTTCAAAATCAAATCACCATATTCACCAACAGCCCAAACCGTAATCAATGCTAAACCATATTGGCCAGGTGCTTCCAAATATGAACCAACCAATTGACCCACAGTATGTTTCTTCAATTCTTGATCGTTACATTGTAAAAGCAATGCAAGAATACTCGAGATAATATCAGATGTCAAGGAGTTACCTCCAACTTTCAACATTCTAATCAAAGTGTCAAAATGCCATTTCTCATTTGGAGAGTATTTGTTAGCAGCAATGGTTAATTGTGAAGTAACAAATGATTTCAATTCTGCGTCATTGCAATTCTCCAAAAATGTCAAAATTTCACGGGCTAGCACTCTGATATTTTGTTCATTAAGAATACCGAATGACAATTCTAAAGCTCTTCTACGAATGGAGATATCTCCATCAGCTAAACAATTGACAATGGTTGATCTGTGTCTTTGAACTGCCAATGGTTCAATGTTAACGACAGTCAACAAAGTATCCAATGCAACATATCTAGTGTTGTTATCCTTGGTGGATAAGAATTTCCCTAAAATGTTAACACCCAAGATTTTCAATGATTGGTCTGATGGAATGGCAAAAATTGTCTTGACACATTCATACAAGATGGCATGAGCAGCATTCTTACCACTATCTAAATTAGATGCAACTTGAGTCAATATATCATTGATTTCTTCCAAATATTGTGGAGGACACTGTTCATCCAGGGCCAATAATCTCAATGTGGACAATAAAGCAACTTGTAAGAATGGATCAGTAGTACCGGTGACATCATAATCTGGTTGGTAACCACTGGTAGTTGTTCTTTTCAAATTAGCAACAATCTTAGGAATTGTTTTTAACAATGCTGGTCGACTTTCTTCAGATACCAAATATAAAGATTCTATTAATCTCAATGCACCCAATAATAAACTTGATTGCTTTTCATTAATTAAACTTGGAATTTTTGGTAAGAAAATTTCTGCAAGTTCTGGATCTTTTTCAATTAATTTGGCAGCAACAATACATGCTTTTTTCTTTAAATAAGGACCTTTATTATCCATGATTGATTCAACATTGGTATATAAATCTCTTGCTAATTCTGAAGAAGCAATATTACCAAGACAACAGAGGGCTAAACCAACAATAAAAGTATTTGGATGTTGCATGTCATTATCCAAAGAATTAGTCAACAAGGTTAAAACTTCTTGATTCTCATCCAAAATCAACATACATGCCAAATATCCCAATCTTTTATCGGCAAAACGAGGAGAAGCTAATAATTTAAGACATTCAACTTGACCAAAATGTGTTTTTTCACCCATTATATATAAATATAAAAGTTTGGAAATATTGATTCTTCTAGTTGTTTGATCAAGACCTGGGTCTCTAAAAGAAGTTCTGATTGCAGCAGATTCCTTTTGAATGACGGCTCTTTCATCAGCAATTGTTTTGGCTTTTCTAACTGCCTTGATGAATGATTTAAGAGAACCCATTGTTGGTTGTTTGTGGTGGTTGTTGATTTGATTCGTTCCGGTAGTAACTGTGTTTTTTTTTTTCCACCGTTTTTTTTTTTGGTTGTTTGGGTTGTCTTTGAAATTTCTCGTTGTACAACAACAAAATAAATACACGGTGTGCGGAATGCAAAAAAAAAAAAAAAAAAAAAATCAAATTTCTACAAACCCATAAAGGCTGTCAATGATGATTACTGTAAATAATAATAATGTATTATATATAAGAATATGAATATTTGTATAAGATTGACAGCATTCAAAGAATCACTTATGGATCAAGATCAATTTTTTTTTTCATTTAAAAGTTCTTATTGATATAGAAGTGTTTCTATTAGTTCAATCAGTATGTTATACTTGCAACATTCTACTTGCCAGAATCACTCCAAAAATTATAAATAAAATTTATCAAATTACAAAATAATAAAAAAAAAATAAACCCAAACTTTGGTAGTACTAGAATAAGATCGCCAATTTATCAGCAGTGAAAGATACAAGTAGATAAGGAAGCACAACTTCGACTTAAAATACTAAGAATTTAATAATGATAATGATAACAATAATAAAAAAAAAAAAACAGAAAAACAGAATAAAGTAAAGATTTAACAAAACAAAAAATCAGATTTAAAATAATAAAAAATAGTAGACATTAAATGAAACTCGTAATTTGATTTCCCAATTTACAAGACGACACACTTCTTCTTCTTTTCCTTCTTTTCTTTAACTCTTAAAGAAGCTCTAGTAGCAGCTTCGAAAACTTCTCTAACACCTCTACCAGTTTTAGCAGAACATTCCAAGTAATCAGCAGCTCCGATTCTTTGAGCAACTTCTTGACCTTCAGAAGAAGAGACTGGTTGTTGTTGTTGTTGTCTCAAGGCTTCAATAGTGTGTGGATCATCTCTTAAATCAGATTTACAACCAACCAAAATGATTGGGACACCTTGACAGAAATGTAAAACTTCAGAAATCCATTTTTCTAAGACGTTATCTAATGAATCTGGTGAATCGACTGAGAAACAAATCAAAATGACATTGGAATCTGGATATGACAAAGGTCTTAATCTATCGTAATCTTCTTGACCGGCGGTATCCCATAAGGCCAATTCAACTTTTCTACCATCGACTTCGACATCAGCAACGTAATTTTCAAAAACTGTTGGGACGTAAACTTCTGGGAAAGTACCTTTTGAGAAAACAATCAACAAACAAGTTTTACCACAAGCACCATCACCGACAATGACTAATTTTCTACGAAGTTCAGCTGGACCGTTAACCATTATGCAAATATATTATACAAAATATGAATTGGGATGTTGTTCTTCTCTTTTATTAATAAAGGGATGAATGAAATTGCACTTCTAAAAAGTTGGACACACAGACAGGGAACAATTAAAGAAGGAAGAAAAAAAAAAGGACTGGGAAAAAAAATGCTAGGATTTAATAAATCAATTTAATTATAATTTTTTTTTCCACAAAATAAGGATTGTTACTTTCTTGTATGATATATATATATATAACTGATGATATAGATTCTGTTAAATATATAGAAACAAAAAGTAGAACTAATTTAAAGATAAATGAAGAATATAAATATGAAAAAGTAAAAAAAAAAGAAAGGGAAAGGAAAAGAGAATTCCAAAACAAATAAAAAAAAAATTTGTCTCGATAAAGAAAAAAAAAAATTTTCTTTTACTACGATCAAAAAATTTTATGTCAGCCTAACTTGTCTTCTTCTCTCTCTCTCCTTACGTCTTAGTCAGTGTGCGAGTGAGTGTTGTTGTTGTTGTTGTTTAAATTTTCGTGTGTGAGATGATTCGCCACAGCGCACGACTCTTGATGTTGTTATTGTAGGAAATTATTTTGTTACTTTTTCTCACTAATTCTTACTCCTTAAAATGGCCAAACAATTTTGATTATTTGCATCAACAGAGAGAGACAACATTAAAGACCAAACTTACGAGATGGTAAATACATTTATAGGCAGTATCGTCGACATCAAAAAACAATCCCAATGACTAATCGTCATGTGTTCAATGACCCTAAAGTTTCGAATAGACTCGTCTAAATAGCCTGTTTCAAACTAACTTTTTATTTTTCATCACTGGCAAATTCTGTGTTTAATTTAATTGTCTGTCACAATTTTTTATCCCACTTGTTTGATTCTACGCCCCCTTTTTATTTTTAATTTTTTTTTTCTATTCTTCCCTGTCTTCCCTTTGTTTTTGTGAATGGTACACGCGATATCTCAACTGGTACAGTTTGAATCAATCAATTTTGTAAGCTTATGTAAGGTGGGACGCCATTTAAATTGATTGATTTTGTTACTTGGACTCTTTATTTTTAATTTTGGAGTAAATGTAGATTAAGCCTTGCCTTGGAAAGAAAGAATAAAAAAAAAAGTTCTGATGACCACCATTTAATTAGACATCTCAAAAGTGTATAATTCTGATAGATGGATGGTTTTTATTTGTGTTGTCCTTGGGGGAGAGAACTAAAGATGTTCTTATTTTTAGCAATGATTACATAATATCCACCTGTGTAGTATTAGATAAGTTAGTAGACAGTGTTACTTTTAATAGACTGTGTATTATCCTATGAAAAGTGTTTATCAAATGTGAAGACCAAACACTTTAATGGTGTCATTTGGCACTATTCGGCAGGTGTTTACACTTACAAATGATTTTTGTTCTCTTGAACATTAGGATCAATGACTGGATCAAATGTGTGGCACTACCCTATTAAATATAATTTAAGAATTCCTTTTCCCCCACTTTAGATTTTATCTCTTATCAATAATAGCAACTAATTATATTTAAACAAAAGTAACGTTGCAATCAGAAAGAAAGAACGAAAGAAAAGAAAAGAAAAGAAAAAAAAAACAATGCATAATACTCACCCCCTTCAGTTTGTAATGTACTTAGCACGTGGAATAATTGTTCTTGGTTTGTTGATTCGTGCTTTTATGAGGATATCTATCAGAACACTGGCGTGTGCAAGATTATCTGTGATAGAGATGTTATCGCGGTGCTTCGGACATGAACATGCGACGCACACTTTTACCAGCATTATTTCCGAGAATAAAAAAGAGTATCCCAACGTTTAATTATAAATAATTTCCATCATATTCTATTACAGTTCCTATTACCCGCAAATCTTAAAAAGTAGTTACCCCCTTAAAATGTGAACAGAGAAGAAGAATTGTATCAAAAAGAAACGTAAAGTAATATGGATTAATGCAAAATAACGTATCCGATAACCAGATAAAAAAAATATGAACTAATTTTCAAGTTCTAGACGTGCTGATTGATACATGAAAAAGATAACCTTTCACTAAACGAGGCTGATAATTTGTACGATGATAGGTAGTAAGTAACTTGAATTGATGAACAAAAAAAAAAGAGATTCTAGTACAGGGAAAGCATACATGTTTGGTACAGCTGTGAAACAGATTTCTAATACAAGGTCATACCCATCTGATGGATGGGCTAAAAATCATCAAACATAAGGCAATTGCGCATGTTTTAAAAAAAGTAGAGCCAACAAATATTTATCGCCGTATAAATATTTCTTTTCTCTTCATACTCTCTGTCTTTGCTTTCGCCCAATGGAACCATTAATTTAATCGCGGCAATAAGTGTATTCTATAAATTACATAATGAAAAAAAAATTCCTGCTTTGTTTGTTCCCGATTTTTTCCATCATTTGAATTGACACATGAATAATAATCCAATAATTATCATTCAATCAATAGCATTCAATCAATCAATGGTATTTAAACAAAAAAAAAGTGGAGTAAATCAAACTAAAAAAAGAAAAGAAAATACAAAATTGCGTTCAAACTTAATTGGCAGTATATGGGGTTAATATCCCATATATCCTTGTTTATTATTACTAGATTAAGAGATAAAGGCTCATAAATTTAAACACATTGTAGAAAACTCAGAGAGAGAGAAAAGTAGCCCATCCTGCACAATTTTGAAACAGTGCACTACCTTGTTTATGTGCAGTACTTTGTTAGTACTTCGCTATCTTTTATCAAAAAAAAAAAAAAAATAAGATGAAAATTTTTCAATTGGGTGAAAAAAGAAAAAAAGCTTCAACTTTCACTCTATATTAACATTCAATCACTCTCACTCTCACTCTCACTCTCACTCTCACTCTCACTCACACATAGAAAAATAAAAAAAAAATTTGGTGATTCAAAGATAACCAAAAAAAAAAAATTTTTCTTTCTTCTCTTTCTCTTCCTTTGAATTTTGATTAAATCCTATCCGTTCATTTGATTTAGAAAAAGTTTTCATTCTTTCAAAATCATACTGCGTGTGTTACCAGAAGAATCGTTATCAGAAGTTCAGAAATCATGTCTATGAGTGATATTCAACATCGTCCTCAACCAACTACATCTGGTACTGCAGATACTCCTGCCCCTACTGCAACATCAACAACAACATCTGTTTCAGCAACATCTAATGGTGCTCATGTTGCAAGATCTTCTACTCCTCCAATTCACCCACTTAGTAAACATGAAGTTGTTGAACAGAAACAGAAACCAACTGTCAATCCAATTCCTCAACCTCAACCTCAACAGTTGCCTACTCCTCCAGTAAAGATTACTGCCAAAGAATCACCTGCAGCACCTGCAACATCAACTAGTAATACTACCAGTGCAAGTGCAAGTGCAAGTGCAACTACAGCCACTTCAAAGATAAATATATCTGGACCAATCTGTGGGAACTGTCAAACACAAACTACACCATTATGGAGAAGAGATGAAACTGGTCAAGTCTTGTGTAATGCTTGTGGATTGTTTTTGAAATTACATGGTCGCCCAAGACCAATCAGCTTGAAAACTGATACTATCAAATCTAGAAATAGAGTAAAACAAAATGGAACCAACCTGTCAAGTAAATCCTCGGGTCCTAATACACCAGAATTAAAGTCAAAGGATAAGAGCAGTAAAAAATCTCCAAAACTGAAGAAAAAATCAAACATGAATGGATCTAATAGTAATAATACTAATGCATCTTCTTCATCATCATCATCTTCTTCTTCTTCTTCCGATAATAATAATAACAACAACAACAACAGCAACAACTCACATAATGTTACTACATTGACTCCATTATTACCTGCCACTGCAAACAACACTCCTTCTGTGTTCAAGAATAATTTAGGTCAATCATTACATAACCATCATCATTTGCCTAATCATGTATTACAAACACATCAAGTTCCATTACATTATCCTTCTTCTACTCCAACTCAATTTGCTCCTGGTTTACAAAGAATCACTTCTCCATTGTTGTTGTCTACATCTTCAGCAGTTAGAAATGAGCCAAGTGATCGTAAATTGACTCCAATGCAAGCAGCTGCTGGAGCATTAGAAAACATGTCTAATGAATTGGGTCCAAGTGCAACTTTTAAGAAAGGTACTAATGTCAATGGAGTTTCTTTGATGAATTCTGGAAAGAAAGATGTCAATTCAAGTAATGGATCTTCTTCTATCTTCTCAAGTGTTGCTCCTCCAACTGTACGAAAATTGCCACCTATTGGATCAACGATTGGTTCTCCTTCATCCTCAAGTTCAATTGTTTCTCAACCATATAGTAGATCTTCGACTCCTTTGCAATCATTACCTCCATTACACAAGATGGCCTCGGCTGATTCTTCATTACCTTCTATTCAAAACATTTCAAGTTTTTCACAAGGTGGTTCTAACAATGATAGTAATAATCAACCACTTGACAAATCATCAAATGAATCAAATAAAGATGGAAGTAACGCCAGTAACAATAATAGCAGTAATAATAATAATAACAACAACAACAACAACAACAACAATTCAACAAATTTCAATGTTAATGCTCATGAAGTTACTTTATTAAAGACAAGAATATCCGAATTAGAATTGGTTAATGATTTGTACAGAACTAGAATCATGGAATTGGAAGCTATGGAACAAGCAGCTAGATTAAGAGAAAATTCAATGAAGAAACGATTAGAAGAAGTTATGTCATTACAATCAAGTTATCAACAAATTACAAATGGTCTAAGTTCATCTCATTTGCAACAACAACAGCAACAACAACAGCAACAACAACAGCAACAACAACAATCAATGCAACCACTTTCTACATCAGTACATCCTCCTCCTCAACAACAACAATATCAAGCACCTCAACCTCCTTCTCAACAACAAAGTAGTTCAAATCCAATACAGGAAAATAATTCTGTTAAACTAGAACAACAACAAAGTACTGTATTACCACCAATTCAAACTAATGAATCAGTTGTATTACCACCTTTAAAACGAGATCATGATGAAGAAATTAATGATAACAATAAAAAACAAAAATTAACTTAACTTAACTTAACTTAACTTGATAATTAAATTATTTATTATTTGAATTTTTATATTTATTTTTACAGATTCTTTTCTTTTTTTTTTTTTTTTTTTTTGTCAGAATGAAATTATACGCATATACATGATGTTGAGTGTGTTTATTTTAATTAACGTGTACTGATTTCTTGTAATATTTATTTGATTCATGGATTTCGGCTTTTGTTTCACTTGTTTGGTTGCATGTATTTAGATGGTAATAGTTTAATACTAGTTCAATACATATATATGTATATTAAAGATAAAGATTTAGAAGAATACAATCAAGTAGAATTAATCAATTATATATATGTGTCCATGTAAATTATACTAAAACGACTTTCAAGAAAATAAACTGTCTAAGTACGAACATCTGGTTCTTCTTTACCCAAGAATTGTTTAAATTTCAACAATTCTAAAATAAATTTAATATCATTAGCGAAAAATTCATCAACTTTAGTTTGATAGCTTGATTTATCATCACTATGTTTTTCCAAATATAATCTAACGGTAGCTCCTGAAGATCCAGTACCTGATAATCTAACAATAAATCTCAATCCATTAGTAAATTTAATAAATAATCCTTGATTTGGTGAAACACTTCCATCTAAATCAGTATAAGAGAAATTAGCAGCTTCTTTAATAACATAACCTGGAGCTAATTCTTCACCTGGTTTCTTAGAATCAACAATTGATGCCAACAAATCCATCAATTCATTGGCTCCTTCACTTGAAACATTTTCATAATCATATCTAGTGAAAAATGTTCTACCGTATTTTTCCCAGAATTTATTTTGAACAATTTCAATAGATGTTTTGGATTCTGGATTCTTTTGATTGAAATCAGCTAAAACATTCAACCATGCAACAATGGCCCATAACCCATCTTTTTCTCTAATGTGATTAGACCCAGTACCAAATGATTCTTCACCACAGATACTCAATTTCTTAGCATCAAACAATGAACAGAAGAATTTCCAACCGGTTGGAACTTCATAACATTGTAAACCTTTATTCTTGGCAACCAAGTCAATGGCACCTGATGTTGGCATGGATCTAGCTAAACCATAGATACCTTGTTTTTTGAAATATGGAATAGAATCAGCATATTCGGAAATAATGGCAACAGAATCACCAGGAGATACAAAAGTACCAGCACCATAAATCATATTTCTATCACCATCACCATCAGAAGCTGCACCAAAAGAAATGTTTTCCTTATCAACTCTTTCAACCAAAGTATGGGCATAAGTCAAGTTTGGATCTGGATGCAAACCACCGAAATCTGGCAATGGTTTAAAATTTTGAATAGATGATTCAGGCAATCCCAATTGGTTAACAAAAATTTCATAACCATAAGGACCAGTGACACCATTCAAGGCATCAAATAAAACTTTGAAATCTTGTTCTTTAGTAGCTTTGGTAATAAAAGATTTAATCAATGGGAAATCAAAAATAGATTTCAACATATCAACATAATCTTTAGTGGAATCAATAATTTCAACTTCAATTGGACCAACAGTGACAGTACCAATCTTGGAAAGATCAACTTCTGGTAAATCAATGAGTTTGTAATTGGTCAATTGCTTAGAAACTTCGAAAATCTTATTGGTGACGGATTCAGGGGCTGGACCACCATTACTCAAGTTATATTTGATACCCAAATCATTGGCTGGACCACCTGGGTTGTGACTAGCAGTTAAAATGATACCACCGGTGGCTTCTCTAATTCTGATAACATGAGAAGTGGCTGGGGTGGACAAGATCCCGTTTTGACCAAGAATCAATTTCTTGACTCCATTGGCAGCAGCAATCTTGGTGATCAATTGAATGACAACATCATTGTAGTATCTACCATCACCACCAACAACTAAAGTGGCATCTTTGGCACCTTCTGGAATGGCATCCAAAATTGATTGAATGAAATTTTCAGTGTAGTGGGGTTGCTTGAAAACAGTGACTTTTTTTCTTAAACCGGAAGTACCTGGTTTTTGGTCTGTGAAAGGTTTAGTTTCAATTGTTTTAATTGACAAATCGGACATGATGAAGATGATGAGGAGGAGATTAAAATAATCAATTGATAATGAATAGTTTCTAAAAAGAAAAAGAAGAAGCAAATCAAATCAAATCTAGGAAACGGAATAGGTGAAACAACAAAAAAAAATTTGGTTGTAAATTTCAATTTATATTTATATTGAATTTTTTTTTTTTTCTTCTGTTGATTTTCTTACCACCGGAGTGTGTGTCTCTCTCTCTCTCTCTGTGTGTGTGTATCTTTGTTGAAGTGCAATCAAAGTTGAGTATTAGTAGTACGTGCGGTGTGCAAATTAGAATGACCTTCTTTACTGTATTACTAACCAGGTAGCGAGACAAAAAAAAAAAAAATTCCGGTCGAATCAGAACGACGCACAATCCACTAAACCACTAAGCACACACACACATACACACACATACACAGTAGAAACTAATTTCGGATTTGTTAGTTTCTTTGGGCATTAAATCGATTCAGTAATTAATAACCTATCATTTGGTTTCTTTTTCGATTGTTCTCGTACGGATCAAGTGGGGGGAGGAGACAATTATTCCGATATTACCAGGTGTCAATTACATAAACTGCCACCATCATCTAGTATTCACTCACATATACACACTTCTACACACTTACAATTGATGAGTCTCAACAATAAATTGAAAAATAAATTAAATTAATTTTATTTTATTTTATTTTTCATTCCATTATAAAGGGGTCACACAAAATACTTGTATCAGAAAAAGAATAATGTGTTCACCCCACTTTTTAAGACGACCTATGGGGGAGATAGTGATAATTTTAGAGAGAAGGGCATGTACACAGAACCAAAATAAATTAAATTAAATTAAATTAAACCTATGGAAATCATCAATCCATTGATTTCTCCTCCGTTCATCCCCTCCCCTTTTTTTTTTGTTGTTGTTGTTGCATTGAGCGGAACAATTTTTTTGCAAGCACACACACATCACCAGATGAATTTCATGCAATATCTAATGATAATCTTCCATAAAAATTTAAACCTTGTTCTTTTTCTTTAAACTAAACAACTACTGGATTTTTTTTTTTCCTTGTTTTGTTTTCGAAAAATAATTGTAACAAATCGTCAATTCTTTATTTTGCATTGTATAAAAGAAACAATAAAAAAAAATTTAATCTTATCACTAACACATGGTAGCATGGATTAGTATCTTCTTTTTCAATTGACATAAACTTTAAACTAATGGAATTTTTGTGATTATCAATGCTGTTCAAATATTATTCTTTGTCAGTATATAATCATTTAACTATTAGGTTTTATACCTTTGGATATTCCCATGCAAAATACTGGATAATGGGGGTTGGTTAGTCTCGATGCTGTAACCATTGTGAATTTGTTTCTCTAATATATATATATATATATATCTCTGAAAAATGTTCCTAATTGCAATAGGATTGATATACTCACAGTAGGTAGTTGTAATATGGATTTTGAAGAGGAAGATACTTATCTGTATTTAAAAGTTTCAGATAATGATAGTTTACAAGAATCAATTGCCGAAAGAATTGAAGATGCGGTTTCAAAAATAAAATACAACGACAACTATATTGAAATTGAATTGAAATTTGGTAGAATTATAAGCAATAAGACTCGAAAACAAAAGAATTCAATTTGATGATGATAATGATGAATCATTTATTGTTCAAGCTAAAAATTTTGATTATTTTGATTCAAATATTGGAAGGCGTCATTGGAGAAAGATTAATAATTATGTTAGAAATGATTTTGGATCAGACTACATTTTGATGAAATCAAACTAGGATTCATTATATGCACGTCTCGTAGACTATCGTTACTCATGATTATTTTAATCCTGAGAAACTTGTCAAAAGAAGAACGTAATTGATGATATTTTTATCCATAATCCATATGGTGCCGTTTGACTTTAGAATTACAATTTCAGAAAAAGTATTTCGTGGGAAAAGAGCTAAAAGAACAGCTAAACGCAAAGGAACTCTTGTACTTACTAGAGAGAAGGAAACAAATGTTTGGTGTGATTCACCAAATGGTACAGAATTTAAATCGAGTACTGTAATTGACTCATCTGTAGATGAGCCAAATAGATATGAATTTGAAATTGAATTGGATATTGAATCTGTAGTTGATGATATCCGTGATAGAGAAGATCCATATTATTATGATATTGAAGAATTTATAAACAATTTGATTCTTGAAGCAGATTCTATTAATGATGAAATTAGTTGAATTTTTGAAATTCCCAGTTGGTTGTTCCTGATTATGGACAAGATATACGTTTATGTGGTTGTTTTTCTGATTTAAAGCATTAATAAAAGTTAACTAATCCCACTATTTTGTCAATAACACTTTATAGCTTTGATAGTTTCTTTAAACTATACCAATAAGTACTAGATATACTTTTGGGTAGATAAATTAGACCACTGTTGTATGATAGTTACTTGATCCAATACATATCGAAGATTATACAACGCTTAGATTTCAATTTGACGAGTTAAGTCAATGGAGATAAATGAATGTATTCAGGACCTGTAATTCAAAATTAAGAAATTCTTAATGATTGGAATATGTTTATAAAAGCAATCTGGAGGTTAAGCAAATAATCCCAAAGTATAAACCCTAAGGCAATGAGATTAGATTAATCCGATTTGTGTTAAACTAAAGTTCCTTCACATTTAACATCATGATTTGGGTAAGTTGAATTACAAATATGGGCAATCGCCATGTTAGATTTGACTTAGTTGGATAATAATTACAAACTGGAGAATATTATCAAGGAGGTTTCATAAGGGAATTTTCATAGGTTTACCAGAAAAAGTATAATGAAATCTAATATTGGGTGATACTATTTCATGTGTTGATGTTTGGATGCTGGGTAAAAACAAAAACTATAAAAGGATCAACAAGTTTCTCAACTTTTTTTAGGAAAAAGTTAAGAAAAGCAATATATTGAGAACGTTTATGAAGATATCAGGTGAATTTTTAAACCCGTACGGTAAAACTTTGTAAGCATGATATCCTAGTGTGCGTGTTACATGCCGTCTAATTTACATTACTAACTACGTACTCATCTAGCAATTTCATATTTATTAGTATCTTCAGAATATACAATTTTGATTTATTTTAGAAAGTTGATTGTAAATTGAAAAGCCAATTCGTCATGGTTTGTCTTCTTAGCTCTTACATAGTATGATATCTCTTACTACTAGGCTATATCAAGTCCGACTATTACAAATAATTGTGGACAAATTATAATGTAAGTCTGGTGGGCGATACTGTATGTACAAATCAAACAGACGAGCGATAAATCATACACCAATTCATTAGGTCTATCGTCGTCATCATTATAATACTACTACCACTTGGGTGACATTTTCCATGTTACTCTACGTAGACCGATCTCGCTTGGTTAATTTAATCACATGTTGTTGGTGTGGTTTTTGAGTCATTAAACACGACCTAGTATTATAATTACAATAGTATAAAAGGAGAACCGATTGCTCAGAATTTACCAAAATTATTAAAATTTTATCTTCACCGCTGAAAAGTTGAAGGAGCGTTACAGAGTCCGAAAGGCATAGCTACCCATTGATAAATGCCGCGTGTTTTATTACTAACTTTGTTTAATTCTGTGGCATCAAGTTTATTCTATAAATATACATTGATTTTATTATTAGTATTATATTATTTTGAGTATGATTTTTGTTAATGTAGATTTATTCATAGTATGAGAGTTGCTATACTTATAAACGTCTGATTGATATAGTTTATCAGGTTCGTTAATCAGAGTGTATCTTACACGTGTGAATAAACAGAGAGATGTTATTGTTTGGAGTAAAATCAATTTCTCATACAAGTGTGCATAACTCCTCGTTGATCAGTCGCAGAGTATAAATAGTCGTGCGAATTCCTTCTTCTTCCATTTTTTCATTCCGTTTTATTTTTTTCTTTCCATAAGCGTGGTATTCCATTTGAGAAATGTTTTTTTTGGGAATCTAACTGCCTTTGCGTTAATGTTCTGTTTTACTAACATTTAATCATTATAATCTAGCAACTATATATCAAGTTAAATACATATCTTTATATTTATAACTAATTGATTGATAAACTGTAGAGTATATTTTCTCATTAATGGTCACAAGATCACACAACTGCCATTATGTATTTTCGTGTATTTCATCAGATAAAAATCATGTTCATTTCACAAGGCATCAGAGAAAGTGCTCCAAAAAAAAAAATTCTTGATCATCAACCAAGGAATAAATCTGGTACATGTTTTCTTTAGGAAATTAATCAGTATCATTTATTGGTTATTCACAATGGACGAATCACTCATTAAAAAGACCGCTGGTTTATCCCTTGACGATGAACCTGTCATCGTTGAATATCCTACTCCCAGAACTGTATCTACAACCAAGAAAGTAAAGAGTGCCAAAACAAAGAAAGAAAAAACCAAAAGGAAAAAGGAAAAGAAGAAAGGGAAGTGGAAGTGGAAGAAACAGAATATAAAAAGATCCGAATTCCAAGGTGTTGCTCTTGATCCAACCCTTGTTGGTAAGATTTTAGATAAGATTGAAACAGCCGTACAAAGACTGGCGAAAAAGAATCAAGTTGAAATTGAAATAAAATTTGGTAAAATGATGGGAAGAAATTCAGAAGCAAGATTAGCCCTTGGCGGTAAACCACGTCCAAGAATAATTCATAAATTAGCATTTGGCCATTTTGATTCTGATATTGGACTTCATCATTTCAGAAAAGTTTGTAAATCAATTGAAGAATCCCAGGGTCCTGATCCTACTTTCGTTGATTCAAGAAGAAAAGATACTTATCATGCAACAAAAACACAAATGTTTGTTAATTCTAAGAATTTGAAAGACTCAACTGAAATTTGCTATAAAAAGAGAATTCTTGGTGATTTCTACATATACAACCCAACGGGCGAATTTGATTTCAAATTTTTAATCTCAGAGAGAATTATCAAGAACGAAGAAGAATCAGAACGTATCAAGACATACCGTCGTTTGTTTACCAGACTGAAAAGAAGAAGAAACTGGTATGAAACAAGCACTGGGAATGTGCTTTCCACTTCTATTATTAAACTAGATCCTGCAGTGAGAAATCACCGTTATGAATTCGAAATGAGAGTTGATTCCCAACCAATTGTGTTATCAGCTTTACATGGTTTGGGAGATGGGTTTTACCAAGATTTCCATAGTAAACTTCTTGGTGTTTTGTATACAGCAGATGAAATTAATGAGAGTTTATAGTTTGTATAGACAATTAATAAATGATTACCACGAGAGAGAATGTTTCACATCAATTTATTAATATATTCTATCTCCACACATTTGATGTTTATTAGCATTTTGAATTTTTACATTTTTTTTGATAAACAAATGTATGTAACATTTTTCATCATATTTCTTCACCTTCCTTGGTTCTATGTAGACGACTTCATATTGCCATCTAAACTAAGTGGATTCTAGATCAACTACCTATCATCTTATTTGTATCAAATTAAATGTGGTAGTCTTCTGGTATTCTATCTCATAATATTTAGTCTGAAATATTTACAAAATTATTATGGAAAAGTTGCAAAAATTTGCACCGAAACAAGAGTAAAAAGTGCTGAAAATTTCAAGTTGTCTTATGCACCAATTGTTCTCAATGAAGGACACACCAATATTGAAACAGCTTACAATGATTATCTCTTACTGAGTTATAATCAATTGAGTTATTTGATTTCTTATCCTTTCTTTTGTAAGTTTCACGTGACATACATGCGCGTGTTGCATTTTCCATTTTCCTTTTTTCTCGAGAATTTTTTTTTTTTTTGGGAAACTGAAAAATCGTCAAAACAATTGTTCTTTACAATAATCCAACAAACTTGAATCAATTTTGAACTTTTTCTTTTCTTTACTTCTTCATAAATACAACATTATGATTTATTACATTATAGCTTTTCTTATAGCTATTATTTCACTCATATATGGATTTGTTATCCTATTTAGTCATAAACCAAGATTACCGGAACCAAGTGAATCGTTATATTTAACTAATGATGAATCCAGAGATCAATTATATGATTTGCCTCCGAGAATCACACCAGATAGTGTTTTCAAATATCAAGGGATTGATATTAGTTTAATTATTCCAAGTTTTAATGAAGCCAAAAGAATAACCAAAATGTTGGATGAAGCAATTGCATATCTCGAAGAAAATCATTCTGGGAAATATGAAATTATAATTGTTGACGATCAATCTAGTGATGCAACAGTAAAAGTTGCTTTAGATAAAGCAGATGAATATAAATTATCCCCACATATTATGAGAATTATTACATTAAGTAAAAATAGAGGTAAAGGAGGAGCAGTTACTCATGGATTATTACATTCCCGTGGTAAATATTCATTATTTGCTGATGCTGATGGTGCTACTCTGTTTCCCGATGTTAAAAACTTACTTACATATATTGAATCTTGTAAACATGCAACCATTGCTATTGGTTCTCGTGCACATATGGTTAACACTGATGCTGTTGTTAAAAGATCATTTATTAGAAATTTTTTAATGTATGGACTTCATACTTTGGTGTTTATTTTTGGAATTAGAGATGTTCAAGATACTCAATGTGGATTTAAGATGTTTAATTTTGAAGCAGTTCAGAATATTTTCCCTCATATGCATACTGAACGATGGATCTTTGATGTTGAAGTTTTATTATTGGGAGAAATTCAAAAAATGAATTTGAAAGAAATTGCCGTTAATTGGACTGAAATTGACGGTTCTAAAGTTGATTTAGCTAGAGATTCTATTGCTATGGCTATTGATTTGGTTGTTACTCGTTTGGCCTATCTTTTAGGAGTATATAAATTGGATCAATGTGGTAGAGAAACTAAAAAGAACCAATAAGTTATAGAATTTATAGATATAATGACTTTCCCTCAAGATGAATAAAGACATATTCCAATATATTTTTATTTTACAAACAGTTTGGCCAATGGCAAGTATCCATGGGTAAATGGTGGCTGAAAATTTTACACCACGACGGACAAATGTTAACTACTTGCGTGAGCGTATATACTATAAGCCCAAACAGGGAAATCTTCACATTGTTCAACAAGCAGGTATGAGTTGTCAATGTCTCATACCACCAATCAATATCATGAGATCCAATCCAATCTAAAATAAAGATGTTAAACTAAAAAAACATCTCAAATCTCTCCGGCGGTTCATTCAATCTCTCTCGCACAAAGAAACAAACGAAAAAAAAAAAATAATCAAGAGGGAAAAATTTCTACTCAAATATTTTGGAACACTTTTTTCTTTGGTCTTTTTTTTTTTATTAACCTATTTTCAAAATTCAATTCAACAATTAAATACAATCATGTATGTGGAACTTCCATTTGATGAGATTAAAGTAAATCCCATAAAGAAAAGAGTAGCTTATTTCTATGATCAAGATGTTGGGAATTATTTCTATGGTACAGGACATTGTATGAAACCACATAGAATAAGAATGGCTCATTCATTAATTATGAATTATGAATTAGATAAAAAAATGGAAATTTATCGAGCTCAACCAGCTACTAATTTAGAAATGACACAGTTTCATACTGATGAATATATTGATTTTATTGATAGAGTTTCACCTGATAATTTACATCTTTTTCAACGTGAACAAGTTATATTTAATGTTGGTGATGATTGTCCTGTTTTTGATGGATTAGGTGAATTTTGTAAAATTTCATGTGGTGGATCTATGGAAGGGGCAGCAAGGTTAAACAACGGTCTGGCTGATATTGCCATTAATTATGCTGGTGGTTTACATCATGCTAAGAAATCAGAAGCAAGTGGATTTTGTTATACTAATGATATTGTATTGGCAATTATTGAGTTATTAAGATATCATCCAAGAGTATTGTATATTGATATTGATGTTCATCATGGTGATGGGGTTGAAGAAGCCTTTTATACAAATGACAGAGTTATGACATGTTCGTTTCATAAATATGGTGAATTTTTCCCCGGAACTGGTAATTTGAATGATATTGGTATAGGAAATGGGAAATATCATTCTGTCAATGTCCCATTAAGAGATGGGATTGATGATGCTACTTATAAATCTGTATTTGAACCTGTTATTAGTAAAATCATGGAATGGTATCAACCATCTGCTATTGTTTTACAATGTGGTGGTGATTCATTAAGTGGTGATAGATTAGGTCCATTTAATTTATCTATGAGAGGTCATGCCAACTGTGTCAATTTTGTTAGATCATTCAATGTTCCATTCATGGTTGTTGGTGGTGGTGGATATACCATTAGAAATGTTGCTCGTACATGGGCATTTGAAACTGGTATTTGTAATGGGGTGATATTACCTAAAGAATTACCATATAATGGATATTATGAATATTATGCCCCAACTTATGAATTAGATGTTCGATCGTCAAATATGAATAACGCAAATTCAAAAGAATATCTAGATAAAATACTTACACAATTGATTTCCAATCTTGATCATACTAAACATGCCCCATCGGTACAGATGAATGAAGTCCCACGTGATCCCGAAGATTGGGGTGATATTGAAGAAGATACACCAATGGCAATAGATACAAAAGGTGGATCACAAATGGCTAGAGATAAAATGATACAAGGTGAGAATGAATTTTATGACGATGATGAGAAAGACCGCGGTGAAAAAAATATTGAAGAAAATGGGAAGTCCAATGGAAATGTAAATGGGAATACTAATGGAATATTAACAGATCAAGAACAAGCCGAAATATCTGAATTAAATAACGAGTCCTGATCTTCGATAAAAAATCAAAAAACAAAATAGGAAAACTCTTTTGTATGTCTATGTAATTAGAATTGTAAGTATTGTGATTGTTAGATGATTAAGTAATATTAATACCCTGAATAATAAAGATAATTCTCTATGTAAAGCAATTCTCAAATGATAGCAAGATTATTTTAAAGTGTACACTATTTTCTTTGCGGAAAAAGAAATAGAGTTTTTCCAATCAACCATTTCCCCGTTTAATTGTTAATATGAACCCTACTATTCCCACAATTTAATGACTTGGTATTTAACATCTACTACAGTTTAGAAACAATATACAAACTGCAAAAGTTTTTTTTTTGTCGTTGTGAGTGTGTAACATCACGGTAGAGACACGACAGTTACGACTATACACACCAGAGTGAAAATTATTCACGAAAGTCAAAGTATAATAATAAGAATAATACAATTCTGAGTCAAAAATTAAAAATTGGAATTATCGATCCACTATGATAATAAAGAGTATTTAATTAAATAAAGTAAACAATTCATTTTTTGATTTTTTTTTTCATTACCAGTGATTATTATTTTAATTGTGGTAATTTTGATTTGAATATTGTTTCTTTTTCTTGTACACGGTATAGAGAAGTTTTTCAACTTGAATGATTATTATATTTAGTTGTAATTCAGTAAAGGTTACACGGGCGTATGACATATTTGGCAATTGTAATTGATTTTGTGAATTCAGAAGTTGATAGACGGCAAAGATATACATAGTTAACGAATTGGTCTGGAATCGTTAATTTGTATTTGACAAATATTATTTGAATGACGAGAAATAATACATAAAGAAGAAAAAATAAATTAACCAAACTGTTGTGATTCGTTAATAAAACACGTTTATTCTAGTATTGTTATTTGATTGGTTTACCCAAGAAAGTGACTATGTAAGAAAGGAACAATTGGTTGATTAATGAGATTACAGTTGCACATTGTAATGAATTACCAAAGTCAATCATGTAAATCAGATCAACATGAACGGTTAAATTATCTTCTCTTACTTTATTACTGTGGTTGATGAAAAATTGTTATTATTAGTTTAAAAGTTGATTTTAAAATCTACGACAAATAAAAAAGTAATGAATGCCACATCGAGTAAGAAAAATTCCTAATTCGGATTAGTGAGACGTTGCATAAACAACACAAAAACTGCTCATGATTATAATAAAGAAAATCATAACCTTAAATGGGAAGCGGGTTTGCGTGTACTTGTGTACAAAAAAAATTACTACTAAGAATATAAACAATCCATACAAAATCTTCAATTAGTCGATCAAAAACTTTATTGCCAGGAAAGTTAAAAGATAATAGTTTCTTTGGTTTGTTGGTTTGTTACTTGTTTTAATTAGCGAATACACGATGTGATTATATTGGTTGAAATAAAGTAATCTAAGCTGGTTTATTTTTCACGTGACACATTTCTTTGTGCGTGTGAGTGACTAAAAAAATTGGTTCCAAAAAGAGGCGTGCACTTTAGGCTAATAAATAACCTAAAAATTATACATAACAAGAAAATGGTAGCAAAATAATTATACATTTCTTTTGTTTTTTTCTTCTTTTTATTTACTTTGAGTTTATTTAGCTTTATTATGGATTGTAATAAAGATATAATTTTTTTCTTCTTGTTCATTTTCACTTCCATTTAATACTTCATTGGTTAGTTTTTAGATTCTAAACAATTGATTTTGTTTTTTTTGGATTTATACTACCACAATCAAATACGGTAAATGTATATAATAATCACCAATTCCCTTTAATTCTTAAATTTAAAACATGTTTATGTTTATGTTTTGTTTATTTTTACATCATATATCATCCCCATCTATAAATTCAATTATCAAGAAACTACAGTTCATTTCATCTTGAACACTACATTCGTTTAAATCAATCAACAAAATCCTAACCCTTAGTCTTTCTTTTTTTTTACTTATTAATTATACCCACTTTCAAATAATCACATATTACATTGATTAAACTATTAATTGAATTATCACCAAAAAAATATAAATAAATCAAAAGATGTTGTTCAAGAGATTAATTTTACCATTTTTAGTTTCTGCGGTTATTGCTGAAGAAGAATACAACCCAGAATTTGATACTACCATTATCAGTACTATTACAATTACTAGAACTTTGTATACACCAGAAGAATCCTTTAGTTTACTTTCAGTTGCTTCAGTTGAATCTGAATTATCAGTTGCTTCTGAAGCTTCTGTAGCTTCAGTTATTGCTGCTTCTATAGCTTCCGAAAGTTCAGCCAGTGTTGCTAGTATTGCAAGTGTTGAATCTGAATTGGCTCTTGCTAGAGCCACTGAAATTAAAGAAGTTCTTGAATTTGGTTATAATAATACTATTTCAAATTCAACTTTTGAAAATTCTTCAAGTACTGTTATTACTACAACTTCTACTTCAACGAGATCTGGTCCAATTACTTCAACTAGACGTACTTCAACTACTCGTAGTTCAGTATCTACATCTTCTGTGGAATCAACTGAATCTTTATCAAGTTCAGTTTCTTCTCAAGGTGGTGCAATGGGTACTTATTCTTATCCAATGTTATCTGCTGGTATTCTTGCTTTTATTGCTGCTTTATTATAAGCCTGACAACGGCAACAACTCCCCAGCATCACAACAGAAAGGTATATGAGAGAAAACAATGGGAAAGATTTATTTTTACCATCGATTCTGGTTTTTATAGTGTGAAGCAACGATACCCATGATATTTGTGTTATTGTAAGTCATTCAAAAAGAAAAAGAAAATTTTCCCCATTTATATATTATCCTTTTGTTTTGTTTTAATTCCTAGAGTTTCTTTCACCTTGTTTGTATTTTATATCTCTACTTTTTTTTTTGTATGTGTTGATTCGTTTCATCCGTTTGTACTATTTGGAAAAAAATAATATATTAATTTCTATTATCTCAATTAAATCATATATATATATATATATATATATTACTGCTATTACTTGTACATCTATGTTCTATTACCGTTCATATCATTTAAATATTTTTCCCTTTCAAGTACATAATATTCTCTTTCGGAAAGACCTTTTGGGATTTTTGGTGGCACTTCAGGTTTATTAAATTCATTATAATCAACATCACTAACATCATCCCAATTATGTCTAACAGCTCTTTCAAAAATACTTGGTGAGAAACTTCCATTTCCAAGATATCCAGTTTCACTAGTTCTTAAATCAACTTTTAAATCATCTCGAGTAGCATTGCCATTATGTAATCTTTGAGATTTATTAAATTGCTCAGTTGGTGTAGGTGCATAATATTTCGGATCAATTTCATCTTGATTCATTTGAACAGCCGGTAAATCATCTGATGGGATACTTAATGATTTAACTTTTTGATCCAACATATAAACTTGAGTTGGCATAATATCAATTTCATCTTCATCTGCACCAATGGAATCAGCAGAAAATGGTATTGCTGTACTTTTGGAAAGATCTATATTAGATCGACTATTCATGGAATAACTTTCATTTTGGGCTGGTGGAGGTGGTTTTCTTCTAGGAGAACGTGATGACGATCCAGAAAAAGACCCAGATCCAGAACCAGATGCTGCTGCTGATTCTAATGGTTTTGGTGATCGAGTCTGTCTGGATGGTATAGATTGTGTAGATGCAATTAAATGGGGTGGTGGAGGTGGAGCTGATGTCGATTCAAATGCAAGTTTTGGTAAAGGCTTGTACAAATCATCATCAACAACCACATCATCATGTTGTTCAAGACTCTGAGATCTACTATGATGATTCATTTCTGATCCTGAAAGGTCACGTTGTAGTTGATCTAGATCATTTGATCCATAGTCACTCAATGGTGATACACTTCTTCTCATATTTAATGAACTGTAAACTTTTGGATGATCACTTCCTGGAGCTGCCATAGATTCATGGGCACCTTTCCAAAGTGTTGAAATTGGTTGTTTCGATTGGAATTTATCGGCAAATTTTGAAAACTTCAGGGAATATTTCTTATGACCTTTTGATTTTTCAGGACTAGTTGATTCACTAACAAATACTTGACGATCCGAATTGGTACTACTTGTTCCACTGATATGTCCAGTTTTTAAAAATCTCTTCAGAAACACCGAAGATGATTTACTTGTATTAGAAGACTCCAGAGTGACAAACACATCATCTGCAACACTATGTTTAGGTGAATTCTTAGTGGGATGGCTGACTTGTTTCCTTTCTGGCAGTACACTTGGAGATGCTGAAAATGGTGCTGTTGGTAAATCTTTATATTTTGACGGACTAGATGATCTGGTACTACTTCTCAACGGATCATAATCTGGTTCATTAATAACCACCACATTGTCATGATGAATGGGAATTTTTGGCGGTAAAACAGGTGCACTAGGATAAAATGTCATTTCAAGATAAAGTAATCCAGCTCTTCTTCCACCAAAACTTAAATCAAACCATTTATCATAAATATATTTTCCATCTTCTTTATTATCTGGTTCAGTGAAAACTACAGAAACATCGATTTCAGTACTTCCAATTGGTGTAGGATCACCTTTGGTTTCATCTAACACATCAATTTTTAAAATTGATTTCTTTTCTCTTGATAAATGAAATCTCATTTCACTTGTCCATTCAGGTGTTTGACCTGCTCTAAAATCAGCTTCTGTTTTTCTTGCTTCTGTTCCAATTCTGGCAACAACATAAGGGGATTGCTTATCAAGTTTACGTCTATTAGGTAAATGTTTGGCTTTAACTACCATTACCACTAGTGTCCCATCGGCTGAGACAGGATATTCATATTCTTCATAAACTTCATTGTTAAACAGAACAGTATTCGTTGTTGGTATATGTGAACTTGAATACGTTGACATAATTTTGTAGATATTGATAAATGATAATATAGACAAAAGAAAAAGGAAGGATGGGAAATTACGAATCAAGTATTATTAAATATTTTCTATAAATAAGTTTCCATTCTTTGTTAAAGTAAAAAAAAAAATGATTGAAAAATCTACAAACCCATTTCAATGTGGATTTCCATATTGTGTATTTTTTTTTAGTTAAATAACAATGCCAGGTCACGTGACTAAACATTGTTTACTAATGACCCCAATTAGGCATCACGCAAGATTCTTGATATTAATCTCGTAACAAAATCAAGGATTCATGAGGCAAGGATGAAAGTTAGTTTAAGTATAATTTGATTGGGATTATTACGATTGAATATAAGATATCGGTGTTGATTTGTTCATTGTTGTTGGGCGTTCAACAGACGAGATGATTAATTGTATTCATGCAGTTCCTACCAGAGATAACAATTACTCTTGTCGTAAATATCACAGCTTAAACGAACAGGGTTCACTCATTCTATAATGCTAATCATTAACAACTTCACACTTGACAGTGTCATGTAAACTGTTTTTGCAACACTATAAGCCATGTTCCTATAATTTCGTGATGGTGGTTGGTGAGTTGGTAAAATCGATTCATACACGACTGACTTATTTGTGTAACAATGAGGCTCTTCTTAGAAATTAGAATTTTTTTTTTTTGAAGTATTGAAAATTTTTAGAAGGGTTGAATTCTTCATTTCTTAAACTGTATCCTTGTTGATCTTGACAGCCACAGCCACGAAGAGAATTTTAATATAATGTCATTTAGAGGAGGTGGAAGAACAACTCAAAGAACCATTCTTCCGTTTGGTTTAGATTATGCTGATATTATATCATCTACACAAGAAACAGAAAAACCACAATTGTTATTACCTATAAATGGAGATGTTACTGAAGTTGAACAAATTATAGCAAAACAATCAATTAATTTCAGTAAAATTATGTCTGATGGACCATTTTTCACTGGGAATCTAGATTCTATTAATAATGATAAAAAATCATCAACTAAAAGTACAACAACAACAACTGCAACTTCATCAGATGGTATAGAACGATATTCTGATCGATATAAAAAAGTTCAAAAAATTGGACGTACTATTGAAGAACATCCTTATCAAACACAATTTTTCCCAGCTGAATTATATTCAGTTATGGGAATAAGTAATAAAGATAAGAAGAAAATATTAGCATTATCAAAATTTCATTCAAATGGTGGATTACGAGAATTTTTATCCAATGAACAAATTGAAAATATGGATGAAGAAGCAAAAGTTAAAGCTATGCAAGAAAGAATGCTTAATTTGGCTAATGCTGCTGATAATGACGATAATAAAGATGATGCTCATCATAGTGGAGACGAAGAAGAAGATATTGATGATGAATTTGAAGATGATGACGATGATGATTATAACGCTGAGAAATACTTTGATGATGGTGATGATGACGGTGGTGACGATGGTGGTGATGATGAAGCAGCATTTTAGTAAAGAGTTCTTGAAAAAGTTAATAATCTGCAGTTGTGTATATCAGTATAATAATAATGGTAAAAAAAAAAATTTCGTTATTAATATTTTTTTATATTATGTATTAACCTATGTAGAATGTGATCCAAAAAAATGTCTATAAATCAAATGTGAAACTAACTAATGCATTTCTTGATCCCGGAATTTTACCTAACCATCTTCCAAATTTATGTTCTTTACTTAATAAGACAAATACTTTTAGAGATTTAGTTCCAGGAACCTCAACTGCTTCAATTTTAACAACACATCCATTCAAGTTATGAACTTCACCAATTTGTTTAAATGAACGTAAACCTTCTCCTAATTGCCATATTTTCACGCTTCCACCAAATGACCCAGTTATAAAGAGATCAGTATATGGAATGGCATAGATTGCAGTTATCCAATATGGTAGTTGTTGAGGAACTTGTTGTAATGCGATTTCTTCAGATTTTTCCGAACTAGCTTCTGAAGGTTTATATTTTGGTTGTAATCCATGTGCTAATCTTTCAGTTGATAATGCTTTCTTTTTAGCCAAAGACCATAATGCTACGTTACCGTTATCTGAACCGGTAACAAAATGAGATTCATCAAGCATACTAACAACATCAATGGAACCTTCATTATGAAATGGGGTATCATCTTCATCTTGATTTGATTCATCTTCCGTTGTCTTCTTTTTCTTTCTTTTCTTTTCAATAGAATCACCACCTCTAAAAGTTAATCTTGATTCTTCAGCAATCTTCCAAAACATGGCGGTTTTATCTCTACTACCAACAGATACACAAGTTTCTCTAGCCAAAGCAGAAATATCAGCAATATTATCTTGATGACCATACAAAATTTCCAATTGAGTGAATTGATTAATTGAATAAGTTCTTATTCTTAAATCAGCACAAGCAGCAAATAATTGATCACTATTTCTTCTAAATGCAATTGAATTCACTGCTGCTCTGGTTTCTAATATTTTTAAACATGAAAGATCATCACTTGACCAAATAATCAATCTGGAATCAGACCCACCAGTAACAATATATTTTCCATCTGGTGATGCTGCTATACAATTAATTTGTTGCCAATGATGATTAGCATCTAGATTTGTTTGATCAATTTCAAAATATGATGATCCACCTTTAGTTGATTTTATTCTTTCTGGTTTCTTTTCTTTACTTATATCCCATTTAATGATTTGTATATCTTTGGAAACGGTGTATAGATATGGATAATGTGTAGTCATACTTGTTAAGTTTTTACTTCCAATTCTTGTAGTTATTATATCTAATGGATAATCAGGATCTAATTGAGAAGAAATCTTGTCACCATAGAATTTATAAACAAACCCTTTTGTTTCAGCAATATCTTTTTGTAATCTTCTTGCTAAAATATCATCATCTAAATCTTTGGCATCAAATTCTTGAATCAATTCTTCTTCATTTTGTTTTAAATTTTCTAAATATTGTTTAGCTAATCTTCTTCTTTTATCATTTGCAGTTTCATCACCAAATTCTTCATCTGATGATAAATCTTCATCACGTTGATCATCATCATCATTTGATCTTCTATTATCATCTTCACTATCAGAACCACTTGAAATCTCATCATCTCTTGATTCTCTAGCAGGAGTTGGAGTTGATGATCTGCTTTTTTTAGAAGTACTTGTCAATCTATTCAGACGTTTTCTCTTCTTAGAAGGATCAGATAAGAATGGATCACCTGCCATTATTCTATATTGTTTGTTTGTTGTAGTATCTAGTGTGAAGAAACAGCTTTCAATCTGAACTCTTTTTTTTTTTTCAGCTAAACACCAAAAGAAAAATTTGACTGCGATGCCATTCCTCTCTTCTTCTTCTGTTTTGAAAGTGCGGGAATCTTTTGTCACCTTATACACGACACATGAAATATTAATAATAAAGTATTTATTAATTTACCATCATTACTTTAAACTATACAAGATTGTGTGGGTGTGTCTCTCCCTCTCTCAATTACATTTAGTCTTCTAATAAATCTTCAATATCAGCATCTTCTTGTGCATCATAAGCAGTTTGTTTTCTTTGTCTTTGTTCAGCAGCATACTCTTCCAATAATGCTTCAGTTAATTTAACATTTTGTCTTGTTTTCTTACCCCAACCAAATTCTTTAGCTTCATCATTTAATTTATCAAAATTTTGTTTCTTTTCTCTAGCTTCTCTTTCTGATTTTTCAGCTAATTCTCTTTCATCTTCAGCAAATTGAGTTTGAGTTTGTTTCTTTGCTGCCCATGAAGAATAATATTTACGGAAAATTAAATATGTACAAACAACAAGAAATAATCTGAAATATTTATAAAATAAATCCTTTTCAACGTAATCAAAAATCTCATCAAATGCAGCCATTGTAATATGCAAAGTTGTTCTTGTCCTTGTTGTTCGTGGTGGTGGTGGTTGATTAATAAAGAGAAGTAGATTGAAAAATTAAGATTTAAAGTGAGATTGATTCTTTTTTTTTTTGTTTTGTTTCTTCCTTGTATTTTGTTGAACGGGTACACAACAAGAATTCGCCCGCGGGAGATCATCACGGAGTACGGATCAGAATAGTTCTGTAGTTTGTCTAACCGGCATTAAAAATTGAAAAATTATTCTATACAAGTATACATATTGGAAATATTAGACTCATCAATATACACACATCTTTTCTTTTCTTTTACAACTCTTCATCCATATCTTCATCTTCAGCAAATGGATCCAATTCAGGAAAATCACCAACTTCAACTTGTTTAGGTTTAACAAAACTACCATGATTTGATCTACATTCAAATATTTTAACTCCATCAATAATACCATTATTTTTACCAACAGGTTCATCAAATTCAATACCAACCCATACATTTTTCCCTGAATCTAAATTTTGGATTTTACCAATATATTTAATAACACCTCTTCTTTCACCTTCAATATTAATTATTCTACATCTTTGTCCAACTTGCATAGTTTTCAATTTAGCTTCATTTTCTTGTTGTAATTTATCTTGTAATGAAGTATATTCAGGATTAAATCGACCTAATTTATTAGCTTGTTTCCATTGTAATACAGTATCATTTCTTTTAGCATATTCTTCTTCCAGAAGTTCAAATCCAGGATTATTCTCATTATTTGTAGTTGTGGCAAGAATACTACTTTCTTTATCATCTAATGTATTAACTGCACTATTTGGATCTGAATCAACAACATGAATTCTACTATACAGTTTCAATCCCAATGAAGATAATAAAATATTAGAATCTTTTTCTGAATTATATTCATTAGAATTTGATATAATTGAATATTCATTTGAATGTTGATTTGGATAATATTGTAAAATTTGATTTTCAGGTTGAATACCAGTAATTAATTCCAATCTTTGTTTTAAATAATTTAAATCCCATTGTGGAGAAATTCTTCTTTCTGATGATGTCAAATTAGATGTAACAAATATATTTAAATCACTCATGGTTTGATAGATTATCTTCTTTTGGTGGTTACCCTTTTCTTATTAAGATGGATTTTTGAATTACACGCGACAGTCTTCTAATATCAAAACTAGAGTGAATTCTTTTATTTTTTTACAAGCTTAGTAATTTTTGGTATGAAAAAAAAAATAAATATTGGCAAATAATTTCTGAGGAAGAAGAAGAAGAAGAAGAAGAAGAAGAAGAAGAAGAAGAAGAAGAAGAAGATTCGGAAATAAGTGATTTTGTAGTAGCTATATATCCGTAATCAATCAATATATTCACTCAGTTAGAGTTAACTTCATCTTACATAAACCATGTAGAGACAGAGGGAGATTTACTCTGCTGTTTATATAGTAGAATTCTGGTATCACCAAAGCAATAGCATTACTTAGGACTGCATGCAATTCCTAACTAGTCTTTATGCATCAAAGGGTTACGTGACACAATAGTAACTGGGTAAAACATCCTGAAATTTGTTTCAGGGATATAAATAAAAGGATGTTATAATAAGAAAGACATAATTTTAAGTAAGGTAATGCATAGTATAGATCAATTATTTGTATAGTGGTTTAGCCAATAAGGATCAGTTACATTGTGGTCGTGCAGGTGATAATTTCTTGGTGTTTAAGTATAAATATCAAATCAATTTCCTCATTTTTCAATTTTTTTTTTTTTTTTGTTTCATATTCTTTTCTTTTTTTGGCTTATTTTCAAAGTCATGGCTGACTTCATAAACATGTGTGTGGAGCGTTGGTAAATCCGAATGGGAGAACGTTGTATTATAATGGCCGTCGAGAGCCGTGAATGCGGTAACCTTTATATTACTAACTTTTATTAATTTTATTCTAGCATAGTTACCTTTATATCAGTTTTAATGTATATTTAGTATAATTAGATAAATTTGTTTTTGTTTTAGTAGTTTTACCTCTGTAATTAGCTTACTCCTGTCTATATTCATTCCAAGATATGTTAACTTTCATTTTAGTTTTGGATGAGTAGTACTTTACTCGGTCTAGACATTCTTGATTCAGTTTCTAATATTACGCACCTCATCTAGAGTCTTGTCAGGAATATAAACCCAACAGATCAACATACAAGTATACACGAGTTAGCAGTTTGTCATCACTATCAAGCAGTACTACCACACATGCCTACATCTCTTTCATAGTTAAATTAATAATTAATAATACAAAATTTATACAAATATACATAAATATAATGCAAATGGTGGTGTTGGTGAAATAACTACACTTATATGCGTGATTTTACTGGCCCTCTTCTTCTTGTTCATCAACTTGTTCCAGTTTCAATTGATCTTGCACAAGATCAGCAACTCTAATCAATCTTTCTTGAATATTTGTTTTGAAATTCAATAAGAATGCAGTTATTCTTGTTATATCTTCATCCATTCTTTGACGTTTGGAAATTAAATCTTCTGAAAGTATAGTTTTTTCAATATTAACATCACGTAATTTTCTTTCCAATTGTAAAATATCTGATTGAATAGTTGCTTTAGTATCTCTTGTTTGATGTTCCAATTCTTCAATTTGACTAGAATATTCAGCTTGAGTTTGAAAAATTTGCTGTTTCAAATCATCTGATTTTCTTTTGGTTAAATTATCTTGCATTTGCAATTCTTCAATCAATAATTGTTGATCTCTGATTTTATCTTGTTCAACATCACATTGTTCACTGATTTTCACAGCAGATCCTCGTGTTCTCAAAATCTGACTATCTGTTTCACTACGAAACTTCAACAAATTCTGACGTTCATCTTTCAAACTGGTATTCAGAAAAATTTCCTCTCTAGTATATTGTTGATTCGGGTTTTTAATTTCTTCACGCAACACCAACAAGAATTTATAATCAGCAAGGGAAGCATTCTGAGCTTCATCGGTAATTTGTGATACATAATTGTTGATTCTTCGTGCTAAATCGTTATATTGCTTGGTCAAGCTTTCAATACTTTCGTAGTTTCTTTCCAATTCAAATGCTCTATCCAGTAGTTTGTCCTTCGATTCTTCAACTTTTAACGCAGTCGAGTCAATAGTTTTAGATAATCTATCTCGTTCAAGGTACATCTTATTAACAGCATCTATTGAAATGCCACGATTCTCCAAGTCTTTTTCAATGGTTTTTTTCTGATCTTGTAATTCATGCACTTGCTGTTCCATAGAAATGACCTCATTCAGGAGTTGTTCCAATTTCTGGTTCCAATCTGGGATTCGTTTTTGCACATCATCATTATACGCCTTCAATTTGATGTAATCATCTTCAAGTGCTACTGTTTTTCTGTCAGCATCATCTCTGATTTTTAATTGACTATTAACTTCTTCAAATCTCTTTTTCAATTCGTCACGTTGCTCTTCGGCACTTTTCAATTCGTCTTTTAACTTCTCTTGTACATCATTATATTTAACTTTCATTTCGTTATAATGTTGATCCATAGCATCAACATCATCATTAAGAAAGGACTGATACGACTTCCAGGTATAATCAATAAATATTCTATCGAAATCATCATCGGCAAGGAAATCTTCCTCTGTCAATGTCTCCATGGATAAATTCAATTCAACCAACCAAAACAAAATTCCCAAAAAAGTTGGCCAATTGCTTCCTCCCACAGCACTAAAATGTGATCTTGTAATAGTACTCATATAAGGATAATTCAATATTTTTAACAACCCAGTAATCTCCTGCTCCACAGGTTTAATAAACACATAAGCTGGATCAATTTGATTATACAAAAATTGGAAAATTGCATTGAAATTCTTTTGAGTTGGCAGTTTTAGCATATTTTCGGTTAATGCAATACTAGTTTTCAATTCAAATTTATGATCCACAAGATATCGAATAATCTCCTTCAGAATCAATTCTTGATATTTCCTATCCCTTAGTGGTCTTGGGTCACCTGATGATTTTTGTACTTGTTGCTGCAGTGGTACTTGTTGTTGTTGTTGTTGTTGTTGTTGTTGAGATGTAGGTAATGCATAATGAGGAGTCGAATGCTGAGAAGATGAGCTTTGATGTTGAACTTGACTGCTTGATGGAGTTGGTTGTGATGCAGATATGGAACGGTAAGTTGATCCTAAATGTTGGGAAGAGAATAATCCTGAACTTTGTTTTCTTTTATTTGTAGATGCCGGTGTGGATAATAAAGTTGATCTTCTTTTTGTTTGTTGTGATTGTTGTGATGATACCTGTTGTTGTTGTTGTTGAGATGATGAAGGTGTAGCATTTTCAAAAGATGCATGTAACAAGGACTGTCTATAAGGATTGTTCACAATTGATGAGGTACGCGTTGCTGAACCTATCGATAGCCTATTTGTTGTTTTTGTCATTGATTTGGCAACCCCTGGCTGTCTTCTTATACTGTACACATTAGGTGTCTGATTCATTGTTATTTTACAGTTAAGGTAGTCTTTGAATAAAACAACAGTTAATATACAATCTCAATCTTGATAAGGACAGTGTTATGAATATATGTTTGAGCAAAGAACCTTATGATTTGAAAGACGCAATTGGTGTACCATGAAGGTTTGTTTATATTTTTTTCTTTTTTCTTCTCATTTTTTTTTGTTGTTGTTGTTTTGTTTACAATTTCTTAAAACTTTGACCTCGTTCGCAAAAAGTCGTGAGCACTACCACTTGGCGATGTCGTGTATTTGTTACGACATTATGATGATAATAGCTTTACTAGTCAAATTTGAGAGTAATTCTTTAGCGAAAACTGTAATATTGTTTCCCATTTTATTAGATAATTACTGATGATGGAATCCATTGTTAAAAGGAAATTGCTGGTTATGATCATTGGTTGTTCAGTAAGGAGATAAAGTCATCAAAAGTTTAAATTTAGAGAAACTTATGTAAGATGAATCTCTGGATCAAGCAGTTAATAGTACATAATGTAATGGACTAAAAATAGTATTTTACTTGCAACAACGATATATTTATAATCTTGTAGCGAAAGCTAAAATTAAATGTAGTCAGTGGGGGATTAACCGGAGAGAATGGGGAATGACATTTCCGGTTAGTAAGAAGGAATAGAATATGTATTAGAACATTTTGGAAGAAAACTTATTATGACGATAATGGCTGGTTTATTTGAAGACTGAGCATAAAAGTGTTTGTGTGAGAAAAATTCAACGGGACCGAATTCTAGAAGAGTTAGTAGACATGAGATAGAGAGAGAGAGACATTGTTGTTCTAGTTGAATCAGATGTGTTTCATTGAAAGGGCGAATCCCGTCTATACTGTTAGTAATCAATTGATAAGGAGGAGAATATGTTGATAGTGATAGTGATGTTGCAATAATTCATTTAAGCACGACCTTTTGGTTTTATATGGTGGTGATTTGATTTGGCGTTGTTTACCATCAGCGCAAATTCCCAGAAACAAAAAAAGAAACCAAAGAAGACAAAAAAAAAGAAACACAGGAGAGAAAAAAAAAAAGGAAAAATTGCGAAGGGGAGAGAAGACAAGCAAAAGACAAACAACAAAAACAACAACAACAACAAAAAAAAAAAACACTCACGAAAATTAAAAATTGAATTTCTAATTTATTTCACACATTCAGTTTTTTTTTATACACTATTTTCTTCATTTAATTCAATATCGTCATCATCGTCATCGTCCAACTATAAACTATCCTTAGTATATTATACATCTTATATTCACATATATATATAGCACTTACATTGGTCCATACTATCCCCCCTTACAAACACACCCATATCGTTCCAAATTCAGATACACGCACAACCATGAGCACAAATAAACCTACGACCCCAATATCATCACCAAAATTACTGCACCCTCCTACCATGACATCCATTATTCAACCCGTATCTCCACCTACTATCACTCCTACTACACCTCCACCACCTCACTCAAGAACTAAACGAAGAAGTTATGGGGTATTTGAGTCCCCAGATCGACAGAAGGATGGGAACAACAACACAAATAATGACTTATTAATTCCCGCACTACCGTTTACGCCTTCGACCAAAAGACGAAGTTATGGACTTTTTGATTCCCCCGTGGGTAAATCACCTTATGGAGCTGCATTGAAAACACCTAGAAATGAAGACTATTCTCCAGAGCAAGATGATGATAAAAAATTGAAATTACAAAAAACCCCACAATTTACTTCGGCAAAACGTTTATATGATACTTTGAATTCAGCAATCTCAAGATCACCAAATATTTTTGCCAATTCAAAATCTTCAATAAATTATAGAGAGCAGCTTCAAAGTACTTCTCCTACAAAAGTATCTCCTATAAAATTCCCAACCACTCCATCTCCTCCAAATAGTAAACATTATACTACTCAAGTACCATCACTACCGTTTACTCCTTCAACAAAGAGAAGAAGCTATGGTCTTTTCGAATCTCCTGTTAGTAAATCCCCGTCTAATGTTCCGTTGGATACACCTGTCAATGACGAAATTGATGCCAAAGAAGCCATAAAGAAAATGTTGGAAAGAAGAAACGGTACATCATCATCTACATCAACAGCAGGTGTTCTGTCGAAACCAAAAGTAAATCCAATTAATTTAAGCATGGATAAAACTAATACTACAACTACTACTACTAATACATCATCTAATAATTCAACTCCAACACCTCATTTACCTGCATTAAAACTTCCTTCTTTGGATTCAAAATTTACTGAAAGGGAAGCTGCTTTTTCTTTAGTTAAACTACAGTCAGTTGCTGGTCATGAAGATGATACTGAAACTGAAGATGAAGATGATTTTTAATACCGCTACGAAAGACATCATACAAAGGATTATTTCGTTTCTTTATATATATATATATATATTATTGGTACTGTAACATTATAAATAAACAATTTCAATTTCTTTTTGTATTGCCTATATATATATATTCTTACCATCGGTTGCAATATCAGGTTATGACGGAATGGAATCAACACTGATCAAGCAAATCATGCATTTATGGATTTCCATTGCTATAGACATCGTGACCAGCCGGAGATAAACGAAGAAAAAAAAAAAAGAATGAAAATTAATACGAAGGGATCTTGTGCTACCACATGAATGGCTTTAAATGGATGAAAAAAAGAAAAGATAACAAGGGTTCATAGATTCATCGTTTATTATTTTATTATGAATATTATAGAATTGTACCTAGGTGATGATATTTCAATTTGGATAAATCAGATTGATTAAAATTAATAACTTTTATAATTTGTGGATCTTTAGGAAATATATCTTTTCCATTATCATTAAATAAATAATTACATTCTTGAAAATACAATTCAAATCCTTTAATCGGTTTACTGGTTGTAATTTCAAACTCACCATTTCCAAGATGCTCAATTGATATAACTGCGGAATGTTTCTTCCATGGGAGATGTTTCAATGGTTGTGGCCAATCACTCGAGCGTGCAATGATTTGATTGTTTTTGAATAGTTTAATGTATACGATTGTTTTGTCGTATAATTGGTGATAATGATGATGATTTTCAATTATGGTATTGACTTGATTAGTAGTGAAATTTAAACCATCAATCTTATTAGCGAAATAAATATCACCTAATTCGTTGTAGAACTCAATCTCCAACGTCAAATTTTTGTCATTTCCAAATCCCCAAATATCCAATTCATATCCATTACTGAATGTATTTTGAATGTGTTCAGATTTCATGTCCACTTTGCTTCGATAACATCCGATCAGAATCTCACTTATCTCCCTTTTGATTCCATAATATGACAATTTAGGTATTTTAAGAAAATCAACCGTGGACCAGGATATACTTGGCCAACAATCATTCAATTGCCAAACGATAATTCCACCAGTCTTATAATCTAACCAATTCCTTCTCCAGTATCTATAAGCAAAACTTAATGCATCTGATTGCATTAACTGAGTTAAGTATATCCACGATTCAATAGTAAGAATTTGTGGTTTAGGGAAATTATCCCAAACATAGGTATCCAAATATTCCCTACCTGCAGCACGAGTATGAAAATCAAGCATAGTTGAATTTGGATATAATTGTGATTCGTCAATGTATGTGTTTAATGTACGCATTGAAGGAAGTGATAACATTCCAAACTCAGATACAAACCTACCAGTCAACTGTGGCCAGTTTTGATATGCTTCATGATCACCATGCCAAACATTCCATTGATGTAAATCACCTATATTTGGATCCGATGATTTATGTGTATTGTCGGAATAAGGTGATCCAAAATGATAAGGAGTTTGGTTGCATAGTTTAGTAACATATGAAGGAATCACATCTTCATAGATTATCTTGGCTGGGAATTGTGTTACATTATTGGTATCGAGTTTTTCAGCTTCTGCAATTTGATAATCTTCATTATTTCCAGCATAGATGATGATAGAGCAATATTGCCGCAATCTCATAAGTTGATCATGTACTTCTTTCTTAACAGAATCAATAATTATATCAGGATACACACCACAAGCAAACATGAAATCTTGCCAAATCATAATACCAAGTTCATCACACAATTCATACAATCGAGAATTCTCATACTGACCACCACCCCATATTCTTATCAAATTGTAACCACCATTGGCAACTAATTCCATCCATTGTGAATAATCATTCGGAGTCAATTTTGATGTGAATGAATGAGCAGGTATCCAATTAGTACCTAAAATATGTATAGGTTTGTTATTTATCCTGAAATAAAACGATCGACCTAATTCATCATCTGATTGTATTAATTCAACTTTTCTAAAACCAACTCTCTTTGTTTGTTTTAGCACTCCATTGATAATAACATCAAATGTGTATAATGATTGATTACCTTGATGGATAGGATACCATAGTTTCACATTTGATAATGTGTAACCCAATTGAGTGTATTTCTCCACATTTTGTGATTCTACAACACCCACGTAATCCCCCACATTATCTTTTATTTCAATCTTAACATCCAAACAAGTTGGTGTAGATAAAAACAGTAATTCCAATGATAATTCCACAGTGTCTAATTCATCATTCAATTTATATCCAACAAAGAAATCATCAATATAATTAACGCTACTGATTAATTTCACTGATTCAAATCCAAACGTATTTAATATCGGTCCCCAATCCCAACCATATTGATATTGTGGTTTTCTAACATATACTCTAGATGAATCTCCATTCCAAACTGGATTTTTTCCATATTTCTTTTCCAAAATTTTTCCTTTTTTAAAACTACTTTCATAGGTAATTATCAATTCATTATGATCTTGAATATTAACTGGGACATTATATTTATGAAATGCATTATCTGTCGTTAAAATAGTTTCATTATTCAATTGAATAGTTGCAAAAGTATCAATTCCTTCAAATATTAGCACCATTGTTTCATTAATATCACTACTAGATGAATCGAATATACATCGATATTGCCAATTTAATTCACTTATCCATTTTAAATTAGTTTCATAATCATTTATAAATGGATCAGGGATAAGATCATTATATAATAAATCTACATGTACTTGATGTGATCTAGAAACAGGTGATGTATTGTACCATTTATTTATTTCCAATGTGGAATTTGGATGGTTGGTTAATGTTCTAAATTCCCAATTTTGAAGTCCATTTGACATGATTCATGGGGTCATTGGGGAGAGAACTGAATAAGCTAAGTTGAGATAAAAAAAGTCGTGTGCTTTGGACAATTGGTGTTTGTTGAAACGTAGATGGACAACACGGAAGAACAGCAAAAGAAAAAAAAGAGGAAGAAGAAAAAATTCAACAAATATAATTTAATGTTCTTTGAACCAATTGTGTCTGAGCATTGAATGATATATGTGGCTATATTTGAATGGGCTATTTTTCAGGTCGACTCACATTGTTGGGTACCCTGGAGAAATGCCGATTAATTACTACTAACTTACTTGTATCAATCGAGCATATTAAATATCACAGTTAATATACAAAATTTTGAGTCGAATATTGTTTATTTTACTTTATGTTCACATTTGTAGTTTTTGTGCAATCATGAGAGATTTAGATACTTTCTCTACGCTATACGAAACGAGTAATTGACCCAACTCAATTGATAACCAAAAAGGCATCTACAAGTATGCCCTTTTCAAATGATTAGTTGTAAACTTGTATTATTCATACACACACAAGAGGTTGACGAAAAAAAAAAAAAATTGTATATACTCCACCCAATTGGATTTGCCAACCTATCCAAATAAATATCATAATACTTAAAAAAGAAGTGGAGACCAAATTAATTTTATTCTTCTTCTTTTATTTGTTCTCCCAAGCAACATATATATGCCAAAATAGATGTTATGGAGACCTAATTTTTTTATAAGTGTTTTTGCTAATCTACTAACGTTGAGTTAATGTATCTAGCAATTTTTGAATATACAATTGTTTTATTATGTTTTGTTATTAATATTATTCATATATTAATTCACCCTGTAGAGTAAGACACGAAAACACAAACCAATTCCGTTCATCTATTAATCAGTATTGGCATATCACCTGTATCGTTTTGGTCAATGGATTTATCCATTCCAATACGATTGATTGATTGATAGATTAGTTAAGCTAATCATTTGAGAGGATGTATTTGCTTATGTATTGTGTTGCAAATAGAGGTTATGCAAAATTATTCCTAATTTAGCCAATAAATCACTGGGTGATGTAAGCTTAGTAATCTTAGTGTATTATTGCTTATCCTTACTCATATTGATCATCATCATTATCTATAGATGCATTGAATTATCACACAAAGGGTTTCCAATTAAACTAGAGATTTAAATTCCATCGGAAATGCCAACCACATTTGGTCCGTTTTGTGAATGTCCCTTTTTAGTTTCAAATTGTATCCAATGATCAAATTGATAAACAATCTTACATAATACTTACTGCATATAAGCCATCGTGTGAAACGTGACAACGACTCATTTTTTTTTTCTTTTTTTCTTTTTTTCTTTTTTTCTTTTGTTTTATTTCCGGTGCGTTCATTGCCAACTCAAACATAAGGCAACAGCGAAAGCAAAAGAAAAAAAAAAAAATTTATGTGAAGAAGAAAAAAGAAAAGAGCTTACTAATTCTTCTAATAGATAAATTATCATCAAACCCCATCATCAAACAATTTTTTTTTTTTTTTTTCACACGAGTTATATAAATTCAACTACTTTCCTTATTTCTTCTGTTTGATTCCTTTTTTATATTTATCTTAGTTAGAAATTAATCTATTCATCTATACAGTCATGACTTCTAATATCTTATTATTATTGCATCCAACAGTGGTTACCGACCAGCACATTGTTGAAAATATAAAACTAAAAATATCTAATACTCATAAAGATTTCCATCTTTCACAAACTACTATAGATAGATTAACTCAAGGATCTATTGAATTTGATAATAATTCATTTGATGAAATCATTTATATCAATCCAAACGAAGAACAATATAGAGAAATCCCTAATCTGTTGATGAAGTTAATTTTTGATTTATTAAAATTAAATGGGAAATTTACTGGTGATTTACCAACTGATCAAAATTTAGATGTTTTAATGAATGGTTTCCTAATTATAAATCAAAATGAATGGAATAAACCTCAACCTGAAGAAACTGTCGTAACTTTAAAGAAAAAATCTACTACTACTAATAATAATTCCAACACATCAACTATTAAAAAATCATTCCCTATGTTTAAGAAATTAAATAATGATAACGCGTCTACTCCTGGTTTAACTGATCTGTCTGCTGGCACCAGTGAAGATGAAACCGCCACTGTATCGAATAAGAGAAAATTGGTTGAATCAAAATTGGTATATTTCAGTGATGACGACGATGACGATGATTATGATGGTTCAAGTGATGGTGAAGATTTAATTAATGAAAATGATTTAATTGCTGAATCTAATAAATATAAAATCATTGTACCTAAGAAATGTGAACTTCCAAATGGTAAGAAGAGAAAGAAGGCATGTAAAGATTGTACTTGTGGATTGAAAGAACTTGAAGAAGAAGAAATTAAATCACAAGGTAAATTACAAGATACAGTATTGGCAAATATGGCTCAAAGTGCAACAATAGAGGCTATTAAAATCGAAGAAAGAATGAAAAAGAATAAAATTAAATTTACTGAAGAAGATTTATCAGAAATTGATTTTACTGTTGCTGGTAAAACTGGAGGTTGTGGTCTGTGTAGTTTAGGTGATGCTTTCCGTTGTGATGGTTGTCCATTTTTGGGTTTACCTCCATTCAAACCAGGTGAAGTAGTTAGAATTGACTAATTATGTTTATAAAATGTTTTATTCTTAATGCATGAATGTTTGATTTGAATATGATTTTCCTTTGACTTGATGAATTGTAGTATGAAAGGGTATGCAAATACTAACACAAGGTTCAGCTTTGTTAAGATAGTTTCGTACTGATCTCACTGGCAGTGAATCCGAGTATATTGACGTGAATAAGTCGTTGGATTTCTTCTTCCTTATAGATGAACAAGCTTTCAATACAATCCTATACTTCTCATAGAGATTAATCTACAAAATCATATTCATAAAAATAAACAATACATTAAGGGCAATGATATATTAATACTAGAATATGAATTTTGTATGATACATCGGATAGTTTTTCCTAACAGGTTTGGCCATTTCATTGATGACAATAATAATCAATGTTTCACTTCAAAACATAAATGGAATAATAATTGCCATTATTTTGAATTGTTTTCTTGATATTTCATATTATTCAACAAATTTTATCACTTCTGTCAAAACGATAAATAGTCATTGAATTTACTATGATTTATTCCCACTCAGTAACATAAATCTCTTCATATATTTACTTAAAAAATTACACATTTCATTGTATTTTGTATACCGAGAATTCAAGTCGAAAGTAGAGTATTCATTTTGAATACCTTATATATCCATCTGATCATTTATTCACAGAAAAGAGATATATTTTTCATTGACTTGTTTGATTTCGTTATAGAACAACCATGATTTAATAATGACAACTATAGTAATATGAGAAAGAACAGTATACTGTATTCATTTGTTATATAGTCGCCCAAATCAATATAATCACATATAATAAGAGATTCAAATATCATATATACTCTACAATCAATCAGAAACGTGTGTAATAATAAACAAATAAAAATATATGTATTAAAATGTACTTTTGATTGCTAGATGATAATTATCAAAATGTTAGTAATAAAAAAATAAAAACAGACACATAATAACCAAGTAGCACACAAAGTACTAGGTGTTGAAATTGTGCACTGTTACTAGAATGCGTGTTTTCAGACAAGCAATATATGGAATGAAAGAAAGTAGTTACTAATGGTATAGAATTACTTTATAAAATTCACAAGAGGAAAAGAATACAAATAAAAGAAAAAAAACAATTTTATTTCACTCATTTCTTTCTGAATAATTCAAGTCGCGATATTTCTGTGAGAATGCACGACCCTTTTCTGTCGCACATGGGTCTAAGGAAGTACCAAATGACTCCTAATACCCATCAGCACGACACCGACAAAGTCTCCATACATCACGTGATTGTCACAGATATACTATCAATGCAGTACAAACTAAATAACAATAACTCACAAATGAAACAGGAATTTCAGTACAACATTCCGTCAGTTTCACGGTTGCTACGCAATATTTAATGGAAGTGAAAGATAAATTTTATAGTTTTCTATTTACTTCTATAGGCTTAAATAAGAGAATAAAGAAAGTGAACAAAACTCATACTTTGCTGCTATAAGCAGTGTAGTTATATACGGAGAAGGAGAAGATTCTATCAATATAACACATGACACCAAAAGGATGGATATATAACTAATGAAGGAAGCACAAGTATTACATTTATTGCAATTGCAATCTATTGAACTGCTGCACGTTGGTAACAAACAAACCCAGCTGCGTGACATCTTGTCGTCCTGCATCCGAACACCTACAAGTGAAAAAAAAAAGCTACACAATTATACGATCTTTCTCTTTCGATTTGATCATGTAACTGGGCTTACCACAAATATTATTATGTTGCTAGAAACGTTGAAGAATATGAGGAATATATTGACCTATTATAATCGAATTGTATAAATACTTGTTGCGGAGAGGTATTTTTTTTTATTAGTAATCAGTTAACCTACTTTTCGCTTATATGAAAATATTTCAAACAATAAATGTAAGATTAGAGATACTTATTTTATTATTGGATTCTATATAAACTAGACAATTAAGAGAAGGGAAGTGGAGTCCTATTTATTGGCACTCCATTCCAGCATCACATGAAGATAACACGATTACATGTAGATGACAAAACACACACTTGAAGAGGAGACTACACATTTAAAGAGGGGAATCCCTTGTGTAGATGAATGACTAACACCTGTGGATCCAGTGGACCCTAGGTAGGTAGGTATTACCTCACAATAAATATTATTAAAGTATATATTAATTTAAAATCACTATTAATAAATTATAATTTGCTAGATATCAAACTGGTGGTATTAGTTAGTAAGTTAGCTTACAAAAATGCGGATCATCAGATTGAAATAATAACAAATAAAAATGTTCTATCACCCAATCTTGTAAACCTCCAGAAACATATTATCATTATCGTAAAATAACAGATGCAATAAATGAGAATATTAGGAATCCCTAGAAGAACAAAAAAAAAAAAAAATCAAGGAAAATAACTCCCTTTTTATATGTAAGAATTTGTGTGTGTGTGTGTGTGTGTGTAGTACTGTTGCAATAATGAATAAAAACACAACTCCTCTATTGCAATAACACAAATTTTCTCCACTTCATAATTCCAATGTTATGACTACGATTTAGTATATTTTAAACAATATTCAAAAGGGTACACCTCCTAGATGGATTTGTGTAACTTCAAAGAACTATTTATAATACCATATGTAGTTGTTTTTTTAGAATTACGATGATAGTATACAATATTGAATCCACATATGATTATAAATCCTACAAGTAATTATCAATCTAATAGAATCAAAAACAATCATATGTGTATTTAAATAAGTGAAATAAAAAAAAAATACACTGTAATTTATCAATTGATGATTAGGAACTAAATTGTAAGTGGATATAACTTAGTATATGAATTACCACTAATTCGGACACATTTAAACACACGAGTTTTGAATCTTAACACGTTTACCAAAATTATCATTTCCGCTAGAAAGGGGGAGGGGGATAATATTTATCATTGAAAGAGATAAGAATTCATAGTTGTTGATACAATAATTAATGATATACACTTGGGAAGATAATAAAATAATATATATATATATATATATATTAACAATACTATAAATATAATCTTGTAAACAAGAATATGAATGCTAGATTAATACATAATTGCACCAATAATTCATCGTTAGTAATTATAACTTCAATAGGATATACTAAGATAGTTGTTACATCACAATACCTCATAACTTTCCCAGGCACAAAGTTGCCCACTCTAGAATATATACATGTCAGGGAACATACAATTTCCAGGCATCGACATTACACTTATGGTTTAAAAGAAACAATTCTTTTATTTGATATTTGTTTTTTTTTCAAAAAATCGTTGAAAGAAGAAATATATATATATTTAATAAAAAGGGACAGGTGTTCAGGAACAAATTTAATTGTATCGGTACACTACCCGTAAAAGTACACGACTTTATTTTTTTCTCTTTCTCTCTTATAAATTCCAAGTTAATAAACATACACACAATTAATGATTCTCACTCGTAAACAACAATGCAAACAAGAAGCATAAATTGTTGTGATGATTACTTATAGTATACTTAACCGTAGAATAGTTTAATACAATGCTACACCCTGTTGTTTAATTATTGAATTGCAGATTATTGTGTCTCGAACAATGTCGAATTTAATGAGAAAAACACGACAATGGGATGTCGAAAAGAAAAAAAAAAAGAAATTTCGACATTGAATGAATAATAAAGATTTTTTTGTTTTAGACAATTAAAGAAGAACAATTGACATTCATGCTTTAATCAACCTCATCATAAAGTTATGTATGAATAAGCCTAGTTTCAAACAAATAAAAACGTAAGGGTTTTTTTTTTTTTTATTTCTTCTTCTTCTTGTCATGTCATGTCATGTCACTTACGAAACAATAGATAGACATACATCTATATACTGTATCTTTTTCCATCTTACAAGTCAAATACAATAGAGATTGATTAAACATCAATGGATAAATTTGACATGATGAGGCATGATAATATTAACATCGTTCCTATTGTTTAGCCCAACCGTTTTTTTTTTTTTTTTTTAATCTTCAGTAACATGTTCATCATTGTGCCACTCTTTTTCTATTTTGTATATTTAAGAAACTATGAAACCTTTTTGCTGTGTCAATTCAAAAATCAACTCGGTACAAATTGCCAATATTCGCTTCCTCTAAACATTGAAAATAAACAAAAAAAATGAAAAATTAATGCATACACATTGATGTATGAATATAAATCCGATTATTATAAAAAAACGTGGCAAATGTTAAAGCGGCACACTCCAATCACAACATATTCATGTACAAGTGTTATGTAGTATATGTAAATCATAATTAAGTGTATCATGACTTAAACAATTTCGTAGATTTTATTTAAAAAAAAAATTTATGTATTACACGGACGTTCAACTACAACGATAAAACAAAAAAAAGGCAAGAATTGACGAATATTTTTGATTATATTGATCAAAATCAAAACCATCTCATGAATCATCCGTCAAAACTTGTAACATGATGGTTTGTAGATATTTGTAAGAACTTCACCTCGTAGTGTTCATATTGATACAAAATAAAAAAGATTCAAAGTTACAAACCGAGTCTTGCACGACCTGTTCATAACGATGTATAACAACGTAACATGAATTCTATATTAAGAAACTAATTCAACATGAATTATACTGATGGAAAACCTAGAACCGTGTAACACTTACGAAATAGTGATAAGATACACAAAATATGATGGTAAAGACTAATAATCATGTATTAGTTCATACTTTTGTGATGTATAAATTGGGGGACACACACACACACTCACTCTCTCTCTCACTTTAACACGAAGAATAAATCAGTTTAATTCAAGGGTACGTCATAAATAAAACACACATGAACATCTGGATGCTCAATAAGTTTGTGGTTGGACTAAGTCTGTGGCAATGTAAAATTCTTGCTGAATAACAAACTGCAATCTCCTTACATTGCATATTTCTTCTTTTTTTTTTTTTTGTTTGTTTAAGTATATAGAATTTCGATTATTCCCACTAAACACCACCCATAAAAGAAGAGAAATGCATGTATTGTTTTAATTGCTCATCATCACCATCTTTTTGTTCTTCTTGTTATAACAACAATTGGTTTTTCTTGTAAACGTCAAAAGGCGCTTTCTTATTCTTTTACACACCCCCTTAGGTTTGTAAAAAGTATCTTTTATCATTTTAAGTATTTCTACTTTTTGTTAATAAAAAAGAGAAAAAAGGAGGCGGTGGTGATTATGACTTAATGTTTAATTATTGCTTAATTTTGTGATTTCAAAACAATGGGAAAGTGTCAACGCATAGTTAATCTTGGATTCTTTTTGATATCCAAAATATCATCCACATGAGTATCACAAATTAAAAGTTACATATGTGGTAAAATAGTTAGTAAATTCTTATTGGTTCATAATGAAAAATAAATAAAAAAAAAATTCAATCAATTTAGTAACTGTATAATGTATTAAAAAATAATTTAATCTAAAAGAAAAATAACACAATTCAAACACAACTTGAGTTTTTAGATTATACAGTTTTGTTATTGCTAATGGGATACTTTGTAATTTTTTTAAAAAATGATTTAGTTGACGGATAGATATCAAGTTTGACGATTACATCAGAATTCCTGATTTTGAAAGATTGCCTTATTTTAATTGCCTTTATTTTTAGGTGCAAAATTTGTTAAATTGATGAAATATAATATATTACCTCGGAAATTATCGCTTTGAAAGGAGTAGATTTATTTTTATTATTATTATTTATTATTTACAGAAAACAATTCCGTTTGTAAAGCAAGACGATCTTTCTGAAATGTTGTAGTATTTTTTCCTGCTTTTTGAGTTAAAATTAAAATAGAATTAATATTAAAAATGAAAAAGTTTGAACTAAATTCTATTAACTTTGTATATGGCATGGCATAATTATTTTGTTCAATTTATTTATAGAAATAATTTGTGTAATTTGTTGTTTAAATCCAAATTTAATTTGAATTAGAAAGATTAAGAGAGCAAGGGGGCGGTAGTGGTGGTGGTAGTAATAGGATATAAGAAGTATTGTTAAAGTATGTTGATTCAGAAAACAATATTCGTATTTTATTAGCAAGACATTAATTGGTTATACAGTTCGAGTATTCCATGCGAGTGTAAGACAGACTGTAAGTGTGTGTGTGTGTGTGTGTTCTCGATAAATTGAAACAACGGTTTATCATTGGATGTTCCTGGTAAGTAAGGTTTAACCCAACCTAGAGTTTATAGACCATGCATATCTGCAGTTGTACATACCTAAAAGCATATGCATATACTAATAAGTGATCATTACTACTCAATTTTGTGGGACATTTTATGAAACAAAATTGGGCGAGGTTAGCAGAGAGAGGGAAAGAGTGTGATTTAGATCAACCTGCATTTTATGTATATTTAGTTTTTAGTCCATTTGCTGTACTTCCATTTTTTTTTTTGTTTTTGCTTTTTGCTTTTTAGTTTTGTTGGAATTCAATTATTGGGGATTTCTGTTACATTTTTAATCTATGCAAACATTGAAAGAAAACACAACATTTAGAAACTTAGTACAAGCAAGATCATTCATTCAAACAATAAGAGAAACTGTTTTACAAAGATGTTGTCACATTTGACCCCTATATATTTAAAAAAAAAAAAAATTAAAAATAACCAGGGGGTTGATGGATCACAGTTAGTAAGAGTACAAACTAAGAATATGGTTAAAAATGTAAAATGTAAAATGAAATTTGAAACATGATAATGTTATCTATAATCTTGAAATGAAAATAATTTTTTACATGTTTATTCCCAGTGGATTTCTTAATCAACGTAAATCAGAAAATTATAAAAAAATACAAAATAAAAAAAAGAGATGATTATTTTTAAGAACCATACATCACATGCAGTTTATGTATAAACGGAGATTTAATAGAATTATTATTTTATTTTATTTTGAAAAACTAAGCCCTAGAACTTAAGACTCCCTTGTTCTCTGTATTTACTGATTTTCTTTGTAGAATAATTTTCATCGTCATTATTGTAGTGGGTGGTGTTATTTTTTTTATTATATTCAAACAAAAAAAAAAAAACTGGCAGGCACGTTGTAGATCCTTTGTTATATATTCTTCGTCGTTGTTTTTTTTATGTGGATCCCCTTAAGGGTACAATAATGTTAAGCGGTAGGGGAATTTACACATGTAGTTTGACTTATACATTCATTCAGCCCTTGATTCTTTATTCATTAGTCATTATTCATTATTCTTGGTTCTTCCTCGAGTCTAATATGGTTATGGTTGATCTATTATTGTTGAGGATCAAGAATTTCTCCGTAAGAATAGACCTTCGGAATAAAAATTTACTTAATCTCGGAAAGATTAAACATCGGCAAAATTATAATAATCAAAGATTTCCGGTATCTCGGAACAACGAGGGAAACCGTAAGCGGGGGGTGTACAAGTGTGTGTGAGGTGTGTGAGAGCAAAATATCTCAAATTATAATAATTTATTATTTTTCATTTCTCATTTTATCACAGGCAATTTTTAAACTTTTATTTTTTTTCTTTCTTTCTTTTAAACTTTTGCTTTCTTACACAAAACTGCGACACCTAAAGAGAAAAATAATAATTTATTATTTTTTCTTTCTTATAGACAAAGCAAAATTAAAAAGTTTAATTTGCTGAATTCTGTTGAATTGGCGATTTAACATCTTCTGCATCTACGTTATTTTCATTGTTCCGATTCACACGACCTTCGAATCAATTTTTTTTTTTAATTTATTTTTTTCATTCCCTTAGATACAATTGATAATAAGAAGAAGATAGTGATGGTGGTTGAAATGATAGTTGGATAGTGGTGACGATAGTGGGAATGATCGGCGTGTGTGTTGATGGAGCCGTGGGGTGCTTTCTCTCTGTGTGTGTGTGTGTAGTTCTGAAGAATACCACCTTCCTTTCGAGTACACTCATTGCTACCAATTACTCGATATATTATAATTACTGCATATCTAAAAATATATCCAGAGAGATACCCACTCCCACTCCCACTCCCACTCCCGCTCCCATTCCCCCCTCCAATTTCCACAAATAAACACCCTCAGACACACATATAATATTAGATCCATGTGATGAGGTGTATATCCGAGGTGAATTATCGTGATATAATAATCAACCCAAGTGAGACAATACAATCCAGAAACGTATGTCTTAGTTATCAGAGTTGCGTAAATGAATCAAAAACAAAAAAATAAAACAATGAATGTGTAAGTGGAGACAAAGGTAAAGATGATGATTATGTGGGTGATTGTTTCAATCTTTCCGTATTGATCGAGATTACACACACACACCTATACATACACACACAATATTTTTGATTATAAATCAATTCCGAAAGGTGTATTCCATTTGGAGGGGATTATAATTTTTTTTTTTTTTTGTTTTAAATTTTTCAAAAATTTTATCCCACCATCTATCCGAGGGTGGTAATGTAACGAGGAGAAGTTAATGAAACTTGATAATATGTGGATCTGGGTATAAACTTTTCTCTTGATTCCTTTATTTATTTGATCTATGTATATTCATATTGTATTTTATTGTTGAATCATTTAATGAACTTAATTATATATTAATTTTACAATAAAATTATAAACAAGAAGGAATATTTCTATTCTATTCAATAATCTTCTTCTTCTTCTTTCAATACAAACTTCTGCCCCCTTTTTTGTTGTTGTTGTTATTAATCAAGAATAATTAACAATTATCTTCTATTCTTCTGCTTTTGTTTTTTTCTTAAAATTTATATTGTTCATTCATTTATACTTATTGTTTGTTGTTTCTTTCTTTACCTTATTGTTTAAATGTGATTTTCAACATGAATTATAAACTTATTAAACTTCTTATGATTAACAAGTATATATAGAAGAAGAAGAAAAAAAATCATAACCTACATAGGAAACTTGTATTATTGTAAGTAAGTAGAATGAATAAATCTATTGAATTTCTTCTATTATTAACATTATTAATATTATTTTTATTATTATAATTATTATTAACAAGATTATTCATATAATTATGAACACTTATTCACATACGATTGTTATTGTTAATCGTATAAATTGGAAAGGGGGTTAACGAATAAGATAAGATAAAAGAATAATGTAATTCTTAATTCACCATTCATCATCATCTTGATCTTCAAACAATAATAACTTCTCTCGAGTATTGGGTTTGGAGAATCTCATTAAAAGTTTAAATGTTTCCCAATTTATATATATATATATATATATATAATCACTTCTTTCCCCTTTTCTTATATTTGTTAGTATACCATAATAATGAAGAAAAAAAAGAATTATCCATTCAATTATTTTACATTTCTTCTAATTATTTTAAACAAAGAATGTATATCCACGCCCATAATCTATTGTGTATATATTCCAATGTTTTAGTCTGTCTGTCTATTCATTTATTTGATTGTAATTTTTACAAACAATGTTAATAATAGCTGCAAAAAAAGTTGCAAATTTAATTTTTTCTTCTTATACGTGTATAAACTCAATAATGAAATAAAAAAAGAATAATCAACCAAAAAAAAAAAAAAAAAATAACCATCAATTTATATAAATAATTATATATATAAAAACATGAATAATTAACAAATAATACTTAGAAAAAAAAAAGTATATACATTATAGAGAAAAAAAAAAGAATCAGATTTTGTCTTTTTATTGAGGAGGTTGATGAATATTACCATTGAATCCATCATAATGTTGAATAACTCCATTGACAACTGCTTGTTGCTGTTGTTGTTGTTGTTGACCAGGTTGTTGTTGTTGTTGTAATATACCACCATTTGTAGTATACACATATCTTGAATCATAACCACTTGTACCACTAATAAAACCATTATTTGTATTATTGGTGGCTCCACTACTATATTCACCTGATCCAGCAGGATGATTATTTAATTGTTGAATAGGTAATGAAGTTGAATAATTATTTCCATTAAATAAGAATTGTGGTTGTGAATTATTACCATTTGGATGAATACCTGGATGTGATGTAGGAGTAGCTAATTGATGTTGTTGTGGTGGAATACCTCCAATTATCGATTGTTCACTAATACTACCACCATGGTGTAGTATACTTCCTTGTTGATGTTGAGCAGAAGATGTAGAAAATTTATTTCCATTGTTATTATTATCATCGTAGAAATGTAATTGTTGGGAATTTGCAGAGTTAGGTTGTGACCCATTAGTATTGAATTGAGTATGTTGATTCTGTTGCTGTTGTTGATAAGGACTTGGAGAAATCATATAAGATTGGAAATTAGCTCCTGTTGGATATAATTGACCATTATTATTACCATTAGCAGATTGTGCACTAATACTTTGTGCTTGTATTTGAATAGGTTGTTGTTGTTGTTGTTTCTGGATAAATTGTTGATATTGATCATTGTGTAAATTAGATAAATCACCATTACTGTTATTTGATGTACTACTATTACTACTGACTCCACTAAAACTAGCACTTTTAATAGTAGCAGTATTTTTCAAATTTGAAGTATTGGTGACAGGATTATTGGTAGTAGTGTTGACTTTATCTTTACAAACAGGACAATTTTTATTCTTACCATTTCTTCTTGGGGTATATCTATAACCAGGATATTTCTTAGCATGATTTTTCTTTTCTTCTTCAGCCAAATTATTCCAATGATCTTTTTCAATTGGAGATAAATTTCTCCATCTTCTACCTAATTCTCGAGAAACTTCAGGATTAGTTCTAATTATTGTACCTTCATCCAATACAGTTTGATGGTATTTTTGTCTGAATAATATGAAAGCATTTCTTGGTCTTGGAATCTTGTTAATTTTTGATTTACAAATACATTTGTTTGATTGGTTGGACTGGTTATTGGAGTTACTAGAAGATGATATACTTGTTGAAGTAGGAGAAGGATGTTGTTGTTGCTGCTGTTGTTGTTGTTCGTCATTTGAAAATGTAGAATTAGTAGGAGTAGTGTTATTAGAAGTATATTGTTGTTGATGTTGCAGCTGTTCTGGTTGTTGCTGTGGTTGTTGTTGTTGTTGCTGTTGATTGTGATAAAACATTGAGTTATTGTAAAGATTGATATTTGGAGAAGAAGTTGAATCTGAATTGTTATTGTTTTGAGGAATAATTTGTGCTAAAGAAGGCAAAGTATTATGAGATGAAGGATGTTTAATTGAATCATCAGAGTTAGAAACAGCGGCAGAAGTAATATTTGATTGTTGACCAGATTGTTGTTGTTGTTGTTGTTGCATATTATTGTATGGAGAATAGTAGATAGCAGTTGACATTGTCTGTATTAGTCAATGTTGAGGGAGATGTGGATGTGGATTATTGAATGAACAGTAAATCTTGGTGATAATCAAAAAAAAAGAAGAAAAAGTTGATAAAAATTCTTTGTCTGTATAAACAAGAAGAACAAGAATAAGAAGAAGAACAACAAGAAGAAGAAGAACAAGAACTAGAAGAAGAAATATCTGTTGGTATTTATATTTATTGATAATTTAGTTTGTGTGATTTAAAAGTAAGGGGAGCTAAAATAAAAATAAAAATAAAAATAAAATACAAAGCTTATAAAAAATTTTTCATTATTACGTTTATTTGCTTATTGGTTTACTTACTTACTTACTTAGTTACTCAGTTAGTTACTTACACAGGGTTAAATTAATTTATTAGTTAGTTAGCGTGTGTGTGTGTATGTGTGTGTGTCTGTGTCTGTGTCTGTGCGTGTGTATATTAGTTTTAGTTTAATGTGGGAGGTCGTGTACAAAGGGGTAACTAAAATTTATTTTTTTTTTTTTTTGTATTAAACTTTTTTTTTTTTAAATTCGGTTTTTGTGACAGTTGAAGATTAAGTAACACCAAACTCATTAAACAATAGACTCTGAATCGGTTTTGTGTCCCTGCACAAACAAATTTCATATCTGCGGGTTTGTGTTATTGTTTGTGTGGGGGGCCATCTACAGATTTTGTGTACTTTCTCCACCACCCAAGGAGATATCCCGGAGCTCACACACACACACACACACACACACAGAGAGAGAGAAATGAATCTAACCAGCAGGTAATGGGTAATCACCAAAGTGAATGAAGAATGTAGTTACAGTACACTACAATACATTCATTAAGATCAGGCAATTTAAGCTTGACTGGAAATCAAGTAGTGATTATGAGAATGAGCGAATTTATTTTGGTTTTCTCTTTTGTTTGAAGATTTTAACAAAATGTACATATGTTCATCATACACTTTTATTTCGTTAAGTTTTTTTTTTTCGTTTTTACAGTTTAAGATTGAGTAAATGAAATGAACAAAGAAATAAAAAAAGAAAAGAACAGAACAGATATAACTTGTGGTTGATCGATATCGCTATTGATATTCAAAATAAATCAATGAGAAAAAAAAAAGGGGGGGAAGTAGGAAATAAGATCAAGAAGAAGAAGAAAAAGAAGAATAACAGGGAATTAAATAAAATAAAAAAAAAGAAACAACCTAACACTGTTTTTTTTAGCCTTCTTTTTGTTTGCTTTTCTTTTGTGGAATTGTAGATAACCATTATAGTTAAAGTAATCCTGTTAAAATTAAAACAAATTGATATTCATTCACTCATTCATTGAGGATGATTCACGTGCTCCTAATCATTTGGGTTTCTCTTTAGTGTATATAATCCACAATGATGTCATCGCTACACAAAGCAATTCCAGTGTGACACAAAGACGCATATTTTGTTTTTTGTTTTTGGTGTGCTTGTTGAAATCTTGTTATCAAATGAAGAAACTTTTCGCCTCTTTCCAAATTGGCAACAATTTTTTCCAATTACCCTGTGATGCATAGACAATGTAAACCTTTTGTATCAGGATTTGCATTTTATGTGTGAAAAATCCCCTGAAATCCCATTGTTCTTAAAAAAAATAATAAAAATTTTGTTCTTTGTGTGTGAGTGTGGTTTTGTTTTTTTTGTATCAATGTACACGAAATGTGCTTTGAGTTAAAGTTTAGATTTGTGTCAATGGACACGCTCATAATTATTGGTACCAATACACACGACCTGTCATTACCCATTGAATATCTCTCCCAATGTACATGTCAATGTATGAGTTATGAAGCTAATGGTATTAAATAAAAAAAAAAAAAAAAAAAAGAAAAAGAAAAACGAATAGCAATTATAAAACAAATATCATAACACAATTCAACATTCAAAGAAGTAAGTAGAAATTTGGTCTAAACATTTAATACATCCATCTGAAACGGGACAGAGTTGGAGACCGTGTATGTTTTAATATGAGAAACGGAGTTAACGTAACCTTTTCCTTTTTTTAAACTGATTAACAGGGTTAGTAGTATTCTTGTTGACAAGACAGATTGGCAATTGACAGCTTTTGTAATTCAACTCGAATCATGGACAATAATGAATGAATGAATTGACTGTCTGTGGGTTGGTATTAGTAATACAATTGAATTGAACTGGATTTATCTAAATTTCATTTGCGCTTTTATCTTCTTTGTATGTAATTCCAGTTAATCATCAAGAAAGGTATCCATGACGATTGATACAAAAAAGAAAGCAAATAATCAATACCATTATAATCATTATCATCGTATTGCAAAATAATGAAACAAATAAAGAAAAAGGTAAACTGATAATAGCTCTAGGCTTTGAACAAAACTTAGCTTATTCTTTCTTTTTTTGTATAAATAATACGATGATTGTTATAAACATATACAATACAAAATCATAGGCTTATGTATCTGATTTCTTCTTTCTTTTGGACTTGTCCATTTTAGTTTTGTTCGTTATTGTTTGAAACTCATACAATCGTCGTCGTCTATCTGTATTTGCCTTGTATTCAATGGAAAACTTTCGGTATTGTGCAAAGTTTAATGGAACCAACCCGAAAGTAAACATTAAATGCAAGTCAATTATCCTCTGTTACTGTTAGTGTTACTTTGACTGTTGGTTACACTTTGACTGATTTTTCTTCTTGATATTGAGTTCTTTCCATTTCATTTCATGTAATGCAAACTTTTAAGGAGGTATTTCACATTACATATGTACAGGTAAAATTTTCAACTATTAAGTAAATTTGCAGATAATTTCTTAAACATATACCCACATTCATTTATTGTTAGTGTAAATTATGATACTTGAAACTATATGGTTATGATACTTTTTGCATTTTCATTTTCATGGTTATGTGACATTAGAAATTCAAAGGTTTGTTGGTTACATTCAAACAAAACGGTATTCTTCTACCAATAGAAATCCGAAAAACGAAAAAGAGTAACCATGGTCAGGTATTCCATTCACACACGGCACTCGTTTGAATCCTGCTGATGTCTCTTCTTCTTCTTGTTATTCCTGTCCCCTTTACTCCTGGTCTCTTTGCAAGTCAAAATTAATAATAATAATATTAGACCAAAAATTGCTAATCTTTACTTTTGTTTCTTGATGAATTTATAATACTTCAATAAAAACTCAAAGAACGATATAAAGAGGAACAATTAAAATCAACGGATTTCATGTAAACTGTACCTAAAACTATCTCTAAACAATACCTAACCCATAAAAAATTCCGCTATTTTGCTTGCTTTCTTTCTCTAATCATTTTTGAATTACATTCTTTTTCGTTTTTATTTTAACAAAACAATGACAATATAGATTTCACATCAACCACAACATCATCACCATTCATTAAATCAATGCTAATCAACACCAAAAAAAAAAAAAAAATCTCTCTTCCATTGTTGTGCCGAGTCAAATTAGAGGAATTATCAACCATGGGTTCTTTTATTCTTGGATGTCTAATCCCAGAAATTTTGATGTCTATTGTTTTTTTACTCAATCGAGGTTTGCTGGAATTGATTGTATAGTATAATTAGATATAAAGTACTTTATTTCAACAATACAGTATAATTATACCCTTTCTCCTACTACCCCCCCCCCCCTCCTCCATACCCCTTTAAACAAAGAATTTGAAAATATGACATTGTTTTGTCCCTGAGTTATGTACTGCAATTTTTTATCTGCATTATCTAATTATTATATCCGTGTTATTTTTCTTTGGTATTGAATCAAGTAACTAAAAAAAAGTACTATAAACTTTCTTTTTTAAAACATTCTCCTTTAATATTCATTTTCATCAAAAATCCAACCAAAGGGGATGATTAATGTCTTTGATTTGTTCCTGTTTTACCAAAAATAACTCTTGAATATATATATATATATCTTCCATTTGTAGTGGAGTTTACTGTTCGTTAAAAATATCAAATGATTGCAAAAACATCCCATCAACAAAAAATTGGGATGGTTTTTTATTTAAATCAATTTCAAATGAATTTATGAGTTATTCATGCTATAACTCAAAAAGACATTTTGGATTTTTGTCTATACCGGTTTTATTAAATTAATCTTTACCACCAATTACCGGTAATCATCATTAGGTTGGCATCATCTATTTGATTAGAGAATGTTACTCGTGTATATGTATATTTCGGATTAATTCCCTATTTACAATGATAAACTGGCATGTACATTTACGTTGAGAATGACATTCCCTATTTTAATCATCCATCATGACATATTTCCAGTGATATTATATTATTTTAGTTAAAACATTCCCTGTCTAATGTGTGTTTGTCTTGACTCGGTTATCTAATGTAGAGATTTAGTTGCATTGATTGTTTACTTGCAGTTATGACAATTTCAAAAACAAAAAAGAAATCTTGTAGTTGCAATATCCACTGTAACCAAATTAGTGAATATGAAACTCTAAAGCGGTAGTTGGTTTGATGTATTGTCGGTTTAGAGAGGGAAATGATTTCAGGTTCCGTCGTTTCTCTATACAAGAATAACAAGGGTTGGGAATTTTTTTTTTTTTTATTTTTGATTTGAAAATATGGTTTTAATTATTGTTGTATCATTAAAGTTAAATATACATGAATTGACTATTTGCATAAGCATTCTTACATCTTACAATATCATAATTAGAAAGAAGGAAAATCTTCAATAAAGTTGTCAGGACCACACATTCAACTTTTTATACTTACAATTTATAGATCTTTTAAACTTATAAATGGTTTTGAATATTTAAGCTCGTCTGATTTTTTTTTTTTTTGAAAGTTTGGTTTTTGTTACTGTAGTAGATGTAAATAAACATTATAATTCTTCTTGGGAATAGTCATATCCCAATTTGAACATCCTTTCATCCAATGTTCCCTTGATCAAATAGGATACCTACTCCCTAACTAAAACTAACACAAGAACAATTTAGATTTGGCTGTGAAAAAAAAAAAAAAAAAAAATTTTTTTTGCAAGATGAATTCTTTCCATATTTTATTGACATAGTACTTTAATAAAGAGAGAAATAGTTATTACTCCTTTTCCAAAACCATTCTTCATCGTTTACAAGTATATACACACAGGGACAAACTGTCTATCAAGTTCAAGCTTCCCAGATTGTAATGTTCTTTAAACTTTCCCATCCCATTTTTTTTCTTGGTGTGGATCGATATCTCTGATTCTTCACACTGGCCGTGGAGTAAGAAGAAGAGGAGCAATCTTGATCACTTTAATCATTATCCTTGATCTCTTTGCCCTGTTTCTGATTTAGAATTTTATATCTATCCCCGGGAACTCTTCACTTGATAAACTTTTTTACTAAAAAACATCAAATCAATAACGTCTTCTTTTTCTTCTTCAATATCAACACTACCGGATATGTTAGTTTTTTAAAATTTCCAAGATATCCGAAGCTAACTAAAATTTTTTTTTTAAAAAAAAGGAAAAATCATCAATTCTATTTGAATAACTACTTTCGTATATTATTCTCAATGTGAAGACAGACTGTTAGACTTTGAATTAATATATTTCAAATATTTTATAACATCATGGTTTTTAAATATCGTTCAATGTTTCATGTGAAGTTATGAGTATTTTAGATGTGTTCTTACTAACTATTCGATCTAGTTAGTTAGTTAAATCACGACAATATGAAACTTACATTATATCCTTATTTGCATTCTCTGGTTATTCATCCATTAAACTGTCGAATATATTTACATATACTACTTGGGATTCTTTTGTATTATCAATTTACACTTTTTTTAAAGTATAAGAAAATTTCTTTTCTTCTTCGTTACATACCATTAAAGAATTTCGAATTTCAGTCAAATTATAGTTTCTACTACTACTACTACTGCAGCTGTACTGGTTATATCTTGTTTTTTTTTTTTTTTTGACATATGCAATGGTTAGTTTCTCTTTACTACAAACCATTAATGGAAAAATATTCCTCATATATGCAACTTTCGGAGTAAAACAAGTGATACTAACCATGATGTATTTATGATTTTAAACAAATAACTAGACTTTGAATTAAAAATTAATCATGTTTCTTTATATATGTGTGATTCTATTTAAATGTTTGAGTGTTATTGCCGAGATAATGTAAGATATCCCCCACGATCAACTAAACTTGTGTTGTATTCAACACACATGTACAAGGAATGAATACTCTACATTCTGAAAAAGTACGTATATTTGTAAGCTTAATTAGATCCAAATTGTCAGATTACACTTCTATGAGTATTTTAATGTAACAGTGCTTATTGGTGGTTTATTAGTATTTTCTTTTTTTTATCTTTCATCTCCTTATGAATTACCAGAAACTTTATCATATTTTAATTGCATAATTTTAGGTTTCGATATTATGACCGTATATATAAATGATTGAAACGTTTTATATCTCAATTTAATCTAGTTTAAACTAGAACTGGATCAAATATAATCCAAGATATTTGCTCATTTTTTTTGGTCTCGAATTTATCCCAAATTTAAATAAAATTATAAACTATATTTTAAAATACTTAATATCATTAACAAGTTACTATATCTTAGAATATTAATCTTAATTATTCAAAACTTCAATTAAAGTATAGAATTTATATCTCTCTTAAACTTAATACAATAGTATCAAATTCCTAACCGCCTGCTAATGCTAATATCTGTTTATACTTTAACCTCTTCATATCCCTCCATATGATCTTTCTCTTCTTCTCCGGGAGGAATTGAAATTTCCTTCATTTCATTTACCATTTTTTTTTTTCATATTCATGAAAACTAAGTTGCAAAACGCATCTTTTCCTTCTTTATCCAATGCCTATTTTTTTTATATACTCCGGGCTTTTTAAAATTTGGGAGCAAAAAAGTAGTGCATACACCAATATCACGTGTACTCGGATTTGTAATTTATTTTTTCAGGTTTTGTTTTTGTTGATAATTTTTTTTTTTTTTTTTCGTTCTCCGGCAATTAAACTACACGTCACGTTGATCAACTAATACACAACAACAAACAAGAACAAAATAATGTCATTAGAATATGATATATTAAACGGAACAGATGAATTCCCATATCCTACATCGATAATAGGAACAGATTTCAAGAATTTTTCCAATGATTTCCATGAAATTGATGAATTTTTATATCTTAATCATCGATTTAATTCATTAGATTCATTAATTAAAGATTTAAATCAATTATCGAATAATTTGAATGAAACATTATTGAATTTAGTTAATGATGAATATAATGATTTTATAAATTTAGGAAAATCTATTAATTCAGGTAATGAATTGATTGAATTAATATTACAAGATTTAACGAATTTTAAAATTGAAATGATTGAATATTTAAATAAATTTAATAAAATTGATGAAGAATTAGATAAAATATTGAAAAATAGAGAATTATTAATGAATTTGAAAACTTGTAGTAAATTAAATTTAATTATTCATGATCAAATGATGGAATTTGATCATCTTTTAATTAAAAATGATGAATTATTTAAAATTGATATTAAAAGTTTTAAAAAACTAACAAGTTTATATATATCCATGACAAATATAATTAAATTTTTAAATGATTTCACTTCAAATAATCCTGATATAGGTGATTGTTTATTTCATGATAATTATGTAACTAATAAGATTGGGTCAATAAAATTGGAGTTTAAAAGTTATTTAGATCAGTTGATCAAGAAAGAATTGAGCCAATCAAAAAGAGATGGTGATTTTGTATTAGAATTATTGAAAGTATATGAATTAATTGGTAAAACAGATGATTTCATTGGGTTGTTATCATTACTGCAAAAGAAGTAGTAATTCCATATATATAGATTGAGTTTATATTTATCACCAAGTGCACGACTTTTCCTATGAGCCAACCAAAAGTTGACAATTTATAAAAAGTAAAAAAAAAAAAAAAAACTCACAGCAAAAAAAAAAAATAAAAACTATTTCACCAATTCTTTTCAATCAATCAATCAACAACAACAATTACAATTACAACCACCACCGTCACAACATACTAACATAGTAGTATTAAGATCATCATGGCTGTTTTAGGAGAATTATTTAGAGGAAGACATCAATGGGAAAACAAAGAAGAAACCCCAATGCCAAAATCAATCCCAGATGTTGATGAAGTTGGTTCCACATCAGCACCTTTATTATCAGCTTCTTATTATATTGGAGATAAATGTTTACCTTATAATGAAGATTTCTTATTATGTAAAGATGAAAAGAACGGAGGTACATTAGAATGTATGAAAGAAGGTAGAAGAGTTACTCGATGTGCCATTTCAGTATTGAAAGATATTAATAAATATTGTTTTGATGAATTTAAATTACATTATGAATGTTTGGAACAAAATAATCAATATTTCAGTAGATGCCGTTCAAGTGAAGGTGTTTTAAGTAAATGTGTCTTTCAAAATATGGGTTTAGTTAAGAAAATACCTGGTGTTGAAGAACAAATCTTTGAAAAGAAGAATCCTGTTTATAAAAGTGATCCAAATGATGTGAAGAAAACAGCTGCATTCTTGAAATCTAAAGAACAACAACCAACTTCTTCTACAGAACAAACTTCTGAAGTTAAAACCCCAGCTACTTCTAGTTAAATTCTAAGAACTACTTTTATCATTGAAATGAAAAATCATTATTTATACGATATAACTTTTTATTTTTTTTTTTTGGTATTTTTTTTTTTGTGGAAAGCATTTCTAAATGGTGGAGAAGGGATTACTTATCTTTAGAAGGGTTCTCCCATATACATATACATTAACTTATTTTATATACATATTCATTAGTTTTCAAATAATCAAATAAAAGAAATGACGTTTTCTTCACTTGTTCTGACTTGTAGTTATTGTAATTGTTGTTGTTGATATCGCCCTAACTTCGCACCAAAGACAAAGCGATGAAAAAAAAAAAATCAACAACAACAAAAAAAAAGACAAACTCATCACCAAATTGAACATATCAACAACAACAACAACTTGAAGATCAATTGAATTGAAACAATGTTTGGTGCATCGAATACTAACACAAGTGGAGGATTATTTGGATCTTCAAATAGTAATACCAATACTACAGGTGGTGGGTTATTTGGCGCTGCTAAACCAGCAGCATCAACAGGTTTTGGAACTACAAATAATACAACAGCAACTTCAACAGGAGGAGGATTATTTGGAAGCCAACAAGGTCAACAACAACAACAACCAGCAACTGGTGGATTATTTGGAGCTAAGCCAGCTGCATCTACTACTACCACTGGAGGTGGATTATTTGGACAAGCTAATAATACTCAAACAGGTTCTACTGGTGGTGGATTATTTGGAAATCAACAACAGCAACAACAGCCAGCAACTGGTGGATTATTTGGAGCCAAACCAGCTGCATCTACTACTGGTGGGGGATTATTTGGTGGCAACACTGGATCTACTACATCAGGAGGATTATTTGGAGCCAAACCAGCAACCACCACAGGTGCTACCACTACAGGAGGATTATTTGGTGGAAATACTGGTACTACTACAACAACAAATACTGGAGGTGGATTATTTGGTGCTAAACCAGCAGCCACCACCACAACAACCGGTGGCGGGTTATTTGGCGGTGCTCAACAGCAACAGCAACAGCAACAAGTTCAACAACCACAACAGCAACAACAATCAACAGGATTGTTTTCTAACAACACTACTAATAATGCACAACCTTCATTTAGTTGGAGTCAGCCACCTAAAGCATCTACCACATTTCAAAATAACAACAGCAATAATACACTTAATCAACAACAAAATCAAGCAACCACCAATCTTAATACTTATACTCCAGCAGTTAATGATCAATTGAATAAAATTTGGGAACAATGGGATCCAAATTCTGGTAAAAATGTTTTGAAATCATATCTTTATAATAAATTTACCGATGATGAAATCAAAATATTATTGAATCAACCAAGACCAAATAATATCACTTCAGAAGATTGGGAAATTGCCATGAATAAAAGACCAGGTCCTAATTATTATCCAATACCTATTAATTCATTTAATGAAATTGCCACTAGAATTGAAACTCAATTAGATCATGTTTCAAAATCAAGAGTTTTATTAAATAATATAAACACTAATTTGGATAATTTATCAAGTCAACATGATTTAGAAAATACTACTAGAATATTAAAAGCCAAATTAAATCATGAAAAATTAAGTAGAAGATTATTAAGATTAGCTACTGTTTTATCAATCATTAAATTGAAAGGATATCCTTTATTACCTGAAGAAGAAGAAATCAGCAAACAATTTGATTTATTAAGTAACAAATTAAATGATCCAAATGGTTCAATAGGTAAATTGAATGATTTATTTGCAAGATTAAGTATATTGAAAGAAAGAGCTGAAGATTTGAATACTCAATTTGATAATTCTATTAATTTATTAAGCAACGAAGACTTGGGTGATAAGGCATCATCATCATCAACATCATCAACTAGTGTTACTACCACCAATGGTGCTAATGCAAAGAATAATTCGGATGAAGTTATCAATAAGATATCACAGATATTATTAAAACAACAAATGGGATTGAACTATCTTAATGATGTTTTAGAAAAGGATAAATCTAAATTAAAATGATCTTTCTATATTTCATTGGCTTTTGTATATGTACAATATTATCATTTAAATATATTTTTATTTAATAATCTATAAACATTATCATTTAAAATTTCAATTTTATCAAATTTATAAAATTTAGTAAAGTTATGTCTAATTTCATTTCTTAATTTCTCAATATCAACAACATCTTCTTCACCTTGATTAATATCAATATAAATTAAAGAATTTGAACCAATTGAAGAATTCAATTTATATCTTTTTCTAAAATTTGGTGTTTTTAAATTATGTGAAAAATAAATCAGTAATTTATCATTAAAATAATCTTTATTATTCTTTATAAATTCATATCTTGGAATAGCTATAATTTTAGATAATTTATCATTAATTAATTTATTTTTAATCAGTTGAACAAATTCAGGTTCAATTTCTAATGGTAATGAATCATAAATAACATTTCCTTTACCAGGATATCCCAAACTTGATCGTAGTAGTAGTTCTTGTTCTTCTTGTGTTTGATCTTGTGAATTTCCAATCATTCCATACCAACTTTCTTCACGACATGGATTAAATATTAAATTAACGAAAAATCCATGTTTTTCATTATGTAAAGTTTTAAAAATATCAATAGGAGCAAGTTTATTTAATTCATCATAAATGAAATTTAAATCTTCTGGATTTGTTGGAGTTGGTGTTAATCTAAATGAAAATCCTATTGAATTTTTAAAATATGTTGATATTGTTGATGGTAGTAGTGGTCTTCTAGTTATTGGTTTAATTAGTCTTGACTTCATTTCTTTATATAAAATATTTCATTGATTTCATTGATTTGTGGGAGGTTTGATAATAGTTGATGATAGTTGATAGATTTTTTTCCTCTTCTTCTACTTATTCTCGATGGGAGAGAGAAAAGAAATATCTGAATTGTTAATTTTGATTGATTATCAACAATTGATGATCACGATGATGATGGATGAATTGACCAATAAAGTGTCAAGTTATTTGAACAAACCATTAAATGAGTCATTGACCAAGTCTATAATATCACAATATCAGAATTGTTCAACTCCTGATTTGTTTGTTTCGTTTTTGAATGTAATTGGAATCAAACAAAATGATCAAGTTAATGAAATCATAAAATGTATCAAGAAGATAAATATTACATCAGGTAGTAGCAAAATAGATAAACCACCTATCAAGAATACTCGCGATTTATTGGACGACTTAGATGACGAACTAGAAGAGATTGAAGATTCCAAACCAAAGATGAAAATGAGGAAGATCTTTAAGAAGAGTGATAATGATGATGATGAATTAGATGATCTACTAAATGAAGAATCAAAACCAATTATGAAATTCAAAAATCCTCCTAAATTTAAGAAAATAAAACGTGAAGATGCATTAAGAATCAAACAAGAAACTCCCATCCCCACTCCTTCTCAGACTCCCACAACGATGATAAAGCCAAAGACATCCACTACTAATATCCCATCATCGTTACCATCTCCAGCATCAACTCTTCAAGATGAAGATGAGAATTACACTTTTGATATTAATATTCCTACAAATTTAGAAGTGGATCGAGAATGGTATAACATAGATGAAGAATCGTCGTTAGCAAAAACAGATGAAATTCTTGAAAATTCATATAAACCACGACATCGTCGAAAACAACATTTACAACAACAACCACGGAAATCTCAAACGATATCAACTGGAGGTGGATTTAATGAATATGGTGAATATATTGATTATGATCATTCATCAGAAAATGAACTAAACAAAATTCCTATAATTAGTAATGTTTTAATTCCTCCATTTCTAGAAAATCAGAAACAATATTTAAGTTTACAAATTTCTGGTAATACTATTAATGGGAAAATTGGACCTACTGTTGATCCTATAAAAGATCATACTTCTGAATTAGCAAATATGGCAAAACAAGGTTCGTTGGTTGTTCAAAATAGACGTTCAAAACAAGAACGTGCATTACAAGCTAAAGAATCAATAGGTGTTGAAACTAAAGAGGAGGAAGAAGAAAAAGAGGATCAAGGAGTGGATGAGGATGAGGAGAAGGGGGAAGAGGTTGATATTGTTCAACAAAGAAGATCATTACCTGCATTTGCCGTTCGTGATGAATTGTTAACTACCATTAGAGATAATCAAGTCACTATAGTGATTGGTGAAACAGGTTCAGGTAAAACTACACAATTGACTCAATTTTTATATGAAGATGGATTTGGGAAAAGTTTAGATAAACATGGAGAAAAGAAAATTATAGCATGTACACAACCAAGAAGAGTAGCTGCTATGTCAGTGGCTAAAAGAGTAAGTGAAGAAATGAATTGTAAATTAGGTGAAGAAGTTGGGTATTCAATTAGATTTGAAGATAATACTGATTCAAATAAAACAATTATTAAATATATGACTGAAGGTATATTATTAAGAGAAATATTAGGTGATCCAAATTTATCAAATTATAGTTGTATTATAATGGATGAAGCACATGAAAGATCATTAAATACTGATATCTTGTTAGGACTATTTAAACAACTATTAATCAAAAGGAGAGATTTGAAATTAATTGTTACTAGTGCAACGATGAATGCTAATAGATTTACTAGATTTTTTGGGTTCTGCTCCTCAATTTACAATTCCAGGAAGAACTTTCCCAGTTGAAGTATATTTTAATAAGAATGTTAATATGGATTACGTTGAAAATGCTGTGAAACAAGTTTTAACTATTCATTTAACTAATTCTAAACAAGGGAAAGAATTTGTCAATGATGGTGATATTTTAGTATTTATGACTGGTCAAGAAGATATTGAAATTACTTGTGACTTAATCAAAGAGAAACTTAATTTATTAGAAGATCCACCTCCATTATCAATATATCCAATTTATTCAACTATGCCTCAAGATTTACAAAAGAAAATATTCAACAAGAAAAACAACAAGAGAAGAAAAGTAGTTGTTGCTACAAATATAGCAGAAACTTCATTAACTGTTGATGGGATTAAATATGTTATTGATTGTGGATTAGTTAAAGTAAAAGTTTATAATCCCAAATTAGGGATGGATACATTACAAGTAGTACCTATCTCATTAGCAAATGCAGATCAAAGAAGTGGTAGAGCAGGTAGAACAGGACCAGGTATCGCATATCGGTTATATACTGAAAGAGCAACTGATCAAGATTGTATGTATCTACAACCAATACCAGAAATTCAAAGAACTAATTTAAGTAATATCATGTTGATGTTAAAATCATTGAAAATTCAAGATATTAATCAATTTCAATTTTTGGATTCACCACCTAAGGATTTATTAAATTGTTCATTATATGATTTATGGATAATTGGAGCATTAGATAATTTAGGAAATTTAACCAAATTAGGAGAATCAATGACTCAATTTCCAATTGAACCAACATTATCTAAACTTATTTTATTATCCTCACAATATCAATTTCATTGTTCTGAAGAAATTTTAACTATTGTGGCAATGTTATCAGTGCCAAATATTTATCATCGACCTAAAGAAAGATCTCAAGAAGCTGATCAAGCAAGGGAAAAGTTTATCATTTCAGAATCTGATCATTTAACTTTATTAAATGTTTTCAATCAATGGAATACTAATTTAACTAAATTTAAGAATAATTATACCAAGATTAATAATTGGTGTGGGAAGAATTTCTTACAATTGAAATCATTATATCGTGCCAAAGATATTAAACATCAATTAATGTTAATTATGAAGAAATTGAAAATTCCAATATTGAAATCAAGAAATGATGAAGATATTAAAAAATGTTTATGTGCTTCATTTTATCAACAACTGGCAAAATTGAATAAATCAAGTTTAAATGGTCAACCTGAATTTATTAATTTAAGACATAATTATATTAAAATGTATTTACATCCAACTAGTTGTTTATTAGAAAGTAATTTAAGTTCAAATTATGTTATTTATCATGAATTGATTTTAACTAAAAAAGAATACATGAATTATGTAACATGTGTTGATCCTTTATGGTTATTAGAATTTGGTTATAAATTTTATGGGGTTTCAGAGAATTACAAAGGGAAAATCGATGAATATTTAGTTGATAAGAAGAAATCATTTGAAGAAGAATTGGTGAAAGATAAACAGGTTTATCAAGACAATCAAGATATGCAATCTAAAAGGAGAATAACTGATAAACCAGTGGTTAAATCAAATTCATTATTTAAGAAAAGAAGAGGTATTTAATTCATATTATAGTATTCTATTTACAGTCTATTAAAAATATCATTATCTAATGTAATATTATATTATCAATTAATCTTGCCATTTCATTACTATTTTCTTTTGGAACTTTAACAGCAGTTGATACAAGAGCACCAATTCCGGGTTCAACAAATTCAAGTTCATCTAAAGTTTCCGGATGATTTATTGAAATATATTCAATATCGAAATCTTTATCTGATTCAATAATTGATTTAATTTCTTTCAAAATATCACTTGATTTGACTTTACCTTGATTTTTATTCAATTCATAGTACTTCTCACCTTGAGATAATCCTTTATAAATTAAAGAACTTCTTTGTTTCATATCTTTAGATAAATATTGATTTCTTGAAGACATAGCCAAACCATTTTCCTCTCTTAAAGTAGGTAAAATCTTAACATTAGTAGGAATTAATAAATCTTTAACTAAATTTTTAATAACTATACATTGTTGAGCATCTTTTTGACCAAAATAAATATTTGTAGGTTGAACAATATTAATTAATTTAGTAACAACAGTAGCAACACCTCTGAAAAAATTTGGTCTTGTTATACCTTCTAATTGTTCAGAACATCCTAATACATTAATAAAAGCTCCTCTTTGTTTATTTATATCAAGAGTAATACCAGATGGATACATTTCACTTATTTTAGGTACAAATACAGCATCAACTGATTTAATTTTAAAAGTATCATTAATTAATTTTATATCTGAATCTAAAGTACGTGGATAATTATCAAGATCTTCATGAGGTGCAAATTGTGAAGGATTAACAAATATTGAAATTATAGTTTTATCATTTTCATTTAATGATGATTGAATTAATGATAAATGACCAGAATGTAAAGCTCCCATAGTTGGAATAAATCCAACGGTTTGATTATTATTTTGAAGTAGTGCTTGTCTCCATTGTCGAACTTGTGCCACAGTTCGTAATATCTTCGGAGTTCTACTTACTGTCATTTGGGTGGGCGGGGGATATACGGAGTACGATCTGTTGATGATAGATGATAGATGATAGATGTGGTGATTTAAAGTTGAAAAATTTTTCTGCAGGATTTTTTTTTTTTTTAGATTTTGGGTGAAGTTAAGTTAAACGATGGGATGATCTATGAATAAATGTGTATACCTATGTGGATGGCTCCTTTGGAATATGTTTGAACTACTAGAGGAGATTGTAAGAGAGTAGAATATCAATATCAGATGAGTCTTAGACAAGTGTATCGTTTGCTACACTTGTGGAAAATAATTATGTCTACATCAACATACACAAGAAGTAATAGACGAGACACAATTATCTGTCAAACATCCTCGGACCTTCAACGTCTTTTTTTTATTCCCCACACAAATTGGAATTCCCCACCATCACCATGATGACGATCACATTGATGTTGGAAGATATTAACCAGGAGATAAGAATGGAGTTCAGTCGGAGTTAATGGTTCACTCAATTAGTAATCACACAAATACCACCAGCTTGAGTGTTACCCCCTTTATTTATTATCAACGGTTTCTCTGTGCCCACGGTTGAAACGGTTCTGCCCTACCTCCCCAAATTGACTAAAAATCATCTGCAAATTTAACAAAAAGTATAAATATCAATTGGAATTCCACCAAGAATTTTTATTTCAAATTAGTTTACAATATCTATTTTCAACTACTCCACCAACAATGTCATATTCATATGAAAAGAAGATAACTCTGGCTCATCCATTTCGTGCTACTGGTAGTACATTACTTCATGAAGAGCAATCTAGTTTGAAAATAGTTTATGATAAATATAAAACAAGATCACCATATCCAAATTCATCAAATCAATTACGTTATAATTTAATTTTCATTCATGGTACTGGATTTAATAAATCAATTTGGAAATATCATATTAATAAATTATATCAATTATCGCAATCTCAACAAGTTCCATGGTTTTTAGATTCAGTTATATCACTTGATATGGTTGGACATGGCGATTCAAGTTTAGAAAATCAAGGAAAAATTGGACCAATTTTCCGTTGGGATGATGGTGGTAAAGATGTTGTTAATGTTGTTAAATATGAATTAAATTCTACTGGAGATTTTAAAAATGATTTTAATTCAAGAAATATTGTTATTGGTCATTCAATGGGTGGTTATTGTGCGTTATATGCCAGTTTTTTAGAACCAAGTTTATTTGATTCAGTTATTCCTATTGAACCAGTTGCTTATGGAGCTCCAGGAGGTTTAGAAAAATTTACTAAAATTTTTAAAAAAATATCTAAATTATTAATTGATACTTTTGATTCAAAAGAAGATGTTAATTTCTTCTTTAAAGAATTTTCATTTTTTAAAAATATGCAATCTCAAGTATCTGATGATTTTATTAATGGAGAAATTTATGAAATTGAACAAGATGGAGAAATTAAATATAAATTAAAATGTAATACTTCACATCAAATGGCAGCATATTATGGAGCATTTATGTCGATTTCTTATATTATGTTGGCATTACCATTAATTAGAGTTCCAATTTGTCATGTTATTGGTGAAAAAGCAGTTTGGAATCCTCCTGAAAGTATTCCATGGATTAGAAATGCAATTAAACCAGAATTCTTATCCCAAACTGTTGATGTACCAAATGGTGAACATTTATTAAATGTTGAATTACCTGATGAAACAATTGAAATTATTTCAAACTTTATAACTAAAAGAAATAATGAATTTAAAGAAAGTTTGAAGAATATCCCAGAAATTAAATTAAATAAAAATAAACAAGTTATTGCAAAACAAGAATTTCAAAGTTTACTTGATCTTAGATACAAAGATGTTTACGGATATTTCATTGAAGAAAGAGAAAACTTATCCAAGTTATAGAATTTTTCTGTGATATAGATTAGTAACTAAAAGAATAAACATGTAGAGAGGTTATACATATCATTATTATTATTATCGTGGTAATTTAAGCGTAGTTGAAACAGTTAGTTATGTGTGGGAGATGCCCAATTCTCTACCAATGAAACATTATTGATTATTGAATGGAATCGTGATGTAATTTAACTTACATCTGTAAATATATATTGGACTAGTGATTATTCCATGATCTTCGATATTAATACTATCATATATTTAAAGTGTTGCATATATTTTTAACACATGGTCGTGTACTGAACAAGTCATTTTTAAGATTGAAAGAGGAAAGATTAAAAATCCATCAAGTGTCACTAAAAAAGATTTTCTCTTTAATTGTGAACAAAACACACTACCAAGTACACGACTTGAATAATGTTAAAATATACAATTCTTGAAACCAGTGCTTGAGCAGATAACTTCTTGGGAACAGTTGTATTTAATATACTTGACCATAGTTAACTAACAATAAATAAGATAGCTAAGCGACAAGGTCTATTTATCACTTAAGATAAATTGTAGTCTGAAGACATTCACTTACAATGAGTGAAATGTACTAATTTGAAGGGGCGAAATACAATAGTTATAAAACACAAATTTTCATTATATTTTCCTTAAATTCTCTAAATCGCAAATAATCTCCTAAAGGGAAATTATTGCCCTATTTATAGTCATATTTCATCAACCAATCCTTATACTAATATAAAATTATTCTTGAGCGTTACACTACCATCACTGGTCGTGTATAAGTGGAGAAATTCTGTCACTGTAATTTTTCAGTGACATCAAGTGAAAAAAAAAAAATTCTTTTTAATAAATTCCTTATCACTTTTTCTTTTCTTCATTTCTAAGTTTGTTGATTATATTTTTGTATTGTGGTTTAATTGTATGGTGGATAAAGATTGCTTTGAGAGAGTTCCAAAAGGACTTTGGTTATTTTAATTGGGTTTGTTGTATTAAAATTGTTCTATAACTCACTACTAACATTTTACCTATTTGATTACTTCTAGCATTCGTGTATTTATTTGTTAATATATGTATGAGTATAAATTGATTTTGGATACTGTATTTGTTTCGACTGTAGAAGATGACTCTATTCGTAGTCACACACCGCCGTAAAGATATGGCTGATACTCTTTTGACATGTTTCTATAATATAGGCAAGAAACATGAAACTTTCATTTGTTCATTATAGATCTATTTTCAACACTGTTATTCCCCCGAGATTGTACAAAAGAAACCATTAAACCAAGTCGATCCTTGACTGTGTATGTAAACTAGATAAAAATTGTTGAGTTTGGTGAATAAAACAACAAAGCCACGACCTGTAATTATGCAACTAAAAAGTCATTTACTCAATTAATCCAAAATCACAAAGTTCAATAACCACCACCAAGTCAATGTTAAAAAAGGCAAATGAGCAAAACCAAAAAATGAACAAAATTAAACAAAAATGAAAAATCCCTCACATAATACGAGTAGAGAATAATTTAATTTAATAGTGATGATAAATCAAATCCCTCAATTAATTAATCCCAATCTAATTATTATCCAGTAGCAATCATTGTTAATGCACAAGTCGATCCAATTTGAATATATTGACACAATTCACTAGCCCCCAACAAAAAATACAAGAATGAATAATTTGAATTGATTTGTTCTTTCTCATGGTTGGTAATTTGAAAGCAATGGGCAAATTTCCGTTAGATTTCCTTTTTAAACTGAAGTACAAACTAATTCATTTCCACTGCATTTTCTTGTTGTTCTTTTCCATACTCCCGAGTTCTTCTTCTTCTTCGTGTTGTTCCTCTTGTTTCTTTCAGTTGTTGCAAAAACAACAACAACATAAAAAAATACTCGTACATCTTGATGTAATGCAAATCTATAGCATAGTTCAAATAAAAAAAAAGAAAGGAATCGAATTTTTAAATCACGTTTAGGTCACGCAATGCATAAATCTATACTGGTAAATCACCACAAATACAACGCATTCAGTTCCTCCGAGCTGTTGAAAGTGAAGGAAAAGAAACATTAATCGATGAAACAGCAATTCCAAATATTCAAATGTAGACCAACGTTAGATAAACCAACAGCAAGACCATATTCATTGTATTTGGTTTCAATGCTTGATCCCCTATCAATATTCGATTCTTTATTATTATTTCCTTTTATTTTTCGAATGTAATGGCTTATCAGTAATTTGTGTTAAGAAATACTGCGTCATATGTAATTTGATACCCTTAATCTTTTATTACCTATTACAATTCGATCGTAATCAATGACTTTTGGTGATTAGTGATCCTGAGTAGTTTTTGTTGCTTTATTCAATCAGGTGAGTGAATTAAATTTGTTCCCAAATAGTGAGTCACCATAGTTGCATACATAAAAAAAAGAAAAAAGAAAAATAGAATAGAAAAGCAATACTAGACCGCTTTTGGCAATTAATCATTGTTGGTCCAATGAGACATTCTTTGTACAATTGTGATTTGTCATCGGAGTTCCATCCCCCTTCATGTGGCTGTTGGTTACATCACTTCATTGGATGGTGTGTAATTGCCATATAAGCATGGGTTGCCTTGCATGGTGGTAGTTTATGAAAAAGTTTCCCAATAAAATTGACAGAATCTTGTATCGCATTAGTTTGACGTTATTATTATCTAATTGATCTAGATGGGCATTGCTAGAGATAATATAACCTTACATCCATTACATTACATTGGTTGTTGAAATATATGTTTTTACAACCATGATAATTAAATTTGGCAACACAAGCGAATATCTTTTTCGTGTAATACGAGACAGCACACTTTCCACATTCACACACACCCACACACCGAGACAAGGAACCGAAAAAAAAAAAAAAATTCACGCATTTATTCTTAGGAGTACAAATATGAGCAATCTGGCTGTCTCTTTTGGTTGTCTGGGCTGTTTGATTAAATAAAAACAAAACCAAACCAGAATCAAATAAAATAAAATAAAATCACGACAACAGAAAAAAAAAAAAGTCAACCAACTTATTTTCTCTTTTCCTTTCACTTTTTGCTTTTACCATTTAGAGTTTCATTGCTAAATTTTGACAACCATCCCTCCAGAACAACAACATCAAGTACTATCATTCTGTTCATTAGTGTTTTGTCTAATTGCCTACAGCACACACACACAATCAATCAATTCTTCTTACTAATCAATACTTTTTATTTTCTCGTTGTTAGTGTACTTCTTGTTCCAACCCCCCTTCATCGCCTCCCCCCACACACATTTTCATATAGAAATTTTTTTTTGTTGTTAAAATGGTAAAACGAGAACCCCAAGAATCTACATCTAATTTACAAAAGTCAACGGCTAATAGCCCCTCTACAATGTCGAATACTCCTTCTCTGAGTGGTATAAATAGTAATAACAATACTACTAGTACTACCACCACATCCACATCTACATCCACATCGAAACTTTTGAAGAATGAAAACAAAAGAAGAAGAGTCACAAGAGCTTGTGATACTTGTCGACAAAAAAAAGTAAAATGTGATGGTAAGCAACCATGTATTCATTGTACAGTATATTCATATAAATGTACTTATGATCAACCAAATATTAGAAACAAAAAGAATTCTGGTATTCCTGTACCCTCACAACCAAGTCCAGCAATTCTACAAGTAGCTGCTCAAGCTGCTGCTGCTTTTGGTACTAATTCTAATCACAATAGTCCTGATAATGGTCAGAATATTCAACATCCTGATGGTCAATTCCATCAACATCTGCCATTAAACGAATCGTTCCCAAAAACAAATCTAATCATTTTCCAACAAATTATAAATGCATTGTTTCCAAAACTACAATTGAATGGATTTGATCCTAATTTACAACTAGATTTAAACAAATTTCAAAAAGCCGTACAATATATCACCACTAAATCACCTACTTTTGCTTTGAATTTAAATGAAATTTCTGATTTAATGCAAGATCCAAATGCTGTGATACCTCCAAAGAGAACTTTATCTGTTGGTTCATTTGAAGATACTGGTAGTACATCAATGTCTTCTCCTCGTGAAGTTGGATTGTACTTACCAACTAAAGAAGTTGCTCTTAAATTAATCTATACCACATGGAACAAAGCTTGTGTGTTGTTTCGATTTTATCATCGTCCTTCTTTATTAGAGGAAGTTGATTTGTTGTATTCTTTAGATCCATCAAATTATGGTGATCGACAACAGAAATTCTTACCCTTTTTGTACTGTATCTTGGCATGTGGGTCTTTATTTAGTAAAACTCCATATGGGGATCCTGAAGAAGATAAAAGTTTAGAAGATGATGGATTCAAATATTTTTTGGAAGCCAGAAAGTTAATCGATATAAGTAATGTCGGAGATATAAATTCCATTCAAACTATAGTCATGATGATTATTTATCTACAATGTTCAGCAAGACTATCTACATGTTATTCCTATATTGGTATTGCCTTGAGAAGTGCCTTGAAGGAAGGCTTGCACAGAAATTTAACCATTTTCCAAAATTCCAAGAGAAAATTGGACCCAATTGAAGAAGATACTAGAAAAAGATTGTTTTATACTATTTATAAAATGGATATTTATATCAATTCATTATTGGGATTGCCAAGATCATTGAATGAAGATGAATTTGATCAGGAGTTGCCTGCAGAATTGGATGATGAAAATGTCACCCGAGATGAATATTTGTATGATAAACAAGAAGGTAGATTAAGTTCTTCTGGTTGTGCTAATCAACATACTAAATTGATGATGATTTTGTCTCATATAATCAGAAAAATGTATCCAATTAAAGTTAAGGAAGATGATTCTGAAGAATTTCAATCCAGTTCAAGTGTTCATTATTCACGTGATAGAATCCATGCTAAAGTTACAGATTTAGAAGTTGAGTTGAAGAATTGGTTGGATAATTTACCACAAGAATTGAAACCAATTGATCCAAATAGCCCTGCTTCAAGTGATGGAATGGATAAAGTTCCAGAGAAATTCCGTTTGGCAAATTATTATCTTCATTTAGCATTTTTGAATTGTCAAATTATCTTGTATCGTCCATTCATTCATTTTATTAGTGATAGTATGGATGCTTCGGCATCAGATCCACGTTCCTTAATTAGAGGTAGAAATTGTATTAAAGTGGCCAGAATGGTTGTCAAATTGGCCAATAAAATGATTGATCAAAAATTATTATTGGGAACTTATTGGTTTTCTATGTATACTATATTTTTCAGTATTGCATGTTTGATTTATTATTTCCACTTTGCTAATTATAACAATAATGGTAAAGGTTATAATTATGCTGGGATTTTATTTGATGATGATTTGAATATTGATATGATTAAGAAAGATATTGAAATTGGGAAGAAAGTTTTGGATAGCTTGAAAAATTCTTCTAATAGTTCATTAAGAATTTATAATATTTTAAACACTATGTTTGAACAATTGAATAGAAGAACAGCTACCAGATCAAGACAAACTTCAGGTTCTTCAACCACTTCAGCTGTTAGTAGTACTAGTAGTGATGGTACTGTTGCACAAACAGAGCAAGTGCCAATTCCTCCAACATTTCAAAGTCAAAATGTTCAAACTACATTTAAGAATTTTGATAATATGAATCAATATGCCAAAAAGAATCAACAAGATCAAGAACAGTATAGTAATGTTAAGAAGGAAAGTTTAGGTGAATTGTTTGATTCAACATCATTGGCCAAATTTCAATCAAGTACCGATTTACCAAAAAATGTAGCCAATTTACAACGAATGGCAACGCCAAAAGAAGAAGAGAATAAAGAGATTGGAGAAGTTGCAGGAGGTAATTTAACATCAGATTATATGCCTGGAGTATTTGATAAATTGGATGCACAAATTTTTGGTAAAATATTACCACCTTATATGTTGGAAAAAAATGAAAGTTTACGAAGAAACATGATGAATAATAATAATAATAATAATAATAATAATAATCAAGCATTAGGTGGACAAATCTTACCAAACCAAGGTCATCTGCAACAGCAACAACGACAACAATTACATCAACCACAAATGCCTCAACCACAGCATCCTGGAATTAACAATTTACCACCTGGAGGTGGGAGCAATTGGCCAATTGTGAATGGAGAAGATGGATTAAATTTAGAAGCACTTTTTGGAAGTTTAGGAGGTAATGTATCAAATCAAGGAGATTCAAATGGTTTAGAATATTTGGACCCTTTTTAGTAATATGTGTATCTGTATAATTTAATATTATTTATTTATTTTTCAGTATTTTTTTAAAAAATTGTTTGTAAGTAATTTTTGACTGCAAAATGCAACTTGTAACACAAAGTAACGATAGTAATAATCTAGGGCATAATTAATGCTGCTCACATAAGCCCAAGGGACTTTATTGGTATGTTCAACAAGGAAATTGGATGATTCGTCAATAAAGGATTGTTTCCAATCATTAAGAAATGGAAAAACCTATTGAATTCAAATTATAAAGCCGTGTTTATGTGATGGTAAGACGATATATTCTTACCATGATAATAAAATCGGAATCGATTTATTTACAAAAGTTTTATAAATAAAGTATACTTTTTATATTAATTGTTCTATTAATGTCAAATATAAATGTCATAAGACTGCTAGAATTAAATAATTGAAATGTTAGAATTTTTGAATGTTCATTAAGTGAAATTGGCCTTTAATTAACTTTTCCAAATAAGAACCCAAACTTATTTTCCGAAACACCAATCTTAATGAATATTTAAATTGATTGACTTTTTTTTTTTCTTTATATGGATTTTATCTTTGGTATTTATATTACTTCATTTTCGGATGATATTGTTGATATAACATTTTCATTCTCTTATGATACAATATGAATTTCATGTGAAGAAATTGAAATATAATAATCTTGAATTGGAATTTGCTTACAATTCTATGTTTCTACAATTTATAATGAAACGAATAATTCATAGTTTATACATTAACTCAGTATATACTTTTTGATATTAGTCAAAAATCATGCTAGAATAATTAATCAGATAAGTTAGTTATTCCCAAGTCTTATTTTAATAAGAAATGGATTTAATTAAGTTTCTGGAGCCTCATCTTTCACCAATGCACATGGAAAATAGTTAGAAAAGCTCATAAACAATTTTACTTTAGTGTTGAATAAAAGAAAATTCATTGAAAAAAGAGGAAATTTCATTACCTTTTTATACTTGTTTGCTTCTCCCGATTACTCCGTCCTACAAACCAGTCAAAGATAAGATGAGCAGATTAGACATATTAACCATAGAGAATAAAATATTACTAATGATTTCTTAATTTCCCCCCCCCCCCCCTTTAAGACCCAATAAATGATTTGATATGGAATTTAGAACGACATGAAGTATATGAGATAAACTTCAATTATATTGATATGTAATACAGTACAGCAAAGAATAGAATAATAATCAACTAGAGTATATAGAATATACATCTACAATTATAATTACAAAAATCAGTATAATAATCTATGTAAATATGTGTATTATTGTTAACTCTATTAACAGTATGGTAGATGTTTCTCAAATGGAGAAATCAAACGGTTTGTTAGTATTGTGATATCATCAAGTCAACGAAAGTAAGAACAATGTCACAAGTTATCGACCTAAAATACCTTGAAATCAATAATTACCAGAGGAATAACCTGCAACCCCCGTATTTTGAATTCAAGCTAAAGAAAAAGAAAGTTGACAATTGGATTTATATTTTGATTGCTATTCAATTATCAACACATTCACACAGACAAAAACGAACTTCAACCCAAATTGATTTGTCGTGCGACTTGTGCCAATTCACGTGATTATAGATCATCACGTGACATGTGATCAAATGGTTGGGAAAAAAAAATAGAAAAAAAGAAATTCCGAAGTCAAAAATGATGAAATCCCGCCAACCACAGTTTTATTCAACATATTTAAGATTTTAAACTTATTAAAAGAAACAAAAGCCATAGTTTTATATTGCTTGATTTAATTATCTAAAACTAACCAATAATAGAAGAGGACAGGGATATAACCACGACAAGAAAGAGATTTTTTTTTTATATATAAAATGGAAACAATATTCACACTAAATATGGAGGAAGAAGAACAACATCATCATCAAGATACTTCACAGTTGTTACAAGACTGTTTGAATAAATTACAATCACCAACATCTAGATCAACAACAACAGCAACAACAACACTGTCGAGTCTAAATCATCATACTTTCAGTAATAGAAAACAAAATAATCACCTTTATAATAACCATCCAGATATCCAATATTTTCAAAAAATTAAAACCAAGAATCATTTTAATTATCATAAATCAAAACATCAAACTAAATGGAATATAGATAAAATATCATCCACATCTTCTTCAATGAACAATACCAAGATGAATGATTTTGATCCATATAATTTAGAATTATTATTATTGAGAATTAAATCATTTAATTCATTAAATTGGAAAAGTATAGATCCAAGTATAAATGAATTAAAATGTTCAATAAATGGTTGGAAATGTGTATCATTTGGAATTAAGGAATCTAAAAATCATTTAATTTGTACATTTTGTAATCAACAATTAATTTTAAAATATCCTAATTATAATTATGGTGATACTTTGAATAGTAATTTACAAGCTACTCCATTTGATTATAATGTAATGAGTGGTGATTTATATGATGATGAATCATTTAATCAAAAATTAATTGAATTATATTTGAAAAAAATTGAATCTGATGGTCATGATGAAAATTGTTTATGGAGAAATTTTGAAATTTCAATTAATGATATTTATTATTTACGTCATTATTTATCAAATAATGATGATTTTTTAATTATTCAATATTGTAAAAATTTAAAAAATTTAATTGATAATTTATTAATATTAGAAGAATATTCTAATGATTCAATAAATAATCAATTTTTATATCATCAAGAACCTGGAGAAGATTTATATATATCTAATTTTATTAAAATTTCAAATCAATGGTTATTATCAAAATATTTCAATGAAAATAAAGAAAATTTTAATAATGGATTAATTTCATATAATATTCCTTCATGGATTTATAAACTTGCAATTTATGGATGGTCATTAAATGTTCAAACTTATGCTAATGATGTAATATTATTAATGAGTTGTAATATGTGTAATGAAAGAATATTCCTAAACTCAACTAAATCATCATCAACATCAGCATCAACATCATCAATAACTAATGCAAATTTGAATTTATCATCATCAAAAATATTAACACCAGTAGCTTATCCAATGTTGAATACAACAAATGAAGAAGATATTTATGATTCTTGTGAACATGATTCAAAATTTGATCCTAAATGTAATCATAAACCTTGGTGTAGTTATTTACATAATGATTTACCTAAATATTTCATACAAATGATGTTGGAATCTGAAAAACATATTGGTGTTAATGGAGAATTTATTTATGATGCTAATAATAATGATTTAATGAATATTGATACTTCATCATTTAATCCTAACCTGAATAATAATGATGATCTAACCAATTTAAGAAAAAGAAGAAAAAGTTTCACCGTTAATGAAGGTTTAGAAAGATTATCTAAATTACGTAAATTATATTTAATAGATGAGTAGAATAATTTAGTTTTCCAAATATACTAGAATTCATAACGATTGGTTGATAAATAATAATCATTCATTCGTGTATTTATTCATTGTAAATAAAAAATACTTATTCTTGTTTAATTAAAGGTTGACTAAAATTCAAGATTTCAATAAAAGTTTCACCTTCATCTTCATTAATAACTCTTTGAACAGCAGCAACACATCTCTTATAATCAATACGAACTTGCCATATACCTCCAGTAACATCAGTTAATAAATCTCTAGCAAATGTTCCTTTTTTAACATCCCATAATTTCAACATTTTTTCACTTCCACTAACTACTCTTAATCCATCATGTTCAAAACAAGTAATTGCTGCTCCATGTCCTTTTAATTTACTCAACAATTCCCCATTTTTAGGATTCCATATTCTTAATGTAGCATCAGCTGCAGCACTAACTAATACTCCATCAACTAAATCTAATAACCCAACTAAAGAAGAATGTCCAACTAAAACTTGCAACAATTCCCCAGTTTCAAAATTCCAAATATTAATATTAGAATCCATTGATCCTGAAAAACAAGTTTTACTTTTAAAATCCATAGCTGTGGAATAAACTCGATCTTGATGTCCTTGTAATACATGTTTACAACGTCCATTATCCAATAAATCCCATACTCGTACTGTTGAATCGTATGATCCGGAAATAATAATATTACCATAACCAGAAATTGAACGAACAGATTGCGTATGTCCTGATAAAACAGCAATTAAATATGGATTATCATATTCACCATCAAATGGTTCTTGAGTTGTAGTAGTAGATTCTTGATTTTCATCAACAATTGGTAATTGCCAAACATGAATATTATGATCTCTTGATCCCGTGACTAATAATGGATACTCTGGAAATACAATATCTTCTCCATTTTCATTTTTGCCAATTACGGTAGGATGAATAATATCTAAACATCTAATAGTAGATGTATGACCTCTGAAAATATGGGTACATTTCCCTGTTTTCATATTCCATACTCTAACGGTACGATCCGTTGAACCTGTAACCAAAGTATTTCCGGTGTATTTCAAAGCCCATACACCACCTTCATGACCTTCCAATACTTTCATCAATTCTCCCGTTTGAGTACTATAAATTAAAATACATTTATCATCCACTCCCGTGACAATTTTTTCATCATCATGTTGTAAACAAGTAACAACTTTATTGGCATGACCAGCAACGCTTATTCTCTCAGGCTTATAATTTGGATTCATCCATCGATCAACAATCATTTTCCTCTTCTTGTATAAAATTTGAGCTGGATTAATTCCTGGTAATGTACACCATTCACGCATTAATTGAGTAGTATCATTCAATTCATATTTGATTACATTATCATCAGTAATTAATTTATCTGATTTTAACAACTTGATCCAAATATCTGGATTATTAATGATTTCAAACCATTTTTTACAAACTTGAGCTAATGATAACAAAGTATTATAATCCACATATGATAAAATCTTAATGGTAACTTCCAAAGGTACATTACTAATCAAATCTCTTTTCAAGGAATTATTGATCAAACCATGAAATGTACTTAAAGTAGATCTATTAGTCTTCTGTAATAATTTAAAAATTAAATTATTTTGATTTCTTTCATCCAAAAATCCACTTAAACTTGTAATTAAATTGATCAATTCAAGTTGAGTTTTTGGTTCATGCTTCAACACTGTGTCAATAGTATCTATATTAGTTTTACCATCCAACATTGGTTCATTTTCTGTATCCAGTTGTATTGGAGATGCACTTGGTGAAGGTAATGGTAATTGTTGAATTGGATCTTCTTCAATATCTGAAATCGGGGTCTGACTAGGTGAATTCATGGCATTTGGAGTTCTTGGGTGACGTGAATGTTGATCAATAAATCCATGATTCGACACCAAAGAACTGGATGTGGTGGAGGTAGTAGCAGTTGAAGAATTTGGTGCAACGATGAAACTTCCTGGTGATTCAACTTGGAAAGAAACGGGGTTTGTATTTGACGTTGAGGTTTCACCAGTTGAAGTTAATCTCTTCTTCAGAGGAGGATGAACCAATCCATTTGAACGATGGGCAAATAAACCGGAAGGTTGTGATTGAACTACTGACATCAGACTTTGATTATCGGTATCTGAAGATTCATCATATGACGAATATACTAAACTTTTTTGATCATAAACTTCATCAACATCACCAGCATTTCTTTTACGGTGATTTTCCCGATGTGGGAAACTCGTACTGTTTGTATTGGTAGTAGTAGTAGTGGTGGTGGTGGGGTTGGTTATTGAAGGGTCGGGATTTGTAGAAAGGGAAAGTTTTTGATATTCTTGATGTAGCCAATTATCTTTGTTATCTGATAATTTCCCATTTGGATGGACTAGTTTATATTCAAATCTCGCAAGTGAATCTTCTAATGGATATATAAATGAACTTGTATAGTTCAAATCATTGTTGTTATTGTTATTGGTCGATGTTTTGTTGGTTGTAGTGGAATCCATGATGCTTTGATTAGACGATAGTTTGGGTTCAAGTATTTATAACGGGGGATATACAATATTCAGGGGTAAATATCCGTGTAGTAAAAAATTTAGTTGTTATTTTTTGAACAAGTTCAATAATCTTATTCCCTCTTAGTCAACAGTCCTTGTGAATCAAATAAACGGTGTAATCAAGAACCAAAAAATAAATGGAATATTAAACACAAATTAAGGGATTGATAATACAAAAATAAAAAAACAAATACTCAATATACAAAGATGATAAAAACTTGAATGATGAAAAGAAAAACAAATGATGAAATGATACTTTTTGTAATTTTACTTCTTCAGTTGTTGGTTTGTGATGAGATATCTAGACTGTATGAGTGGTTAGTTGTTGGTGATGATGATGGTGATGGTGATGGTGATGGTGGTTTTGCTTGTGTTTGTTAATTTTTTTTTCTTTTTCTTTTTGTTGGGAAGGAAAATTTTTTTGGTTTGCTCACAGCAACAACTTCGGCTGACGAGGACGGAACCATCAAAATGTATAACCTACGATTAACATTTCACAGCCAAAAATTAAACGAAAAACGCCTTTCCACAATTTATGATTACATTTATTTTACTGAAATACTACTAAACTATTAATTATATAACAAGCTAGCAAATACCTTATTCAATGTTCTTGATAAGAATACCTGGTTCACCTGGGATGGCATTTTCCATAATCTTACCTTTGAATTCAAGGGCGATGTTATCTTCACCAGTAATGATATCCTTACCTTGGGTTTCACCATTATTGAAAGAAATCATTTGTAATTCTTCAACCTTAAGTGAGTAAGCAGCATTTTTAACAACATCTATAACTTTAGTTAAAACTTCAACTTCATCAAAAGTCAACTTTCTATTAAATACAGTTTCTGGATCTTCTTTAGCTAATCTCATTTTAAGTGCTTGAACATATGGCATACCACGTTTCATATCTTTACCAACTCTTGATCTAATTTCATTGGTATCATCTAATTTTTGTTGTTCAAATAATTCTCTAACAAGTTCAATATAATTATCTTGCCATTCTGGGAAAGTGTTGGAAACTAAAACAGTAACTTTAACTGGTTTAGAAGCATCAACGTCGGATTTACCCTTCTTTTTCTTTAAAGCTTGACCTTCAGCTTCACGAATAGATCTGGTAACATCTCTAACATATTCCAGAGCATCAAGAATAGATTTGGAAACTGGTTTAGAAGCTCTTGGGAAAGCACTGGTTTGAACACTACCAGATTTACCCAAGACTTCTTTATAAAGATATTCAGCAAAATGTGGAGCAATAGGAGCCAACATCAATGCTTGAGTTTCAATATATTTCAAAACAAGATCTTTGTGCATACCAACACCAGTAGTAGAAACACTTTCTCTATAAATATCTCTAGCAATTTGGAAATCAAACAAACCATATTTCAAAGCTTGTTTATAATTACTCAAAGTATATTGATGATAAGTTTTTTCAATCAAATCATTCATTTCATTTTCAAATGCTGCATCAAAGAATGAATCATAATCTCCAGTTCTTAATTTATCTTGTTTGCCAACTTCTTCTTCACACCAATCTTTCAAAGTAGTCAATCTCAAAATTGCTGCATTGGCATTAGCTTCATCGAAATTAGCATCTTCAACAGTATCACCGGCATCAGCCATGGCAATTCTGGAAGCATCAGCACCGAATTTTTCAACAATTTGTTCCAAAGTCATGAAATTACCAGTGGATTTAGACATCTTGGCATTATTCAATAATAAATGACCATTAGCTCTAACACCTCTTGGCCAGAATCTCTTTGGGAATAAAGCAACATGAGTATAGATAAAGAAAGTCAAATGGTTTGGAATCAAATCTTTACCAGAAACTCTAACATCTAATGGGTAGAAATATTCAAATTCTCTTCTCATTTCTTTTAATTGATCTAATGGAATATCGGTTTTAACATCATCACGACGAGTGAAAATGAAATCAAAAACTTCATCAGTCATTTGTTCTGGTTTAATGTTGAATTTACCTGGTTTACTACCGTAATAATCAGAATGCAAGAAACGATCAATAGTATAATAAGCCATGTAAACAGTGGAATCAGATAATGATTCAACCAAGTAATCATGATCCCATGGTAATTTGGTACCTAAACCGAATTTTCTAGTAACAGCCCAATTCTTCATCCAAGCTAAAACACCTTCAAATCCATGTCTGGTTTCTTTGGAATAAGTTTCCATATCTTTAAGACATTCTAAAGCTTGACCTAACCAAACTTCTTCACCATAATCAATATACCATTGATCTTCTAAAGAAACACAACAGTCATCACCAGATCTAGAAATAACTTGGGATTCTGGTTCATTGTAAACAAAGGCTAATCCTTCATCAATCATATCTTGTTTAACTTTTGGTTTAGCAGCTTCAACTTTTTCACCCTTGTATTTACCAAGCAACATGGTACCGTTATAGAAACCTTCTTTATAGGCCAATTCTTTAGCTTTAGCTAATTGAACAGCATCTTTTGGTGATTTAATCTTTAAATCATTAACTAAAAATTCAGCACATTTATCACCATATTTTTCAGTTTGAACAATTGGAACAATTTCAGTTTGAACCCAAGATTTATCAATACCATAATATTCTGGTTTGTGTTCCAAATCTTTAGTAGTAATGTAATCGTCTGGAGAATCTGATGGAACACAAGTAACAACACCAGTACCTTTAGTGGCAAGAACAGTTTCCATAGGTAAAACTTTCAAGTTTTTCAAAACAGAATATGGAGCATCAATAGAAGAACCAACTAAAGCTTTACCATTAATGACAACCAATGGTTTGTAGTAACCTCTTTCTGGAGTTAATTTTTGGTATGACATGTTTTTGAAAGCACGTTCAGTAGTAATGAAATATTCACCATTACCAGCATCAAAAACACCATAATCAATCTTTGGACTAACAAAACAACAAGTTTGACCATACATGGTTTCTGGTCTTAAAGTAGCAGCAACCAAGTAAACTTTCTTGTCAGAAATATCAAATTTAGAATCTTCAAAGAATTTCTTAGCTTCTGGGGCAAAATCAGTAACTTCGATTTTAATACCAACGTATTCTTGTGGTCCAACACCTTCACCTGATTGTCTATCATGATCTAAACAAGCTTGGCCATCTTTTTCAGAATAAATAGTGTATCTTTCACCAAACTTAATCTTACCAACATCTCTTAATCTATTAATTTGCCATCTAACAAAAGCATCATAATATGGATTGGCATCAGTAGTAACCATTGAACGTCTCCAATCAACTCTAGCACCAAATGCAGTAACATCTTTTTGACATAATGGTGGGAAAAATTCTAACCAATATGAAGTATCAGCAAATTTAGCAACTTCATCTCTTGGAATACCTAATTGCATCATAATTTCAAATTGAAATTTAGCTCTACCAGTTTTAGCAGCAGCTTTAGATTTATTACTTTTAAATTTAGTAATATCTTCTCTTTTAACTTCTTCTTTCTTTTTTGGTTCTTCTTCGGCTTGTTCTTCTTCACTTGGAGCATTAGCAAAATCAGATCCAAATAATTCAATTTCTCTTTTAATTTTATCAGCAGCTGCTTTAATTGGCATACCAGTACAATGGAAACCTAATGGGAATAAAGCTCTTTTACCATTCATTCTTTGAAATCCAGTAGCAAATTCAACTTTTGATAAAGTAAAAGCATGTCCCGCATGTAAAACACCATTCATATAAGGATAAGCCATAGTTGCAAAAAATTTTGGAATTTCTTCTTGAACTTTTTCAACATCTTCAATAGGACATTCTTCTAAAGTTGGAGCATCAACTTCAAATACTTTTTCATCAGCCCAAATTTTTTGATACTTCTTTTCAATTTCAACTAAGGCATCTCTACGAAATGTCTTTTCAAAAGTGACAGGTCCACTCATTGATACAAAACGATAATTCTTTGTTGTTTAAGTGGGAAGAAAAGGGGGGGTTTACTTTATAAGGTGATTCATAAAAGGAAGAGTTATGAAAAATTTTTTCGTTTGGGTTTTTTTTTTCCTTCGTGGTTCCGGTTTAGGAATTTAGTCTATCACGCATTATTATGTAATCCGCCACTCACGATTCGGGTGATGCAGACACATTTATGTATGATCCTATTTACTTTCTACTTCAATTTACGTCTTCTGATTGATGTTGGAACTAATGCGGGAACAGCAGTAGCAATGGGTTTAGGAGTGGCGTTACTTTTGGTTATATCTTCTTTTGTTACAACTTTAGCTTTACTATTACCAATTTCTAGGAGACTATCACTCAAACCAACTTTACCAGCATCACCAGGTTCAACAAATTCAACTAATGCTTGTTTATCTTCAGGGAATAACAACACTTTGGATACTTTACCAAATTTATCTTCAAAATATTTCTTAACTTGAAGATAGTTCAAAGTGGGATCTAAATCACATAATCCGATGGTTTTAACACCATCAAAATCTTCTGGTTTCATAGGGTTCAATCGTTGTTGCTTTGTCACAGTCAATTTTCTTCCTTTTAAATTAATTCCATTCAACTTCAATGCGTTTGCAAACCCATCGAGTGTTTTATAAGTAACAATTGCCAAACCACCATTTTTCTCCATTTTTCCATTTACTTCATTGTGTACAGCTTTTGGAAAAGTAATCACTTCTATTTCCCCACATTTAGCAAACCTCTCTTGAACAATATTCTTGGATATATACATATGGATATTTGATACTCTTACTTTTCTTTCACTTATTGGAGCTGTACGGTCATGTTTATCAGTTGGTCTAGATAATTTAATTTCCCATGCAAAATTACCATCAAGATTTTCATCGTGATATGTTTTGCCATTATATTCGTCAATAACTTTCTGGGCATCTTCTGAAGAAATCATTTGCAAATAACAGAATCTCTTTTGACGTTTCAGGGTTTGATTTGGAAATCTAATTGACGCAACTTTCCCAATACCATTGAATAATTTTTTAAGATCATCTTGAGAATAAGTTGAAGGGTAGTTATTAACAAACAATAATGCATCCTGTAGTCTACTAACTAATATTTCATTACCATGTAATTTCTTATGTGTTCTAGTCAATCCTGTAAATACTTGTTGTTCGTTGTGGAAATCGAATATAGCAACTTTATGATTATCTAACTCAACAAATAAAATATCTCCAATTTCTCCACAATCTTTGAAAAAATCACGAACTTGATCTTCTGTTGTGTCCAATGAAATACCTTCAACTTTAACAGTACATTTCTCTCTTGATTTTGTCTCGGGCTCTTTTTCAATCTCGTCGTGTTTTCTCTTTCTTTTGTTTTGTGTTTGACCAGTTCCATTGGCTTCTTGTTTTAATTGTTCTTGTTCACGTTTTTGAACTACTTTCTTCATGGCCTCATTACAAACTACAACAGCTTTTTCAAACGATGAAACATCACCATGTAATTGTTCGTACAACAACCATTCTTCAGTTAATTTCTCGGGGAAATCTAGTTCAGTGGCATATGATAAAGCCTTTTTAAACAACTGTCTAATATTCAGTGGTTGGATATTCAATTCAATATAACATTTCACAATATACAACCAAATGTCCACTTGATTTTGAAACTTTTCATACATCATCTTCAAATAACTCAATACAGTGTTTGTATCACCTAATTTTGAATAGATAGAAATGGCAAGTTTTTCAACTGAATGGAAAATATCATTTGATTTTATAGCTTGCTCTGCATATTGTAACAATTCATCAATAAAATCATCAACAAATTCCCCCAATTCATCTTGTGACCCATTATGAGATTTAATTCTTTGATATTTCATTTGAATAATTGCAAGTACAACCAATTTCCATTCTTGAAAATCCCATTTATTCATTAATTCCATTAAATCAATTCTATGTTTAATAAATTGATAATTTTCAATAACATCTCTAGTATCTAATGTACCACAATTTCTTATAGTTTCAGAAAAAGCATGTCCTGAAGTTGGGAAAGTTCTAATATATTTAGTTAAAATAAAATTCAATGAATTTAAATCAATTTCATCGTCATTTGAATAGATAAGATAAATAACAGACATCCATACTTTTTCCCAATCATTACACCATGAAGCATCAATGGCAATTGAACGTTCAAATATTGCAATTATAGCATTCATATCATCTTTATTATGTTTATGTACATCTTCCATATAATTTATCCATAATTGAGGATCCTCGGGGGTCTTTTTTAGAGCAATTTCGTAAGTTTCATAATATGGGATTTTTGATTTGGTTTTAGAATATATTTTTGTAGCCATAGTCATTCTTTCATCATAATTTTCATTATCAAATTCACTAATTAAAGATGAAAATTCACTAAAGGATTCATCTAATTGTCTATGAGGATAACTTAACCTTTTTAGATGTAATTTTATCAACCCTTGTAAATCTTCAATATCTTTTGAATTTATATATTTCTGTTTAAAAAAATCTAATAAATTTATCCATATTTTATTTCCATTTAAATAATCATGAGCTCCAATACTTAACACTTTACTAAACAAATTCTGATAATCATCTTCATCAAGGATTTCTTGAGTTACTAAATCTTTACAAAATTCAAGATAATTATTCATGGTATTTGCATTTGAATAATCGGGCACAATTGAATTATAAAATTCATATTCTAAACTTGATCTTTCTATTATATCTTCAATTTCATGTATTGCCAAAAGCCAATTGTTTAATTCATTATGAGTTAATCTGAAATATTGAAGTTTATCCTTATATGTTTCATGAATATATTTGGCTCGTTGTAATGGATTCTCAACTGATTGAAAACTGTTGATTAAATCATTGTAGTTGGTATCAATGTATGGATTCTTTTCAATTGATGATCTTATATCTTCGACGGTCCGTTCAGTCATGGTTACTAGTTGTTAATGCAGATGATTTGTCTTCAAATTCGACTCATCTTCCATGATTAATCAACTCTGTTGCCTGTTGTTGTATTTTTTCTGTATTTGTAGTTTTTTTAGGAACAGAAATTATTTGGTGCGGGACACGACACGACATACTTTTTATTTACCGCACACAATGGATTATTTTTTTTTTTTAATCTCATCTCTTGGTAGGTTTATCATTATCAAGCCAGATCAAATCAGATTATAGTGCACAACAATGGATGCCAAAGTGTATTTACAGTCCTTCGGATGGAAAGAAGGAGAAGCATTACAGAAAGGTGGTTTAAAGAAACCTATTTTAGTTAAGCATAAAAAGGATACAAAAGGTTTAGGTCATGATGCAAATGATTCAGATATGTGGTGGGAGAAACTTTTTGATGGACAATTAAAAAATTTAGAAGTTAATAATGATAAATCAAATGGAAAAGTTACATTTGAAACTAATGATGAGAAGGTAGTTGATAGTTTTCATAAATCTATTTCTCCGTTATATAAAATGTTTGTCAAAGGAGAAGGATTAGCTGGAACAGTGGGTAAAACTGATCATACCAAGGAAAAACATAGAGAAATTTCATCAAAAGATGCCTTAAAGGATATGGAAAAACTTACAGGTGGAGAGAGTGCATTAGACAAGAAGGACAAGAGGGACAAGAAGGACAAGAAGGAAAAGAAAGAAAAGAAAGAAAAGAAAGAGAAGAAGGACAAGAAAGAGAAGAAGGACAAGAAAGAGAAGAAAAAAGAGAAGGACAAAATACTATCAAAAGATAAAAAGGCAAAGACAAAGGACCTATCATCGAAATCAAAGAAACTGGATGATAAGAAGATCAGTAAGAAAAGAAAACTTGATAATGAAAATTCTGATAATCTGGAATCAAAACTGAAAAAGAAAAAGACAAAGAAATCCAAAAGTTAGATATCATATGATTGTATAGACTTATTTATAGAAATAGAAACATAATTCATCCCCTGTTTTTGATTTCCATAAGTAATTGTTGAAATTCAGAGATAATAACACTTGGTATGGATAACATGGTTGGATCGACTAGATGTCGCAGTACGACATTTTGTTTTTTCCATGTCGCAACATTTCCTTGTGTCTCTCCCCCTTATGCCATGTTCTGTCATGCATAAAAAAAATCAAACAAGGTAAAAAAAAAAAATCTCAATACAACTTTCCCTTTTCCTTTTTCTTTCTTACTATACTAATTGATAGATTGATTCCATTTTAGTGGTGTTTGTTTAAGTCCGTATAGGCTCTTTTGAAGCTTGCATGCTTTCCTCTACTAACGCTGCTCATATATCTAGCATCAAATTATAGTGTTCATGAATATATGTTTATATTATTATACTGTCGACAAGATATTCTTTTCTGTAACGTAGTTCTCTAATCAATATAACTACTTCAATCATTAGAATAATCGATACATTACTAAACGTTATACTATACATTAATTTATCATTGATGTATCTCTTTCTGTTTGAATTCTACTGATGAATATTTGCCATCAGCATTTGTGTGATGTGTTATCACGTGTCTACAAAAATTAACGTCGTGTCCGTGTTGAAAATTCCAATGAGTATAAATTAACTCATTGAATGATGAATCATAAAAAAAATTTAATAATAACTCTTTCTTTCTCTTTTTTGATTCTTAAGAGAATGTTCCATTCAAATCCGCTTTGGCGTAGACCATATATGGACGGTTTTAGTCTCCAACATTTACCTTTTAGGACTACTAACATCACACTAATTCTAGCATTTTTATTGTATATCGATTCTTTATAAATATATTCTGTGCAAATTTGTATTGCGTTTTATAAATTATTTCCAAAAAAAAGACTGTAGTAACTATCAATTGTTAACGCTTTGTTAGTGATCGTACTGCCCAAGTATTTCCTCTATTTTCCTGATAATTTCAAATTTTGATGATAATTTTGTATGAAATCTTAGTTAAAATATGAGTGCTCTTCTTTCAACACCAAACCATTGACTACAAACTCTAAAATATTTCTAACAAACATGTCTTATATTACATTCGTCGATAATTAGTCACCAACGACACCACTACAATCCACCGCTAACTACTAATCTATCTAAGTGTGGTATGTTATTCTAATCGTAGACGGTGTATCATCGCCAACACGCCATGGATTTATATGCAGGCCATTTTTTCCTTTACAAATAATAATAATCACGATTTAAAGAAAACTTTATTTATGTAAACAACACCACAAGTAAGGATAATCATTGTCACTACGGTCTTAAATGTCAATAAGAGATGGCAATTAATTCTAGTAACAAGAAACTCATAATATGGTCATCAACTGTACTTATTTTATTATGGTGTATTAAAACCAATCGAATATCCATTATAATTTCCCTCATCTTTGGTATTTTAATCGCTTTATTATCAACAATTTATTATCTGATTAAACTACGACAATTCAAACCACAACAAAAGAACAACAACAACAACAAGAGGAAGAAGAAAAGATTTGAATTCACATATCCTGATAATTGGAAAAATGAAATTATTCAATTACAAAATGATAATTTTAAATTAAAACAACCTATTTTCCCAGACTCATTTTTAATATCTGAAGTTTTACAAGAATTGATTGATTTGATAATTGGTGAATTTATTACTCCTTGGTACTTTCAATTAACTAAATCTACATTATTCACCGATGATATATCATTAGAAATTAAAGAAGTTATTAAGAATTTTCATGGAAGATTGATTAATGTTGATTTTGCACAATTATTGGTTGTAAATATCCTACCTATAATTCAAGATCATTTCATGAGTTTTTTACAAGCTGAAGAAATTGTTAAAAATCAAGGAAAATTTACAAAATTTGATTCAAATGAATATCATTTAGCAATTGCATCACTGTATAAAAGAGGGAAATTACATCGTGGAGTAACAACTAATAATCTGTTGACTAATAATGATGAATCAAATCCTAAAGAAAAGATATATCTTCGCAAGAAAGTTAAAGCATTATTACCTTTTGTTTTGTCAGATAATGAAAAGGATAATGAAATTGTCATTGGATTTGTCACTGAGTTAATTGCATGTACTGTATTATGCAATGTTTTCAATTTGTTAACCGAGAGTGATTTCTATAACTTAATGATTGTTAAATTGATTGGTGATAATTTAAGAAGACGTGATCAAGTTAAGCAGTTAAGGGCTGCTTTGGAATTGCATACTCAGAATAAGTCTAAAAATAAAGATGAACTGAATGGTCCATCATTGAAACCACCAGTCTCACAAACAGCATCAGACTTAAGTTTACAATTTCAATTAAAGGAGAAAATTAACCAAAAGAAACAAGAACGGGAAAATGACCATAGTTTAAAACTTAATGATATTTTATTTGATAAGGATAATTCAAGAATTTTCAGAGAATTTATGGAGCATGAAGGTAAATCTAAACTTCTTGAATTTTGGGAAGAGGTGGAACTTATCAAAGCTCCATTAGAAGGAGTTGGTGGTGAGGATGATCCTTTGGCTTTGTCTCTTGAATTTGGGAATAGTGATGATGTATATCAGATATATACAAAATTCATCATCAATGGAGACATCCCAACTTCAGATATTGGTATGTTTGATAAATTGGTTAATCCAACGGATGAAAAAAATGAATCTAAAATGAAAGTATATCATGAATGTAGAGTGGCATTGTTCAAGATTCAAAATGAAATTTTCGAACAAATGGAAACGGAGGATTTGCCATTGTTTAGAGATTCTGAATTGTATCATGATCTCGTTAATCAAACAAAACCATCTGAGGTGAATCCAGAGGTTATACATGCAGTCGAAAGTGCATTTACTCAGATTATGAAAAATCCTGAAAATTTAGAAACACAATTTAATGAGACGGATGATCAAATATTAACTACTATTCAATTAAAGAAAGAATTATTTGGAGATATAGCTAATTATGGGTCAGATGAGAATTTGAGTAATAGAAACTCAAGATTATTTGATGATGATTTATCTGACGAGGAAGTTTCTGAAACAGATAGTGATTCAGTCAATTCAGAAAGACCCAATTTATCCAATAGTGATCTGGAAGTGCAATTTGCTGCTCCTGGAAATTTAAATTTAGCTGAAGAGATTCCAAAATTAACTCAAGAAGTTGAAAACTTACAACGACAAATTACAGTATTGGATCCATTAATTAAGAAAGCTGAATTAACAAATAATGTATCTGAATTGAAAGTTTTACAAAAATTAAAAACTGGGATGATTCGTGATATAAATTTTATGGAATTACAAAAACAGCAATATATTGTACAAGAAAATGATAATAGTTTATATGGGAAATCAAGAGTTTGTATTCAATCGTATATTCGAGATGCAGAAAAGAATGGCAAAGAATTCACGTTGTATATAATTGAAGTTCAGAAATTTTCCAGTGAAGATCCTAATGAAATCAAAGCTGGTTGGGTTGTTGCTAGAAGATTTAGTCAATTTTATCGATTGCATGAATATTTAAAATCAAGATATTCAAAAGTTGGACAATTGAAATTTCCTAAAAAAACAATCCAAGTGTTGAAATTCCAACAGAAACAAATTGTTGAAATTAGACAAATTCAATTGGAGGAATATTTGCAGCAATTGATTAAGATACACGAGGTTTGTTCAGATAAAGCATTTAGATCGTTTTTATCATCTGAGAATTTTAATCTTAAAAAGAATCAAAGATTTGAAGAACCTACTAGGAATGAGAATAGTAATAATTATCAGGAATTATTTGGTAATAAATGGTATAGAGGTATATCCGATTTTGTTGCCACACCTAAATCACCACATGAAGTTAAAGAAGGTCAATCAGGAATTGATTCTGGATTAATGGAAAACATCAAAGATATGGAGAAAGAATTGAAACAATTTGATGAGGAATCAAGCCAAACTTCAAAGATGCCATTTGTCAAACCAATTTGTGATTTATTAATCACAGTATTTAAGCTTCATAATTCTAAAAATTGGCTTAGAGGAAGAGCATTAGTTGTTATTTTACAACAAATCTTGGGTACTACTGTTGAAAAAAAAGTATATGATTTAGTTGAAGGTCAATTAAAATCAGAAGAGACTATATTAGATTTAATTACATTATTAAAAGATATTCTTTTCCCAAATGGTAAATTTAAAGATCCTCCAATATTAAGATCATTATATCAACAATCAAATACAAGACAAGAAGCTAAAACTTTACTTGAATTTTTCATATTTGAAACTTGTTCAAGAATATTTGGAAGTCATAATAGTATCTTTGCGGCTAATGAATTTTTCAAAATGATTCAAAATGAATATTTAAATAGACATTTGATCTTTGAAATATTTGATGAAATCATGAAACAAATTTTCCCAAAAATAGATTAAATAGATTAATGTATACAGTGCACGTGACTTATGAAAGTAACAATAAAAAGCTTAAGGTTTGTGTATAGAGTTATAAATTAAAACTGAGCCTCTTTAAATGTTAAAATTCATTCTGTGTCAAACGTGACAATTTCAATCTCCAGATTCTATTTTGTAATGGCAATAAAGTGGTGGTTCATGAATATTGCCATCAAAGATGAAATTGCATTTTGGTGTAAAAATTTCTTGATCACATATTTTTGATTGCATGCTGCGGTTACATACGATGATAATGATTGCTTGTTTAATTTAATTAGTGTCTCACAGATATGCTTGCTGTTACTATGATTGAATTCCTTCATTAGTGATTAAACATTACTGTCATGAAAGTTAAGCCGCCTTTATCCGTCATGGTACATAGATTTTAATCATTGGTCCTGCCTTCTTGTCCTTGTCCTTGTCCTATTTTTCCCCCGGTAAGCGGAATTAAAGAGAAAAATTTCTAACAGTGAGTTTGAAATTTACCGCCAACAATCTTCAGCACCACACCACAGATAATTTTTTTTTTGTTCTCTCCTCCTCCGGATCTCACACATTTCTTTCTATTTTCTTTTTCTTTATCTAATTAAACCCTTTCTATACATTAACCCAAATGTCTAAAGCAGATCCAAAAAACCCACCTAAAGTTCCAAATGGTTGGATAGCTAAATTTGATGATGAATATTCAACTTGGTTTTATGTTAATTTAGATACTAAAAAATCTCAATGGGAAGCACCATCAGGTACTTCATTTAATGATAGACCAAGTTCTCCTCCTCCACCACCAGCTTATAGTTCACATGATGATTCAAGAAATAATAGTAGTAATAATGTAAATCAAAATAAAAGTTCGTCATCTCGTCCTGCTGCTTCTAATCCTTCAAGTGGTTATCAAAGAGGAAATGGAAATGGTGGATATCAACCACAACCTCAACAAGGATATCGTCAAGGACCTCCACAAGGTGGCTATTACCAACAAGGTCCGCCACAAGGGTATTATCAACAAGGACCACCACCACAAGGATACTACCAACAGGGACCACCACAAGGGTACTATCAACAAGGACCACCACAAGGGTATTATCAACAAGGACCACCACAAGGTTATTATCAGCAACAACAACAACAAAGACACAGTAGTAATGCTGGTAAAATGGCAATGGGTGTCGGTGGTGGTTTATTAGGGGGTATGTTGTTAGGAAGTGCTCTTAATGGATATGAAGATCATCAACAATATGAAGCTTATCAAGACGGTTATCAAGATGGTTATGACAATGGTTTTGATAATGGTGGTGACTTTGATGGTGGTGATTTCGGTGGTGATTTCTAGATCAATAGAATTGACATTTTTTATATAGGTATGTATGTTATTAAATGTGTTGCCAATTATTAGTATAGACATGTTTTAGCCTCAATCACACGACTCGTTCTTTTTTGTTAACGAAAGTAATTTTTTTTTTCAACCAACCAATTAATGAGAAATGTTTCTTACTCTGCAAAAAAATATAATAGTATACATTTGACAAAGGACGTTTCTTGTTGATCTAACAAAAAAGACCTCCCATATCTATTCACACATACATATATATATATACACACTATGAGATTCACACAAGTATTGAGACAACTTCCTAAGGTTCATTTATCTGAAGTTATAGTTAGAGCAGGAGAAGGTATACCTACTGGTTTAGCAGGAATTTATAAACATCCAAATCCAAGACCAGCATTAGTTGCATTATATAATGAAACTTTAAATGTTTTAAAAGATAAATTTCCAACTGATTCAGTTTATAGACAATCAGTTGAAACATTAACTAAAAATAGATTAAATATTGTTGAAAAGGAAGAAATTGTTGAAAATATAGAAAATCAAATTGGTGGTGGATTAATTGAAGAAGTTGTAATTCAAGCTGCTGAAGAATTAAATTTAGTTAAAGAATTAGGTGGTTTGAAAGTTTGGGAAGAATTAGAAGAAAAACCTTTAGATGACCAATGGGTTTACTTTGGTAAGAAGATCTAATCTCTTGCTATTATTATTACATAGTATTATTGTAATTATAGTTTCAAGTATATGAATATTTATCAGTTAATCATCTTGTATATTAAGAGTTAAACAACGAGTTGTAGTATTAACAAAAGTATATATATAACACATTCTGATGGTATTTAAGAAAAAGAATAAACGTTATAGAATATATAACAAAAACCATTGATCATGAAACTTAAAAATGATAAAAAAAAAAAAAAATCAAAGAAGTAAAGAAATTGAATATACTAAAGCTTACATATAAGAATAAAAAAAAAGCAACTCAATAAACAGATAATCAGTTTCCTCTAAGTGATTAAAATTAACTAAAACAAAAAACAGTTTGGAATAAAAAAAAAATTGATTTCAATAATTAACATTCCCGGACAAGTTTAACAACAGTTATTGTTTTTAGAACCTGAATTGCTTTGAGAAACATCTATACCACCAGAAGCACCACCACCAGTAGTGTTACCAACATTTTCTTCAACATGTTTTTCTTGAATGATACCAGCCAATTCATAAAAAATAGAATCGACATTTTCATTACTTTTAGCACTTGCTTCCAAGAATGGGATATTTAATTTAGCAGCCAATTCTTGACCTTGTTCTTTTGAAACTTGTCTATTAACTTCATCATCACATTTATTACCAACCAAGAAAATTTGTGCATCTTCATTTGCATGTTGAGTAACTGTTTGGAACCAATTTTCAACATTTTCAAATGATCTTGAATCAGTAACATCATAAATTAAAACAATACCCATGGCACCACGATAATATGCGGTAGTGATGGTTCTAAATCTTTCTTGTCCAGCAGTATCCCAAACTTGTAATTTGATTCGTTTACCTTTACTTTCAATAGTTCTAATTTTGAAATCAATACCAATGGTAGTGATAAATGAGGGATTAAACTTGTCTTCAACAAATCTTAATAATAAACATGATTTACCTACACCGGAATCCCCAACCAATAATAACTTCATGATCATATCATAAGCTCTTGATGATGTACCTTTTCCACTCATGATTGTTGTTGTATATGTTGTTGATCTTACTAATGATTTAACTTGACTTGATTTGATTTGTCGCCTTTAACAAATAAAAAAAAAATATAAAGATAATGATAAACTAATAAAAACTTAACTTTGAAATAGTAGTACAGCAAATAAAATTAAAATTACAATACTATTGATTAAACTTCAAATAGAAATAACACGTCTCCAAATTTGTATTAATGAATCACCAAGTGAAATGAAAGCAAATCAATTATAAAGAAACGCTGTTGTGATTTATTTATTGTAGGATTTTTTTTTTTCTCTTTTCTCTTTTCTCTTTTCTCTTTTCTCTTTTCGTTTTTCGTTTGCCTTGCTTCTTGTCTCTGTCTGTCTGTCTGTCTGTCTGTCGGTAAGTCTCATTCTTCCACTGGTTATTGTTTTGGTGTTTCCTCTATTAGTGAGTCGTGCGTTTGAGGACAATACACGTGACACGTTTCTCTTTGTGAATTTTGGTCAAAGATGAAATTTTCACCAGAGCTATACAACATCGTCTGGATTGTGTATGCCTCATTGATAAATGAACCGTAACCGATATTACACAAATATCTACAGTGTTGTCAATGTAATTCTGTACTATTTATATCGTTTAAACGATGACAAAAATTTATAAAACAACATCTATTTTTATTCATTTTAGTTTTCTATAAAACAACTATGTATTATACTCCTTCTCCTTTCGCTAGCTAATCTTATCTCCTTCTATTTCTTTTTTTTCTATGCTTACAAGAAAACTTCAGCATTGATTTCAACGGATGATGCGGCATATGGAATATCAAAGTTATTCATAACTTCTGGGTGCAAAACTCCCAATTTACCAATAACTTTACCTTCACCATTTTCAGCACTTCTAAAGAAAACCTTAGCACCTCTACCTGGGAAGAAAGTTGGGTTTTCTTTATCTTCTTCAATCCAATAACCTCTTCTTTTATCTTCTTGTGGTTTTTCCAACCATGGAGTTCTCATGGTTTGCATGATTTTACCCAATAAACCTTGAACCATTTCAAAACCAGAAGTTTTACCAGCATAAACAGCAGCCCAATTACGTTGATTGAAAGCTCCTCTTTCTAATTTATCATCCTTCAAGACAATGTCACCACATTCGAAAACTTTGATTGGTAATGAATGTTTTCTGTTTTCTTTGATGGTTTTCAAAATACCTGGTAATAAAGTAGTTCTAACAACTTGATATTCAATAGTCTTTGGATTTTCCAATTTAACTGCAGTAGTACCATCATCCTTTTGTTTCAACCAACCAAAGTTTTCATCATGAGAAGATAAAGTCAATGGCATAACTTCCAAATAACCAGCTTGTGAACTTGCTAATCTTAAAATATCAGCGACTTTATTTACAGGTAATGGAGCAGCAACTAAACTTTCGGTTTGTTGAGGTTTGGTCTTTTTCAAGTTATCATAACCATAAGCAATAGCAACATCTTCCATAATATCACATTGATGTAAAATATCTGATCTAGTTATTGGGATTTTAACATCAATAATTTCTTTGTCACTAGTTGAGGTACTTGCATCCAAAGACATTTTCTTCAATAATTTAGAAATTTCTTCACCAGAATAATCCAAACCTACACAGGAGTTAATATATGGAATTTCAGCTTGAGCAGTTCTTGGAGTAACATTTGGACAAACTCTAGTTTCCCCATTATGTTCAGAAATGATTTGGACTGGTTCAATTTCAAATGGAGTTTTACAATAACGAGAAAACATAGCAACCAATTGATTTATAACAATTTCAGTTTTAGTTTTATCGGTACCGGTGACATCAATCCAAACATTTCTAGTATTTAAAGAAATCTTAGAATGATCACTATTAATAATTGGTGGTAATGAAGCAACAGTTCTATTGGCATCAAGCATAACTGGATAAACTGGAGAATCTTTAATAATATGCAAGAATTTACCAATGTTCTTATCCTTTTCATAAAATTCCATCAATTCTTCACCATTAATTTCTTTGGTTTGATTCAATGGAATGAAATTAATATCTTTTGGTGCTAAAGCTTCATAAGTGAATGGTGGAGTTAAAGTGTCCAAATCATGAGTACCAATAGCAACCAAAGTTCTATTACGACATAAATTAGAATGTAATTTATCTTGTAATGCAATAAAAGATTCATATGATCTTTCATCTAAAACAACATTTCTCAAAATTGCACTAGCAGCATATTGACGAATTGGTAAAGTTGATTCTTTAATAGTTAATGAAATTTCTGGTTTGACTGGATTTAAAGTATATTTTGGTGATTCAGAATTACCTAAAAATTCATTCAAGGCTTGAGCAATACCTTCAATACATAACATATCATATCTATTGGCAGGAACTTCAATTTTTAATTGAGGTCTTTCATCGGTTCCTTTAACATCTTCAGTAGTATCTTCATCTAATTCAATACCAAATTGAAAACATAATTCGTCAAATTCTTCAGTGGTATAAGATCTACCTAATAATTTGAAAAGATCTTCTTTATCAACTGGAATGGTTGGCATGATTACTTATTAATGATCTGGTTGGTGAGTAGCCGTTGTCTAATCGTTTCTTTTGCACGGTGATGTGAAAAAATAAAAAATGAAAATTTTTGACTCACCATACAAAAATCGAAAAATGCTTCATTCATGTTCTTGGTCTTTCAACAGAAAATTTTTCCTCTCTTTCTGTTTTTGGTCACAAGTGCACGACTAACTCCCCCATACTCTACAATATATCATCCATATACTTTATAGATAAACAATATTATTAATATTATATACTATATCTATTGTATGTATGCATGCTGATTTACAATTTGTCATTATCATTGCTGGTCTTGTCTTTACTGCTAGTCTTGTCTTTATTGCTAGTCTTGTCTTTATTGCTAGCCTTGTTCTCTTCACCAGCCATATGTTCAATTTCGTTAACTTCTTTAACTAATGCTTCGACATCAAAAACATCTTGTCTTTGGTTAGTTGTATTCTCATTTGCAATTATATACTCACCTTTATCGTCTTTATCAGATTCGTTAGCACCTCCAACAGTATCCCACCATTCCTTTTTCTTTGGTGTAAACCATTTTTTCCAACCTTTAGGTCGAACATTCTCTTGTTTTTCCTTTTCCATCTTTGCTCTTGCTTCATCAAACTCATTAACCAATTGTCTTTGTCTCTCACCTTGTTCAGGATCAGCCTCTTCAATTTCAGCAAACTCTTCACTTAAAACTTCCCATCCTATGTTTTTCATAATCTTTGGGATAGCTTTTCTATAGGACATGTGACCTTCAACGAATTCTGTACAATCAATATTCTCTATCCCTTCAATATTTTTCAACGGAGACAAACCAGCAACTGTCAGTAAACCACCTCCTGTGGCTCGGAAAAGGTATCCTAAAATCCAATCTTTCTTTGAATATCCATTAACAAATCTTCCACTAACTACTGATCTAGCTTCTGCGATTTGATCAGTATTGATAGTAATTGGTGAACCTAAGATAATAACATTTTCAATTAATCCATATACTCCACGTCTAGCCATTTCTATCAAACACGAGTAGATCAATCTTGCTCCTAATGAGAAACCAACTAATGTAATTGGTCGAACACCTAAATTTCCAGATACTATCGTTTCAGCTAGAAGTTTACCAGCCTTCCAAGCACGATCCAATGAGACATTCCATGGATTATCCAATAAATAGGAAAGTTTTGACAATGCCATAGGTATTTGAATAGCTGACATCAATGCAGTTAAAATAGTTGCCCCCAAAAGTTGTTGAATAGAAGTACTCAACGCTTCACTTGCCAAAATACCAATAGTTTGACCCATAGACTGCAACATCTCTGGTTCCCAGAGTAATGAAAACATATCTCCCATTACCGGATCAACTGTTGAAAACGGAAGTCTAACATCATCCATCTCACCATTCATCCATCCACTTATAGTGACAATTAAATTAGTTCTCTTGTTATTGTGCAATGGTTTGAATTCAAAAGTGTGAACATCACCAACTCTTCGAGCTCCAGCTTTAGAACCAACTTTTGCACCAATTGCTACACCAGTAGTGGTAATCAATGCTGTACCACCAACACCAGCCAAGAACCCACCAGTACCTGCAACACCAATGGTGGTGAAACCAGCAGCAATACCTGCTCCAATAACCGGTGCTAACAATCCCATAGATAATCCCATGGCCAATGATCCGGCCAATGTAGCTAACCCAATATATGCAAGACGCTTTTTCTTGTTCTTTTTGATTTGTTGTTGAATAAACAGTTGATCACTTAATTTTTCATCTTTGTTTTCAATAGATTTTTCTGTTGTTTCCATATCTAAACATTCAATTAACCTTCTCTCGAATTGGTACACCTCCAATTTAGATATATCTATTATGCTTGCAAATCTTAAAAGTAAAGATCTTGATCTGGCATCGTAGTATCCATCACTTAAAAGCATAAGAAACAAGTCACAAATAATAACCCATCTCAAATCAAAGTCTTCATCGATCAACGATTTATTGGATTCGAGAACAGCTTTTTGACCCACTTCCATCAAACTTTTAGACAATGCTATAACCTCAACACCATGTTTGCTAAGATTTTCAATCATATCCTTTTCTGCCCCTTCAACACTTAAATGATCATACAACTTACTCATAACGTACTGAATCCAGTTGGCAAAATTTTTCTGTCCTTCACTTAATTGCTTGGCTATTTTACTAGATGTACCAAATTGAACTTTAGCCAAATCAGTAGCCATATCAACAGTCAATAATTTGGCAATACCGATATATGCAAATTTCTGTGAATCAGTCAACATATTCTTAGTTTCTGTTAATGCTTCACCGGAATCAATTTCGTCATCTTCTTCATCTATATCTAAATCATCATTATCATCAATCTTAATATCATCGGTATGATATTTGGCAAATTTATCAGGTTTGTGATTTCTTGCTCGAAACAAAAAATCTGTTTTCTTATCTAATGCGGCATATTTGTTGACTTGCTCTTCGGTGTCAATTTTGGTATATCCAAAACTATCTTTAGCATTACCCAAGAAATTCTTACCTGTTTCAGAGCTATATTCCAATTCCCCCTTTTCATTATAATAATCCATATCTGATATCGTCTTCATAGATTTCCAATTAGATGTTGAACTAAAAAAATCTTCATCTTCATCATCTGGTTTCTCTAGAACAATTTCTTTAGTATGTTGATCTTGATTCAAAGTATCATCCAAACCTGAATAGTCTTCATTATTATGTTCACTAATTGGTGTTGTTAGACTTGATGTGGTGACAACTCTTTCTGTTACTCTGTTTATCGATTCACTAGTTCGATTTTTTTGACTCAACGAACTTAAATCAAATTCCACATATGTATTACCATTATCTGAATCATCTGCTGCATTCTCCATATGCCCACTAAGTGGTGATGATGGGAATGATGTTTGTGAATGCGGTAATGATGGAAGCTGATTAACACTTGTTCTTGACGAATATTTCATATAAGTGTCGTATACAGGTGAAGTGACCAGATCTTTGGAATCATCTATATCTAGTTTATAACTAAAAGATGTCCTTATTCTATCCATAGAATTATCCCTTGAAGACATGGTTTTATGAAGTTATTAGGTAGTAAAAATGAAAAAAAAAAAAAGATGTTCTATTGTTGAATTGTAAGTTTTCTGTAGATATTTTTTTTTTTTTCTTTTCTCTCTAGATTTGAATCAAGGCGACGTACGGAATGGATACAAATCAAAGAAAGAATTATATGTCAAACAAGCTGACAAAGTGTAATGACGTTTATCGGTTATAAGAAAGAAAAAGAAATCGGTTCAACTCCTTTTCTTATTGTTTAGGTAACAAATATGGCAATCACGGTTACGTAATTCTACTTTGCTCATCACACGAGAATAAACTCGAACAAAGCCTACTTACAAATGAAAAGAATTTTTTTTGTATCTATCCTACAACAGTAATCAAAAGAGTAAATGGTTTATTATAAAAAATGTTTGCAACATGGTTTTACTCAAATCGTCAGGGGCCAATATGACCTGCGCAGAGTCCAGGAATATGTTGCCACGAGTTATAGTGATCGAGCAACAGACTTATGAATACAAGTAATATCCATTCCGAAGAATTTCAATTACTCAATCAAAAGAACGAGCTCAAGATCAACCCGCTTAATTTACAATCTGTCGACGGAGCTACTCTGCCTAAGACCACCTTGCGATGGTAATTGTCAAAGCCATTCAATTCTCACACCCAAAATCCCAAATAAACCTAGTAACTTCCCATCGTTCAAAAAATCATCCGCTCAAAACTCCCCGAAAGGAGGACCAGTTAATTAATCAAACTCCGAAAAAGAAACGTTAAAGCAGTAAATAAAGGATATAAACTTTGAGGGAACTTAGAACAAGGATTGAACATCAGGCTTGCTTCACTAGCGCCGATCTGCTAAGGAAAACAAAACTACAGAAGATAATAAAGAACCAAAAAGAAAATGGAACGAATCCCTTTTCTAATGATTTACTCTAAAATCCATCTGAGCGCCCACCTTAACACAGATTGATGATAATTAGTTAAAGAAAGAAAAAGAAGAAAAAAAAAAGGAAAAAGAAAAACAAGTGAAAAATTTTTTTCTGTCTAAAAGAATTCTCGTGGTATTTATACTCACCAGCAGAAAGAAAATTCTGGTAACACACACTGGGCCCGTAAGTGTGCGCGAAGAGATGAGGGCTCAAAGGTAAAGACAAATAAATAAAAAAAAATAATTCTAAATCTTATTGAGCCCTAGTTTTATTCATAGCAAATACAAAAAAAAAACCTCCCTATTCATGAGTAGAAGATCTAAACGTGATACGAAGGTAGAAACACCTTCAGATAATGAGTCAATTGATTTATTCCCATTCACTACTGAAGATTGTATGGAACCACTGAAAATTATTGATCTATTTGAAGTTTGCTTTAAACATGTTTTAGATAGTCCTGATTTACAAGATCATATTCAAGTAGTTAAAGGAGATTTATACAATAGGGATTATCTTTCTGCATTTGATAATGATGATAAGAGATTTGCATATGCTTCAAGATGGACACCAGCTAGAGCGTTAGCTTATACTTCTTTATTTGCATCATTGGAACCAGTTAAAGAATTACTAGAAGATCCAGAATCTACCAAGAATGTGCTATGTGTTGGCGGTGGTGCTTCTTCAGAATTGGTTGGATTAGGTGCTGTATTTTGTCGTTTAAAAGAATATAATTCAGGATCTCCTTCTACTTTGAACATAAATTTAATCGATATTGCTGATTGGTCCAAAGTGGTGAATAATTTAACTGCTTATATGAAGAACAATTGGGTTTATCATTCAGATAAAATCAATGCTAATTTTATATGTGATGACATCTTAACAGCTTCTCCACAAGTATTAAATTTGGAATCATTAGATATGGTAACTTTGTTATTCACTACAAATGAATTATTTGCTGAAAAGAGAAAAGAAACCATCAAGTTTTTACAATTGCTCAATACTAAATGTCGTAGAGGAAGTTTATTATTAATTGCTGAAAGTGCTGGATCATATTCACATATTACTATTGGTGAGAGAAGATTCCCAGTTCAATTTTTAATTGATACAATCCTTGTTGGTAAACCAAGTGAGAATAATGGAGCTTGGGAAATTGTTAGTCAAAGTGAAAGTTCATGGTATAGAATCAATACCAAAGAGGTCGATTATCCAATGAAGTTAGAAAATATGAGATTCTTTTATAGACTATATTGCAAGAAATAGAAATAGCGAGTAATTTTATGAACTGTTATGAATTCCATTAATTTCTTCGACAAATTTAGCTTGTAAAGTTCTCAATATTTGTGTTTTATATGTGGTGTCTGCATCAAGATTGGAGATATGATTTAAAGCAAAATATAACTCAAGCACTAATTTACGCCGTTTTGCAATTAGTTTCTGATCTTCGCTCTGGCAAACAGTCTTTCGTGATTCCAATACCTTTGCTATTTCTTTAGCCTCGTCAATCATCTCTTTTGGTAATAGTTGTGAGTGTTCGGCATATCTTATACCATATCCAGATTGATCTGTTCTTCCCAGTACTAAATTGTATTTCATTTGAAGATTCCCATTTAGTTCACTTGTTTCCATATGAGACGTGACTACACAAGACTTGTTGGATAAAATTTCAGCAATATCTCGAAAATGTGTACTTGTGAAAACAAATGCTCCCATGTGTAATAACTGTTCCAAAATAGCAAGGCAAATTGAAAATCCGTCTGCAAAACTTGACCCTCTACCTAGTTCATCAAGAATAACAAGACTATCATGATTCAGGTTTTTCAAAACATTTGCTGTTTCACTCATTTCTGTTGAAAACAGTGATGCATTGATTTCATGGGTATCACAGGACAACTTTGAGTAAATGCTTTTAAATATTTTCATTTTAGCAAACTCTGCTGGGACAAATATCCCCATTTGGCTCATGATAACTAGATATGCAAACTGGCGTAGATATACAGACTTTCCACTCATATTGGGACCTGTTATAACGTGAAATCTCGATATCTCATAGTTGCATGAATAATTGTTTGGAACAAAATCTGAAACTGTTGTCAGAAGAATTGGATGGTATGATCGAAGTATAGTCACATCCTGGCCAAATTCAGGACACACATATGAGCTTTTCTGAATACTTGTAAAATATGCAAATGAACATAACAAATCTAAAGTACCAATAGCTTCTGATACCATAAGAAAAATTGGCATGTACTCGTTGATCTTACCATATAAATCTTCAATTATGGTACTGTTTAATGTTGTGATTTCAGAAAGTATGTCGTAATATCGAGAACTTTGTTTCATAAGGTCTATAGTAGTACATTCAATGAATTTTCTCTTTTTGATTTTATTAATAAAACCATCTGGAAGTCCCGAGCTCCCAATTCTATCTTCTTTTATTTTGATAAAAAATCCTCGATGGTTTTCATAACGATGTTCTATAGCAATTTCCAACTCATCAGAAAGATTTTCCACATACTCGGCAACTTCCTCTAGTAATCGTTCCCGGATTTTTCTCGAAACATCTAACAATCCGTTAACTCCAGGTTTAATTGCGTTTGCTCTTTGATTGGCTAATTCTATACTACTGTTTGCCCATTGACAATCTTCACGAAGGTACTGATTTATCAAGTCCAATGCAATCCGGATACTATCATGTTCAAGTATTTGTTTGATTTGTACCAATAAATGACTATGCATAAACAGTAAGCTTTTGTTCATTGAGAATGACTTCTCTAAAGATGTTTTCAACAAGATGATATTATTGATTGCTTGGTCATGACCAGTCATACATTTTGGATCCAAGAATGAAGCAAACACCTTTTCTAAATCCTGGGTTTGTTTCAACAAGGTTCTAATTCCAATGAGAATATCTTCATTTGTCATTAATTCATGAACAGCATCTAATCTTAACTTTATACTATTCTCGTGTGTAAGTGGTTGTAATAGGGAAGTTTTCAACAACCGTTGTCCCATTTTTGTGACACATTTATTCAAAAAGGAGAATAAGGTGGTACCGTTTTCACCTGAACTTTCAATCAATTCCAAGTCTCTAATAGTATTTATATCAATGAGCATGGTGTTTTCACAACTGTCAAACTTTAATCTAATTTTATTGGTGGTACGAAATTGCCTTGAAGAAATACAATAATTGATGCATGCATTGACTGCTGATAATGACAATTCTTTACCACTGACAGCTTGCAACAAACTAGTCTCTTCTAAATCACCATAGATCTTGAGCATATTCAATCCGTTAGAAATATTAAATAAATTTCCTTTTTCAAAATGCAATTTTGTTTGTTCAGGAACATTTGATTGTAGAATGTATTTCAATTTTTCGATTTGTGGGTTGGTTTGAACAGATGGAATGATTATAATTGTTGGTTCATATACTTTAAGTAGATTAACACTCCTAACAAATGTCAGAGTATCACAAAAATTCACCAATACTAGTTCTAAAGTTCTTGTATTCAATATGGCTAATCCTACATCCATTGTATCAGATTTCAGTTTATAAATTGACATTACTCTTTCGAATCTCTCTTCAATCAGTGGGATACATCTTTTTTTCAGAATGGGTATCTCATTTGTTGTTATGAACCCATATCTGCTTTCTTCAGAAGCAGAACGTTTTGATACTTCCGTCATGATTGTATAAGGAACTTGTGAAATCTAGAAACTAACAATTCTTGCAACCGAGATATTTATACTGTTGCAAAGTGAATGAGAAACGAATCTACAGGGGTGGAACTTAAAAAGTCATAAAACTATTACAAAAACTATCCTATGGATCGCACTACTTTTTTTTACCACCCTTCTTTTGGGATTGTTTCTTTCCACCAGACTTGCTACCGGATTTACCACCAGATTTACCACCAGCTTTACCTTCACTGGCACCACCAGGTAACACCAATTTGACTTTTCCAACAGTGAAAACACCAACTATATCATTAGCCTTGAATGATTTGATCAATTCTCGTTCTTGTGGCCAATCAAGGTCAGTATCACTACTTGTTGTATCCATCTTTCTAGTGGTAAAATAATTAATGGCATCTCCAATACATTTCCCCTTTTTGCCTGAACCTGGCTGAATCTTCACCTTGTACTTAAACTTTTGTAAGGAGGACCATGGAGCAAAAACAGGAACAATACCAATGATCTTATCGTTGACTGATGGTTTTGATCTGAATGAATCCAAAATCTCTAAATAATTTGTAATATGAGATTCATCGTTTGTTTCCTGATCATCTGCTAAATATTTCTTCAACTCTCTTTCTTTTTGTTTCTTTCTTCTTTCAATAGCCAATTCTCTTTCTTGAACTTTCTTCAATGCTTCTTCTTTGGCCAGCACTTGTGCTTTGGTTTTCTCTTCTTGTTCCTCAAGTTGTTTAAGGGTTCCCAATGCATCCATTCTTAGTCTTCTTTCTTCTTCATCTTGATCACGGTATTTAGCAGCAGTTTTCTTGAGTTTAGATTTCTTACCTCTTGGGACTGGGGTATTTGACTTGATTGAATCAGGTTCAGTAGCAGCAATAGAAACTGAATCATTCTCACTGTCTGGCTCTTCATCGTCATCAACCTCTTCTTGATCACCATTAACTTCATCAACAATCTTTTCTGATTCGACTGGCATATTCAACTTGATGTTTTCGAGATCCTTTTTCTTGTTGTCAACCACAATAGTTAATCCATGTTCCTTCTCCCTGTTTGATCTAATTTCAGCATACTTTTTAGTGGATTCTTCATCAACCAAACAATAAAATCCAAGACCCATAACTAATTGTGCCGGAGGTAAATACTCCTTTTTAGCAAGGTACTTAAACTCGCCATCTGGCACAATAGATCCATCAAAGTCACGTTTTGAAATTTCAGTGCCATGAAGAACCCAAGCAGAAGTTGTAACTTTCCCATTCCATGCTGTTGATGCTGACATGGAAAAAATACCTGCTTGCATGAGAGTGGATGGTGGAATAGCTTCTCCCTGGAAGGGGTTTTTAATGAAAACTTTCAACGAACCTTCCATATCGGCACTAACAATAGAATCATTATCACTGAAATGTCTATAATAAATCATATCAATCTGAGAGTTATCTTTACCGGCCAAACACAAATAACCTTCGGATGAAACAAACCAGTAGAATTTTTCAAACCAATATTTGGGTCTGATTTCCTTTAATGTTTCATTCTCTTGTTTAAGAGCTTTGGCCAAGTCTTGGTTGATTTTTCTCTCTGCATTCTTAAGTGCCAAGTTTGTACTATTCTCAACTTTTACTTGCTTAGTTTCAGCAGTCTTTTTAGAATCAAAGTAAGTTCTGGCATTAGCAAATGAGGATAATGATAAATCAATCCAAGTAGGAATAATATTTTGCTTTTTCTTTGGAGCCTTTGTTTTTGCTGGCTTTTGAACTCTTTTAACAGGGATATCGTCATCGGAATCACTATCTGAATCTGATTCCGATTCTGACTCAGTTTCCGACTCAGATTCAGTTTCTGTTGCTGAAGCAGATTCGCTATCACTGTAATCTTCAAAATCTGGTAACAACACTTTAATCTTGTTGTCCTTTAAATTCAATGGCAACTGAATAGACTTGGAAGTCGGGTTGTTCTTTTTCTGTTCAAGAGCAATAACTGTTTCGATATTTGTCCAGTCCATTTGTTGATCTAAATATTGTTGAACATATCGACGACATTCTTCAACTAATTCGGAATGATATTGAATCAACTCACCTTTTTTGGAATTTAACTGTTGTTGAGCCACTAAACTTTCAATTTGCTTATCACGTTCACTTTTTGCTTTCTCTAATCTCTTGGAAGCATTCTCCTTTTGTTGTTCAATCTTTAAGGAAAATTTACTAGACTCAAGTGTGGAGAAAAATTGATCAACTGTTTTGTTATAACCAGAAACTTCGGTGAATTTCAAGTCAGTCACATTGGATTTATATGGCTTGAATGGATGGAATTCATCGCAAATGTAATCAAATTCTGAATCTTCACTGGCATTTTTATTCTTTCTTGAAACAATATATCCTTGAGTTTCAGTTTTGCCACTAATTAAATCCATATACTTGTCTTCACAAACATGTAACGCATCAACGACTTTCTGTAATTCCTCTTGATTGTTTTCAAATACCAAACAGCCTTGACTTGGTTCTACTCCCAGTTCATGAAACCATCTTTGAATCAATTCTCCTGATAAATGACTAGCATTGACAAATGCAAGTTTGTGTATGGAGAAAACCTTGGCTTTTTTACTGTCAGTGGCTTGACTCAATTTTTCTTTATGAATTTTTATCCATGATTCAATTTCAGCAACAGTATATGACCTCTTGTGGTACTGAAATTCGGTTTGAAATAAACTTTTGTCAAACATTTTATATTCTTCATTCACAGCATATCTGTCGTTATCTTCCTTTGCTGAGACCAATCTTTGTAACGACAAAATCTTCAACTCCTCATCTAACAACAAAATATTCCCGGCACTGAAAAATTCCAAAACTAAGTAGTATTTCCCATCACTAAACTCCAAAACTAAAACCCTGTCATTAGAGATTTGCTTTATACCAGATAATCTTCTTGTTTTCAAATGTTTTCTCAATTTGGTGACGAAATTGGTTGGTTGCTGTGTGGTTGCTCTTTCGAAATCAGTGAGATGGATTCTATTACCATATTCTAATACAACTACCTTCTTAGAATCGGGAATTGAAAATTTAAACAAATATTGACGTGAGTTACTGGCAACATTGTAGATATTTTGTAATCTATAATTCAATAATTCTCTTGATAATTCAGAAGTAAGAATCTGCAAGTCCAATCCAGTAATACGTTGCTATAATGATCCATGTTAGTAATTGCTTCAAATTATATAAACCAACGGTCGTAGTAATTACATACCTTCATCTATAAAAATACAAATATTGAACAAAAACACTCCTTGGGTATTGATAAATTGTGGTAAAGTGTATCACTTTACTTACTTTAATCGAGGAGAAATATCGTAGAAAAATTTTCTATGTGTCGATATTAAACCTCAAAAAAGTTAATTACTTTTTTTTTTTGTGCGACGAACGACTTTTCGATTGCTGCAAGTAACACCTAAGTGATAACGTTCTCTTACCACCCCTCCCGTTTCCTCTCCTTTTCAACGGGGACAAGGAAGTACTTTCAAAAGCATTGAGTTACATATTAGCCATGATCAAGAAAAACTGGTTTTATTTTTCATTGCTCACAGATTCTAACATATCCCTTGTTTGTTAATGGGTAGTATAAATTATATATTGATTGTCATGTTTCACCCTTGCGAACCAATTATTATTTCAAATGGCTACTAATTTTCTTATTTCTTTATCCAATAATAATGACAACAACTATATTTGTAGCAGGTGCAAGTGGTTATATTGGTAAACATATTGTGTATCAATTACTAGAAAAGGGTTATCGAGTAATTGGATCGGTTCGTACTGAAGAAAAGGGTGATAGACTCAAGACATTGTTTGAAAATGATAACTTTAATTATGTTGTGGTCGAAGAAGCAGAAGCTAAGGGTGCATTTGATGAGGCATTGAAGTCACATCCAGAGACTGAAGTTTTTATTGATACTGCTAGTCCATTACCGCTTGGTGTCAATTATGAAAAACAATTGATCAAACGTACTGCTAATGGTGTCAAGAATATCTTAACATCAATTAAGGACCATGGACCTAATATCAGAAGAGTGGTATTAACAAGTTCCATCGCCTCTTGTATGAATGAACAACAAAGCAAAGATCCTAATTTTATTGTCGATGAAACAAAATGGAATCCAGACAAGCATAGCTCTGCCAAAGAAAATCCGAAAACGGCTTATTTTTATGCCAAAGCAGCTGCTGAACACGAAGCTTGGGACTTTGTCAAAAAGAAACCTCCTTTCAGTTTGACAACAATTCTTCCAGCTTATACATTTGGTCCTCAATGTTTTGATGAAGATGTGTCTGATCTTCTCGAAACTTCGGTTGAAATTGTAACCAAGATTTTTGAGTTGAACAAGAATGATCCTATTCCTGATGAAAAGGGGTTGTTTGTCGATGTTAGGGATGTTGCTTCTGCCCATATTCAAGCATTTGAAAAGGATGAAGCTCAAAATAAACGTTTGATGTTGGTTTCAGAAGATTTTTCAGCACAAGAAATTGTTGATATTTTGAATCAAATGTATCCTGGGGCTCAATTACCTACTGGTCATCCTGGAGATAAACCTAATTACAAATTTGACAACACTCAGACCCAAAAGATTTTGGACTTACGTTGTCGCTCATTACAATCAAGTATAAAAGATGATTATGACCAATATTTAAGAACCCATGGTATCATTTCATAAGTTGATTTTCCTCTGCAATATGTGTATTCGTTTAGGTTTCTATATCAGGCAATTAGCAATCGAAAAATAAATTATTTTTTCTTTTTCTAAAAAAAAAAACAAACAAACAGATTTAACAGTAAAATTAATAATCACACAAAATTTTTTTATCAAACTTGCTCCACTTTTTTCTCTTGAATTTATGTTTAGCAATTAAGATACCAATGTCTGATATTGAAACCACACTACAGCCGATTGTAGATGCAATTAAGAAGGGCAAAAAGGTTACATTTTTCAATGGTGCGGGTATATCAACCGCTGCGGGCATCCCTGATTTCAGAAGTCCCGATACTGGATTATATGCAAATTTAGCCAAATTAAATCTCCCTTTTGCTGAAGCTGTTTTTGACATTGAATACTTTAAAGAGAATCCAAAACCTTTTTATACATTGGCAGAAGAGCTTTATCCAGGAAATTTTGCCCCTACTAAGTTTCATTATTTTATCAAACTTTTGCAAGATGAACATTCCCTAAGACGTGTTTATACACAGAATATCGATACATTAGAGAGATTGGCTGGAGTAGATGATAAATATATTGTTGAAGCACATGGATCATTTGCCAAAAACCATTGTGTTGAATGTCACAAGGAAATGGATACTGAAACATTGAAAAAACAAATGAAAGATAAATCAAAAGATGGAATTCCTACCTGTGACGAGTGCCATGGATATGTGAAACCAGATATTGTATTTTTTGGTGAAGGGTTACCAACAAAGTTTTTTGAAAAATGGGAACATGATAGTCGTCGTGTTGAGATTGCCATTGTGGCTGGAACTTCATTGACGGTGCAGCCGTTTGCATTTCTTCCTGCCGAAGTGAGTAAAAAAAGTATCAGATTATTAGTGAATAATGAAAAAGTAGGTGACTTTGAACATCATCCTAGGAAAACAGATGTACTTGCTTTGTATGATTGTGATTTAGTTGCCGAAAAACTATGTGCATTGTTGGGGTGGGAAGAAAAATTAAACGAACTTTATGAAACTGAAAGAGTTAAATATGGTAAGCCAGAAATCAAGGAAAATGTCCTTCATGAGATTGAGGATAAATTGAAAGAGGAAGCACATTTGGTAGAAGAAGGCAGATCATCCACGAAAGATAATGAAGAAGAAGAAGAAGACACGGGAAAGAAAGAAGAAGAAAGAGATACAAAGGAAACAAAGAAGGAAGAGAAAGAGGAAGCTGAATTGGAAAAATTAATTGATAAATTATCTTTGTAGTATCTATTTTAGAGAAAAGATGATATCTGTTAATATACAATTTTTAGATAATAGTGTTTTACAATTATAGAGCTCACCTATGTCCTCCCTTCCCGATTAATATTCGCCAAATTCACACTACCACCACCACCACGAACACGAACACGAACACTAACACGAACACGAACACGACCGCTAATTCCTATTATTCCAGATGAAACCAACATAGCAACAATACACAGCACCTCGTAGATTACACGTAGTTGCGGGGGGGGGGGGTAGGATTTCTTGGCAAGTTGGATTAAGTAGAGACCCATATCTAAAAATACACTGGAACCATAGTGAATTAGTAGGACGTGATGAAAATGATTTGTAATAAAATGAATACTTTCACAAAGACAGTGGATATTGATTACTCTATCAACAAACTACAGTGGGGAGGGGGAGAAGAAATTCACCGTCTTGTCAATGAGAATAACTACACTGGTAATACACTGCGTTCTAATTACAAGGAGTGATGAAGATCATTTGGGAATTACTCTTTAAGCGAACCCCCCTCCCCTACAACAATATACCACCAGGTGAAATTGTGCATGGTCTGGGGGAGGAATTCGGTGATTCAAAAAAAATAATAGAAACAATGTATTGCTCACTGCCTAAACAATCACCGTGTAGGTTCCCGTAAGCGCGGCACCATTAAAAAAAAAAGAATACCACTGAATCCATAGTGCATATACCGGATTTGAATGTTGGTAATCATTACTACTGGCTTCACAACAATTGTCTATAGTGGTTCCAGATTACCAAGAAGTCTCAAGTTATGGTAAACTGGCAAGCATTAGCTTGGAATCAATCGAATAAATCACTGGGGAGTATTATTTCATTTGGTGAAGCAAAACAGTTACAGTAGTATCGGTTTATATAAAAGTGACAAAGTCTGATAGTATGATAGGTTATTTGATCGGTAATTGACTAGCTATTGACCGGACAGCAGAGAGGGAAAAGAAAATATCGTTGAAACTAACTGACCATGATCTCTCACATATCACTAGTCCAAATACTTTGACATACAGATCTGAAAGTTACACCAGCATTGGCGCGAAATAAAACCGAAAAAAGTGAATATGTGAATAGATGAATAGGTGCGAAATGGAAGCAAATAGTCGTGTGCTGACACCAATTATAATTATTCGCAGCTTACTTAAACAAGGTGCAAGATTACTAGAAGAGAGTATGCTGTCTTTGGAGTAAGTGAGAGGAAACAGGGAGTATCATGTTTGGGATAGTTGTTGGGTATTACGACTGATTTTGGATGACAATGGGGACTACTAATAATAAACAAAAACGAAAAATCAAACTATAATACTGTACACACAAATTACAAAAACAATTACAAATAAAATACAAACACAAAGGCCATCTAAGACTTGATTGATGTGATGGCTTCAATTGGATGGTCAACATCGAGGAGAGCCTTGGCCTCTTCTTCTTCTCTAGTCAGTCTTTCTCTTTCTGCTTCCTCTTCGGCCATCCACTTGTCCAAGTTCCAGAATTGCACCAACATCACAATGGCACAGGCAAAACCAGCAAGACCAATAGCAAGGAAGACCCAGTGCAAGTGTGGGTCCTTCAAGGCTGGGGTGATGGCAAGACTCAATGCGGCGGAGAACGCAGACATAAGCAAGAACAATGCGTAGACCAAACTCTTCATTGCAGGTGGGGATCTGGTGTAGGCCAACTCGTAGGCAGTGGTGTAAGCCCAACATTCACCGGCAGCGGCCAAGATGAAAAGAGAGGTGGCTTTCCAGGCGGTAATTGGGGCCGGTTCGTCACAGCCACTAGCATAGTAGCCACATGGAGACAGTTCGTAGACTTGCTTTTGCAAGATGTAACCGGCAATCTGTGAGAAGGAGCACACAACAAACCCAAAGCAGATTCTGTAGATTGGCTTGAAGTTGATTCCGTACCTGTTGAAAAGCGGGTAGATAACGTACTCCAAGATTGGGATGATGACGATGATGGTGATTGGGTTGAAGTTGTTGAAAAGATCGTTTGGCACACCGTCCAATCTCATAGCACCGGATAAGGATGTTTCGACCGAGCCCAAACCACTGTCAGCAAGATTGAACACAATGTAGTAGACAAAGATCTTGCACGAGTCGATGGTCTGTTTGATGTCCAGGACCCACTGGTCGTTCCATGTGATTGGTGTCTGTTTCTTGCTGTTGAAGTACTCTCTTCCCCTGGCCCTCATGTGGGATGGTCTGGCATAGTCCCAGAAGGTGCCGTTCCACAATCTCTTGACAAAGTTGCCGGAAAAAAGAACAGAAAGGATCTTGACGACTTTTGGCATGACGTCGCTCTGCGGTGGTTTGATCTTGAGTTTTGGCTTCACAATAAACAAGAAAAGCGGCATAATAATGTACAACACCATAGGCACAAAAAAGGCCAACCAGAACCCAACTCTTCTCTCACAATAACTAGTGGCAATTTGAAGTATACTACCAATATTGTGACAATAGATCATTTTTATTTATTCATTATTTCATTGGTGTCAGCTTCACAATCATTAATTATTCTCTTTAAAGCATTACCAGGCAAATTGTTAACTTTTAAAGTTTCTTCTTTATTTTTCAACTCTCGTGAAATGTGTGGAAACTTTAGTTGATTGAAAAGTTGAAGTGAATCCTCGTCAATTTCAATGTTTCTCAATGGAATATTTCGTTGTTGGCCGTTAATAGTACAGGAAATATAACATTCATCAAGTTGATTACCATGTTCTTTTTTGGTGGGTTTTTTGCTTGGCAAAGGTACTTCTTTCACAACATTTGTTTTTTTCTGTCTTTTGTAACGGGGCGTATTTGATGACAGTGGTTCTGGAGAAGCAGAATAGGATGAAGAAGATAATTCAGATACATGTTCATACGGTTCATCTTCATACAGTTCATCTTCATACAGTTCATCTTCATACAGTTCATCTTTATACAGTTCATCTTCATTAAAGTCTTCTATATCAGATTCCATGGATGTGCCTGATGATGTTATTAATTCAAGTTTATCTTCGATTGGGCTAGTTTGTTCCAACTGTTTTTGTTGCTGGATGTTGGTTTTACGAGATCTCAATTTTGAATTTGATGTCGTTGGTGTAGATGAAATAGACTTCCTTGATGACATGACGATTATTGGTATTACTCAAAATTTTTAATTGGAGAATAATGGAATTGTTGGTAACTACAAATTTGTATTGAGAGATAGTTAGAAAATAAGTATGAACTAGAGCAAGTGAGGTATTTTATTTTTATTTTCTGTATTACTACCATTATTAATGATGTGTCATTGAATTTCTGCAATATAATTAAAGGGTAGGGAGAGAATGTTATTGATAAGGGGTTGACAAAAGTATCTAGATGAAACGAGTAGATGCATGCAAACACCATTTTTCTCCTTTTTTTTTTTGTATATAATATATTTGTATGAGAACTAACGAAATAATGAAATGAGCATAAGCTTAAACCATCACAGCTTTAGAATTGTGGTCATTATTCAGAAGTTAATTTAATATCTAGAGAAATCATTACAATATATGGTATAGTATCTTCAACCAGTTATATGATGTGTTAATATTCCTATGCTATCTTATATATATATAGATGGAGTAACTAAGACTTTTTTTATTTACTGCGACAGGAAAAAAAAGTTAGTTCGTGAACGGCCATTCTATCTTAAAACTTTTGTCAATCTATATTATCTGTTATCCGAAAGAGCCAACTGAATTGAAACGATCAGAACAGACATAATAACTTCTCAATATGCATGTGATAAAACTGGTTAATCATACGTACCATAACCATTGAATATTGTAGAAAAAAAAAAATCGGTACTAAAGCTGTTCATCCTTTATGCACGACTTCTCATAAGAGGAGCAAAAGTATAAAAGAAAACGTAACTGCTATATAGGAAAAACAAAAACCTATGAATAGTTTGCAGTATTAACCTACCTATTATTTTATCGATGGAAGAACAAAAAATTAAACTAATTGATATTATAGAAAAGGGTGATGATGTAAAAATCCATTATCTTCCAATAAGAAATATGTATGTGATACACACGCTGTTCTCATTTTTGAGTATATATTAACAAGTCTAGTACCGGAAAACAAGCAGTGAAAATAATTTTTATACTCCTTGCTACTTGTGTATCCATTGAAAAAAATATAGAGGTAAAATTCTATAAACAACCAGCTAATTATGAATCGGATCAAGTTGTGTGTTTTAAGAGTTTGAGAAACTATGATACTGCGTTAACCATTGGTAAGCAATTCACCAAGCATAGACTTGAATTACAGTTTATGTTTAGTATATCACAAGAAGATGAACAGATATATGAACATTCAACTAATGATGCTGACTATTATGTGGGTCTGAAGTATAAAGGTGATTTCAAAAATGGGGCTAGAATGTTTTTAGAGTCTATTGGTGTTGATTTAAGGGAATTTAGAATCTTTACTCCAGCAAAGACCCTTTTTTATGGAGACTTTGAGCCAACCCCTACAGAGATAAGTTTGATTGATGATAAATTTATTGAGAATTCATCTGTTACTGATACAACATTAACTATTATTATTCTTGAAACTGTTGGATTATTTACGACGTTGGTAAGTTATGTTAAACATAATTATTTGTTACACAATTTTGGTATTATTGCAGTTGGAGGTTACCATGATGCTTATTTTTCAAGATATATCGAACAGTTACAAATGAAAAACAACAACATAATAAATATGAGTGTCTGTGATGCCAATATTGGTGGTTTTTTGATATCCAGAAATATTGACTTCTTTGTCAAAAATGCTATTTTTGGAGGAGCATTTTTAGAAGATGTTGAGCAGTCAAATTGGAAAAGGCTCAAGTTTAATCACTCAATTCCAAATATCATCAACGCTTTGTCCACTAGGATTGACAATCAAAGCTTAATCAACGATATGATTATAATGCTTTTAAGATATTCAGATGCAGATGCTAATCATATGGAATTTAGAAATGAGATTATTATAAAAAGGCTAGAGTATATTTCCAATTTCTCAACTAGGGATAGGTTCGTTAGTGCGTTACCTGGAAATGTGAATGAGATTCCAAAGATTGCAAAAGGTAGGATTGTACATTCAGACACATAACCAAGAGAATATATTAGTAGGTAATTTATATAATTTGTAGGATAGTCAGTTCAGAAGTAAATAAAAGCGGAAATTATTGTGACTAATTATTTGATGTTGAAAACTCTATGATCAGACGTTGATATTACTATATGATCATGAATAATGAGCAAGATAGCTTAGAAATGAAAACTGTGAGAGCTTACTTATAAACATTTTTTTAAAGTAGGTATGAAGCAAACAAAAAAAAAAATAGTACCTTACTTGTATGGAACAAAAATAAAATACACAATTTGTTGGAACATAATTGATTCTAAGTTTATGGTAAACTATATACATATAAAAAAAAGTAAGCACAGAAAAATTCTATATAATCAAGGAATGAAAAAATTTTATATAATCGAGGAATGAAAAAAATTCCCCCTATTTAAGGAACAAAAAAATTCCCCGTATTCGAGGAACGAAAATAATTCCCCAAAATTAGTGCACATAAACAAAGTCATAATTAATCAGGAACGTAAAAAGAATAACAAGGTGCCTGTTGAATTTACACACCTTTAGCACTGGTAGTTCCAAAATTTATTTAGAATAATAGAGAGTGGAGCAATAATATTAGAAGTAGAATAAAAGGTACATGTCATAATTAATTAGTTGTAAATTGTTTAGTTAACATTAAATATATATAATTTTATGTAGGACAAATACCCCTGTTACTTATAGTCGTCTTCATATAACGCCTTGACACCAAGCTATGCTTTATTGCATGGCCATGGTCTTCTTCTAGAATGTTTCACACTCTTGTAACATATTCTTATTGACTTATGATCACGTATTGCATAGTCAACTGTATCTCATTATCAAACTCTACAATATCTTACTTGCTGTCATTATTCTTAAAATCACACAATGTATATTTACTGTGAACTCACAAAGGGGAACCTATACAGTTTCGGTATCAAAGCCACAGCTACTTTCGAGAGCTTTTATATACACATACGTTGAGTCTATCAAACTTTTGTACTTATCACCATCCTCGTTTTCAAGTCTGTGAACCAAGTATTTTAAAGAATCCAAAAGCTCTAATTTCAACTGTGAAGTTGTTTTGTTGGCTCTAGTTTTAGCTCTATTTCTTTCCCTTTGGCGCTGCAACTTCTTCAGATAGGAATCTGTATCAGTTTTACCCTTGTGCAAACATTCTATTTGATCATAAGTTATAGTTCTGACTAGAATTAGTTTTTCGTGTAACTTTCTATTTTTTGTGTCATTTGCGGCGATTCCTAAGTAGTGGTCGTGCAATTCATTGATATATAAATTGATACAGAATGTGTATTCTTGGTTGATGAATATTTTCAGAATCTTTATTAAACATGGATCATTATCATTGCATTGATATCTAAGGTAGTAGGTTGTTTTATTGCCACTGGAATTAGTATCAGTTGTTACCTTTTTGATGGAAATAAATCGGTTAATATATTCCAAGCATTCTTGCATTATTGAAAAATCTTCATGAACAATATTAAGTTTGTTATCAGTAATTTCAAATTCAACCAGAATGGAATTAAGAAACTCAATGATTTGATGAAGGCATGTGCGAGGAGCTTCTACAGAAGGTGGCTCTTCCTGTTGATGTTGCTGCGTCGATACCGATGGTGTAGGCATATCAGCTGAGGCTATTTGTGGGTTAGACTGCTTTTGTGAGTCTGGAGCTTCTGATTCATCCAGGTAATCTGTTGATAAGTCATGAGTCGATTTAGCTAAAACGAGTTGTGCTTTGGTCTGTTTTGGAGAATCTGAGGCATCTGATTCTTCCAGATAATCTGTTGATAAGTCATGAGTTGATAAGACAGGTTTTTTTGAAACCTTGGATTTTTTTTTGGATGGGATATAAAAACAATCTTCAACTTGAATTCCCTGATCATCTAAACTATCTTCGATGCTTTCGTTCAATTCTTGATTTGTTTTTGGCATAATTATAAGTTGAATAAGAAGAAGAAAGAATTTAAATTGAAGGGGAAAAAAATAAACCTTATCTATTTTCTAGAATATGTCAGAGTAGACTAAATTGTTTTATCTAATTTTTTACTAATGTTCTCTTGACACAATGCACGACTTTGGATAATTTAAGCCTATAAATTTGTTACAGCCCCCCTAATTTTAATTCTAGTTAAGAACAGGTTTTCTTGTATTATCAAAAATACACTATGAGTTTATTCCCAAGAAATCACACAAGCAAATTTCTTTGTGTTGATAAACTTAACGACCAATATATAATTACCGGTGGTTTAGACCAAGTGATTGTGTATAACATTGAAGACTCAAATGATTTCCATGAGTATGAATTAGAAGGTCATATAATAACTGACTTTTGTGTTGATAGACGTGAGGAAATGATCATCGTGTTCATGGCATCATCTACATCTTTTTTACCAGTGATGACTATAATTGACAATAAAATTAATGAGGCAAAATTCAATTATTTAGCCTTTTATGATTCAGTTGCCATTGAAATGTATAAAGGGAATTTCTTTATTGCTACCAGATATGCTGATGAAAGAACACAATCTATCAATACATCACATAATCAGATTGCTATGATTTACTTGGATACCGATCCAGAAAATTACAAAGTGGTGAAACAAGTCAATATCATAGATCATAAAAATAAAGCATGGATAACTAATATGAAATTTATTAAAAAATCTGAAACTTTATTAGTATCCACAACATCACCGAATATAACTTTATATTCAAGAATCCTTGAACGCATAGGTATCATTGATAATAATCATTTGGAATTTAAAGAAATCGGGCTTGAAAGTAAATTTGAACAATTTCCAAGAATCATAACTGAAGATGAAATAAATCAAAGGACAATGATCGCAAATGAAACACTTGGAAGTATCAGCATTTTCAGTAATAAGAAGACATCATTTCAGTATTTGAGATCGCTACACATCAACAAATTTGCTATTAACAGTATCATTAAGAATGGTGTAATTGCAGATTGCTACATTAGTGACATGATTTGTTGGGAAGATCTTATATTAATTGGTATTGATGATGGTACAATTTCAATTTGGTGTACTAAATGCTCCATCAAATTTGCTGAAGTAAAATTCCAAAGGCAAGAACTACTTATTGGCAAAGAGATACACAATGTTCGAATGGTTGTTGTTAAGTCTAAATGTATTGCAGTTAATAGGTATGGAGAAATATTATCATTTGATTTAAGTTTGTTAAACCATGATCATAGAGTATAAACTTACATAAATTATACAGCTATTGACTCAAGAAACAAGTAAATATATTAAATATATAATATTAACCAAGACCAAGATTATTGATTGCCATCATTTTCTTTCTATCTATTCCCTTTTTTTTGTCAAATAGTATATGCTTTTCATTCAATTTTTTTCTTTGTATTAAAATGTCTCTAAATCCTGAAGATTTAATATCAACTATAGTTTTATTGACTGTTTTCTGAGTAGTATCAAGTGTATTCATTTTAGAATACCCATTCTTTGTTGGAGTAACAAACTCATCCATTTGGGAAATTTCACTAAAATTATTAAATAAAATATCAAATGTTTCATCAATCCAACTCTTGTAAATATTGACTTGTTTCTCACCTCGACCTAATACCCCAACACGTATGTTTATTTTAATGGATTCCAACTTTCTTTGACATCTAGTACAATCTTTGGGTGAGTCACACAAACAATAAAATGTTTTCTGGTTCCACTTACTTTTATCTTCTGCTGTATAGCCAATATCAACCAAACATTGATATAACTGTTCAATTCTTTTCCTTGCAAAATCTTCAAAAATTACATTGTTTGGGTTTCTTTTCCCACAAATGACAACATCTATAGTAAATTCAAACGATTTTGAAACAAGTCTTGACCCTCTTCTGTATGAATTAATTTTCATAATTCCACCTTGTCGCAAGTTCTCTTGAAATTTATGTCTAGTTACTCGAAATTTTATTTTAGCCATATTAAATGAATTTAATTCGACAATATCGAAGGCATTCAATTATTTTGTAAAAATGTGGTAATTCTTCTGTTTAATATACTAAAATTATTACAAACCCCTTTTCCGGTTCTCACCAACCAACTGACTCCGCCGCAAATATTCATTCCTAGTTCTTACAAAATACAGAACAGCTTAGCAAGATAGTCAATTGCTATTTTCCACCGCCAAAGATTTGCAGTTTAATTTGTATTGTTTAACCTGATAAAATTAAAGAATGACTTCTCTATGTAGATCATGATAAATTTTTATTACCGCAATAGACAGTAAGATAAATAACTTGTTTTACAACTCGAACATAGAATTTTGTATACCGTTGTTAAATAGATCATAGAAGTAAAAAGCTATTTTACGTATGATAAATTATTATAGTTAGATCGATTTATGCTAAAGAATTTACAACAAAGAACAAATTTTATTATCATCCTATATGGACACATAGTTTCCGTCTAATTTAGAAAACGAATTTTAAATTAAAATAGAAATTTTACTATTCCATGCGGCCCTGGTTTTTCATAATAATATTTCGTTCTTAGCATCTTATCAAAACGCTAATTAAACCAAAAATAATTTGATACTAAAAATATAAGAATGAAATTCACAACAGAATATTTATATAATCATTAGTCATATTGCAATTCATATAAGTATTCATTTACCCTTTTCCGATATAATAAGAAAAGATCCACACGTGAATACTAATAATAAAAAGAAGCAGAAATTAATTGCCCTATTATGAAAATTATTAATAAATGATGTATTGTTTACATAATAAGATTGATAACTGAACCAATAATTTAATTTGGAACAACAGTTAAGTGTATAATTGTAATTTAAACTCTCGCATTTAAAAGACAGTTTCAAGTTCAACCCTAGAATAACTAATAATAATAAAACCATACTTCGATTATTGATGATTGTAAAGAAAAGCATATACCAAACCATTATTTAATATTCAAAACAATTGACAATAATAAACTAAAGTATATGACCCCAATATAACTTTTATCAAAGTATAAATTTATACAAGATACAATCAAAACCGAATATTTGAAGTAAAATGTAGCTTACAATCAAATATAAAAAGGATTGTTGATTTATCTTGAAATTAATAATGCCTCATTTTAATGCAGGAATATCCGTTTCTGGCTGCCAATTTTTTTTGTGCTTAATTTATTTAGGTAAAGCGGTAAAAAAAAAAAAAAACATTCACCCCTTTATTTGAAGTTTCAAACAGTTACTTGTTAGTTGGAATTCAACTATAAAAATGTCATCATTTTCCTGGAAATTTGCTAACAATCTTTTTAAACCTTTATAATTTCATACCTTTCTAGTTTTATACATACAATTTTTTTTTGTCTTCGAAAATGAAAAATACAACCAAAATGATCAACCCAACTGAAATAATTCAAAAGTTAAGGAATGATGGGATTCTTGATGAAGTTACTAATGACTTGAATAGATCTAAAAATCCCTTAGAGTTACAAGAAATAATTCAAGAAATCAATACATTGCAACATAAATATCCGTGGGACTATTCAAAGCATTGGGAAGAGCTCCCTTATTTAAACAAGGGAATGGTTACTATTTACAATGTTATGATGGAAATGAAATGGAAAACATCACATCATGAAGTGTTTTGGAGAAACCATGCAATCAAATACTACCTAAAGAATCACAAGCAAAGTAGATTTGTCAACAGGTTAATAAAAAAGAAGGCAATAAATACAAAGTCCCGTCCATACCTGGTTCGTAATAATAATCTTTACTATCAAAACAGAATTGTCCCCATGTCGTACCCAGACTTCAAACATTTGATTCTAGACATCCATAAAAATGCCAACAGTCACTTCAATGAAGAAACGTATTATACATTCATTAAAGACTACCATCTTGATTGTCACCAGATCTTAATCGATGAAATTTTACAAAACTGTCAAGAATGTCAAAATCCAACTATTGTTTACCATTTTTATCATATTCAATGTTTTTTAAGGGACGGTTATTGGCCAGAATATTTATCGAAAGGTGCTTTAGCGAAGTTGAAAAAATGTGCCCCGCTTTACAGTTTAAAAAATAATAAATTGACTTATAAAAACAGGGAAGTTATTATGAATAGAAATGAGCAGGTAAAATTGTTACTGGTGCTTCATCGCAAGAACCACCTATGTACTTGGTTGGTTGTGCGAGAAGCCCAGAAACATTTTTACTTTCGAAATATGCTTCAAGTTGGTGATAAAATACAAAAAAATTGTCTTAGATGTATAACCAAAAAAACAAAGAAAGCTATTATTTCTAGATCTACTGGATTGCAACTGCCAATTTTATAGTGTATAGGTATTTGATTGTTTTTCTTTCTTAGTTTAATAAATTGTTATTTTTTGATGTGAGATTATTTCTCTCTTTCTTGCAGTTTCTCGCTCTAATAATTGGCGGTGCAGCTGCGAATGCTACGTGGAAGTCGTTAAAAGAGATACTATCTTTGTAAATATTACTGAAGACCTAAGTAAACAAGTTCTTTTTTAGGGTTCAATAATTGATATCAAATTCCTATTCCCTGATTAATGAAATATATATATATATACGATATCTTTGCGCAGATTCGTTCATATATTTTGACTCAATGGAAATCCATCTATGTAGTTTAATCTAACTATTTTCTACTTGTGAAAGTTTTTCCACTACAGGTTCAATACGAACTTTGTTTCTATATCTATAATCCACCGAGCAATAATTAGCTTGGGAAATGGTTATGTGTATTTTTATTTCAAAAATGGCAATATATTTTTCATTTAATGAATATTTGACTAGATTTCTTAGAAGTATACTACCAATATTGATACTCCAGTAAAATATGTTTGTCAATCTTGACAAAGTTTGTTCCCTATCCAAGATAATCTTCTCCCCAGAAGGCAAAACCTTGACCATATCGGTATCTTCTGGGTATTGGTCCAACAACAACGGCAACAAATTAGGCTTAATGAAACCAGTACCAACAGACAAGGTGACGATAGCAATGATACATAAACCCAAACCTGCGTTGGCGTTCAGAATGGCCCCAGGGATACTGGCAAAGATGAAAAAAAGATGGCCCACAAAACCGAAAAAAACACCCCACTGGATGGCATACCATCTGCCAATAGTCGAGTCACCCATGTAACCACCAAACAACGGAGCCACGTATGCAAGGAATGTCAAAAGATTGGTCAAGGCAGAGGCAGTCTGCAACCCCTTACCCAACGCACCAGCAGAAGCATCGGGGTTCCCCGGTGGAGGCGCACCCCAGCCGTGTGGGGAGTTTGGGTCAATTCGTCTCTGGATGTAGTTGGTAAGAATACCAGTCGTGGAGTAGTAGGAGGCACGCTCAGCAAACTCACAAAGACAAAGGATAATTGTGCTGTACCTGATGTTCCCAATCACTCTTCTCAAGGTCTGCAGCTCGTGCTCGGTTGGTCTTCTCAACCCTTTGGGATTATGCTCGTCAACAAAGTTGGTGGAGTAGTTTTTTGGATCTTCGTAGTCGTAGTCCTCTTCGCTAGACAGGCCGTGTTCACCTGTAATCACCTCAAGGAGATCTGGCTGTTTCTCGTCGGTATATTCTGGAGCTCCCATGTTGTAGTTACTTGTCTCTTGAGAGTTTGTCACTATATTGAGGATACAAGGAAAAAGCAGGAAGTGTGGTGAATTCTACTTCTCTAGTTAAAAAAAAATTAAATTAAATTAGACTAATGGATAATTAAAAAATCTGGGGATGCTCTTGCTTTTATATGCTGGTGGGCATTCTTCAAATAGTGTTTCGGAGGCATGGCTCAAAATCCAAGATAAAGAAATAGCTTACAGATCTCCGGAAACCACATGATTTTACACCACCCATAGTGATGCTCCCGCCATAGTAAGTGTCATGTAGTCGGCGAAATTGTCCAGAGAACCATGGAAATTGTGCGGTGTTTCTGAATAATGACTCAAGATAAGATACTGCAAATCAATAATCTAAATTTCACAAAAACCCGCCACTTTTTGGTATTGCTTTTTTTTTTGTCTTTTTTTTCGTGCCGCGCGAAATACGTAATGGCAATGAAATGGTGTTCCATTGAAATATTATAACCGTATCTCCAATTAATTGCCTTCATTGGCAGGAGATCAAGAGACATGAGCAACAGAATGCCTTGAAAGTTTTCTTGGAAGGGGTATAACTGTTTATTTTGTTCCTTTTTTTTCTTTCTTGAGGGGAATTACAATGGATAACAAAGTCGTGATACCTCCTGAGAGAAAGAATACTTACGAATAACTAAAGAATGATTTAAAATTTTAGTAAGAACTTTACGCCTAGTTGACATGGATTTGACAACACCCCAGAAGATTTCGATTCTTGTTGTCTAAGACAAATAAGAAATGGGATCATTTGATACATTATCATGACCTGAAAGTAATCTAATCTCTAAATCAAGTATCGGAAACCTTCCAATTGCGGCAAAATGAAATAGAGGAAGATAATAATAATAATAAAAAGAAAAAAAAAAATTTGATGCCTTCCTCCACCCTTCTCCTCAACAAAGGGCACTTTTTTAGTTTAGACTAATTTTTATTGGGAAAGCTTTAAAGCTTCATTTATTTACGGGCGTCTCTAAGTCGCTATTTGCGTCATAAACTCAAACGGCATTTGAAGATACCATCCACAGGCTAACTATTACCATCGGGCTTACCTTGTTTCACTACGAGCCACAGTTCTGATTATTGTTTGCTGGATCTCTTCAGAGTCCGTCTAGTTTCAACAGTCCCCCATTAGCAATGACATAAAAAGAAAAAGAAAAAATATTATTTTAACAATTATCCGATATCTTGTCGGAATTGTGGGAAAATGTCCGAAACGGAAAAAAGTTTTTGCTTTGAATCAATTGCCTCAGGTGAAAAGTCTGATTGGTTTTGTGACATAGATATCAAAATTTTTAATTCATTCTGCCAACTTTAAACACTATCAAAGCGTATGATAAATTAAAAAAATAAAAAGCAGAAGTGTACTTGCATCTCTGTAATTTATTATTTATTTTTTTACTTCTTTCAAAATGCCGCGAGTGGATCAAAAATTCTTTAGGCTATCGTATTTTGATGCCTTTGCATATCACAATGGTATCAATTTCCTTTTTCTTCTTTATTTTGGGAAGCTTTTAACTATATTTCCAAGGTCTTTGTAATCAAGATCGTTATCATGGTTATCGCCAATTTCATGCTAATCTCAAACAATGCGGGTTGGTAACCCAATCTTACGGTATAAGACGGTAGGTGGCTGACTTAATCATAACTGACTCTCAATGGTTTATCTTTCACAATTTGTACGTTTCACAAGCACACGGCACCAATAAAAAAATATTACAAAATGCACAACATCTTGCATGAGGTACTCCCTAGATATTTAATTCCCGTTGAACCCAACTGGGGAAGTATTACGAAAGATAAGAGATGTTTTGCAAACTGGTACATATATTGATTTTTTCAATAATCAATTTTCTACAAATATCTCTAAAACTCATTAAGGAATTAGCTTTTCAATGAGGCAATGGCTTCAAGAGGATGATCAACCAGTCCAATTGCTTTGTTTTGCTGCTCTTCTTCTTTCACTAATCGGGCTCTTTCCTTCTCTTCTTCTGCCATCCATTTATGCAAATTCCAAAATTGCACTAATATAATCACAGCAGTAGCAAACCCAGCAAGACCAACAGCGAGAAAAACCCAATGTAAATTAGGATCCTTTAATGCTGGTGTTACAGCAAGACTCAATGCAGCAGAAAATGCCGACATAAGCAAGAATAGCGCATAAACAAAACTCTTCAATGATGGAGGAGCCCTAGTATAGGCCAATTCGTAAGCAGTAGTGTATGCCCAGCATTCACCAGCAGCAGCCAAAATAAAGATAGAAGTTGCTTTCCAAGCAGTGACTGGTGCTGGTTGGTCACAACCAGTAGAGTAATACCCACATGGCGACAGCTCGTAGACTTCTCTCTGCAAGATAAATCCTGAAATTTGTGAAAAGGAGCAAACAACAAATCCAAATGCAATTCTGTATATTGGTCTAAATTCAATTCCATACTTGTTGAAAAGCGGGTAAATACCATATTCTAACACTGGAATAAGCACGATAATAGTCAACGGGTTGAAATTATTGAACAAATCATTTGGCACACCGTCCAACTTCATTGCCCCAATTAACGAGGTTTCCACCGATGTAAAACCCCCGTTACAAAGATTGAACACAATATAGTAGATGAATATCTTGCATGAATGCAATGTTTGTTTGACGTCCAAGATCCACTGATCATTCCATGTGATTGGCGTTTTCTTCTTGGTGTTGTAGTACTCCCGTCCTCTTGCTCTCATGCTCGAAGGTCTGGCATAGTCCCAGAAGGTCCCATTGTATGCTCTCTTGATGAAATTGCCCGAAAAAATAACACTGGAAATCTTCATTACATTTGGCATCACGTCACTATTTGGTGGTTTGATCTTGAGTCGCGGTTTGATGATAAACAAAAAAATTGGGATTATGATGTAAAGCACCATTGGGATAAAGAATGCCAACCAGAACCCTACTCTTCTAGCTGCATAACTTGTACTTAGCATAAAGAACGCACCAATATTGATAGACCAATAAAAAACATTGGTCAATCTTGACAAAGTTTTCTCTCTATCCAAAATGATTTTGTCACCGGTGGGCAAGACTTTAACAACATCGGTATCGTAAGGATACTGGTCCAACAACAACGGCAATAAATTCGGTTTCATAAGTCCTGAACCCAATGCCAATGTGATGATGGCAATGATACACAAGCCCAAACCTGCATTAGCATTCAGAATGGCACCAGGAATACTAGCAAAAATAAAGAAAAGATGGCCAACAAAACCGAAGAATACACCCCACTGGATGGCTTTCCATCTTCCAATAGTGGAATCACCGAGGTATCCACCAACCAAGGGTGAAAGGTAGGCCAAAAACTTCAAAAGGTTGTTCAAGGCTGAAGCAGTTTGCAACCCCTTGCCCAACGCACCAGCTGACATGTCTGGATTTCCAGGTGGCGGGGCTCCCCAGCCGTGTGGGGAATCTGGGTGGACTCTTCTCTGAATGTAGTTTGTAAGAATGCCAATTGTGGAGTAGTAGGAAGCACGTTCTGCAAATTCACAGATACAAAGAATGAAAACACTGTACTTGATATTACCAATAACCCTTGCCAAATTCTTCAGCTCGTCGTCCGTTGGTTTTCTGAGTCCTCTAGGATTGAATTCATCTGAATAGCTGGTGTAGTAGTTGGTGGGATCTTCATAGTCATATGAATCTTGAATGGAAAGTACTTTGTCGTCACTTATGACTTCAACTATCTCTTTTTCTTTTTCAATGTCAGAATTTGAAGTCATGATTGTTGATTTATCAAAAACAGGAACCAAGTGAAAATTGAAACTGGAGAAGGGGAACTCCTCCCTATTTATAAATCATTTTTATTTTAACTATCTTCACAGGAAGAACCCCCCAATCCTTATCAACATATCGAATTGTGGATTGCATTATTGCCGTGAAAGATAAACCTTTATACCGAAATTAAGAATGAAAAAAAAAAAAAAATTGTAACAAGAGTGTTGATACTGGTTTGCTTTTTCTTGGATTTGGCATGTCCACCAAGAAAAAAAAAACTGACAACTTTAAGTAAAGGCACTTGTCTATGTTAATTCATATGAGTGGGTGAAAAGATAAGAGGAGAAAAGTATGGGCAGGAAATATGCAACGAATGCTTGGCATATTGAATGGCATCAAAAAATTGTGATGTGGAAGCTCGTGAAGTTGGTGATTCTGTATGAATCATTTCTTCATATTGCCGTGACATTGTTGATAAGCACTCAATGAAAGATATCATTGAAATTATGAAGATCGTAGTTATATCTTCAGATTAATTGATCGAGGTGACATCAAAGTTATTATTATGTCATGGTCATTTTCAGTTTGGTAGGGTAGGGTAACATGTATTGGTTGTGGATAAAGAAGACTAACCCTGCCACGTGATATTGGTTCTTCTGAACATTCAGAATTATCCAGTATATTTTTCAATATATTTAAGGAATTATAGCTACTACGATAATAATAATAATAATACTCATAACCCGGGATCTGTATTATTCTTGGTATCGAGTATCCAATAAAATTTCATTATCTCTTATGGCAACAAAGATGATAAACCCCTATACAAATCACACAATTGATTATTACTAATACTCTAAAATATAATGTATTATTGACTGCAATATATTTGAGGTTATGATAAACTTCGAAAATTTGATACCAAGCTTTGCTATCCAAAGTGGGGTGAAGTGGGGGATACGTTCCACCAATGCTACCAAATACATGTTTAAGGATTGGACAAAACTTTACAATATATTTAAAAGTTGTACTAACTAACACACTGATCCGCTGTCATTTTTGAAGCATTTCAATGGAGAAACGTCTCGTGTGTTTCTGGTTTTCCATTTCTGCAATTTCTATATTAACATCTGTAAATTCACTTCTCCTAGTGAAATTCATATTATTCAAGTTATACATCTTTTAAATCTTTTTTTTTTTCGACTTGAACTTCTTGCTAATAATAATCCAGCTATTTCAAATGCATAACCCAATTTCCTATTCACCAAATTTTGCAATCACTTTATCCAGGATATCTAAGTCTCGCAATATTTCCATATTAGGAAATCTGCGGCGCACTTCTGAAAAAATTATTCCTCATCACCAAAACGAAAAAAAAAGAAAAACTTCAATTAAACCTGAAAAAAAAAAAATACAAGATGATGATGCAGACATTGGATCACAATTTCAACAAAAGAAAAGATCACACCATTTCCTAGTAACTATAATGTCCGTTGAAGTTAGAAAAAGACCATCTGAAACTTTAAGCCTGGCTTCAAAAAGAAGAGCCACTGTGCAATCAACCAATCCAAAAGATGACAGTGGATTATCTCAATGTTATAAGACTGTAACTACTTCCTTATATGTTTCTTTAGCCCCTGTTCATTTACAAAACCCTATAAATGGTATTAAACAACAACATTTGGATCCATTAATTATGACTTACTTTGCCAAAGCTAAAGGAGTTGTCGTTGCATATTCAAATATTAGGTTCTTAGAAGAAAATGATGAATCCAGTCATAGTCTTGCTAAAATTGAAGGAAGTTCACCATTTACATTCATGTGGATCTCAGTAGATTTCTTATGTTGGTGTCCACAAGTGGGTGATGTTTTAGAAGCTGACGTATACATGCAAACACCATCCCATATTGGTCTTTTAATAAATGATACCTTCAATGCAAGTATAAAGAAATATAATATCCCAACTTCATGGACTTTTAAATCCAATCAAGTCGATGAAGTTTCAAGCGATGATAAGAAAACTTTTGGACATTGGCTAGATGAAAATGAAACTAAAATTGAAGGGAAATTACAATTCACAGTTAAAGCTATATATACCACTGGTAGAGTTGTTTCTGTCGAAGGTACTTTAATTAAACCAGGTGAAGAAAGAAATGCCCAACCTGTGTACACTGAAAGACAAGAAAAGAAACCAAGCGGTAAGCATATGAAATTTGATGATGACGAAGATGATCAACAAGAAAATGTAATTACCACTGAAATTGCTGAACCAGATGAAAACGAAGAGTTACCAGCTTATGTCAAAGATTCTGACGATGATGAAGATGAAGGTGAAGATGGTAAAGTCGTGAATAAATCCGATTCAGAAGAAGATATCGTCGAATCAGATTAGTTCTATGTATCATTAAATTTTTTACATTACAAGATAGAAATAAACAACTATTTACAATATACTTTATTAATTAAAAATTATTTGTTTTATCATCATTAATCATTCTCCATATAGCGTCTTTCTCTCTATTAGTAGGTCTATCAAAGTTCTTATTTCTCTTGGAGTATTTACCCCCAGATCCATAAAACAAGCGGTACAAGAAAGAACCACGTTTCCATCTCTCCGTATGGTTTTTTGCCTGTGATGATGAAGGCTGTACATTACTAATCTTTGATTGATTTGCTGCTCCCATCATAGTTAATTTTTGAACTTTGTGCAATTTCTTGAAATTCAACCATGTTATGGCCAAACCTTGAACAATTGAGAACACAACAACCATTCCAAAACCCCAATTTGATTCCTCAATATAATTCTTTAAATTCATACCATAAAATGCTGGCAATAAAGTGGCAACAGTAAAACCTAAAGTATAAACCGTAATCTTTAATTCAAACAACATCAATGAATTTCTATTTGCATCAAGGATAATATTCACGATCTCTTCAGTTGCTTTAATATCATTTAATAAACTACCTGCTTGTTGTACAAACTCATCACACTGTCTATAATAACTCTCCAAAATCAGTTCAATTTCATCATAGTTTTCTTCTTCTGGTTTAAACTCCTTCGGGTCGGTCAAATACATTCCTGCAAGATCTTCATCATTCTCCAATAACTCCTCCAATACATCACGAATCAATATAGCTCTTTGATGGAAACTTGACAATTTTTTCAGATTGATCAACAACTCTTGTAATTTCTGACGATCAACTTCGTCTTCCAATTCAGCCAATATAATCCCACATTGTCTTCGGTGCAATTTTATTTCTGCTTCTAAATAACTCATTATACTAACCAAAATCGATTCCAATGCTCTGAATTCATAACAGATGTTACTTATTGGAGATTGTAATTTCAATTCTAAATCATACATGAAGATCCCCAATTTTGTCGCCACTTCGCTATTCGAAGTATCAAATACCATTACACTATCCTTCTTTATAATAGCTTTTATGTATAATAAATTGACCAATATAGCATTTGAAGGGCGGATCATAATAACCGGGACCACATCAATTGCTGATGTATCAATTTTTCTCAAATCTCTAGGGAATAGATGATTATCTTTCAAGAATTGCATCTTGGGATATTTTTTAGAAACGGCTGTAATATTACCTAGTCGATCAAAAATTGTACATGAAACGTATAAGTCACTAGGTATTATAGGTTTAAGTTTATTGAAGATCATCGAATCGGATGGAATCACACTCGTATTGAGATTTAAAGTTGATGGAAGGGAAGCCTTACTTGGTTTCTTCGAATCACGACTTTTGGACGTAGTTGATTTATAACAGACACATTTATGCTGAATAACTGAACGCGGAAGTAATCTGCTAATTCTCAAAGGATATAGTAGTCTTTGAGAATGGTTCATAATGCTGTGGTTGTCTTGAAGAGCAATCACTAAGAAATACTATTATCTGTTACTAAAAAAGATTTTCTCTTCCAATGTGAACAAAACACACAACTACCGAGTGCGCAACTTGAATAATGCAGAAATATACAATTCTTGTAACCAATTGCTAGGGCTGATAATGTCTTAGGGCATAGTTGTATTTAACACACCTGTTCATAGTTAACTAACCACAAATGATATAGTTAAACGACAGCACTAATTTGTCACTTACAATAAATTGTAGACTGAAGGCATTCACTTACAACGAGTGAAATGTACTATAGTAAGCGGGTTCAAGATACAATAGTTATAATAGACTAATTTATATTCTAAACTCTTTATTTTCCCTAATTCTTGAATTATCTGGCAAAGGGAAGCCATTGTCCTAGTTATAGTATGTTTCCCATATACTTATATAAAATTATTATTGAGTGTTATACTATCATCAAAGGTCGTGTCTAAGTGGAAACTTACTATTGTTATTTTTGAGCGACAGGGTTGATGCAAATTTATCGTCTCAATTATTCCAAAGTCGTGCATTGTGTCAACAGAATTTTACTAAAATATTTATATAAAACAATAGGATTTATTTTGACAAATGTCAGAGAATTGTTAAGTTTTATTGTTTTTTTCTTTATTCTCCTCTTTAGAATTTTCTTCTTCTACTACTACTACTTCTTCTTCAACTTATAACTATGGAAAAAACAAATCAAGAGCCAAACGAAACTAGTGGGGGTAGTTTAGATGATCAGGGAATTCAACTGAAAGATTCTTCTATATCAGATAGAAAAAGGTACAGGGGAAAGCATAATCCAATTATATCGATCCGTGACTTATTAACAGATAATCCAGAAGAAGAATTGGAAGCTCCAGACTCACAAAAGCAGTCTAACCCACAAATAGCCTCAGCTGATATGCCTACACCATCGGTATCGACGCAGCAACATCAACAGGAAGAGCCACCTTCTGTAGAAGCTCCTCGCACATGCCTTCATCAAATCATTGAGTTTCTTAATTCCATTCTGGTTGAATTTGAAATTACTGATAACAAACTTAATATTGTTCATGAAGATTTTTCAATAATGCAAGAATGCTTGGAATATATTAACCGATTTATTTCCATCAAAAAGGTAACAACTGATACTAATTCCAGTGGCAATAAAACAACCTACTACCTTAGATATCAATGCAATGATAATGATCCATGTTTAATAAAGATTCTGAAAATATTCATCAACCAAGAATACACATTCTGTATCAATTTATATATCAATGAATTGCACGATCACTACTTAGGAATCGCCGCAAATGACACAAAAAATAGAAAGTTACACGAAAAACTAATTCTAGTCAGAACTATAACTTATGATCAAATAGAATGTTTGCACAAGGGTAAAACTGATACAGATTCCTATCTGAAGAAGTTGCAGCGCCAAAGGGAAAGAAATAGAGCTAAAACTAGAGCCAACAAAACAACTTCACAGTTGAAATTAGAGCTTTTGGATTCTTTAAAATACTTGGTTCACAGACTTGAAAACGAGGACGGTGATAAGTACAAAAGTTTGATAGACTCAACGTATGTGTATATAAAAGCTCTCGAAAGTAGCTGTGGCTTTGATACCGAAACTGTATAGGTTCCCCTTTGTGAGTTCACAGTAAATATACATTGTGTGCTTTTAAGAATAATGACAGCGAGTAAGATATTGTAGAGTTTGATTTGTGTTTTTTGTTTATTCTCCACGTTATTCAAGAAGTTGGTGGCTATTACAATTAGACACGCTGTGGTTCCTTTTGCGTTCCTGATTAATTATAACTTTTTTTCTGTTCCTCGATTATAAGGAATTATTTTCGTTCCTGAATTGCAATCCTTCTATTTTTCCCTCATACTAAAATTCAAAAAAATTATTGGAGCATATGCAAAAAATGCATGATTCCAAACTAGCTTCCCTTTTTTGGTTCATATCATATATCATATATCATATATTTTTAGTATCAACGAATTGACGTAAAGTAATATAAGGATTTTTTGCGCACTAACAACAAAAATATTGACCACTGTAAAATAAACTATAAACCAATAGTCCTAATAATTTATGCTCATTGATCGGATAATTATGCTCTAACTAGAGAAAAATAAGACTATAGTGACGGTATATCTGTGTCCAAGTTTATACTATACTTTTATGGGCTATCGAAACTCTTCCACTCTGATACTTCAGACTTAGCATTGAGTCTGATTCTAGTGTATGTATACATTGATATTGAATATATCAAGCTCAATGATTCAAAAAATTTATCAATGTATAATAAATCAAATATTCAATTCCTAATTACAATCCCCCTTTTTTTTCTGCGTCAACTTGAGATACACCTATACAATTATCTCGACCAATGAACATATAGACCACCTTTGGAGAATCTTTTGCAATTTGTGTGTAATTACACTACAAAGTCCACCAAGCTTCCTGCTTTTTCCTTGTATCCTCAATATAGTGACAAACTCTCAAGAGACAAGTAACTACAACATGGGAGCTCCAGAATATACCGACGAGAAACAGCCAGATCTCCTTGAGGTGATTACAGGTGAACACGGCCTGTCTAGCGAAGAGGACTACGACTACGAAGATCCAAAAAACTACTCCACCAACTTTGTTGACGAGCATAATCCCAAAGGGTTGAGAAGACCAACCGAGCACGAGCTGCAGACCTTGAGAAGAGTGATTGGGAACATCAGGTACAGCACAATTATCCTTTGTCTTTGTGAGTTTGCTGAGCGTGCCTCCTACTACTCCACGACTGGTATTCTTACCAACTACATCCAGAGACGAATTGATCCAAACTCCCCACACGGCTGGGGTGCGCCTCCACCGGGGAACCCCGATGCTTCTGCTGGTGCGTTGGGTAAGGGGTTGCAGACTGCCTCTGCCTTGACCAATCTTTTGACATTCCTTGCATACGTGGCTCCGTTGTTTGGTGGTTACATGGGTGACTCGACTATTGGCAGATGGTATGCCATCCAGTGGGGTGTTTTTTTCGGTTTTGTGGGCCATCTTTTTTTCATCTTTGCCAGTATCCCTGGGGCCATTCTGAACGCCAACGCAGGTTTGGGTTTATGTATCATTGCTATCGTCACCTTGTCTGTTGGTACTGGTTTCATTAAGCCTAATTTGTTGCCGTTGTTGTTGGACCAATACCCAGAAGATACCGATATGGTCAAAGTTTTGCCTTCTGGGGAGAAAATTATCTTGGATAGGGAACAAACTTTGTCAAGATTGACAAACATTTTTTACTTCGCTATCAATATTGGTAGTATACTTCAAATTGCCACTAGTTATTGTGAGAGAAGAGTTGGGTTCTGGTTGGCCTTTTTTGTGCCTATGGTGTTGTACATCATTATGCCGCTTTTCTTGTTTATTGTGAAGCCAAAACTCAAGATCAAACCACCGCAGAGCGACGTCATGCCAAAAGTCGTCAAGATCCTTTCTGTTCTTTTTTCCGGCAACTTTGTCAAGAGATTGTGGAACGGCACCTTCTGGGACTATGCCAGACCATCCCACATGAGGGCCAGGGGAAGAGAGTACTTCAACAGCAAGAAACAGACACCAATCACATGGAACGACCAGTGGGTCCTGGACATCAAACAGACCATCGACTCGTGCAAGATCTTTGTCTACTACATTGTGTTCAATCTTGCTGACAGTGGTTTGGGCTCGGTCGAAACATCCTTATCCGGTGCTATGAGATTGGACGGTGTGCCAAACGATCTTTTCAACAACTTCAACCCAATCACCATCATCGTCATCATCCCAATCTTGGAGTACGTTATCTACCCGCTTTTCAACAGGTACGGAATCAACTTCAAGCCAATCTACAGAATCTGCTTTGGGTTTGTTGTGTGCTCCTTCTCACAGATTGCCGGTTACATCTTGCAAAAACAAGTCTACGAACTGTCTCCATGTGGCTACTATGCTAGTGGCTGTGACGAACCGGCCCCAATTACCGCCTGGAAAGCCACCTCTCTTTTCATCTTGGCCGCTGCCGGTGAATGTTGGGCTTACACCACTGCCTACGAGTTGGCCTACACCAGATCCCCACCTGCAATGAAGAGTTTGGTCTACGCATTGTTCTTGCTTATGTCTGCATTCTCTGCCGCATTGAGTCTTGCCATCACCCCAGCCTTGAAGGACCCACACTTGCACTGGGTCTTCCTTGCTATTGGTCTTGCTGGTTTTGCCTGTGCCATTGTGATGTTGGTGCAATTCTGGAACTTGGACAAGTGGATGGCCAAAGAGGAAGCAGAAAGAGAAAGACTGACTAGAGAAGAAGAAGAGGCCAAGGCTCTCCTCGATGTTGACCATCCAATTGAAGCCATCACATCAATCAAGTCTTAGATGGCCTTTGTGTTTGTATTTTATTTGTAATTGTTGTGTAATTTGTGTGTACAATATTATAGTTTGATTTTTCGTTTTTGTTTATTATTAGTAGTCCCCATTGTCATTCAAAATCACTCGTAATACCCAACAACTATCCCAAACATGATACTCCCTGTTTCCTCTCACTTACTCCAAAGACAGCATACTCTCTTCTAGTAATCTTGCACCTTGTTTAAGTAAGCTGCGAATAATTATAATTGGTGTCAGCACACGACTATTTGCTTCCATTCCGCACCTATTCACCTGTTCACATATTCACTTTTTTCGGTTTTATTTCGCGCCTATGCTGGTGTAACTTTCAGATCTGTATGTCAAAGTATTTGGACTAGTGATATGTGAGAGATCATGGTCAGTTAGTTTCAACGATATTTTCTTTTCCTTCTCTGCTGTCCGGTCAATAGCTAGTCAATTACCGATTAAATAACTTATCATACTATCAGACTTTGTCACTTTTATATAAACCGATACTACTGTAACTGTTTTGCTTCACCAAATGAAATAATACTCCCCAGTGATTTATTCGATTGATTCCAAGCTAATGCTTGCCAGTTTACCATAACTTGAGACTTCTTGGTAATCTGGAACCACCATAGACAATTGTTGTGAAGCCAGAAGTCATGATTATCAACATTCATATCTGGTATATGCACTATGGATTCAGTGGTATTCTTTTTTTAATGGTGCCGCGCTTACGGGAACCTACACGGTGATTGTTTAGGCAGTGAGCAATACATTGTTTCTATTATTTTTTTTGAATCACCGAATTCCTCCCCCAGACCATGCACAATTTCACCTGGTGGTATATTGTTGTAGGGGAGGGGGGGGGGTTCGCTTAAAGAGTAATTCCCAAATGATCTTCATCACTCCTTGTAATTAGGACGCAGTGTATTACCAGTGTAGTTATTCTCATTGACAAGACGGTGAATTTCTTCTCCCCCTCCCCACTGTAGTTTGTTGATAGAGTAATCAATATCCACTGTCTTTGTGAAAGTATTCATTTTATTACAAATCATTTTCATCACGTCCTACTAATTCACTATGGTTCCAGTGTATTTTTAGATATGGGTCTCTACTTAATCCAACTTGCCAAGAAATCCTACCCCCCCCCCCCGCAACTACGTGTAATCTACGAGGTGCTGTGTATTGTTGCTATGTTGGTTTCATCTGGAATAATAGGAATTAGCGGTCGTGTTCGTGTTCGTGGTGGTAGTGTGAATTTGGCGAATATTTATTTCAGAAAAAAAGAAACCAAATAAGATAGAAAAACAACCCACTATTACCACCGTTTGTATCTAGTAACTCAACCCGTACTTAATGCAGATACTATTACCTCCATTAAAAATGTGGAGTACTAAATGTCATAGTCATTATTTTTCAAGAATTCATTCTTACTTATCATGAACCTCATTAGGTAATCAATACTTTTATTTACACTAGCAATGGCAGTATCGGAAGCATCACTATAAATAGGTGATATAAAGAACCACCAATAAAAGTTTCATTTCAAGTTGTATTAATATCATTTTCCAATGACTACTATCTTAATACTGTTGTTTACTATTTGCCAACTATCTAATGCTATTGAGTATGAAAATTGTGGAGGTTCACCTTTATCTGATTTCTGTGAAACCATTACTTGGCAATACAACCATAGTTGTTCCTACATTGCAAATAAATATAATTTGACAATTCATGAGTTAGTGGATTACAATTGGCCCATTAGTGAATACCTGAGCTACCTGGACAACTACTATTGTAGTATGTTTACAGAAGGTGATCAGATCTGTATAAGTCAACCTGATTATAGTGATTGTGGGGCATATCCAATTTGTATCTTTGAACATCCTGAATACTTCTGTGATTCGTATACACTTGAAAAAGATTATATCACCTGTGAAGAAATTTGTGAAATTTATAATATCACCATGGAGGAATTCAAGGATTGGAATAGACATAATGAATTGACACTTCAGTGTTGGAATTCTTATTGGATGAAGGAAGGTAATACATATTGTGTTTCCAAGCCAAATATAACAGACTTTACAGATTGTGTGAGCATAGCTGAAGCTGAAAACAATCCAACTAATGCTGAATTCTATGAAAGTCTCGAAAATGAATCTATTGGACCATTGCATGTTCATCCATCTTCTACTGGATCATCCCCGGACCATTCAGCAAATCCAACAGCTAAAGTTGAATATAGAAACTGTGGTGGTTTACCGAAATCAGATTTTTGTCAGACTATTACCTGGCATGATAATTACAATTGTTCTTTTATTGCTCGTAGGTTTGGCTTAACTTCCAATGAATTGGTTGGATTCAATTGGGATGTTGATAGTGATCTGTACTACACAGTAGCTACTTACTGTCTGATGTTTATTGATGGTGATGAAGTATGTGTTACTAAACCAGATTACAGTGATTGTGGTGCATATCCATTCTGCCTTTTCGAATATCCGGAGTACTTCTGTGAATCTTATACACTTGAGGAAGATTATATGACATGTGAAGAAATTTGTGATATGTATAGCATCAGTGTTCAAGATTTTAAAGAATGGAATGCACATAATAACTTGGAACTTACTTGTGGAGCTGATTATTACATGTACGAGGGTAACACATATTGTATTTCGAAACCAAACATTACAGATTTTACTGATTGTGTGAGTATTGCTGAAGCAGAGAACAATCCTTCACGTGTATCATACTATGAAAGTCTCGAATCTGAAACTGTGGGGCCCTTACACACAAGAAAAACTTCTACTTCTACGATAACGAGTGGTGCATCTGGAACTAGTTCAGCAGAAGTTGAGTATGAAAACTGTGGTGACTTACCATTATCTGATTTCTGTCAAACAATCACTTGGAAATATAACTATAATTGCTCTTTGATAGCAACTAAGTACAACTTGACAATAAATGAGTTGGTTCGTTTCAATTGGGAAGTTGATGAATACCTGGACTATCTGGATTTATACTATTGTAGTATGTTTACTGAAGGTGATCAAGTTTGTGTTACTAGACCCGACTACACGGGATGTGGGACATATCCATTGTGTGTCTTTGATCATCCAGAATATTTCTGTGATTCATATACCTTAGATAAGGATTACGTAACATGCCAGGAAATTTGTGCCAAGTACAACATTACTTTAAGGGAATTTAAAGAATGGAATAAACACAATAATTTGAAGCTCAAATGTTGGAACCAAAAGTGGATGGAAGAAGGTGACACTTTTTGCGTTTCTAAACCAAATATCACTGATTTCACAGATTGTGTAAGTATTGCCGTGGCAGAACATAATCCAGCGAATGTTAATTTATATGAAGATTACTTTGATGTATCTATACGTCCATTGTCTACCCTGTCAACTTCTAGATATTCAACTTCATCATCAAAAACCATATCTTCCAGTGCAACTGAATCTGGATCTGCAGATAACAAGTATGCAAATTGTGGAGGCTCACCATTGTCTGATTTCTGTGAAACCATTACTTGGCGCTACAACGATACGTGTGATTCCGTCGCGATCAGGTACAATCTAACAAGAAGTGAACTAGTATTTTTCAATTGGGTGGTAAGAGACTACCAATATTACCTGTACTATTCATATCCAGGGGATCATCTGGATATTTTTTATTGTGCTTTGTTTACCGAAGGTGATCAAGTTTGTGTGACTGAACCCGATTATAGTGAATGTGGTGATTATCCAGTGTGTATTTTCGAGTATCCCGAATACTTCTGTGATGTCTATATTCCAGATAGCTGGAACATTGACTGTTATCACGTTTGTAAAATGTACAACATCACTCTTGAAGAGTTTAAAGAATGGAATAAACATAATGAGTGGAAGCCTTCCTGTTGGGATAGGTCCTCGATGCGTGATGGTGAATCGTACTGTGTTTCCAAACCAAATATAACTGATTTTACTGATTGTGTGAGTATTGCTGCTGCGGAACATAATGCATTGAACGTTGCATCTTATGAGAGTTTGAGTATGGAAACAATTGGTCCATTGTATACATTGTCTTTGTATAACCATTCAACTTTCACCACTTCTGCTACGGAAAGTATATCAGCAACATCCACATCGGAGACAGAATATAAAAACTGTGGAATTTCTCCATTATCTGATATTTGTGAAGTCATCATTTGGCAAAGCAATGATACCTGTGCGTCTGTTGCAAAAAAATACAATTTGACTGTTGATGAATTGGTTCTGTTCAATTGGGGTCATAACGCTATAATGGAACTTTTTGAAGTTCTGTACTGCGATGGTGTTACTGAAGGTGATCATGTATGCATAACTGAACCTGATTATAGTGAATGTGGATATTTCGGGTCATGTAATTTTCAAAATCCTGTATTTTTCTGTGATTCCTATATGGCTGATCGTGATAACATAACCTGTAAGGAAATAAGTGTTATGCATAATATCACTATGGAAGATTTTAAAGAATGGAACAAATTTAATGATGTGTCACTTAGATGCTGGGACGAAGGATGGATAAGCAAATATGATTCATTCTGTGTTTCCAAACCTAATATTACAGACTTTGCAGATTGTTTTAGTATTGCATTAGCAGACCATGATCCATGGGGAGCCGAACTTTATGAGACATCCAGTCTAGAAAACTTTCGACCACTGATTCCAGTGACTACTAAAATTTCAAACTCAGCTGCAAGTTTTACCAGTACTTCCACACGTGATGATTAGATTTGGTTATCTAGTATTTATTCATCTTACACCAACGATGTCACCAATGACACTTTACATTGGCTACGATTTATGTTTATTTTGTTCTTTTATATACATTATGTACTGAATTTATGATTCATACTTCTTATGAGTTTACTGCAGTGTATACTCCTTGTTACAAGTTGGATCGTGTCTGTTTGTGGAAGAAATTGTCAGTTTGGTTCGCATTCTTGTTTACATACAACAAGTTGATACTAAAAAAAAGCATGTTTCTACAAATTATTGGCACTTGTGAAAATGACAAGTATGATTTTCTTTTATTAAATAATCAGTTGCTAGAACGGAATTTTGACTAATAAAACTGAATAAACCAAATTAAAAAAAAAAGTATAACAATAATGAAGGATAATATATAAAAAAAAAAAACTAAAACAAATCTAATCAAAGAATTTTCTTGTAGCTGATGGACCAAATAATTCCAATCTAATGGCAGGTAAGGCTTCTTCAGATAAAATTTTCAATCTTTCTTCCAAAGTATTATCAACTTCAATTTTACCAGTACCATTGACAACTACAACACCACCAGCAATGTCTTTGGATAAATAATCCTTATCATCAACAGTAACTTCGACTTTGAATTTAGCTTTTTCTTCAAAGTTTTTAGCAGCATCTGCAATTGCTTCTTTAGCAATAGCAACATCTTGTTCTCTAACTTTAATGCTAACTTTTGGTTCCAATAAGGCCAATAAACCTTCTTCAATTAATCCACTTAAAACAGGTTTGTATTGTTTCTTATCTTTGGTAATTTTTTTCAATTCTTTTTCAGCATCATCAAAAATATCTTGTAAAACTTCATCTTTAGTAGATAAAATTCTTAATCTTGTTTTATTACCAATAGTAGATTTTGTAATTTGTTGAGCTAAACTTGCTTTTTTCAATTTCTGTTCATATGTAGAATCAATAGCTGCAGTTTCTGATCTTACAATTGAAGCTTTTTCAATTTCATATTCTTCATCTGCTTTTAATTTAATTTCTTTAGCTTTTTCTTTAGCTTCCTTTTCAATAAAGGCTTGCATTTTAGAAAGCTCAGATTTAACCTAATGATGTCAATGTTAGTATATGTTGTCAATTCATGTAATACGCCATTATTAAAATCGATCCACATACTTGTTCGTCAGATAATGTCATCCTTATTTGTTTATTCAATTGGTGGTTTGATAAAGATAGATTTGTTTTAACCAATCTGAAATTTAATCAATTCTTATCGACAACAATTAAAAAAGAAAAGAAAAATTTCCCTGGTATAAATTTAAATTGGTTTTACAAGAGCGAGAAAAAAAAATTGAACAAGAAAAATAAAAAAAGCGCTAATAAAATCATGAAATTGTTGCATGTTTACACGACTGATGGATCCATACCACGAGACACACTCGTACAACTTTATTGAAGCACGATCTTTTTTTTTATTATTATTTTTTTTTTTTTTAAATAAATGTATTCATAAGCATACATATACATATCTATTTAGATAAGATCTTGTTCTTATATTGCAAGAATATTCATATTACTTATATGAGTTGGTCTAAGAATTTTCTGGCCAATTCAACACCAAGGAATGTGGCTGCATTGGCTGGGAAAGCTCTTGCTAAGGCTGGACCAACACCAGGGAAGAATGCTTTAATACCTCCTTTAGCATAAATACTCTTGGTAGCTTGTGAGATGGAAACTTTGACGTTGGAGGATTGTTGAGTGGATTTGATAGTATCAATTGGGAAAACACCCAACCACATAGCAATACCTGCACAACCACCAGCAGTTGTAATAGCAAACAAAGACAAGTCTTCACCTGGAGCACTCAATTCTTTCTTGACATATTCATAAGTTGCAAAATATAAAGCAGAACCTGGACCATCTCTAGCTAAAGTAGCAACAGTACCTTTAAAGATTGATCTAATACCACCGGTTCTGTACATTTCAGCAATGACACCACCCATTGATTTTGATTTAGCACCTTCTTGAATTTGCATCATGACTTTAACTCTTTCAAAAGGAGCAGCAACCAAAGTGGTTGGAATGGCACTAATAAAACCAGCAGTAGAAATATCTTTAATTTCAAAATTCTCAACAGCTTTACCAGTAAATGATGAAACTAATTTCTTACCAACATCATAACCCCAGAAGGAAACAGCAAACATTGGAGTGACACCCAATAATGGAGGTAAAACCCCTCTATATAAACCACGTAATCCATCTTTTGAAATGGTTTCTTTAACACATTGGACTGAAGATTTGTACAAACCAGTTTGTAATCTAACCTTGACAAGATCAAATGGGTGACCGGTTAAAACGGCGCAAATACCACCAAAACCACCAGCGGCAAAAGATTTAACATTATCGGCTAAAGCTGAGTCAACGTCGTCCATTTTATTTAATTTGATATGTGATTGAGTCTATGTATCTATCTTAAATAAATAATAAAAAGAAAAGGGTAAAACAAAAAAAGGAAGGATAAAACAAAGGGGAATAAAAAGGAAAACTGAATAAATAAATAAATAAATAAAAATCAAACTAGTTGATTCAATAGTTCTTAATGAATTATACTGAAATAAAAGTTATATCAACAAGAAAGAAGGAAAAAAATAAAAAATTTTGAAAATGAAAAATCCGGGGGAGTATTTATATTTTTCTATCGTCTTGGACAAACAATCTGAAATATTTGTATGGGTGGAAATGTGGGTGAAGAAAAAAAAAAAAAATCTTACTTAGCCTCTTGACCGAGGAACTAAAAAATAAAAATCACCACTGTAACTAAAACACACATTTTTTTACACAATGCAAGGTAATATATCTCTACAACACAAGTACTGTATAACCCACAAGACAATTCCTCTAATATACGTAAGAGCAAAAATAAAAAAAAAAAGTAACCAATTAAAAACGATTATTATCAGTTATCAATAGTAACCATCATCATCATTCTCGATTGTTATTCTCATAAAAGAATATACTCTTATACTGTCATCAACTCTATTTCAGAAAATAAACAATACGGTTTACGATTTGTTTCCCACAACTGATCGTGTGGATTGTTTTTTTATTATTATAATAATTATTTACAATTGTAAACCAAATGTCACTTCTCTTAAAATCTGTTTAATTCCTCCTTTCATTTCATCTTGTTCTTTTTATCTTGTGCTCCCCCCTTCCCCCGTCACATGAACTCCGAAGCAGTCATTTTTATTATGGTGTTTAGCTTTTGTGATACTTGGCACTCCCACAATTTTTTTTTTTTTGGTGTCTATTGAAGTTACATCATTCACAGCAATCTAACATCTATAAATCATCAATATTATTGGTTGAATAAATAAGATGATAATTTATTTATTTATATATTAATATATTTATTTTTTTCTTTATACTGCTATTAGTGTATACAGATTTTACAACATCTTACTTAACTCTTTTAAATTGTAATCTCTATTTAAATCATCTTTAAAATCTTTCAATTGCAGTTGAAAATCTCTTTGATAAATGTCTTTATATATCTTGGTTTTAACTTTATGCAATTGAAATTCAACATCTTCTCCATCTTGCTCCATCGCAAAACTTCTATTCACTTGTTCACTTCTTAATATCAACCCATAATTAACTACTAATGAATAATATTCTTGACTCGTATTAATAAATTCAAATATAGTCTGTAAAAGATCATAAATCTGATCAATCAAACTTAAACTTGTCTCAACTCCTTTGTATTTCTCATTCAATAAACTATTATTAATAATGTTGTCAAGGTAATTTCCGTGTACCTCCACCAACTCATCAATTGTCAACAAATTAACATTGTACGGGTTATCGTTATGCTCTTGTTCTATAGGTAAAAACAGTCTGTTCAACTGGAAACTTTCGGTATTGTAGAATAACTTCTTAACAATACATTTTTGAAACGCTTCTTCAATAACCTCATATGACAAGTAAGCAATTAATTCATTAAGAAATAATGAAAATTGGTTTCTTATTACTGAAATGATACCAATGGTTTTCGTCAATGGTTTCCTGTTCCTATTTGGTAACTTCTTCACCACATTATGATTCAATTCATTAAACAAATTAAAATTCAAATCCAATAAATGACTTAAGTTTCGTAATTTCCATAAAAAATGAAATATTTTCAAATACTTCAATTGTTGTTTACCTTCAAATAAATAACTCATAGGCAAGTCATCGATTTTATACTCAATGGTAAATGTTTCCCATCCTAAATTACCATGTTGTGGGTTTAATAGTCTTGAATCCAATCTGTTTAAATACTCTGAATTTTTAACCGAGGATATTTGAACTGCTTCCTGTAATACTTTGCTTAGGTATGTGGAAGATATGTTAGCTGATGATTCGTTAAGAACATTTTGTCCCTTAATCATCAAAGCATCAATAAACTCGTTCGTTTCCATAAAGTAAAATCTTTTAAAATTGCAAAAATGTATAAACATTTGATTGTCTCCTTGTATGATTTGAGTTAAGAATGATAATATTTCAAAATATTGTGAATCAATCATTTCTATTATTTCATTGGTTGACATTGAAGCTAGCCCATAATAATTACTAAACACAATCGTTGAATACTTTACATTGAATTGATTAACCCATTTCAATTCTCGACAATATTTATTCAAGAAAATTAATGTCTTCCCAATTTGAAAAATCTTATCACTTGATTCAACAAATTCTGGAACTTTCTCGGGTAAAAACTTTATAATATTGTTGAACTCATTTTCATGTGTATCAAATGTAATGAAAAACTCATTATTATTGTCGATCAACTCCCCTTTAATAATCCAGTGTTCAAGTATATTGTAATAAGGCTTAACTACTTCATTAAATGCAAATTTGGCAATCTCTTTGATTCGTAAGTCTCCAAATTTAGTAAATTTATAAATTATTGACAAAAATTCATACCCATCGCATTGATCTAACTTATTTGAAACTCGAAATAAAAACCTGAGTTTGAAAATCCATGGAAATATTGAATTATAAACCGCTAGTATTGAATTTGGTTGTTTGTTGAATACTTGATTTATTAATTTGACATATTCAGATAACTGAGATTCCAAAACTGCAATATATGCTGTTTTTATTCCCAGCTGTAATGTTCCTTTAAACTTTTCAATAACCATTAAAAGTTGCTTGTATAATATGGCAAATTCAAAAACCTGTCTCAACAATGAACTAAAACTATTGTTTATTTCCGGCGGTATTTCTAATCTCTTAAAATTATTGCTAAATGTGAAAATTTTGGAATCCAGTCCCAATAAAGTATATGGTAAATAAGTCAATATGGTCTGTTCTGGTAATGTATCATAATAAGGTTCTATTAGTTGTGATAAAGTAAGAGCAGATGCACTTGGAACATTTGTTTGTTGTTGATGATTATTTTGAGAATGTATTTGTTTCATTGGAGACAGACTTGATACAGACGATAGTATTTCTTCTTGATGTTGGTCAGGATGATTTAAACCTTGTATTGTATGATTTTTATCTCTTAAAGCATTTAGAAACGCAAGGTAATTACAAATCTGATCTAATGATTTAAATTTACTTAATGAATTGACAACATTTTGAAACTCTACCCATTCATTTTTCAAATTATTGCTTAAAAACTGTACTTTTAATCTTGCTACTATCGCCTGAAGATCATATGGTTCAGATATGTTATTCAGCTGTAGTAATGTTGTTTGTAAATCATTGGTGATACTTTGAATGAATGCCTCTCCAAATTCAATCGGAATCAATGCCTTGACTAATCTATTTGAATAAAGTTTAATTAATTGTTCTTTTGTTAGTGCCATAGTATGTTGTATATATCGTAAAAGTTGTGATCGTATGTACAGTAGTAGAATCTATATGTTTTACTGAACCTTTGTACCCTTTGTTTTTCCTTTTTCTTTTCCTTGTTGATGTTTTGAAATCGAAGTTGCAGGCAGAAAAAAAAAAAAAAACTAAAAACAAAAGAAAAATTTTCCCGTCTTTGATAATTACGCGTCCATCACAGACAACCAGAGACAATGCTTTTTATTTTTTTACAACCAATTCAAACTGAAGTAATATAAACAGTCGTTGACTAACGTTATATTTCAATTGAAAACTATATAAGGATAAAAGAAAGAATAAAAAAAAACATGGATATAGCTTCAAATATATAATAATAATAATAAAAAGTACTCAATCACCGTATTTCTTACAAAATACCTGAGGAAACACGAAGTGGAGTGATGGCTGGTTCAACAACATTTGGATTCAAATCAGCATCTGTTAAAGCTAATTGTTCATCAGTCCAAATATGTTCAACTTCAGCGGCACCTTCAACACCAACACCACATAATCCACCTTGTTTTTCCCAATCATTGATTCTCTTCAAGTTCAATTCGTTAAAGACAGATTCTAATGAGTTGATCAATTGGTTAGAAAGTTCTTCACCATGACCTGGGGTTGGGGTAATTCTCAATCTTTCTTGACCAATTGGAACAGTTGGGAAATTAATAGCTTGAACATAAATGTTATGTTTTTCCAACAATAAATCAGAAGCACGTTTAGCATCAGCAGCATTACCAACCAAAACTGGAACAATATGGGATGGGTTTGGAATAACTGGAATACCAATATCGTTCAAGTTATTTTTAACATATCTAGTGTTCTTTTGTTGAGCAATACGATCTTGTAAAGTGGATCTTTGGTGACGAATGGATGCAGAACAACCAGCCATGATAGCTGGTGGTAAAGAGGTGGTGAAAATGAAACCTGGGGCATAAGATCTAAACCAATCAATCAAGTTGGTCTTACCAGTAACGTAACCACCAACAACACCATAAGCTTTACCCAAAGTACCAGTAACCATATCAACTCTACTCATAACAGTGGTCAAGTTTTCTGGATTTTGGATACCCAGTTTCAAATGAGCTTCAAAGTCCAAATGTTCAGCAACACCAGCACCATGAGGACCGTACATACCAACAGCATGGACTTCATCCAAGAAAGTCAAGGCACCGTATTTTTCAGCCAAATCACAAATGGCTTCAATTGGGGCAATGGAACCACACATGGAGTAAACAGATTCAAATGCAATCAACTTTGGGGTGGATTTTGGATATTGGGCCAATTTGGCTTCTAAATCCTTCAAGTCATTGTGTTTGAAAATGTGCTTGGTAGCTCTAGAATTTCTTATGCCTTGAATCATTGAAGCATGGTTCAATTCATCAGAGAAAATAACCAAATCTTTAAGTTTTTGACCCAATAATGATAAAACAGCATCATTGGCAACAAAACAAGAACTGAAAACCAAAGCAGCTTCATGTTTGTGTAAAGCAGCTAATTCAGATTCCAATTTGATGGCATGGGTATTATGTCCTGCAATGTTTCTGGTACCACCAGCACCGGACCCGTATTTATCCAATACACGTTTCATTTCATTCAAAGTTTTTTCGTTCTTACCCATACCCAAGTAATCGTTAGAACACCAAACAGTGACTTTATCTTCTTCTTGAGCACGATGGGCTTTTGGGAATTCTTCGGCTAAACGATTGATGTTATTAAAAAAACGGTATGATTTGTCTTGTCTTTTTTTGTTCAACTCATCATTCAAATACCCATCATAATCAAATGCAACTTCTTGAGAAGGAAATTGACTTGGTGGAGGAGTGTTAAAAGTAGTTGATTTTGGATCAACACGAGAAGCAGCAGTTGCACCAACTGGCTTAGTAGCGGATGAATAGTTTCTAGTTGAGATTTCTTTAGCCTTGATTGCACCTCCGACAATTGGACATTGGCGAGCTTGTCTAGCTAAGGCACCTGAAGTTTTACTCAATTGACGTAAAGCTTGGGTTGAAGTAGACTTAACAAATGGACAAACTGACATTGAAACTTTAGTAAGGGATTCCATATCGACCAAAAAGAAAAAAGAAGAAATTTCAGGAATCAAAAAAAAGCTATGATAAAATCACCAACTGATGTGTTTATATATATAAAATGGTAAGAGAACTTTTGATAATTATTAAAATTCTCGTGTTGTGCCTAACAAACTCTGTAGTAATACTCCTTCTATTGTATGAAATTGAAGATCTTCAAAGGATTCAGAATTCTAATAGGAAAAAAAAAAGGCGATATTGTTCTTTTTTTAAACAAGAAAGAAGAATGTATTAGATGAAAATTTTTCTTTTTACTTTTTTTTTTTTATAGACGTTTATTTTTTTTTTTTTTTCAGCTGAGTTACCGTGCGGAAATAGGATTTCTTTTTCTTCACTTAATTTCTAAATTCTACCAATTGAAGCTGTGAAAAAATTTAAAAAAAAAAAAGTTGGGGTTCAATGAACATGCAAATATTATTTTGGGGGGTTTAGAAAGTTTCCCAAATTGAGTTAATATTTCCCTGTGTCAATGTTAGACATGCTGAGTAATTATTATTTTCTTTCATGGACTAATCTTCTCCAGAACCGTGATCAAGATTACAATAAAAGTCTTGAGAGTACTGTATATTATCACACAAGTAAGGCTGGTAGGGTTAAGGTAGGGTAGCTCAAACAAATGAAAGGGCTGTAAATCCTTTTTCTCTCACGCCCACTTCTAATAATTCATACCGCATTGCAGTTTTTTTTTTATTATTATTATTATTATTTTGGTCGTTATACGATTATACCGTTTGTCTAATACTTGACTTTAATTCGATAAAATTATCCGTCAACTGACTCATTCATTTCCTCTACGCCGGAGAGGAATAATTGTCTAGGATTTGTTGATTAAGTTACACAATATCAAGGTCTTCTCTTCTCAATAGCCGGGGAATTTGAGATGGACTTTGGAATATTAACGACACGGGAACGAGATCTCCATTTGGGACTTTGGAAATACCAGTCAATCTTCAAGTACACTTGTACGTATATTATACTATAGTCTTCCCGAAATCCCCTCTTTCATATTGTAAGTTTTACTTTTCCTTTAGTAGAAATTGCTGTATTTGAAATAATTTCTTCCTGATTGGTTGATCTAAATATACTAAAAAAAAAAAGAATTACATTCTCGTTTTAGTTCATATGCAATACAAAAGAATTTGACGTGTTGATGATCTACAAAATATACACCTCCAATGGAAGCTACATTCTGGTTTATGACAAATCAAAATTAGACTTTATGAATAGAATATAACTCGAGGAAACTCCGAAAGCTTATCTCCTCAATACCTGTCAAAGATTACTGTGATTTGTAATTGATCAAACTCCGTATTCCTGAAAATCAAATTGCGGAGAAAACAAAGAAAAAAGTGAATGGTGTAAACATGATGTAGGGGTGTATCAACACTGAGATAGCTTTGGATCCTGAATAGACATATATTCAATGATCGCATGAATGAAGGAAGTTCGATATTACGATAGTAAAACCTATTGACCTCGTGGTGCACTATGAGTAGAAGTACAAATCTCTTGCAAGGGCTATTATATTGTTATTCTGTCTTGAAACTAGTTGCTTCGTTATATCAACGGTTGCTTTATTGGTTTCCTATGTCATACCTAAAATTCAAGTTTTAGATTTTATAGATTTATTATATCACGTGGTTGTGTATCACGACAGTCTTGCTCACGTGAATCCCGACTATCGGATAATCGACACTAGAATGCACCAACCAAATGATGTACAATTTTGTTGTATGTTTACTGACAACTTGTAATGTATTTTTCACACTAACATGTATACTTATGTAAAATGCAAATACTGATTCGGGATTTGTTTTTTGTAACTGGGAACGAATTTGATTGGTTCTTTTTTTTTTGATAAAATTTTGGAGATAAACTGAATGAATTTCTGCTGATATTAAAAGTAAATAAATGTAAACAAATTAATGTTATCGACTGTAATATAATGCGTCATTATTATTCTACAAAATTAAAAGAATATTGGCGTTTGATGTGGTACATGTATTAACTTGAGCATACATTTATAGAACAAGCATTACGCAAATAAAAAAGTTGATTTATCATTGATTAGTAGCAAATACCTGGACGAGGAATGCAGCGCAATTCATCAGTTATATGTTTCAATCCAATTCACATAGTCATGATCACGATTAATTATTGTGGTAAAATTATCAGATAAATCATCAACATATAGAAATTATAAACATAATCATCCTTTAACAGTATTGCTCTCTTTCGATAATATGCCTAGAATAGACACAACTGACTTAAAATAGCATGAATGCCAAGATCTGTCCTAGTCTGTTGAATAATGGGCTACATCCTTCCGAGAGTTTTCTTGTACATCAAAAGAACATACCAACAAAGTCCATTAATTATAATTAGAATTATAGTTGCCAAATACAAATGAAATTGCAAACTAATAATAATAATAATAAACGAAGTCAAATAATTGATGGACCGTATACAACACAAAATACCCGTTATTTAAAAATATTCAATGTGATTTCCGTTCACCTCGATTAATAGCAGCATCCATGATCATTATTTGTATCTATTCGAGATTTACCCGGAGATAAGATCTTTCTGTATATGTGCCAATATAGTGAAAAAAATCCTGCATAAACTGCACGCAATAAGAAGAAATAAAACAAAATCTTAAGGAGCATAGTGAGTTTTGTGTAACGATCCCGGTTTTTTTCCCACCCCCGCATAAAACAACATGCGATTTTCAATTTAGAATCATCATTAATTCTGATTTATTATTTTTAAAATTTTCATCTTATTGTTCCAAAGCCATCCATATACACACGCCTTCTCTCAAGATGCAATGACTATACAAGAAATTTAATTGAGGAAAGTACTAATAGTTTATTTTTTTCATTCGCATGAAACAACGTGATATTACTTCGGCATTATCATCCTCCTTCCCCCTTTTTACCCCCTCTCCCCTTCTCGTAGTTGGTTATATTCAATCGTTTAATTGGGGCAATTTTATTGCATCGGTTCTACAAGGATATTTAAAAATACTAACTTTCCCACCCCCCGTTTTTTTTTTTTATTCTTATTATTTTTCTTGAGTTTATTTTTAATTGATCAAGGAAAGAAAGTAAGAATTTTCCCTTGATTTTTGCATATAAATATATAAGGGTAAAACCTAAAAACAAAAATTTCATTTGAAAGAAAGATATGTCCCTTGTTCTCAAGAGATTACTTCCAATCAGATCTACAAGTTTACTTAATTCTAAATTAACTCAATTCCAAACTCAATTACGTACAATGGCTATTCCTGCTACTCAGACTGGTTTCTTTTTCACTAAAGAGCAAGGGTTAAAATACAGAACAGATATCCCTGTTCCAAAACCACAAGCTGGTCAATTGTTGATGAAGGTCAATGCTGTGGGACTTTGTCATTCTGACTTGCATGTCATTGACAAAGAACTTGAATGTGGTGATAATTATGTTATGGGTCATGAAATTGCAGGCACTATTGCAGAACTTGGTCCTGAAGTTGTAGGATTCAAAGTTGGTGACCGTGTTGCGTGTGTTGGTCCTAATGGTTGTGGTGTTTGTAAACATTGTTTAACTGGGAACGACAATGTTTGTAAGACTGCTTTTCTCGACTGGTTCGGGTTAGGTGCAGATGGTGGCTATGAAGAATATTTGTTGGTTAGAAGACCAAGAAATTTAGTTAAAGTTCCTGATAATGTTTCCATTGAAGCTGCTGCTGCTATTACTGATGCTGTTTTAACTCCTTATCATGCTGTCAAGACTGCCAAAATTAAACCAACTAGTAATGTTTTGGTTGTTGGTGCTGGTGGATTAGGTGGAAATGGTATTCAAATTGTTAAAGCATTTGGTGGTAAAGTTACTGTTTTAGATAAGAAACAAAAGGCTCGTGATCAAGCTAAAAAATTGGGTGCTGATGAGGTCTATGATGAATTACCAGCAAGTATTGAGCCAGGATCATTTGATGTTTGTCTTGATTTTGTTTCTGTTCAAGCCACTTATGACATTTGTCAAAAGTACTGTGAACCAAAAGGAATTATTATTCCAGTTGGTTTAGGTGCCCCAAAACTTGCAATTGATTTGGCTGATTTGGATCTCCGTGAAATTACTGTTACTGGTACATTCTGGGGTGCTGCCAACGATTTGAGAGAGGCATTTGAATTGGTTAGTCAAGGAAAGATCAAACCTGTTGTTTCTCATGCTCCATTGAAAGAATTACCAGATTACATTGAAAAATTGAAGAAAGGTGCATATGAAGGAAGAGTTGTTTTCCATCCATGATGTTGATTCAATGTCTACAATAGACATATTAGTATAGGATAGGATATGAATTGATAAAATAATATATTATCACACACTGTGTTCAACACACAATAGGTTGTGAAATTTCAAACTTTGCAATTTGTAGTACGTGCAAAAACCAAAAGTAAATTGAGAGAATACAAAGAGTAAAAATTGGCCACAAGGAAAAAAAAATATTACGAAAGATAAATGGGAAATGAAAATTACATCTAGTTGAATAATAATTGTTAGTGAATGATGTGGAATTATACCAAAGTGTTACAAGGTTTTCCCAGGTCAAGATAAATACTCTAAGTAAATCCAGTTTCACATAATATTAGTTTTTCGCTTCTCTCTATTCTTATGTACAGTATATTTTTTTTTTTATTTTTTGCTTTTGCTTTTGCTTTTTGGACAATGCACAAGAAGATCATTTGCGATGATTGTGTTCCTGAATGTCTTTCTGAAAGTCTTAACTAGAAGCAGGGATCACTCAATGCCCAAAGTTTTTAACGACACTTCGTGGTCATTGGCTGATTAATTCTAATATGTACATAGCAAATAAAATGAAGAGTATTCAATACAGAAAGACACTCAAATTGTAGTGAGTTCATCATAGTTTGTATGTGTGTTTTTTTTTTCTTAGGGGCTGTTTGTCGGTTTTGTTTCTCACGCACAGTCTGTTGTTGTTGTTGTTGATTGTTGTTGTGTCCTGTTCGCTGTTTCGTCCCAAAGCAGGTTTGTATTTTTCTCTTTGTTGACTTTTCTCGTTTTTTTTTTTTTTTTAATTCCCTTTTCTTTCGTAGATACTTTTCTTTTATTCCTCTTTTTTTTTTGTTCTTGAATATATTTAAATAGTCTGTTTACAACCAAAAGAAAAAGAGCGTTTTCAAGATTGTTCAGTTTAGTTGGTTAGTCATTCTTTAGAAATCGTATAATACCAGTCAAATATAATTTTTCAAATTTCATTGCAGGAAGTAGAGAGATGTCAGTGGGGCCAGAACAACAGGAACAAAGCCTGCAAAAAACCAGACTAGAAGAAGAAAAAGAAAAGGAATGTGAAAACCCACAACAAACAACAGATGAAAAACAACCAGCGAAAGTTGGCAATAGTAATGCTGCTCATGATACCAAACAAGAGATCCTGGAGCAAGATTCAATAGAAGTCAAACAAGAACCAAAGGAAGAAGAAGAGAAGGAAGAGCGTCCAGTTGTTACCTTGAAGAGAGAAATTGAAGAAACAACAATTGTAAACGGCGATTCCCTCGATCAAAATGAAGAACCCTCCACCAAAAAAATTAAATTGGAAGAATCTAACGGAAGCAGTATTGTAGCCACTATTCCAAAAGAGCAAAGAATTGTTGTTACACCTCCTAAAAAACCACAACTATTTTATATCCCTCTAAAAACAGGTTTGGTTTATGATGTAAGAATGAGATATCATGCAAAGATCTTTACATCATATTTTGAATATATCGACCCACATCCAGAAGATCCTCGTCGTATTTACAGAATCTACAAAAGATTGGTCGAAGCAGGTTTAGTACAAGATTCATCTTTATCGGGAGTTGACGAAATCGGACCATTCATGTTGAAGATTCCTATTAGAGAAGCAACCACAGAAGAAATATTGGAAGTACATTCCGAAAGTCATTTGAATTTCATTCAAAATACCGAATCAATGTCTAGAGATCAACTACTTGAGGAAACAGAAAAAGGTGACTCCATATATGTCAACAATGACTCCTACTTATCGGCCAAACTATCATGTGGTGGTACCATCGAAGCATGTAAAGCGGTTATTGAAGGAAAAGTTAAAAATTCATTGGCTGTTGTTAGACCACCGGGTCATCATGCTGAGCCAGATACACCAGCTGGGTTCTGTTTATTTAGTAATGTTGCCGTTGCTGCTAAGAATATATTGAAAAATTATCCTGAATCTGTCAGAAGAATTGTTATTGTGGATTGGGATATTCACCATGGGAATGGTACTCAGAAAGCCTTTTACAACGATCCAAGAGTTTTATATATATCTTTGCACCGTTATGAAAATGGGAAATTCTATCCAGGAACAAAGTATGGTAACTCCGATCAAGTTGGTGAAGGTCCAGGAGAAGGTTACAATATAAATATTCCTTGGAGATCCATGGGTATGCATGATGGAGATTATGTTTATGCCTTTAATAAAATATTGTTGCCAGCGATAACAGAATTTGATCCAGATTTAATTATTGTCAGTTCAGGTTTTGATGCAGCTGATGGTGATGTCATTGGTGGATGTCATGTGAGTCCTTCTGGTTATGGATACATGACCCATATGTTGAAGGGTATCGCTAAGGGTAAGATGGCTGTTGTGTTAGAAGGTGGTTACAACTTGGATTCAATTGCCAAAAGTGCATTGGCTGTGGCTAAGGTCTTGGTTGGCGAACCTCCAGAAAGTACTATTACTTTGCTTCCTCATTTAGAGACAATTGAGGTTGTGGATGAAGTTATTAAAATTCAATCAAAATATTTCAAATCATTGAGACATGGTATCCCAGAGAAAATTTTTGAAGACGTTTATGAGTTACCAGGAGTTGAAAATCCAAACTACAAGCTTGTTAACATTGCTGATCCAATACGTTCGCATCAAGCAAATGACATGTTTAACAAACGTGCTTTCGTTAATCTTCCAATTATCAATTCCACCAATGAAAACGAAAAACCTTCATTTAGTGTAGATTTACCTGATCAATTGGAAGATTTAATCATTGCCAGTCCTGATATCTACGATTGCACTACTATAATACTAACGATTCATGACCCTCCAGATATCTGGGCTAATGTTAATCCTACCAATGGGGTGATTGAGAGTAACTCGACAATTGTGTTGGAGCATCCATTGAATCAACTAATTGAGAAAATTCAAAAAGAAAAAGATCCAGAGAATAAAGAAAAATTCGGATATATTGATATTAATGTACCTTCTTTCCAACTCCCAATACCTGGATTATCATCGGATCCATCTACTTACAATCCAATCATATTTGCACAAGAAGTATTATTATACATTTGGGATAATTATATCACATATTTCCAACAATTGAAGAAATTGGTTCTTGTTGGGTTTGGTGATAGTTATCAATCAATTGTTCATTTATATGGAAAGAGAAATTCTCAAGAGGTTAAAGAATTAGTTAAAGGTACGGTTGCATTCTTGAATAAAACTCAATTGAAACCTGTAGTACCTGTAATGGATGAATCAATGGTTGAATGGTATTATAAAAATTCTTTAATTTTCACAGGTTGTTCAAATTCATGTTGGAATGGTACTAATGGTAGTGGAGGAAGTTCATCAAGTGGAGGATCCAGTGGATCTAATGGTAAAAGTGATTCAGGAGAAGAATATTCAAATAAACGTCCAAGAAAGAAATTTGGTAGAGTTATTAAATCAAAATCTGATGGATTACCAGATGTGATACAAGATAAATTTGATGAAGGTGTAGATTTCATCTTGGATTCCATCGAGGATTTTTCAGCGTCCGAAGATTCTTAGATATGAGCAATGCAATAATTATAAATCTTAAAAAGACAAATATAAAATGAAAGAAAAGAAAAGAAAAAACTGCATACGTGTGTAATATAAAGATGTATATATATATATATATATATATATATATATATGTAATATAAAACTGAAACATTTTTATACAGTACTAGAAGAAATCCGTAATTATTTACACATAACTTGGGAATCTCTTGGAGAATTGTTTTTCTAAATCATCTAAATCCGGCATAGAAACCTCACTCGATGTACTTAATCTTCTCCCATTCTCCTTCTCTGGTGACTTCAAATATTGTGGTTTCTTTGGTTTAGGTGGTGGTGGTTTGGCTTTAATAACTGGAGGTTTACTTCCTCTTACTTTACTTAAGGGTTGGGACAGGGCAGTTGATCTATGAGGAACTGATGGAGATTCAGACCTACGAGACGATAATCCAATTGGTACTGCTGGAGGAGATATATTTTTCTTGTTCAGATGGTGACGTCTATGATGAGAATGTTTGTCATGAGGTGAATTATTAATACTGTCAAGATCATCAGAAACATTTTGATCAGTAAATCTTCCATAACCTTGTGCTGATTTCTGTATACGATGGGACTCATTTTGATTTAAAAGCTTTTGCATTCTATTTTGGATACTCGATGATGTTGAAGATGATGCGGGTACTGTTTTGCTTGTGGCAGTAGACGATACTGTCGCAGCAGTGGTGGTGGTGGAAGTTGCATTTGCTGACTTTGATGATGATAATTTTCTGTCTTCTCGTGATGTGGCTTCTTCAGGACTACTCTTTCTACTTCCCGTTAAAATTTGTTTAAGACTCTTTCTTCTATTACTCTTAATTGAACTTCCGGTATTATTGGCGCTAATACTACCACCTGTACTTATCTTTCTCAATCCATTCTTTAATGCATCCCTCAAACTTCCACCAGTATCATGTCTTGTTGGAACATGAAGATGATGATGTTGATCTTCTCTTGATTTTAAAAATTCCAAAGTACCATCATCTTCTTGATTAAATTCGTAACTTTCTCCACCTCTAGCTAATTCCTTCTTTATATAATCCTGCACCGATGGTGTTGATCTATTCCCTTGTGAATAAATTCTCTTCTTCAGTGAATCCTCAAAATATGCACTCAAAGGTCTACTTGGTGATTTTACTGGATCCAGTGTAAATGGTGATGATTTTTTAGTTAAAATTTTGGTCTTATCGATAGAAGCAAATGGGTCTGATTTAACAGCAGCAGTTCTTTTAATTTCAGGCATTGTGTATTCAACTTTGATTTCTTCAATTTTAGGTGCCATTGTGGCCAGTGGTTGTGCTTTGATTTTCATACTTTCTTTAACACTGAATGGTATCACATTAGGTGCCCCAGTCTCACCTTTCATGGCGGCAATTTCACCCAATAACTGAACTGCATTCGGTCTTCTTCTAGGATCTGCTCTGAGACAAACTTTTATGACATTCTTCAATCTTGGTGAAAACATCAGACCAGGCTGATCATTGAATCTCAAATTCTCTGAACAGTTTAATATGGTACGTTCTAAATCTTCTAGTGAATTCTGATTTGGTCTTTCAAATGGGGTAGTATAATAACACAATTTGTATAAGAATACACCCAAAGCCCATATATCCAGCTTATCATCTATAGGAAAGCCTTTTGTCAAATCAATCATCTCAGGAGCTCTATATTGTGGAGTAGTATGTTGCATTAAATCGTCTTTCATTAATTGCAATTCTTGGGGATTTCTTGGTGGTGGCATGTAATTCACACTTGATCCAAAATCACATAGTTTAAAAATACCGCTGCCGTCAATCAAGACATTTTCAATCTTGATATCTCTATGAATTAATGGTGGACGTAAATGATGACACATGGCAACACCGGTAGTAACCTGATACATGATCTCAACAATCTCAGGTTCTGTCAATTTATTAGTTAATCTTGTGTTCATAAAGTCAATCAATCCATTTTTTTCACAATATTCCATTAACAAGAAAACTTCATATTGCTGTTGCTGATTTCCGGTTCCAGTGTTGTCGACATTCATTCTTGAAGCATGAGAATCAATATACGACACAATGTGTTTATTACCCCTTAATCGTCTCATTGCATCGACTTCTTGTCGAAGTAAACTTAATTGCCATTTGCTAGGTACAGCAACTCTTTTCAAACAAGCTACATTGGACCCTTGGAATGGTGGATCAATATTACATGTGTACACATGGGCAAAGCCCCCTTCTGAGATGTATTTTATAATTGAAATCAGGTGTGAGCCAACGGTTAGTTTGGTTCCTGGTTTATAGGCATTAGGTGGCGGTTGTGGCATCACTCTTTACTTCTTTCTAAATCCTTGAAAACAAATAATAATAATAATAAGGAGGAGCAGGAGCGGTGTACCCTTTGAATTGTGTGTTGAACCGTTTAATCAGAGAAAAATGCTCAAGAAACGAGACTTGTGTTGAAAATATTCAACATTCTTTTTTTTTCCCCTTCCTCAGGTTCAAGAAAAGTTGACAACGAACGGTCCTCTCACTGTGACTGCGGTGGTTTCACTCATTGTATTAGCACGACTCCCAAGCATTAAAGCCAATAAAATGGGAACAAGAAAAAAAAGAGGACAAGACAATGGTAGTTCTCAGTATATGGGGGATGTCGTGACTTACTGTTGGTGTTGGCAGGCAGTACTTGGTATTAATCTTGGTTTGTAGTTACTATAAGAGCTATTAGTAATATAAACGTTAATTCCGGGAAGGTTCCAGGGATAGTATAAGACAATAGAAAGTAAGAGTGTAATTATTGAGTTACTTGTTGAATTTGATTCATATCCCCTACTTGTAATTGAGTCTGTATCTATCTATGATTTGTGGTTGTGTATAGTCTTCTTGTCCTTTTGCAGTAATACATCCTACTTCTTTGATTACGTAATGGTTAGGTACACTAGATCAAAGCACAGAATTTTTTGGGAGAGATTTTTTTTTTCCTTCCTTTGTTTTACCTCATCTCATAAAATACCACCATCTCCACCACCACCACCATTGAAATGAAACTATACTTTGAAGCGGAAAAGTTTCTTAGACCGAATAAAAAGGCAAATGGTAGTTTACAATCTCGTATTTTCAATGATAAAAAGTTGACCAATTCCCCCAAACATATCTTTGCATTGGTGTATTCCACCATCAAATACAAGGAATATATTGATATGATTATTAAAAAGTCCAAGGTCAAACAAGAATTTCAAGCTAAGAAGGTCAAAGTAAGTGATGAATTATTAGCATTGTTAATTCATGATTTGTTATTTTCTTCCAAAGGAAGAATTCAGAGTGGGAAACATCCAATAAAAGATGCATTTTTACTGAATAAAACAAGATTACAAGCCGAATTTACCAAATTGAAATTGAAATATAAAGTTAAGTCTGCTGATCAATTACCAACCAAGGAAACTGATGATGATGAAACTCCAATTCGTTGGTTCAGAATAAATACTATAAAAATTGATCCTGAAAGATTTTACGTCAAGCACCCATTTTTCAAGCAACTTCAACCTGTCAGTTCACTTGAAGAAATTAAAGAGCCAGGTGTGATTTATTCTGATGATTATATTCCAAATTTATTTGGTGTTCATCCAAGAGAGAAGATAACATCAACTGAAGCTTACAAACTAGGAGAAATAATTATTCAAGACCGTGCTTCATGTTTCCCAAGCCACATACTTAATTCCGATCCTAAAGACATTCATACACAAGTTATAGACGCATGTGCAGCACCAGGAAATAAAACCACACATGCGGCTGCACATCTTCCGAATTCAGAATCTGTTGTTTATGCTTTCGAAAGAGATTCCAAAAGAGTACAAATTCTCAAAACCATGTGTGAGAAGGCGACTGGTAAAAACAAAAAGAAGCTTATTCAAATAACTCATGCTGATTTTACCACTACTAAACCAGACGATTTTGCTGACGTGACAGGTATGGTTGTTGATCCATCATGTAGTGGTTCAGGTATTTTTGGAAGAGCATTAGAGGATTCATACAATGAACAAGAAAGTGAAACCGTCAATACTGAACGTTTAGCCAAATTATCTGGTTTCCAATTTGCAATCATGAAACATGCTTTACTGTTTCCACTGGCACGAAAAGTTGTTTATTCAACTTGTTCTGTACATGTTCAAGAAAACGAAAGAGTAGTTATTGATTTGCTACTGGACCCAGAAGTTAGAAAAAGAGGGTGGACTTTGGCTACAAGGGATGTAGTTATTCCAAAATGGGAAAGAAGAGGGTTTGAAGATGAATTTGTTAAATTGACACGTGATCCAGAAGAATGTAAAAAATTAGCTGGTGGATGTGTTAGAGCCAATCCTAAAGTAGATGGGGGAATTGGTTTTTTTGCAGCTTGTTTTGTTAGACAAGTGGAAAGCAATAATGGCACCAATATTTCGGATCAAAGCCAAGAAGGACAAGAATCTGACCATAATGATGAATGGGAGGGGTTTCAAGACTAAGCGGGAAAAGGGATAAATGGTTGTAGATCCATTTTTTAGTTTGGCACGAAGCCTTTTCATTGTATAGACCAAAATGTTTTAGTAAACGTTTGAGTCCGTTCCTGTAACGGAAAAGGATCAAAAGTGGAATTTAAAAAAAAAAAAAAATTGCGAAATTAGCAAAAGATTGGTTTGATCTAATTTTGTGTAATGTGGGTGCGATATTGGTCTTCCTCTTCTTCTTCTCTCTTCAATGAATTCGTGATTTGATTTCTTTTTTTTTTTTTGTCTAAGTGAAGAATTTCTTTTAATTTTGTCTCTTTGTCTTTATTGCCGTTATATTTAGCAAGCTACCAACTATTGTCTATAAATTGGCTATCACAACTGATAAGAAGCCTTACAAATGAAAAAGAAAACGGTCCGAATAATATCAAAGAAGATACTTGTAACCCACCCTTGATTGTAAATGTAGACTCGTAGAATAAAACATACTTAAATTAGTCTCACTTCTCGCGAAGTTTCGGTGCTGGTGCCATTTGTATCACAAATAAACTGAGACCTTGTTTGGGGGGAAAAGAAGAGTCAGATCAGTATTTGTGAGCTAATAAGCTTGCTCTATATTAGTTTGAACGACTGCCGAGATAGGCTTTATCAAAGCTAAGCGATAGATATCGAGCCTTACGTCTCTTTGGGGGGAGGAGAAGTTCATCATTGTGATTTATTGGAGATAAGATGAAGGTTTTTGTTCTCTATGTAAAACAAAAAAAAAAAACACCGTACGACATTTCAAGCTTCCTTATTTTTTTTCACATTATTTGACGCACACTAGCAAATTTTTCGTGCCGTGCGGTCAGATGCAAAAACTTTGTTCGTAAAAGAAATTTTTGGTTTCTGTTTCAATTCACGGGAGGATTATTTGTTAATTATCAAATGGTTGTGTATAACCATTAATTCCTGGATAAAACTAAAAAAAACAAAAAATGAATCTGTATAGATAAGCTTTATCTTTCTTTTTTTGTAATTACAATTATAAACTTCCAAGAGATTTTGAAGTAGCGAACGTTGATGCAAACTAACCAAGATCTAAGAACGATGAGTACAAGAAATATAAATAGAAAGGTCTTGTCTGAACCTGACAAGAAAACGTCAAGTGATCTACACTTTGATGATATGAGTAATATCCGAATAGAACACAAGAAGAACAAAGTAGAAAATGACGAATAAATGTGGGGAGTTACAAAATATTATTTTAACCCGCAAAGAAACTCTATCAATATCAAATACCCATCCATGAATTGGCTGCTAACTCTGTTTTACTATTTTTTTGCTATTCAACGTGACATGATTGGATAGTTATTAATACCTGTAAGAGTTGCCTTGTTGCCGATCAATCTCATTATCCACATCTTATTGTCATTTAATTACTTTCAGTCATGTAAATTGGATTTCATTTATTTCCTCCAATTTCCATTTTGCGACTTTTTCAATTGATAATGTGCACAAACGCCTATTTCTTATTTGCTTTTTTTTTTTTTATGGATTACTATTTTGCATATTTTTAGCCAGAGTTTTAGAACGCTCTATATTCTACCGGGTTTATCTGCATCATGTGGCTTCAAAAAAATTTCTATTCTCCTATATATAATGGAGTGGATCTCCCTCTTCTCCAAAAAGAAAATATGATGTTCCTAAAAGACTCTTAAGATTATCATTTAGATAACTGACGTCAAGGTTTTATTTCATTCCATCCAATAAAAGAAAAGTTATTGCAAGATGGAAAAAATCAGATCTATAGTTAGTGGTGAAAAGAACGTAACCCATGAAATTAACGAAAAAGAAGAACCAATTGATGCTATAGGTAGTTCAACTGGGATTGATCTTGAAGGTAAAAAAAGTTTTCAAGATCTTGATATTGTTTGCTCAAAATCCCAGGAATTTGATCCTGTCACATCCCACTTAATCAATGATATCATTGAAGATGAATATGCTGCTGTACAAGTCGAAGATGATTCTCCATATCCAGAAGTTAGAGCTGCTGTCCCATCAACTGATGATCCATCTTTGCCACAAAACACAGTCAGAGCTTGGGTTCTTGGTCTCATTTTAACAACTATTGGTTGTGGTATGAACTTGTTATTCAGTTTCCATAGTCCTTCATTTGCTATTACCACTTTTGTTACATCCATTTTAGCTTGGCCACTTGGTAGATTTTGGGCCTGGTGTATGCCAAATTGGAAAATTTTTGGTGTTTCTTTAAACCCTGGTCCATTTAATATTAAAGAGCATGCTATTATTACTATTATGGCCAACGTCTCCTTTGGTGGTGGTGCTGCTTATGCCACTGATATCTTGCTTTCACAAAACAAGTTCTATAATTCCGATTTTGGTTGGGGTTATGCATTATTGCTTATTTGGAGTACTCAATGTATTGGTTTTGCCTTTGGTGGTTTGATGAGAAGATTTGTTGTTGACAGTCCTTCTGCCATTTGGCCCCTGAACTTGGTTACTGTTACCTTTTTGACTAACATGCATATTAATGAAAATCACGTAGCAAATGGTTGGAAAATCTCACGTCTTGCTTTTTTCCTGGTTGTTTTCGTTGGTTCTTTTGTCTGGTACTGGTTCCCAGGTTATATTTTCCAAGCTTTATCATACTTCTCATGGATTACTTGGATTAAGCCAAATAATGTCATTATTAATCAAATTTTTGGTTCCTCTTCTGGTTTGGGTATGATTCCAAACAATATTGCTTTGGATTGGAATCAAATTGCCGGTTATATTGGTTCACCATTAATCCCACCAGCAAGTGTTATTGCCACTATTTTTGCATCCATTGTTATTATCTTCTGGATAGTTGTTCCAGCTGTTCATTATTCCAACACTTGGTACGCACAGTATTTGCCAATCTCATCATCTGGTTCCTACGATAGATTCCAACAAAGTTATAATGTTTCCCGTATCATCGACCCAAAAACTTTATCCTTCAATGAGCAAGCCTATAAAGAGTACTCACCATTGTTTTTATCAACTACCTTTGCCATTTCATATGGTTTATCATTTGCTTCTATTTTGGCCACTATCACTCACACAATCTGTTTCCATGGTCGTGATATCATTGATCAATTCAAAGTTCAAGAGAAGCCAGATGTTCACAACCGTTTAATGAAGGCTTATAAATCTATTCCTGAATGGTGGTATGGTATTGTCTTTTTGATTTTCTTTGGTATGTCAATTGCTGTTGTCCGTGCTTGGGACACCGAAATGCCTGTTTGGGCTTTAATTGTTGCTCTTCTTATTGCTGCATTCTTTTTACTTCCAGTTGCTGTTATTTATGCCAAGACTAACATTGCTGTTGGTTTGAATGTTATTAGTGAGTTCATTGTCGGTTATGCTGTTCCAGGTAAACCAAATGCTATGTTCCTTTTCAAAACTTTCTGTTATATTACTAATGCTCAAGCAGTTACTTTTGCCCAAGATTTGAAACTTGGTCACTATATGAAAATTGCACCAAGAGGTTTATTCTGGGCCCAATTTATTGCTACTGTTTGGGGTTCCTTAGTTCAAGTTGCTGTTTTGAGATGGGCTTATGGTGCCATTGATGAATTATGTCTGCCAACACAAAAGAACCATTACACTTGTCCAAATGGTAGAGTCTTCTTTAATGCTTCTATTATTTGGGGTGTTATTGGTCCACAACGTCAATTTTCTCATGGCCAACTTTACTACGGTTTATTATTCTTCTTTATTGTTGGTGCTGTTACTCCAATTATTAATTGGTTAATCTTAAAGAAATGGCCAAACTCTCCAGTTAAATACTTGCATTGGCCAGTTTTCTTCTCTGGTACTGGTTATATTCCACCAGCTACTCCATATAACTACACTTCTTATTGTGCTGTTGGTTTAGCCTTTGGTTGGTGGATCAAAAAGAAGTGGTTCCATTGGTGGAGTAAATACAACTACTCGTTGTCTGCTGGGTTGGACATTGGGTTAGCTTGGTGTTCATTAATTATTTTCTTGTGTTTGGCATTGACAAATACTGATTTCCCATCTTGGTGGGGTAATGATGTTGTTATGACTACTTTAGATTCTGCTGTAAGCACTAATGTCAGAGTTTTATTAAAAGAAGGGGAAGCTTTTGGTCCTTCTTCTTGGTAAATGTATATATTCGATTAATGTTTATATTTAATTTCCTTTTAGAAATATATTAATATTTAAATAATGAATTCATTTTAATGATATTAGGTAAGCTTCTTGGTACTGTTCATAAATTTTGCACAGAATCCTGAGTAAGATTCTGCGTTTCGGTATTTCCCATGTGTTGTTGAGTCCAGAAAACAAAATCATTAATTGCTATCAATACCTGCTATTGACAAAACCTGAAATCAGTAGTCAAGATATATAATTCAAAAACATCATGTTATGTGATGATTGCACCTAGTATTCACAATCAACCATCGCAAAGAATAACGACAAATTGTGAGCAATTGTCAGATGGCAGTAACCTCCAGAGGGCAAACAGGCAACATCTTGTGGCTTGTGTCCGAGTTGTTCGAGTCATGCTGTGACACGAGAAAAAAGGCGGAATGGCCGAGCGGTCCAAGGCGTCAGGGTAAGGCGAGTTTAACAGACCACAAAGTCTTACCACCATCAATCCTGATCTACGTAAGTAGGCGCGGGTTCAAATCCCGTTTCCGTCATATATTTTTTTTTGCATCTTTTTCCTTTCTCTTCACACGACAACAGTCATCACCAAAGCCAGTCAAGTACTCAACAAGTGTTTATACTATACTACTACTGGATGGTTGTCTCTTTTTATTGCTGTTATTTTTTTTTTCGTTTGAAATAATTTATTCTAGTATATATATATTACACTATAGGCTATAGAATTGATCAAGATTTAGCTCGACTCCAAGATCATGGGAAATCACCGACTCTTGGACCAAAGTATCCATCTGGTGCATCAACAGTGGCATTCAACCAACCAGTCATACGGTAATCAACACCTTCAAATGGAACGGAATTACCCCACCAGATGATATCCTTTTCAGTGTACATAACAGCAAAGAACATAATGATAGAACAGAATGCAACACCAGCTGTCAAACCTGTTGAAAGAATATAGTTGTATTTCTGCCACCAAGCTTCGTATCTCTTTCTAATATAATGCATGAAAGTAAATGAAGCATATAAACCAGGGATATAGTAGGACAAATTATAAGGAGCATAAATCAAGAATCCACCAACAATAATTGAAGGTTCAAAGTTTCTAACCCATTTCTTTGGACCCCATCTTTTAAGAGCAATACATGGGAATGCTAACAAGAAACCAATTAAGAAACACCATTCTAAAATTGGATATAATCCACCAAAAACTTTCTTTGGTCCAATGGTACCCCATAAGACAGAAGCAGAAAAGAATGTTCTACTACTTGGACAAGTGAATTTTTGTTTGTTACCTGGATCACAATAGTCTTTAATACCAGTGATTTGGAAATTCAAAATACTCAATTGAATAAAAGAAGCAATGAAAATGGAAAGAATTTGTACACGATAAACAGCTCTTGGTGGAAGTTTGGCATAATGACCTTGTTTCAAATCGTTGACAAAGTTTTGTGCTTGACCATCAATATTATAACCCAATGCTTTAATGAAAGCTAAAGCTAAACCATTACCTGGAAGAATGTAACCAATAATCAATTCAACCAAAACATTTAAACCAAATGCAAAACCTGTTCTAGCATAAATGGTAGTCAATGGAATCAAGAAAATAAAATTAATACCCAAGGCAAAGAAAATACCCCAAACTGGGGTTTGAGCAGGATAGACAGTAACACACACAATAGCCAAAACTAAAGCAATTACAAGAACAATGAGATATGCCCATTCCGGAACTTCACTGTAATTCTGGCGCATCATCTTTGAATGTGGGTCATCAAAACCATCATATGTTGAATTCTTCCAATTTCTGATCAATCTCCAGAACGACAAACATGCATCCCACATTTCTCTGAAATGAATACCAATTTCATAAACAAAATGGAATGGATAAAGAGCAAAGAAAGCACCATATACCACCAAGTTTGCTGCCGAATAGAATGGCGGACCAACTTCTTGATACTTTTCTTTATCAAATAAACTTGTATCATAGTCAACAACATCACCAACTTGGTATCTAGTTCCCTTGTTGGTAAATAAGGCATTACTGTTGATCGGTAAGTAGGCAGTCCATTTATAGTTAGAATACCAAAGACCAAGGATGACAAAGAAGCCAATAATAGAACCAATAAATTGACATGCGATTGTATAAAATGGTAAATTCAATGGAAGAGACATATTGATAATGTTCCAATCAAAAGTAGAAATTGGATTCAATCCCAAACCACCAAGGAAACCAGTAACAACCGCGAGATTTTTATTGGTTGGAGCAATCCAGGTCATCCAGTTAAATATAGACAATGCTTGGAATAAATAGTTTGGAACCCAGAAATAAACAAAAGAAGCTGCGAAGACAATGAAGAAAAAGCGATAACTTGAAATAGACCAGCCATGAACAACATTCTTGTTTTGTTTAGTCAATAAAGTCTTGTTCAATGCAATACCTGGTAAAATTGATGGCCAGACAGCTTTAACTGGATAAACAGCAAATTTTCTCATTATACCAGCAAGACCAACACCCATGAAGTTGGTAGACAAGATTAATAAAACTTGGTAACCCCAATCAACCCAATGATTGTCGTAAAACACAGGGGACTTCTGCATCAAAATGTTATAGGAAACATAAGAAGTACTTCCACCAGTAACACCACAGAAAATGGTTGCCAACATTTGTTCTTTAAAAGTATAAGGTCCAGGGTTCAAGTCAATGGTATATTTCCAAACTTTGAATTTCCATTTAGGTAAAATCCATTCACAAACTAAACCAGAAGGATACAAAAACACTTGGACAACAGCCATGGAAAGCGAAATACTAGGTTGTCTTTCAGCAAAGAATTGGTTAATAACAGCACCAATAGCAGTCCAAATAATACCAATTAAATAAACTCTGAAGGTTTCTACAGGAACCTCAGGATCATCGTATGGAACTGTAACGGTTCTAACTTGAGGATAAGGAGACCATACATCAATCAATGCAGCTTCCAATCTAAGTTGTAAGCTCCAGTCAATTATTTTATGAGTTGGCAACACATCTTTCTCGTCATAACCATTAACTTCAGTGACAGAGTTGGAAGATGACGATGTATCATCACTAGCACTAACTTTTTTCTCGTCGACATTGACACCACTGAATTTATCGTTGGAAGAACTAGTATATGGATGAGAAGTTTTATTTGCAATTAAAGCTTTCCAAAATTCCAAATCTTGTTCAGAAAGATTAACATCTGTTTCATGATCTTTAATAGCTTGGGCTAAAATTTCAACAGCACTTTCAGTAGAAAGTTCATCGATTCTTTCAAAAATGACTGACACTTCACGAGGTAAACTTTCAAATGATGACAAACCATCATAATGCAATCTTCTTAAAACGATATCTTTTTGATCATTAGTTAAACTGGTTCCTACCTCACTAATAGAAAGGGGATTTGATGTAACTGGATCGAGGCCAGCTCTTGAACCAACAGGTCTAATGTTACCGGCAGACTCAACAACATTGAGATTTATAACTTTTTCACCACCACTCATATTGATTATATTATGGGGAGATGAATATTAAATGCTGTAGATAGAAAAAATTATCAAATTTTGAATCTCTAATGTGGAGAATCTCGATTAGTTTATATAGTACCATTCCAGCTGCATATACTAATAGTATTTTCAGTATTATTTCGTTGATACGGTCGATTTATTTTGCATCAATATCTTATCCACAAAATAAAGAGATAACTTGACTAACAATAATAATAGAAATTCTTCCTAACCCCACCGTTTATGATACAAAAGAGTTTCTAATGAGTAATATCGACAGAAACTCATTGCCTTTGTCGCCGTATTCCCATAGTAAAATTGTGGTTTGAGTTATGGTGAATATTCTTGGCAAAATAGATAACTTTTTGGTGATACTGATATGGTACGGCTCCAAAAAATAAAATAAAAAATTAATAGGCAGAAGGGAATTATGTTCAGGTTCATTAGTTGTTGCTGTTGTTGTTGTTGTTGATTTTTCTTGATCGTGTCAGGCTAGTTGAATTGTCGCAGAAGATCGGGGACAGAAAATGAAATTACACAAAAGACCATGCAATTATTAACTTACACTACGCAAAAACAATAGAGGGGCTCTATTTGGTATTAATGAACAAGCCTCTGTAGAGCATTCGATTGTGCACTGATATAATAACCATAAATGCTTCATTTTTTTTCCCCTGCTTTCTTCTACTTCATTATTGAAACCAAGTTATCACACGATGTAACTACCAGTTGGATATTTTAGTTTTGTGGGCTCTTCATGAAGGATTGAAGAACAATTAATACGACAATACAATTTAATCCGATGTTCCGCCTGACTTATTCTTCCTTCACTTCAACCATTCTTTTTCTTGGTACATTAAATTTAGTCCAGTGGCAGCTCCGCTCCAATACCGCTGTACCAAGAAAAAAAAAATTAATGTTCACCATCATTTACATGGACAACTACAACACCAACAATCAATTAAACTAAATTGGTGCCGTGCGATATCTCAGAACTAAATGAGTCAGTCCGTTTGATTTATACCTGGTTGAGTTCTTGGCATTTGACACTGTAACCCTTGGAGATAAGCTGTGGTGGCAGAGGTTCTTGCTATGAAAATTCACGTTCCTGATTTGTCGCGAGAGTAATTACAAATAGGGGGGAAAATGCTTCATCATACTATTAGTGAACATAACCCACTTTATGACCATTGTCAAAGTAGTATAACGCAAAACTCTTTTAAAGAAACAAAGTTTTAAAAAAATTAAACTGATTATAATTAGCTGTGGATCTTTAAATGGCTTTCGGTCACTAAATCGTGTTCAAGTTTCAGACTAAAGGTATTTGATGTTTCTGTGATACTTTTTCATTGCACGTGAAATGATTTACCGCTAATAACTCTGATCAAATTAATGGAATCAGTTAACGGTGAAGCACAACTGATCCAAAAGCCTCACCGGTAATAGCGAGATTTTTAAAAAGAAATGGTTCCTATTGCGCTATAGGAGAGCAAATCGGCGATATCGAAATTTCTCTTCTTTTGCAGTCATCCAACATACAACAGTAAACTGGAGCCGTGTGCTAAAATTATTTATGGTGATAAGTACGTTCATTTTATAGAAACGACGGCATGAATAGAGACAATAGATTATTCACACGGAGAAACTAAAATAATATCTCCTTAGAATCTATAGCTGCATTGCAGAGCAAGTTTGTATATTCCAAATCCCTGATTCGATAGATATTCTTTTTGCCTAATACTGTAGCTTGTGGCATCCTGTGAATTTTTGAATCCTCCTCCTCTTTCTACTCCCCCCTTAGTTTAGTCAATGTTCAATTTTTGTCATAGACAGCTTAATACAATAGTACAAAACTCTAACTTAATTCACATTAATATTAACATACAATTATACAAAAAATTACAACATCATAAACAACATCTTCCCTATGCTATGGCAATCTTATTGACACGGTTATTCAAAACACGTGCATTATTCAAATACACTTCAACCAACTCTTCCAATCTAAAATTATCAACACCCGAAGTAATCTTTTCTATAGCACTAAAAATCTCCAAAGTATCGACTTCCAATTCCACTTCATATTTGATATCATGTTGAATAACTTTCTTACCAACTTTATTTTTCGACTCACGGGGAATGAGAACTCTGGTTAAATCAAACTGAGTTATGGTTGGTGCATGAGTATACGTTGTTCTCTTTTTCTCTCTAGTCATCATTGGCTCATTCTTTGACATGATTGTTTCTATATTCCCTTCGGGTACAGGAATTTCCAAGGACAATGAAAGACGCAAGTCATACATACATTGGGGATTATGAATGTACAAATCAGCAATACGTTCTTTCTGAATGGCGGTGTATCTTGGAGGTGATAATAAATTGTCCTTCGATATACGTACTTTCCTGAGATGTTCACCCTTGTTACCAAGTTGGTAAAATGTATCAGTATTATCTGAATCTAACATATTGAACTTTCTAGTTGTTTGTTTCTCTCTTTTGTCTTCTTGATACAATCTTTCTAATTCTTCAAAATATTTTTTGATTTCCTTCCAAGCAATCTCTTCAACTTCCATATCAAAACGAGTGTTTGAATGATCAGTATAAATACATTCTGTAACCACACTCAAATCGAGTCTATTTCCGGTTCTTTTATCAATGATTTTTCCAAACTTTAATTCCAATTCAACATTTCTCTTGTTCTTCTCTTCGATATTTGAAAAGTTTGCATAAATCCACTCAGCAATCGTACGAGTCAAAGGACTTGGTGGAATAACCCCTGTTATACTACATTCCAAATCCAAGCTTCTGGTAGTAGTATAATCAAACACTGGTTTATTAGAAAGCCTAGTAGTAGTTCCATTTGAATTATCAATAGGGCCATTATGATGATCTTGGTCAGCCTTGTTTGGAGGAATCCATCTTTGTGCCCAAATTGGTGGAGTATCATAACGTCTTGGTTTCTTTGATTGTTTAAGTTTCTTTATCTTAGTTAAATCATCATCTTGGTCATCAAGAAGAGTCGTGGTTGATTCTTCTTTGGCAATTGTTGTTTTCACTTCATCCGTCGATGTCTCGCTAGATTTGGAATCTGGGTCATCGCTAACCTCTGAAGTTTGTGCAGGTGCAGGTGCTGGTGTAGGTGCTGGTTCATTCTCTTGTATATCTGTTTTAACACGTTCTTCAACATTTGAGCTATCTTGATGTGTGTTTTCATCAACAGCAGCAGCATCAATAATGTTCGCAATTGAGTTTCTTTTCGGAACTACGGGTGAAGATCTTGCACTTGAATGACCACTACTTCCGGCCAGATTCAAAGTTTGCGGTTGTGGCTGAGATGTTTGTGCTGCTTGTGGTGTTGATGGTGGTGGTGCTGGTTTATGGGCTACACTTGGTGAAGTCAACAGACTTATACTTGGCTTTCTAAAATCAGAATCGCTATTTGAATCCGATTGCTTCTGAACTGGAACAGCAGGCGCTGATGGAGCATCATTCAACATACTAGTTATTGAATGACGTTCATGCACTGATGGCATTGGGGGTCTAGTAGCAAGGGGTACTTTAGGACTCTTCTCATTCTCATTGGAAGCTCCTGGTGAATCGTTATTCAAAATTGACCCAACATTCATTTCAAATTAAAAAAAAAAAGTATAGTGATTGTAGTGTGTTTGATGTTTATAGTTAAGATGTCGTAAAGTTGTTTTCTTTTTCTCTGGATTTTTTTTTTTTTTTTTCATCGGTTTCAAACTGAGACAGAAAGTATCTTTTGATTTTTTGTTCTTCCTTGCGTCGAAATAAGTCAGAAATTGTTAATCTCTACACGCAAAATTGAGATCTTGGTGAGAGTGAAGAAGTGCAATAATCAATTTTAAGTACAAGACAATTTAACTAAGCAATGTGTATTTTATGGGAGATTTATTTATTGAAGTACGTTAAACTAATACTATGTATATATAAAGGAGTATAGTTAAAAGTTACCCAATGGAGCATCATAGGTAGTGTTTTGGTAATCCCAATAGAAGGTCAATTCAGATGGATAACTACTATTGACACCACATTGCTCAACAAAATCAATATCACCAATTCTGTCATTGACGTAATCTTCAAAGTCGTCTAATTTACATGAAAACCCAGGACCAGTGGCACATTTAGGAATAGGAACAACAGCATCATTGATAATGTATCTCACGTATGATTCATCATCTTCACATTGGTATTTTTCAGTATAAATTCTAGCACCTTGTGGAACAATAGATGAATGAACATATGGATTTGGGAATGGGATATAATCAGTTGGTAAATCCTCAGCTGGTTCTAACAATCCCAAGGAAGAATGGAAAATCTCTAAATCAGTATCATGTGTGAATGACAACCAGATTTGGTTATCGTTTTCAGTATCCTTTAAAAGAGCCAAAGAAGCATTCAACATTGGACTACCAGCTATTCTTGTAAAGTTATTACCGGCACCATTGCTGTAATAATTAGATAAGTCATTGGAATAACTGTATCTGACAAATTCTTCATTGGTGAAGATATCACAGAATGGACTTGATCCACGAACATTAATTTCATAGGCACACCATTGAAAGAGGTTTTCAATTTCGGAAGTACTCAAGTTCAACCCAGGATTTTGATCTTCTAATCTATCGGCGATATCATTCAAGTATGATGTGTTATATCTTTCAGCGATATCATCAAAAGCCAGTTCATTATAGTTTGGACAACTATATCTCGGAGTTAAGGTATTAAGACCAGATTCTTCATCTTCATCAAGAATACTAAATTTAACAGTTTCACCTTCTTCAAAATCATCACCTAAGAATCCTCTAGCAAAATATCTTGAAGTTTCATAACATCTACCAGAATTAGATGAAAAAACAGGTAAAGTGGAATTAACATCATATAATGAGCCATATCTTGATCTAAAGGTAGCACCATGTCTCATAGCGTTATCAGTACCGGAATATGGACCTTTTGAGTTTTTTGGACTGGTTTCTTTATCATACCAGAATTTATCTTTAACGAAATAAGTATAGCCATCATTCAAGAAAGCTAAATCACCTTTAAAAGTTTCATTGTAGGATTCCAATTTTTTATAAATCGCCTCAAAGGCTTTACCTTTGTTGGTAGTCGGATATCTTTCTCCGTGTCTTGAAAGCAATTGAACTTGTTCAAGTTTACAACCTTGTGGAATATCAGTTGAAATACCATAACCTTGTCTTTGGATATATGGAGCAGAACCACCAAGGAAGTTAAGAATATTATACGATTGAACAGAAGCTTGTTGTGGGGTAGCCACATCTTGGAAAACACTTTGACCAGCTAATAACAAGCCACCATTAACCAACTTTGACACAGCAACCATTTTTTGGATTGATGAGGAATTGTAAAGTAGAAAAAAATGGTACCGGAATGAATAATACGTCTAACTGTCATCTATTTATACACAACGATGAGTGTCAATAGTTAAAACATCAATTTATGATTGGGCGAAGTCCTCAGTTGCAGAAAACAATAGTTGCATTTCAACAAAAGTTTCATACAAATTCGATTTCTCAATTTTTCCATCCTTTGCCACGTGCGATAAGAAAAATAACATGGACAATCTGTTTTTGTGGTAGTATTGAATAAATTATAATTCAATTGTTAAACAGTCGTCTTAAGGGGTGTTTCTTGCCATTTATTTCTTCGGTAATTGTTGATAGTCATTGTATCTAATTATGTAATTACTCTTGATACTTTTTCTTGGATGTTCCTGAATGCTGAATGAACCCCGGTTAACTATGGCTTGTAATTCTTTTCTTGTTCGATGTGATTAAAAAAGTTCAAGTAACTGTGGTTCATTAAAGAGGCTAATGATATCATAATTAATTAGTTCGTGCATTTATATGCTTTCTAATTACTAAATTAATTTAAATAAATACCAACGTGGACAGGTAGCCAACCCAACAATCCCAAAGAAGACAATAACTAAAAGTTGGCGCATATGTCAAATATTCCCACGTGTATAATGGTCTCTTTATACCACACACCTCATATGACTATTAATAAAGCGTCTACTTTATCTCAGCAGAACTGTCTTTCTTCATTAGTTGATGTCTTCCTCATAAATCGGAACTGAATTGATATGGATTTGTAATTCTCTAGCCTATAGTGTAGTACATATATATATATATACTAGAATAAATTATTTCAAACAAAAAAAAAAATAACAGCAATAAAAAGAGATAAACATCCAGTAGTAGTATAGTATAAACACTTGTTGAGTACTTGACTGGCTATGGTGGTGGCTGTTGTCGTGTGAAGAGAAAGGAAAAAGATGCAAAAAAAAAATATATGACGGAAACGGGATTTGAACCCGCGCCTACTTACGTAGATCAGGATTGATGGTGGTAAGACTTTGTGGTCTGTAAAACTCGCCTTACCCTGACGCCTTGGACCGCTCGGCCATTCCGCCTTTTTTCTCGTGTCACAGCATGACTCGAACAACTCGGACACAAGCCACAAGATGTTGCCTGTTTGCCCTCTGGAGGTTACTGCCATCTGACAATTGCTCACAATTTGTCGTTATTCTTTGCGATGGTTGATTGTGAATACTATGTGTAATCAGCACAGAACATGATGTTTTTGAATTATATATCTTGACTACTGATTTCAGGGATTGTAATTAACAGGCATTGATGGTAATTAATGATTTTGTTTTCTGGACTCAACAACACATGGGAAATAAAAAAATGCAGAATCTTACTCAGGATTCTGTGCAAAATTTCTAGCAAAAAAAAAATACATCATCATTAGTTTCTATAAATTATGTGGCAATTATCATTCATAGTATCACATACTATTCTCAAACTCCGAGGTCAAGAAATTCAACACTTTGTATGACATTTTTTATATTGATACTGAGTTAAAGAGTATTCTTTTTGTTTACAAATTGAGCACACACGACCACACAAAAAAATTGATTATCGCTTTTCACTCTTTAAATCGAGAAGCACTGAAAAAAAAATATCTGAATCGCGTTACACGTCTTATATCTAAAGTATAATTTTACAACCAAATGACTCAGTCAGAAGTAGAACAACAACAACACGACCCTGCAGAAGGATCTTATCACGAATCCATGAGTGTAGATGGACAAGCTGAAATCGAGGCTGAAGAAGAGGAAGATATTTTAAATGGACCATTGTTAATCGAACAGTTAGAAGGTAATGGGATCAGTGCATCTGATATCAGAAAGTTAAAACAAGAAGGTTTTCACACTATTGAAAGTATTGCATATACACCAAAGAGACACTTAATGACAGTTAAAGGGATTAGTGAAAACAAAGCTGAAAAGATCTCTGCTGAAGCTGCCAAGTTGGTTCCTTTGGGTTTTACAACCGCGACTGAGTTCCATTCACGTCGATCTGAATTGATTTGTTTGACCACTGGTTCCAAACAGTTGGATACTTTGTTGGGAGGAGGTATTGAAACTGGTAGTATTACTGAAGTGTTTGGTGAATTTAGAACTGGTAAATCACAGTTGTGTCACACTTTGGCAGTTACGTGTCAGTTGCCTATAGATATGGGAGGTGGTGAAGGCAAATGTCTTTATATTGATACTGAAGGTACATTTAGGCCAAATAGATTGATTTCGATTGCCGAAAGATACGGTTTGAATGCTAACGATTGTTTAGATAATGTTGCGTATGCGCGTGCTTATAACGCTGAACATCAGTTGAATTTATTAAACATTGCTGCTCAGATGATGGCGGAATCTAGATTTTCCTTATTGATTGTCGATAGTATCATGTCATTATATCGTACTGATTATGCAGGAAGAGGAGAGTTGAGTGCAAGACAGACTCATGTTGCACGTTTCATGAGAACTTTGCAAAGATTAGCCGATGAATTTGGTATTGCTGTTGTCATTACAAATCAAGTTGTTGCTCAAGTCGATGGTATGGCAGGTATGTTTAATCCCGATCCAAAGAAACCAATTGGTGGGAATATTATTGCACACGCGTCAACTACTAGATTATCCTTGAAGAAAGGTAGAGCAGAAACGAGAATTTGTAAGATTTATGATAGTCCTTGTTTACCAGAAAGTGAATGTGTGTTTGCTATTTACGAGGATGGTATTGGTGACCCAAGAGTTGAAGAAGATGATTAAATCATGTGTCAAGAGGTCATCAGAGTCAATTTTCGCACCCTTACCTCCCTTTGTTATTGATATTATTATTGTTTAGTAATTTGTGTTATAAGCGTCTTCAATATATGTAAAGAATAAAAACCCATTATACATCTATGACAAAAACGAAAAAAAGAAACGAACGAAAAATGTAACCAGGATTTTTCCAAACATTTATCTAAACGATCAGTTGCATAGGAAGCAATAATTACATACATACAGGGCAAAATGAACGAATACAAGGATGAAAAAGAAAGAACAAAAAAGAAAAACTCAAATCCACAACAAAAAATCTAAAACTGAGCCCAAAAGGGAAATTGGTTACAAAGGGAAGGACAATATAATGAAAATTTTTTTTTACTTCCAAGAAATAAAGTTAATCTATTTCATCAGTGAATTTTAGCCAAATTACACGACATACACCCATGCCGCAATAATCAAAGTTTGTGTGTCATACACCCCCAATAGTAGGAGAAGAAAAAATTAGGTCAAGAAGACGCTTTTAAAATCATTAGTACCAGGAGGAAAATTTTTTTTTTTTTCTTCTGTTTTTAATCTTTTTACTAACATCATTCATTATTTACTTCACGGGTCATTAAATCAGTTGTTTTCAATAGTAGCAATACCAGAACGAACAATCAACAAGTGAATTGGTAAACTCGAAAGAACTTCATAAAAAAAAGTCAACAGAAAAACAAAACAATTCCTCACAGACACATACACAACCACTTTGGAAACAAAAATTTTTTTTCTCTCTTGTCAACAGTCAGTTTTATTTGTACATCCTAACTATTGACCAAATGAAGTTCGAAAAAGGGAAAATAAAGATATTACCAAAGCCATCGCCTGGTCCTTCTGCCCTGCAAACTCCTCCATCAGCCCAAAATAGCCCGGCACCAGTTATGCAGAAAAGAAAATCAACATCATCTATAGCTTCAAATGATTCCAAGAAGCCAAAAAAATCAAATCCCTCAACACCGAATACCCCACTGAAAGCTACCAAGCCAACTGGTCATAGACCTGTTACTTCTTGTACATTCTGCCGTCAACACAAGATTAAATGCAATGCATCTGAAAACTTTCCAAACCCATGTGAAAGATGTAAGAAGATGGGATTGAAATGTGAGATTGATCCGGAATTTAGACCGCGCAAGGGATCTCAAATCCAGTCATTGAAACTGGATGTTGATGAATTAAAAGCCAAGATAGAGATGTTGACTAAAAATGAATCCTTGCTCACTCAAGCTTTGAACCAGCACAACTTGAATATGTTACCATCACAACAATCACCTGGTCATGTACCACTGCATATGGCTCCACAGCCACGAGTTTTCAGTTCACCAGCAAATGTATCACCTATTCCTTCTATTACTAGTATACAACAAAATGCACCATTGACACAGGAGAACTCTGACAACTCTCCATCAACAATGAATACACCAGATCACGTTGAGGAGTATCAGCCAATTTCAGAGTTTATCTTAGGAGATGTAACCTTACCATTAAACAAAGCTAATGAATTGCATGACAAATTTATGACTAAACACTTACCATTTTTGCCTATTATAATATCTAGATCTGCCACCGAATTGTATCATAAATCCCAACTACTTTTCTGGGCCGTTATCCTTACGGCAAGTTTATCAGAGCCAGAACCAACACTTTACATGTCTTTGGCATCTTTAATCAAGCAATTGGCAATTGAGACATGTTGGATTAAAACACCCAGATCCACCCATGTGATCCAAGCTCTTATTATACTTTCAATTTGGCCGTTACCTAATGAGAAAGTCTTGGACGATTGCTCCTACAGATTCATTGGTTTAGCTAAAAACTTGTCCTTACAACTAGGACTACATCGTGGGGGAGAGTTTATTCAAGAATTCAGTCGAAATCAAGTCAGTTTGGGTCCTGATGCTGAAAGATGGAGAACGAGGTCTTGGTTGGCAGTGTTTTTCTGTGAACAATTTTGGTCATCATTGTTGGGATTGCCACCTTCAATTGGTACCACAGATTATTTATTAGAAAATGCTCGTGTTGATAAGTCTTTACCAAAAAATTTCAGGTGTTTGATTTCATTATCTATTTTCCAATGCAAACTTGTTAATGTCATGGGTATTAGTGTTACAAGACCAGATGGTTTATTAGAGCCACTGAATCGTGCCGGTTCACTTAGTTTATTAGATAGAGAACTAGAAAGATTAAGATTTAAATTGCAATTTGAGGATGGGAGTGCAGTGGAAGTTTACTATTTGTACATAAAGTTGATGATTTGTTGCTTTGCATTTTTGCCAGGAACCCCAATTGAAGATCAAGTCAAATATGTTAGTTTTGCATACCTTTCCGCTACTAGAATTGTTACGATTGTTTCACAAATGATTAATGATATTTCATTAATTGAATTACCAATCTATATTAGACAAGCAGTTTCATATAGTGTTTTGTTGTTGTTCAAATTACATTTATCCAGATATTTGATTGAGAAATACGTGGATAGCGCAAGACAGCTGATTGTGACTGTACACAGATTGTTTAGAAATACTTTGAGTTCATGGAAAGATCTCCAAAATGATATTTCAAGAACAGCTAGAGTTTTGGAAAATTTGAACATTGTTTTGTACACTTATCCTGATATATTCTTGAAGGACGTGGAGAATGAAGATGCCAGTATCATTACCAGAATGAGATCGCATTTAACCGCGTCGTTGTTTTACGATTTGGTTTGGTGTGTTCATGAAGCAAGAAGACGAAGTCTCTTGGATAAAGGCAAAAAGAAACCAGAACCAAATAAGAAACTTATGCCATTGCCTTTTTACAATCAAATTACCAAAGATGATTTCAAAACAATCACAACGACAACCCCGAACGGTACTACAGTTACCACTTTGGTACCTACCGATGAGGCGATGAATCAAGCAAAACTGAATGGTAACAATAAACCTTTAGAAATCAATGGTATTCCATTGGCAATGTTAGAAGCAACTGGCTCTACGAGAGATATGCTTGAAGGTCTTCCTCAAATACCACCAAGTAGTCAACAACAGCCACAACCAGAACAACAAGGGCATCAACAAAGAGCACCTCCAACTCCAGCTACACAACAATCACATTCCCGTCAAGGATCTGTTGCTCCACCTGTTGTATTGAAAACTGAACCACTTCTGACAGCACCACAACCACAGTTACAACCACAACCTTCTCAACAATTTACACTTCCACAAGCTCCATTTATTCTTGGAAATTCACCAATCCCACAGTCATATCTACCAAAGATTGATGAGGTTGGTTTGCCAACAGAGATAAAGGATGAAGCAGTTGCTTCACAAATCAGCAGTTTCTTTGAACAACAAACTAACGGATGGTTGAGTAACGAGAACCACGATGATGACTTTTTAGGTTGGTTTGACATGAATATGATGCAAGACCAGTGATTAAAACCATATAAATATTACAGAACAATAAATAACGAATTGTATATAGAGAACATTTTTTTTTTAAAAGAAATAAATAGGGATTATGTTTTATTAATAATATTTAAAGAATCTTAGCATTTATAAGAGTTTCTGCAACTGCAGAGTCGTTTTCATCACTTCCTCTTAATATCAATTGTTGTTCTTCTTCATTCACAAATACCACTTCTTTATTAGAGTTAGTGGTCAATCTAGGTTGAATATATTCCCAAGCTTTATCCTTTAACTTTGGAGGCTCAAATGAATCAGCACCACCAAAATATAACCTTTCACCAATAATGGAGCTTTTTGGAGGTATGATAGGTTCAACCTTTAGTTTTTCATTAATGTCCTTTTCAGCAGCAAGAATCATTCCCATTGATGGCTCACCACGCAACTTTCTAGTTTTCATATTTGTAACTACCACAACTCGTCTATCTTGCATTGCTTCAATAGGTAAAAATGAAACTAATCCAGAACATATCTGAATATTTGATTCTTGTCCAATATCTACTTGTGAAACATATAATTTGTCGGATGCTTCATGTCTTTTACAGGATTGTATCTTACCTACTTGAAGTTTAAGATATGAAGGGGTAACTATAGGGGATTTGTTAGTCTGTGATATATGAACATATTCTTATCTATAAGAAAACATACATGTTTTAACACCTCTTGTGAATACTCTTAACATTTTTTATAGCTAGCTCTACTTTATAAACTACGGTGGTTCCTGATTATTTTTTTCTTTCCCATTCGTTCATAAAAAATCGAATTTTTCCTAATTTGGATTAAATTAATCGCGTCTTGAAATTTTTTTTTTCTTCCTCTTTTTTTTTTTTCTCTTTTCATCATCTTCTTTTAGTATCTCAGTACACATTTTAAAAGTTTTTTTTTTTTTTTTCAAGGAATAGAGGTTTCTTTCTAACCAGCTCATAGTTACTTAACATATAATCAATAATGTCTAATTTTGTATCCTCACCAGGAAGAATTCCGTCAGATGCAGCTCAATTATTGAATTCACAAACCTCCTCTGCATTTGGTAGAGATATGTCAACACCTGCTCAGCCAATTTTATATTCAGAAGATGTTGCCCCTCAATTACAACAACAACAGCAACGTGCCATTCCTGGTAGACGTAGACAAATTGCTGTTCCAAAAGTCGTTGATGTTACCGGTGAAAAAGTTAGAGAAAGTTTTGAAACATTTATTGAAGAATTTGTTGATCCAGAACAGGTAAATGACGACTGGGATGGGAAGATTTATCTTGCACAAATAGAAGCTATGAAAACCTACGAATACAGTACTTTATATGTCGACTATCAACATTTATTACTGAGAGAAAATGGGGTTTTAGCTACTGCTATCCTGGAACAATATTACCGTTTCTCACCATTTTTATTAAAAGGTTTACACAGATTATTGAAAAAATACGCACCAGGTTTATTGCACACTAGTTTGCTTCATAATACTGACGAAACTGCCAGTGAGACTTCTACAAGTACACAGGCCAACGAACGTGTTTTCCAAATTTCATTTTTCAATTTACCAACAATTCAAAGAATAAGAGATATTAGATCTAATAAAATTGGTTCCTTGATGGCCATTCTGGGTACAGTGACCAGAAGTTCAGAGGTCAGACCGGAATTATATCGTGCTTGTTTCACTTGTGATTTATGTTCAGCTGTCATTGAAGGAGTTGAACAAGTATTCAAATATACTGAACCAACATCATGTCCATCCTGTGAGAATCAATCATATTTTACATTAAATGTTTCCAAGTCACAATTTATTGATTGGCAAAGAGTAAGAATACAAGAAAATTCCAATGAGATTCCAACTGGATCTATGCCTCGTACATTGGATGTTATTTTAAGAGGGGAGATTGTTGAAAAGGCTAAACCTGGTGACAAGTGTAGATTCACTGGATGTGAAATTGTCATCCCAGATGTGTCTCAATTAGGGTTACCTGGTGTTAAACCACAATCAGTTAAAGATTCAAGGGGGTCTGAGTTGAGTAGTGGTGTTACTGGGTTGAAATCTTTAGGGGTTAGAGATTTGACATATAAACTTGCATTTGGCGCATGCCATGTTGCTTCATTGATCAATAAAGCAGGTGGAAATGAACAACTTGAGGTAGATGCTAATGACCAAGAAGTGTTCTTGACTTCATTGAGTGATTCAGAAGTAGCTGAATTGAAGGAAATGGTTAAAAATGAACATATTTATGATAAATTGGTTCAGTCTGTTGCCCCAGCCGTGTTTGGCCATGAAGTCATCAAAAAGGGTATTCTTTTACAATTATTGGGAGGTGTTCACAAGGAGACAGTTGATGGTATTAACTTAAGAGGTGATATTAATATCTGTATTGTTGGTGATCCATCCACATCTAAATCACAATTTTTAAAATACGTTTGTGGATTTTCACCTCGTGCAATCTATACTTCAGGTAAAGCCTCTTCTGCTGCAGGTTTAACTGCTGCAGTCGTCAAAGATGAAGAAAGTGGAGACTTTACCATTGAAGTTGGTGCTTTAATGTTGGCTGACAATGGTATTTGTGCTATTGATGAATTTGATAAAATGGATGTTTCTGATCAAGTTGCGATTCACGAAGCTATGGAACAACAAACAATTTCCATTGCTAAAGCTGGTATTCATGCTACTTTGAATGCCAGAACATCAATTTTAGCAGCTGCTAATCCAATTGGTGGTAGATACAACAGAAAAATGGGACTCCGTGCCAACTTGAACATGACAGCACCAATTATGTCAAGATTTGATTTATTTTTTGTTATTCTTGATGATTGTAATGAAAGAGTTGATACACAATTGGCATCTCATATTGTTGATTTACATATGCTCAGAGATGAAGCTATTGATCCTCCATATTCTGCTGAACAATTGGCCAGATATATCAAGTACGCCAAGACTTTCAAACCGAAAATGACAAAAGAAGCCAGAGATTTCTTGGTCACTAGATATAAAGAATTGAGAGAAGATGATGCACAAGGGTTAGGAAGATCTTCCTATAGAATTACTGTTAGACAATTGGAATCTATGATCAGATTGTCAGAAGCCATTGCTAGAGCTAATTGTACCGAAGAAATTACTCCAAGTTTTGTTGCCGAGGCTTATGATTTATTGAGACAGTCTATTATTAGAGTTGAAATGGATGATATTGAAATGGAAGAAGACGAAGAAGGTGAACAACAACCAGAAGATGGCGAATCACATCCAGACGTACAACAACCACAACAACAAGAGCAATTGCAAGAACAACCAGAAGGTGAACAAACTCAAGATACACAAAGAACACAGAATGTTTCTATTTCATATGATAAATACTTATCTATCATGAACTTGTTAGTGAAGAAGATAACAGAAGATGAAAAAGCTGGAGGCGATGGTGTTGCCGCTGATGCATTAGTTGAATGGTATTTGCTTCAAAAAGAAGATGACATTGACACTGAACAGGAATATTTACAAGAAAGAAAATTAGCATACAAAGTTTTGAAGAGATTGGTAAAGGATAGAATCTTGATGAGTGTTACTGAAGGTGAAGAGGTTGTTTATATCATCCATCCAAATTGTGCTATTTTAGATTTCTTTGATAGAGAGTAGACTCGATCTGTTCTTGTGTATTAATTATGTTGTTTATTTCATTTTTATTTTTTTTTTGTTTTTTTTTTTGTTTTTTTTTTTCGTATTTTGTATTCATATATAACTACTTTGCTATTATTAATAATTAAGTATTTTTGGGCTTTTTACTTTGTTCCAAATTGACCCGAAATGTAGCTTGGTTTGGATTTGTTGGACCTCCTTCTTTTTTAATTTCAATCCATTCAGTTGGTGTTGTATTTTTAGCACAATTATTACAATGTTCAAGAAATAGTTTCGAATTCTCAAACATACGTTGACATGAACGACACCATCCTGGATCATCACCTGGATTTAATTCTCCAATTGGTTGTTTATCTTTAACATAATGAATTAATCTTAAATGTCTTTTCAATACATCCAATCTATTAAATGAACCATCTTTTTTATGACACGTTGGATCATTTTTCCAATATGGACATTGATATTGAGGTGGAGCATGTGATTTAGCATGTCTAGTTAAATCTGAATGCCTAGCAAATGCCCATGTACATCCAGGATGTTTACAGATAAATGGTTTACCTGATTTCTTTTTTGAGACTACCCCCTTTGGTTTTTCTTGTTTGAAAATGATTACAGATGAAGCTGGTGGACGCGTCAGTTGAATATGTTGCTGTAATAATAATTGCTGTTGTTGTGGTTGCACTTGCGATGATGCTTCTTGTTGATCTTGAGTTGTTTGTGTTTCCGGTTGTGGTAGCACTGATGATACCAGTTCTGGTTTTTCCTTTTTCACAGATGATACCAATACTCTTGCTTCCTGTTGTTGATGACGCTGTTGCAGCTGTGGTTGTTGTATTGATGTTTGACGATGTAGTGGTTGATACGGAATATAAGTCGTAAATGGTTGACTTTCTGAACGGTAAGCCGAGGGCAATTTTGGTAATGGGAAATTTGAAGAACTAACTGGAAGATTTGGTTTCTTCACCTCTTTTTTTAATTGAACATCAACAGATTCTGACATGATGTGGGTTTTTTGTAAGTCGGTTATCAAACTTAGTCAAACACATGAATAGAATCAAAAACAACAAACAAAATAAAAATTACAAAATCGAGGAGGTTCGTTAGGAGAAAAAAAAAAAATCTCATCCTCACAGGAAGCGGCGGCGAATTTTTTTTTTTATTTTTCTCTGTGGTTTGAATTTCAGTTAATTTCGAATTGATTTTCTGTACATGACGTTGTTAATACAAAGCTGTCCGTTATTTTAGTAATTGAACATAATGGATTTACATTTGAAGTTGCTTGTAAGTTCTTTATGTAATATTTTTTTTTTCATTGTCTTGCTTTCTCCTTTTATTAATTCCGACCAGTTGCTATATAAGTATTATGTAACGATTACTAATAACACAAAATCTATTTCCTGATGATATTATTGGTAAAGAACCACCCGGAAATCGTATTTTCTTGATTTCCGATATCACAAGTATGCAATTCCGGTCAACTACTATTGAGAAAAATTTCCACCAAACCTGCATAATACGATACTAGGGGGGAAGGATACCTGAATTTCCCCAACTATAAAAATGACCTCAAGTTTCCTTTTCTGAAATTTAACAATTGGTTGCTACTTTTCTTTTCATCAATTACATTTAGTTGTTTGTTAAATAACATCAATTATCATTTATTTTTTATTATTAATATCATTATCATAAATCATCATGACTGACGTAAGTTAATCAGATTAAAATTTAACTATCGGTTGTAAAAAACAAATCAAGAATACTAACTTTTTGCTATCATAGAAAATTGAAATTTTAAAATTTGCCGGTGAAGACGGTGCTTACAAAAGAAGACCATCTAGTTTCAGAGAATTCATTAGTGCTAAACCTGGTGCTCGTTTTCCACCTGAAGCTGGTAGATACCACCTTTATGTTTCCTTTGCTTGTCCATGGGCTCATCGTACTTTGATTACACGTCGTCTTAAGGGTTTAACTTCCATCATTGGATTATCAATTGTTCACTGGCATATGGATGATAAAGGTTGGAGATTCCCAACTAAAGAAGAATTAGGTTCATTGAAGACTGATGATCTTTCTTTAGGTACTCCAGATCATCTTTATGATTTCTCCCGTCTTAGAGAATTGTACTTTAAAGCAGATCCAAATTATGTTGGTAGATTTACTGTTCCAGTTTTGTGGGATAAGAAAGAAGGAACTATTGTTAACAATGAATCTGCTGAAATTATCAGAATGTTGAACACTGAATTCAACAGTATCTTACCAAGTGAGTATGCTTCTGTCAATCTTGTGCCAGATAACTTGGTTTCTCAAATTGATGAATTGAACAGTTGGGTTTATGACAATATCAACAATGGTGTTTACAAAGCTGGTTTTGCTTCCAAACAAGAAGTTTATTCTGCCGAATGTCAAAATGTCTTTGATCATTTAGATAAGGTTGAAGGTATCTTAAAATCCAATCATGCTAGTGACAAGAAGGGTGAATTTTTGTTGGGTAACCAATTGACTGAAGCTGATATTAGATTATACACTACCATTATTAGATTCGATCCAGTTTACGTTCAACATTTCAAGTGTAATATTGGTATGATTAGAACACACTATCCATACATTCATGACTGGCTCAGATTATTGTATTGGAAGATTCCAGGGTTCCAAGAAACCACCAACTTTGAACACATCAAATATCATTACACCAAATCCCATATTAAGATCAACCCATATGGTATCACTCCATTGGGACCAGTTCCAAATATCATGCCTTTTGAAGAAAAATAATGTGAAACTGATGTTAAAACAAATATAACCCATACTTAAATAAATAAATAAATAAAGAAAAGAAAAGAAAAGAAAGTACAAAAATCTATTTGAATTCTATCATTGTAAGATACTAAAAACCGCCTCTAGTAGAAAAATTCTTTTATTAAAAGCAAATGTGAAATTGAATATTCCATCTAATAGAATTATTTGGCATTTTCATTATAACATTCCCCTTTAACATACTCGTTGTACCTTGTGTTTGCTTTTTGAGTTTCTTTTTTTTTTTTTATTTCTTTCACACACTCAATGTGTGTGCGAGAGAGCGTGTGTGTGTACTTTTTTTTTTGCTTCTCACACTCTTTCACATTGTTCTCTCTTTACACTGGGTATTTTTATTTTTTCGTTAATTCAAATCAAAACAAAAAATTTTCTTTTAAAGTCGATTGATATTTTCAAGTAAAGTTCACCACATTTTTTTTTTCTTTTACTTCTTCTTCTTCAACAATGAGAGGTATGTTTAGATGCGTGATTAGTTAATTGAATATCAATTGGGATTTATTTACTAACATGATTTGATAGACTATAAAGTAGTGGTATTGGGTGCTGGTGGGGTAGGAAAATCCTCAATTACTGTTCAATTCGTACAAGGTGTGTATGTTGAAAGTTACGATCCCACAATTGAAGATTCATACAGAAAACAGATTGAAGTTGATGGAAGAGCCTGTGATTTGGAAATCTTGGATACCGCAGGTGTGGCTCAATTCACTTCCATGAGAGAATTATATATCAAAAGTGGTAAAGGATTTTTATTGGTTTATTCAGTGACTGACGAAAACTCACTTAAAGAATTATTAGCTCTACGTGAACAAGTATTAAGAATTAAAGATAGTGAAAATGTACCAATGGTATTAGTGGGTAATAAATGTGATTTAGAAGATGATCGTGTTTTAAGTATAGAAGATGGGGTCAAAGTTAGTCAGGATTGGGGATTAGTTCCATTTTACGAAACTAGTGCCATGTATAAAACAAATGTTGATGAAGCATTTATTGATGTTGTTAGACAAATAATGAGAAAAGAAGCTGCCATAAGTGCTGAAAAGAAGCAACAGAAGGAATTACAAAAACAACAACAACAACAGCAACAAGAAGAAGAGCAGAAACAACAGTCAGCAGGTGGTAATAATGCCACAAATTTCGCTCAAAAAACAGCCACATCTACTAATAATAATACAAATGTTAATGCTAGAAATAAACAATCAAATACTGACACAGCAAAGTCAAGCTCCGGTAGCAAGTGTTGTACAATAATGTGATACGAGTACAGATCTCGAAATCATTAAGTTTATCGTGTTTTCCTTCCTCCCCCCTTCTTCTTGTCAGACAAACGAGCCAAAAAAAGACAACAACAAAAACATCTCGACTAAAAAACGCTGAAGAGAAAGTAAGGGAAAAGAAAAGAAAGAAAAAAACGAAACTAAATCTATTTTTTAATACAACACACAGGTTCAAACAATTAAATATATCTTATACATATATTCAGAACACGCGTCACTTTTCGATAATACCTTCTTTCCAATTTGACAATTTTTTTTTATTCTATATATATACATGTATATATCGAATGTGTTCGTAGACTCTTTTTTTTATTATTATTATCATTCTATACTCGTAATAATATATATAACTTAATTTATTTTATTAATCATGTATTGTCACATTCATTTATCTCAATTGTAAATGATAAATTAAAACCCCCTTTATTTTTTTTATTTTTTTTGCGATCTAAATATACAACGTTGATTATGTAAGTCATTTATTAAAAAAGGGGTTCACTCGATTGTTCGTAAGAAGAATGGCTGTTTCTCTCTTTTTTTTTTCTTGCTTTGTTAAAGGGGGATTTTCATTTTCTAGTCATTGCACGATTAGATACAAACTTGATAACACTGAAACTCCTCAGTACTATATCTTCATAGTAAATGAATGATACCTTCTGAATCATCATGCTCCTGACATACTTCAGAAACGGACAAAGAGATAGAGCCAATTTGATTGGTAGCTCAGAAATGTATATATGGACTAGTGTAAAAACGCTACTAGGATTACTACAAAAGCTACAAGTATATAGACAGAATTAGAGTCTTTAAAGCTTGGTAGCGGCATCATAAGTTACATCTTTATAATCCCAATAGAAACTTACCTCAGTTGGATATGAAGAATTTAATCCACATACTTCTGTGAAATTAAACCCACCAATTCTATCATTGACGTAATCTTCAAAATCATCCAACTTACACGAGAACCCTGGACCATCAGCACATTTAGATATTGGAACAACGGCATCATTAACTAAATATCTGACATACGATTCATTATTGCATTGATATTTTTCGGTATAGATTCTTGCACCTTGGGGAGCAATAGAAGCATGAGAGTATGGATTTGGAAATGGGATATAATCAGTTGGTAAATCTTCATTGATATCAAACAATCCTAAAGCAGCAAGATAAACAGCCAAGTCAACGCTATGAGCGAATGACAACCAAATTTTATTGGAGTTAGTGTTGTCTTTCAATAATTCCAATGATGCATTAACTAGGATACCACCAACAAATTTATTCTGTGGATTTCCTGGACCATCAGTATAGTATTTTTCCAAATCATCTCCGTATGAAAATTGAAGTAACTCTTTATTGGTGAAAATATTACAAAACGGACTGCTACCACGAACATTGATTTCATAGGCACACCAATCAAATAAACTATAAGCATCTGAAGCAGTTAAGTTTAAACCTGGATTCTGTTTTTCCAATCTCTCAGCAATTCCATTCAAGTATGATGTGTTGTATCTGTCAGAAATGTATTCAAAAACCGAATCGTCATATTTTGGACATCCACGTCTTGGTGTTAAAGTGTTGATACCAGATTCTTTACCTTCAGAGATAACATTGAATTTAACAGTATTACTCTCATCAAACTCATCACCTAAGAATCCTCTAGCAAAATATCTTGCAGTTTCCAAAACTCTAGCAGAATTGGATGAAAAGAACGGCAATGTTGAATTGGTATGATACAATGTTCCATATCTGGACCTGAATGTAGCACCATGTCTCAAAGCATTAGTTGTACCTGCAAAGGTACTTTTAGAATTCTGTGGGGAAGTACTAAGAGCATAATAAGAACTATCTTCAACAAAATAAGTATACCCATTATTCAAAAAGGACAAATCACCATTAAATGTTTGATTATAGTTCTGGAGCTTCTCATATATCAACTCTAAAACTTTTCCACCATTAACAGTTGGAAACCTTTCAACATGTCTACTGTAAAGTTGGACTTGTTCAAGGGTACAACCTTCTGGAATATCAGTGGAAATACCATAACCTTGTCTTTGGATATATGGAGCCGATCCACCAAGATAGCGGAAAATGTTATTAGAATCCGTGGATGCTTGTTCTGGAGTAGCAATGTCTTGAAAAACACTCCGCCCGGATAATAACAAACCAGTGCTTAATAAACCAGAAAAAGAAACCATTATTTATTGTTGTATTGTAAACAACAACGAAAAAGACTACAAATGTAGTGGAATTTACTCTGCATTTATACTTGATATTCAGTGGAAACCAATTAATTAGCAGCCGGCAATGAATACTAATTGACCAACCACCACGTGTAGTTCATTATAGAATCTGTTTAAATTGACTATTGATAATAATCCCCCGTGAGTTTAGCTTTTTCTTGGGTGAATAATTTTATTAGTTATGTGTTGCAAATAAGGTTTGTACAATGACATGTCAAATCTGATCCATATCCAGAATTCCGGATTCAACTCTTCACATTCGATGAGAATATCACCAATGACTTCTCAATGGTGAGTCGTCTCTGGAATAATGACTGTATAACGGGCTTGCCACTAAGTGTTGTCTCCACCGCAAATATTCGGGAATCGATGGAGCAAAAGTAAGGTACAAGAATACCACGATTTCTCAACAGTTATCTGACATCAGTAAGCATTGATTACAAGCAACTAATCGTTCCCATGCATCTTTTTGAAAGATCTTCGAATTATTTATTTTTGTCACCCACAGCATGTATCCATATCACATTCCGTTACATAACCACTCCATACACTGTTGCAATTTTACCAAAAAAAAAAAATAAAAAAAACCAACAGAGAAAAAATTTGGGTTTCTCAGATCTCGGCCCCGTCTTCACATCCAACTGAAAAAAAAGAAAACCAAAAAATTATGGGAAAGTAGTTTAAACTAAGTACGATCGATTATTCTTTTCATTATAATACATAAACTTCCTACATAATCTGACACAACATGATAGGGATAAACAAGTTGGTGTTTTCCAAATGTTTATCAAATTCATGTAAGAGAATAACTAGAATACCTACCACCACTACTACAACAACAACATTTAGACTCACCATAAAACCTATACGACAACAATATCTTAGACCAACATCAATTTTACAACAAGTTAGATTCAATTCAACCAGTACAGTCACCAATGACAACTCCGCACCAAAAGATGAAAGTCAATCACAATCACCACCAAAAACTAACAAACGACCTAATATGATGGCTGACATTGCTAAATTACTAAGATTAGCAAAACCCGAATCGAAATTGATCTTTTTTGCTTTACTTTGTTTAGTAGCTACTTCTGCTACCAGTATGGCATTGCCTTTGATTATGGGTAAAATCATTGACACAGCAAAGACGGATGAAGATGATGAGGAAAAAGAAATAGAAACAGATGACAAGGAAAAGAATAATACCAGTGGTCAATTAATTTTTGGATTACCTGAGCCCCAGTTTTATTCTGCTTTAGCTGTGTTATTCATAGTCAGTGCAAGTACAAATTTCGGACGTATTTATTTGTTAAGATCTGTTGGGGAAAGATTAGTGGCAAGATTAAGATCAAGATTGTTCCTGAAGATTTTAGCACAAGATGCCTATTTCTTTGACATTGGACCTTCTAAAGTGGGCATGAAAACGGGGGATTTGATTTCAAGAATTTCTAGTGACACCCAAATTATCTCTAAAAGTTTAAGTATGAATATTAGTGATGGTATGAGAGCTATAATAAGTGGATGTGTTGGGTTATCAATGATGTGTTATGTATCGTGGAAATTGACTTTGTGCATGAGTATGATTTTCCCTCCTTTAATCACGATGTCGTGGTTCTATGGTCGTAAAATAAAAGCCTTATCTAAATTGATCCAAGAAAATATTGGGGATATGACAAAAGTCACAGAGGAAAAGTTGAATGGAGTTAAGGTGATTCAATCTTTTAGTCAACAGCAATCAATGGTTCACAACTATAATCAAGAAATTAAGAAAATCTTTACTAGCTCCATGAGAGAAGCTAAATTATCAGGTTTCTTTTATTCTACTAATGGTCTTATTGGGAATGTTACTATGATTGGATTGTTGATGATGGGAACAAGATTGGTTTCTATGGGTGAATTGACCATTGGTGACTTGTCAAGTTTCATGATGTATGCTGTTTATACTGGTAGTTCCGTTTTTGGATTGGGCAATTTTTACACTGAGTTGATGAAAGGGATTGGAGCAGCAGAGAGAGTTTTCGAATTAGTCGAATATAAACCTAAGATTTCAAACAATTTGGGAAGAAAAGTTGATAGTTTAGATGGGGATATTGTACTTGAAGACATTGATTTCAAATATCCATCGCGCCCAGACTCCATTATATTTGAAGGTTTAAATCTTAAAATTAAACAAGGAGAGAATGTATGTCTTGTTGGTCCATCTGGTAGTGGTAAATCAACTGTTAGTCAATTGCTTTTGAGATTCTATGATCCAGACCATGGGAAAATTGCCATTGGGGATAATGAAATCTCTGAACTTAACTTGAATCATTATAGATCTCAATTAGGGTATGTTCAACAAGAACCATTGTTATTTAGTGGTACAATCAAGGAAAACATATTATTTGGAAAAGATAATGCTACTGAAGAAGAAATTCAAAAAGCTGTCAAATTAAGTTATGCATCACATTTTATCAAAAATTTACCTGATGGATTGGAGACAAAGATAGGTGCCTCGCAATCCACTCAATTGAGTGGAGGTCAAAAGCAAAGAGTTTCCTTGGCTCGTACATTGATTCGTGATCCGAAGATATTGATATTGGATGAAGCAACATCAGCCTTGGATTCTGTGAGCGAGGAAATGGTTATGAGAAACTTGATTGAATTGAACAGAGAAAAGGGTATTACATTGATTTCTATTGCTCATAGATTATCTACCATCAGAAACAGTGATAGAGTTATTGTATTTGATCAAGATGGACAAATCGTCGAAGATGGATGTTTCAACGAGTTGCATAATGACCCAAATAGTAGATTTAACCAATTACTAAAAAGCCATAACTTAGAATAACTTATATTTGCATGTGCATGTACATAGTCAATCTAACTTGTTAACATAATTAAGATTTTTATTTATTTGTTTATTTATTTTGCAGACTAAACTTTCTCTGAATCCTGGCCAATTTTTTTACACCCAGGTACTTGTTAGAAGTCAGCCCTATGGTTTTATGCACTCTACTTACAAGTAATACGAACAATAGAAGGCGAAAGAAGGGGGTAAAAATATCACAAGCAAGTCTTGTCAGTTGAATGCGGATCAACGAAATCAAGCTTTTTTTTTTCTCTATGTTTCACTTGGAAGGTTAAAATGGCGTATCAAAGACAAGTGTTGAAACCATTATTGGCATAATTGCTGAATTTGCTATGTTGTACATTAAAGAAATTCATGTGCCTGGAGTCGCATAATCAACCACAGGAGAGATGGGGGTTCATGGAAAGTGTGCAATTTCACTAGTCTCCGAGAAACCCGAGGTTTAAGTGTTCTTGATGATTGTAGGGGAAGGGAGAGTTGGGATGTATGAGATTGCGTATGACCATGCATATAATTTAGTAAGAATTTTCTAAGAACAAACGGAGATAGAGATTCATATACTATCAAACAAGAATCATCATCCATAGTATCAGATTATCGGCACGGATGGATATCTATAGTTATCCTTCAGATACATTACTAAAATAGTAGTGCGCGTATCACCTAGCAATCCTAAAATACATAAAAATAAATTTGTCCGTTATTACACAAGTAGCGTAGAAGAAGAAATCCAAATAATTTTAATGTGAGATAGGCTAAACAGCCATTTCTGCATACATTTTTTTTCAGTAAATCAATGGTATGCACAAAACAAAGAAAAAAACAAACTTCATTGAAATCTGCCATGATTTTCCTTTTTGTCATCAAATGAAGTTCATTTCATATTAATGGTATATAACTAAACTATGATTTCCAAGAGGGTTTGTAAATTATTTATTTAATTATTTATCTATTTCCTTTTTTTTTTTACCTTTTCAATTCAATTGTTAACCCCTATATATATATTTTTTTCTTATTTCCCCCCACAGAAATTAGTTTCCAAGTTCAACCCGTTAATATTATTCTTATTTTCACATTATTTTTTTACGTCACCAACCAATTCACTTCTCCTGTTTTCATTCAAAAACGGCTATATCAATCTTGGAATTCAGACTTCATTTTTTTGGATTTTTCTTTTTTTTTTTTGGTTGTATCAAGAGAGTTCATACAAGAATAGACAAGTTGAATTTTAAAACAATTAAACTGTTCCAATGCCGTTCTATAAAAAAGTAACGCATGCATTGATCCCTGAATCAATTCATAATTTGGCAACACACCATGGATGTGGAGATGACAAATCCGATAAAGAAGTCGAGAAAACAACTAGTGTACCTACTGCAAGCAGCAAGGATGATGAATTAACATCAGCAAGAGAAAGATCAACTTACCATTCTATTTCTGGTAGACTTAGTTATGAAGATGATGATAGTGACGATGACTTTGATGCTGCAAAAGTAGAAGAAGGGGGTACATTTTTTTCAGAATTATTAAACACAGCTACAATATGTTCGGGGTTGGGGTCATTAAATACTTTAAAAAAACAATACTTAGATGAATTACTTAAAAAAAGTGGATTACACAATCTCAAACCACAGCAACAACATCACCATCACCATTCACCTCAGTTGGCAGGTAAACATGATAGAAATCAACCTGTCGCCAGTTCTGTGAATAAAGAGCTGTCGCTTGGTAAACTGCAACAATTTTCCAGTGAAGATTCCGATGAATCTGAAGATTCAAGCATTGAAGAAGAATTCGTTGCAAATGATTTAGAAGCAACTCAGATTTCTGGAACAAACGAACCATTCAAATCAACATCTACAGACACCAGTCCTATTAGCAAAGTTGAAACAGTGGCATCGACAACGACGGCTTCTTCGGCTACTGCCACCCCAACAGCAACTACACAAGTTAAAGTTGCTACGGAAACTAAAGTGGCTCATATTCCTCATGAAGATTTAGAGGGACTAAATCCTTTGCAAAGATCTGTGGTTACAAATTTAGACCCGCATTCTATTAAAGAGGGAATACTAATTAAAGTTAAACCTGGACAAAGACCAACCGAAGAAGAACTCCAAAATGAACATGAACAGATCAAAGAAAAGATCAGATTACGTCTTAAGATTGCAGATAAGTTACAAAAAGTGTTTAGTTTAGATGACACTGACGAATTCCTTGGAAATTATAGTGCATGGTTAATCAAGGATGTATTATTGCAAGGTCATTTGTATCTTACCAAGGAAGCACTTTTATATTTTGCATTCCTCCCAAAGCGATTCTCGGTTGAGCATGCTTCTGAGGTCTTGAACATTGACGATTCTTCAAATATTGTCCATAAAGGTACATTGGGATACAAACCAAGGAAATATGGTGAAGTTATTCTTAATGCTGTTGTTCAACATAGATACTGGGCGGTTTTAAGATCAGAAACTTTAAGTATCTATTCGTCAGCAACAGATTTGTATTTTCCTGAATTGGTGATTGATATCAAGACCTGTTTGTATGCTGAAGTTGTCGATAAGGAAAAGTATGGTAAAGAGGCCATCTCACCAGTGAATAGAAGTGGAGCTCAAAGCCCAATGGGTCCTAACTCAGGAACAGAGACACCAGGAACACCTGCAATTGAAGAGTATACATCAGAACTCAATAGTATGATGTCAGCGGATTCTTTTGCACCAACAGAAGATACCGTTGAATCCGGATCTACAAATATTTGGTTCAAGTTGGTCACGCAAAAGAGGACATACAAGTTTCAATGTGATAGTTCCTTTTCTGCTCGTCAATGGTGTAACAATTTGACCAAATTGATTTTTCAACACCACAATGCAAATACCAGCAGTGAAGTTTTGATAAAGATACCAATTAGTGACATAGTGGAATACAACAAACGAACATTGTTTGATGAAGAAGCAGACCATGATATTGACCATGCTAAAAATGACATTCCATTAAATTTATCAATAAAGTACTTAGCCAATGCTCCCGTATCTGCTGATTTGGCTAAACAGAAGGCTAAATCAAAGAAGACTCTAAAAGAGCAAGATAACATGACTATCGAAGAGGTCAACTTTTTATTCCCAAAGAATGGTGTTGAATTTTTTGAGACTTTTGATAATGCAATGCATGATGGGAAACAGGGTGTTGATGAACTTTCAAAATTGACTACAGTCGATTCCAGCACTTCCTTAAAGTCAATGTCGACTTTGAGTCCTTCGTCCAATGCTTTGGTGAAGACAGTCATGGATCATAATAAATATACTGAACCTAATGATGGTGCTTCAACTTTGAAAAAATTAAGCAAGACGATTACGAGCCCAACCAGAATTTTTAGAGCTGCCACACTTGGTTCATTAGATAGACCAAGTATTGCTTCAGTTACTTCAAATGACAGTACTGGGAAAGATAGTCATCTTCAATTGCCAAGAGCGTTATCTGAACGAGGGTTACAAAGCTTGGATATATCATTTGTCACCAGTCTCAAGAAAATGGAGGAAGCAGCATCAAGATACGACAAACCACTGTTTTCACCTGATGAATTACCATTACCAAGTAATTTGACTGACCCATTTGAAGTGAAGAAACAATCCAGAAGACCGATTCTGAAAAGTATCAAGGCGTTGTCTAATGTTGCAAGTAGATGGTCTTCTACTCCCTCCCATTATGTAGATGACGGTAGATTTTATGTTGGAGATGCTAGTGAAAGAGAAGAATCCCAAAGAAACTTCCAAGGACATTTTTCTACAAACTCCAAATTGCTTGCCACTTACTATGCTCATTTGTTAAGAACTGTTCCAGTTTATGGTAAATTATATATTTCCGAGACAGAAGTTTGCTTCAGAAGTTTATTGCCAGGTGTTTCGACTAAGATGGTATTGCCTATGATGGATATCGAGGATGTCAAATTGTCGGCTATAGTGAAGTTAGCCTATTACAGATTATCATTAATGGTTAACGGAGCTGAAGAGTTGAGTTTTGAGTTTGGTTCATCCAAGTCTAGAGATGATTTCCGTGAAATTGTTCTTACACAATTAGAAAAGCTTCATTCGAATGAAGGATTCCGACCAAAACCACACCAGTGGGGTAGTAATTATGATATTGAATTAAGCAAGACAAGAATGGAATACACAGACTCAGAAAGATGTCAAATTCAAAAAGCGTTTGACGATACACTGAAAGATGTCCAATTGGCGGAACAAAGGATTGAATTGGCTAGAGTTAGAATGTTTGAAGATAGATTGATGGCAGCTTCAGGTTTAGATGTGCCAATAATTTTGGAAGACTCGCCATTTTTCAAAACGGAAATGAGACCTTCAACTTCTTACAACATCACATTGTTAACCATTGGATCTAGAGGTGACGTCCAACCATATATGGCTTTAGGTAAAGGTTTAGTCAAAGAAGGACACAATGTTACAATTGCGACACATGGTGAATTTGGTGATTGGATTAAGAAGAGTGGATTTAATTTCAAAGAAATCGCTGGTAATCCTGCAGAATTGATGTCGTTTATGGTCACTCATAATGCTATGTCTGTAAGTTTTCTTAAAGAAGCTCAAAAGAGATTCAAATCATGGATTGCTCATTTGTTGACCACCAGTTGGGAAGCATGTCAAGGGTCTGATATTTTAATTGAAAGCCCTTCAGCAATGGCTGGTATCCATATTGCTGAAGCATTGGGTATTCCATATTTCCGAGCTTTCACAATGCCTTGGACAAGAACAAGAGCTTATCCACATGCTTTTTTTGTACCAGATCAGAAGAAAGGAGGTACATACAACTATTTAACTCATGTGTTGTTTGAAAATGTGTTTTGGAAAGGGATTTCTGGACAGGTTAACAAATGGAGAGTTGAAGAATTGGATTTGCCGAAAACAAATTTGTACAGATTACAACAAACCAGGGTTCCATTCTTGTATAATGTTTCGCCTACTGTTTTACCTCCAGCAGTTGATTTTCCTGATTGGGTTAAGGTCACTGGTTATTGGTTTTTGGATGAAGGTTCTGGTGATTATAAACCACCAGAGGATCTTGTTAAATTTATGAGTGATGCTGCTGCTGATGGTAAGAAGATTGTTTATATTGGTTTTGGATCAATTGTCGTCAAAGATGCCAAGTCATTAACAAAAGCTGTTGTTGGAGCTGTCCAACGTGCTGGTGTTCGTTGTATCTTGAATAAAGGTTGGTCTGATAGATTAGATGACAAGGGTAAAGATAAAATTGAAGTGAAATTACCACCTGAAGTTTACAACTCTGGTGCTATTCCACACGATTGGTTATTCCCTCGAATTGATGCAGCTGTACATCATGGTGGTTCAGGAACCACTGGTGCTAGTTTGCGTGCTGGTATTCCAACAATTATTAAGCCATTCTTTGGAGATCAATTTTTCTATGCAACTAGGGTTGAAGATTTAGGTGCGGGAATTGGGTTAAAGAAATTGACTGTAAAATCATTGGGAAATGCTCTTGTTACTGCTACTGAAGATTTGAAGATTATTGAAAAAGCCAAGAGAGTCAGTGAACAGATTAAACATGAACATGGTGTTCTTAGTGCAATCGAAGCTATTTATTCCGAATTAGAGTATACCAGAAATTTGACATTGGTCAAGAATATTTATGACCAAAACTACAAACGTCATCATCCAGATTTCAAGTCACAATCTGGCATTCAATCACCAGTTGAAGCTAGTGAAGATGAAGACAGTGAGGATGAAGATGATTATGATGATGAAGATAGTGAAGAGTGCAATGAAGAAAAAGATGTTTATGGTGATAAACTTTCTGAACAAGATTCCAAGAAACAGGCTCAATTATAGTATGTATAGTATTTATAGTAAAATTGTATTAGTAGTTTTTTTTTATATTTTTAAGTATTCTAGTTTATTATCATTATTATTTTGATTTTGATTTTGATTTTTGTTCCTTGTATTGCCACTCCGTGGAGAGGATGCGGGCGTGTGTGAGCGAGTGCGTGATTAAGGTTTGATGATGAATGCTAATACACTCAATTGCACGAAAAATTGCGTAATTTTGTCTGACTCATTTTTACCCCAAAGGTCGCTACCAATTTTTTTTTTGTTTCCTGCCCACACAGTTTGTCTATGGAATCAATTGTTTCTACAATCGGCTAAAAAAAAAGACAATAAAAACTTAAGATCCTACTCGGAGTTGATTGTACGATGGTCAGTCATAATATATTATTGATATAATCAGACTATGAGAAATACATTAGTTGTTGATGTTGTTGAAAATAACTTTAACCCTGAATACCCGAGTCATTCTTTTGAACGATCAAATAGTTTTTTTTTTTGTGCGTAATAAATTTTAGCGCTGATACAAAAGGAGCGAAAAATTGAGGATCCACAATTATTCATATCTATGACTTTTTCTCTCTCTCTCTCTCTCTTTAATTCAATTTTCTTTTTCATTGACATCTTCATCTTGATTTTTTTTTTTTTTTTGAAAAAAATTACTTTCCTTTCCCTTTGTTTTGATTCTTGCTTTTCATTTGATAATATATATTGATCTTAAGATAATCCTAATTAATCCTTTATCCATCGTTTCTTAAATTTTTCATTTATCTTTTTTTGATTTCACATATTTATTTTAATTTTTAGAAGAAATGGTATTTAAAGACGTCACAGAGGAACAATGTCAATCCAATCCATATGCAAGATTAGTTCCTGGTCAAACAATTGTTGAAATTCCTCAATATGATCTAGAATGTGGTGAAACTTTATATAATTTCCCAGTAGCTTATAAAACATGGGGTAAATTGAATGAAAATGGTGATAATGTTTTAGTTATATGTCATGCATTAAGTGGATCTTCAGATGTTGATGATTGGTGGGGTGAATTATTAGGTGAAAATAAAGCTTTTGATCCTACTAAATATTTTATAATTTGCATAAATTTCCTTGGTTCTCCTTATGGATCTTGTTCTCCTGTTACTATTGATAAATCTACTGGGAAACCATATGGTCCTTCATTTCCATTAGTTACTTTTAAAGATGATGTTGGAATTCAAAAATTGATTTTGGATTCATTGAATGTTAAACTGTTGGCTGCTGTTATTGGTGGATCAATGGGTGGTATGTTGGCATTAGAATACCTGGCTATTTATAATAATACTGGATATGTTAAAAAAGTTGTTGCATTAGCCACTGCTGCTAGAACTTCAGCATGGTGTATATCGTGGAACGAAACTCAAAGACAATGTATATTCAGTGATCCATATTATGATGATGGATATTATTATGAAACTGGAAATAAACCAACTTCAGGATTAAGTGCAGCTAGAATGGCAGCTTTACTTACTTATCGTTCCAGGAACTCATTCGAGAATAGATTTGGTAGAAAATTAGGAGTTAGAAAATCAAGTTCTGCTTCATTATCTCCAGATGGAGAAAATAGTGGTAGATCAAGTCCAAGACCAAGATCAAAACAAGAAGAACATAGTTTATTACATAATGATGGGTCAAAATCAGTAAAAGGTGATGCGACTCCAGTTAATGAAAAATACCCACCAACATATTTTTCTGCTCAATCTTATATGCGTTATAATGGATCCAAATTTATTGATAGATTCGATGCTAATTGCTATATATCAATTAGTCGAAAATTGGATACTAATGATTTAACTCGTGGAAGAATAACTAATTTAGAAGAACATATGAATGGACATAGCAATGGTCATGATTCAAAAGATCCTTTGGTTGAAGTTTTGCAAGGTCTTTCTACTCCTACTTTGATTATTGGTATTGAATCAGATCATCTTTTTACAATCACTGAACAAAGACTTTTAGCTGATAATATTCCAAATTCGATATTTGAAAAATTGGATAGTGAAGAAGGTCATGATGCATTCTTGTTGGAATTTGAAAAAATAAATACTTTTATCACTAGTTTCATGAGTAATTAGATTTGAAAGGTGAATTCTATTTGTTTAATGAGAATCCTATAGTAGTATATAAATTAACACATAAATAAAAAATTGCATGTATAAATTGTTCCATTAGTAATCATTCAGTACGAATAATCAATAAAAAAATAAAAAAATAGACATCCATAACTCCGAGTAAAATTTCGAGGGAAAAAAACGACCCTCGGAAGTATCAATATGATACATCAAACAATTAAGCGGGTAAAAAGGGGTTTGTAAACCAAATAGAGCAGAATAACTGAATTAATTCTGAAAATAGCGATTTATTGAACTAATCAAGTAAAATGAAAAAAAAAGGTTATTCTTGAATTAAAAAAACCCACGTTCTCTAACATATTGCCGTATATTACTCATAACCTAATCATATGATACTTAATATCCGAGGTAGGTATTGAGTATGTTACAAAGATAATGAGTAAAGTAGTTGTAGTGATGATGATAGTATCGTACCTGACAAGAATTTATTGCTGATGAGTCTATTGGACCTTCTTTTGACATGTTTGTCTTGGTATAATTGAATGAATCTTGTTAACGTATCCTGAAAATGATTCAAATGCAACGTTACTTCAAGCAAAATTGGGGGTTAGATAGTCGTTGATCCAATTAGATCTAGGCTTACACATCAAGATTTAGTAACTCTTACTCTTTCAAAAGTATACTGTTATTCACATTTTACTAACTGCTATAGGACTATTTAACCATATCAGTTTCGCATTTGATTATGAGGGTTTGTGTTGCACATCTTTATTTCTATGACACAAAATCTTGAATCATACAAAGGATAACCAATCAAATAAGGATTATCCGTTGTTGGAACTCTAAATCCTGAAACGGTTAAATCGGAAATGAACTATATTAAACACGTGGTAGACTATACCTGTCCAACTAATTCATAACTAGTTCACATTGAACTACTCAACCTCAAAAACAAATATTGCCGAATCACGCTCTCCGCCCCGTTTTATTTTTTTCATTGCTACACCGCCAAGAGTAATTTAACTAATTCAGTAGGATCTAAAAAATATACGCAGAAAAGAAAAGAAAAAAGAACCCGAATATTCAAAAAGCAATGATCTTTAATAAATTAGAAAAAAACAAAAACGTCCTCCTTTTACTACAGTATAAATACTTCATGAATTCACTCTTAACTTCGAAGTATTCCATTGCTTTCCTGTGAATTAAATCAAGCAAGAAATGGTTGCAATTTCAAAAGTACTCAACAGTGGTTTATTATTAGCTGGTCAAAGTGTTTTCCAAGATGTGGCTACCCCACAACAAGGATCAGTTCAATCATATAATATTCTTAACTTCCCTGGTGGTTCAGCTCCCTATATTCAAAGACAAGGTTATGGTATTTCAACTGATATTCCACAAGGTTGTAAAATTCAACAAGTTCAATTGCTTTCAAGACATGGAGAAAGATATCCAAGTAATTCAGTTGGTAGAAATTTAGAATCAATTTATAAAAAAATTCAAGATTATTCTGAAAATTCTACATTTCTGGGAGATTTAGCATTCTTAAATGATGGTTATGAATATTTTGTACCTGATTCCGACTTATATGAAAAAGAAACAAGTCCAAAGAATTCAGAAGGTACTTATGCTGGTACTTCCAATGCATTAAGACATGGTGCTGCATTTAGAGCTAAATATGGTTCATTGTACGAGATTAATTCCACTTTACCTGTTTTTTCATCTAATTCTGGTAGATGTTATGAAACTTCAAGATATTTTGCTAGAGGATTCTTAGGTGATGATTTTGAAGAAGGTGAAACTGTTAAATTTAGTATTCTCGATGAAGATGAAGAATCTGGTCTTAATACTTTAACTCCAAGACATAGTTGTCCAAATTATGATTCACTGGCTAACAATGATATTGTCAGAGAATATAATACTTCATATTTAAATGATATTGCCGATAGATTAGAAGATCAAAATCCTGGTTTCCAATTAACCACCTCTGAAGTTAACTATCTTTTTGAATGGTGTTCCTATGAAATCAATGTTCGTGGATCAAGTCCATTCTGTAATCTTTTCACCAATGAAGAATATATTAGAAGAAGTTACTATACTGATTTATCCAACTATTATAGCAATGGTGCTGGTAACAATTTTACAAGAATAGCTGGTAGTCCAATGTTGAATGCTTCTTTGGCTCTTTTAAAGGATACTGAAAACGATAACCAAATCTGGTTGTCATTCACACATGATACTGATTTAGAAGTTTTTCATTCTGCCTTGGGGTTATTAGAACCAGCTGAGGATTTACCAACTGATTATATCCCATTCCCAAATCCATATGTTCATTCATCTATTGTTCCACAAGGTGCTAGAATTTATACTGAAAAATACCAATGTGAAGATGATGAATCATACGTGAGATACATTATCAATGATGCTGTTGTTCCTATTCCTAAATGTGCCACTGGTCCTGGGTTTTCATGTAAATTAGACGACTTTGAAGATTACGTCAATGACAGAATTGGTGATATTGATTTTGTTGAGCAATGTGGTGTCAATAGTAGTTATCCATCTGAATTGACCTTCTATTGGGATTACCAAAACACTACCTATGATGCTCCATTGGGTAACTTTTAGGTTGTTGATAGTAAGGCATTTTTTTTTTTTTAGATTATTACCTTTATACATATAAATAAAATGTTATTTTTTTTTTTTTTTTGTTTTCATGTGTGTATATTTAATTTCATTATATGAGGGGAGAGGCCGTCGGAACGCAAAGAAAATCTGGAATCACAATATCGTAGACCCTGAAAAATTGCGCAAATCCAAAACCCAAAAGCATGCCACGCATCACGTGATTGTTTAATAAAATCTTTTCTTTTTCTTCGTATTTTGAGTACTTTCTATTTTTATATAAAACTTCATATTGAGATATAAAAATAGAATTATCTCGAGTATAATAATTTGCATTTAAATGACTCGCTTTTTTATTTGTTCTTTCTATGATTCATTGATAATATTATGATGTAATGACTAAATTCTCGAGGTGTTTGACTAAAGATAAAGAAAAAGAAGAACGCGGGGAATCAATAGATCATGATAATGGAGATGGAGTACACGTGTTGATATAAATGCAATGCAGCATTTAATATCAAAATTATTACGGATCAAACAAGAAGGATGAAAAGTAATTGAAATCAATCGATTCTCATCATGTAGAATCTAGTGGTTACTAAGGAGACTGAAACAAAAAAAACAACAACCAAAAACGGGAAGAAAATAAGACAATTCTCACTAGCCCGAATAATAAGGAGAGAGAGAGAGAGAGAGAGAACTAATGGTTGTCAAGAGGGTATTAATTATTTAGGGGGCTTTGGTGATCATATCATATTATAAATCAAGATAAATTATGAAATATTATGCATTATGATATTTTAAACCATTTACTAAATAATAGAATAATTATTTCTGACAGAATCATAATTGAGATGGTGGAGAAAAGATGACGATCTCCATTACGAATTAATTAGCCAATAAATAGAACGTATGGTTAAAGCAAAAAGGATAGTATAATTAAATTAGACTCATCTCTTACAATTCTATAGGTATTGTTCTCTTACTACTACTATTACTCTCTTGGCAGTTAAAAATCGCATCAATGTTAGTTGATGGCATTTGAGTTGATACAAAATTGATCATTATCTTAATTATAATGGGTTATGTTACCATTATTGTGTGTTTAGGTGAAGAATGTCGCAGACATAACGTTAATCAATGATGACATGTGAGTTTTGTCCTGATTTACATAAGGGGGTAAAATGAAAGAAAGAAGGTTTGTGGATAGGCTATGTTAATCTGTCTCGAAATAAAATGAATGCAAGTAATAAATACAAAAAGAAAATGAAACAAGAAGCAGTACTTTATTGTTAATTATCAACAATTAACAAAAGGTTGATAATGATTTAACCCCCCCTTTTTATTCGTACCGCCAGTTTATGATGTTAAATAGGCAAGAAAAGAACTAATAAGAGTGGAGAAGAAATTCGAAATTCGTATGTATCGTCACCACCTATTGTACCAATTGAGTTTTAGGTAGTGCTCGTTTATTCTACTTTAATTATATGTTCGTCTATTACTCCACCAACTAATAATCACGTTATTTAAAAGGTTATACATATATAGTTTTAGTGTGTACGTATTTGAATCGCAACCTCCCTCTTTTATCTGGGGGTGAGTGTTCTAGGGACAAACAATTGGTGAAACACAGAATTGTTAATGGAACCATGCAATGAATAAATAGAATTAATTAATTAATTAATTAATTAGTTGCCTGAGTGAGGCAAATGATGTCCTTACATTTATTGACCAGAGAGGATAATTCATTACTCACATAATTTAGTTGTCAGTTGAAGTTTTGACGATATCTTGAGATATAAGGCAAGAGAAGACGTCTTTCAAGAACTGTGGAATTTATTAAAACTGAGTTCAACAAGAATTATATACATTGTTAGACAAATCTAAAAAAAAAAAAAATAAATTCCGTTTACATTTCACCTAGCAACAATAGAATGTATTGAATGCTATGATGTAAGAAAACCAAAATCAATAACCAAAAAATAGGAGTGAAAGGGATATCAAAAGTGTTTCAGAAGATTGTTCTGTCGATAAATGATAGTGGCGATGTTGATGAGTATAGAATTGGAGATTCCCGTGATTAATTATGGTTCCCCCTTTTTTTGTTTTGGATTAACAAATAGATTAGAATAGAATAGAAGAAGAAGGAGAAGAAGAAGAAGAATTAGACGAGGATCAAAATGGTAACTCAAAATATAACAAAATACAAATTTCAAAGTGTGCACAGTAACAGTAGACTCTCATTTTTTTCCCTTTGTTAGAAATTTTAATAACGAAGGGCAATTTTGTGTTACCATGCAATGTTCTATAATAGACAACTTTAGTGCGAAATGTAAACAAAGATAATTTTTTTTTATTTTAGTTTCAGAATTTTTTTTCTTTTTGGTTGCGGACTCTGCACTTTACAACAGACAAACAAAACAAAACAAATAAACAAACAACAAAAAAAATCACCACCACACATCACCAAGGACAAAAGTAAAATCTAAAAAAAAAAAAAAAAAAAAATTTACAACCAAAAAATCTTTACATCTTTCTTCATCTTCATCATCAACTTCATTGACATCAATATCACCATTACCACCATCTGAATTCTCATTCTTTCAACTATCCAACCAGTTTTATTCAAGTTTTTCATCTGTTAATTCTAGTTATTTTGAAATATTCTTAAAAGAGACGAAGAAGAAAAAGAAAAAAAAAAGAGACAACCAGAAGAGAATAGAAGTTTCCACCAGAGTAGTTTCAACTTCAACCACCCTATTATATACATATATATATCATCTACCGATACTATTCAATCATCTTCATAAAAGAGGAACAAAATCCAACTCATCAATCTTGCAAAAATCAACAAAGGAATTGAGTGAAGTTTTATACACATTTATCCTGTCTTGATTGTAATATATTTTTTTTTGTATTGGAAAACAGTCAGTCGATATCTCATCAATCGTTAATAGTTCATTACAACCACACGCATAGGAGCTATAACCGAATTATATTAGACGATCACCATCATTGAATTCAACCGAAGTTTCTACTACTTTAAAGAGTCATCAAATTAAACGAAAACAGGCTTTTCCATCATCATCAATTTTTTTTCCACTTAATTTTTGACACATCGTTTGTTGGTAACCACAAAAAAAAAATAAAAACAAAATTACTACCAAACAACCAATTAAAAATTTAACGCGAAAAGGAAAAAACCATAACAACAGTAAACAACACACCTAACAGTTAAGAATGTCAAGTATAATTCCACAGGTTGAGATGAATTTCATTCAACCAGATCAACATCAATCAAAAATACCACATTCTCCTATAACCAACCCTTCTTCTTCATCAGCAACTACCCCAAGAACAGTAGAAATCCCACCAATGTCATCCATTCCACATTCTACTTCCACATCATCTATTCAACATGCAAATATAGCCAAGAAGATCCATCGTGAGGTCAGATTTGGTGCTTATATACTAGGATCTACCCTTGGGGAAGGTGAATTTGGTAAAGTGAAATTAGGATGGAGAAAAGATGGTAAACATCCAAGTCAGGTAGCCATTAAATTAATTAAAAGATCTTCAATAATGAAAGATTCTGATTCGGAAATTAAAATTCACAGAGAAATTAACTCCCTTAAGTTATTGAACCATCCAAATATTGTCAACTTGGTGGAAGTTATGAAAAGTGGTAAATATATTGGTATCGTTTTAGAATATGCTTCAGGCGGTGAATTATTCGATTATATTTTACAACACAAGTACTTGAAGGAAAATGTTGCCAAAAAATTATTTGCCCAATTAGTCAGTGGAGTGGATTACATGCATGCCAAAGGCTTGATTCATCGTGATTTAAAATTAGAGAACTTGTTGTTAGACAAACACAAGAATGTCATCATTAGCGATTTTGGGTTTGTTAATTCATATAACAGAGACAAAAATGATTTAATGAAAACCAGCTGTGGTTCTCCATGTTATGCAGCTCCAGAATTAGTTTTGTCACAAACCGCCTATGAAGGAAGAAAAGTCGATATCTGGTCCTTGGGTGTGATTTTATATGCCATGTTATCTGGTTACTTACCATTTGACGACGATCCAGATAATGAAGATGGTGCTGATATTATCAAGTTGTACCACTATATTTGCAAAACTCCATTGACATTTCCAGAATATGTTTCTCCTTTGGCTCGTGATTTACTTAGGAAAATAATTGTATCTGATCCAAAGAAAAGAATTGGTATCGATGAAATCAGAAATCATCCATGGTTGAGCTCATATGCTAACTTGTTATCCATCAGACAACCAGAATGGGACAAGGTCCATAAAGAGAAGCTGCAACCACCTATCATGATGGAACAACCACAAGCAAACAAGAGATATTCCATGATTAATGAAAGAACCAATTCTTCCTCATTAATGTCTCCAGCACCCAGAATGTCTTCACATTACACTCATCCTCACCAACCATCACAAACCCCATCTCCACAATCACACCCACAACCAATTTCTTCACATTCAAGATCGTATTCATCGACAAGTATTAGTTTATTATACTCATCACCTACATCTTCAATGGCAAACACTGTGGCTGTACCAAAACTTAATGATTCAGCCGATACATTAGCATTGTCGCAAACCCCATCTCCAAAGAAGCCAAGTTCAGTGTCTCCAACTCGTGGTCACCAAAAATCAGCTTCCATGTCCAGCTCATATTCTTCTGCTAGCACTGCTTTGAAAGCAGTTGTATTTGAAGAAAATAAACACTTACAACAACAATTTATTCCAAGATCAACTACAATTTCCACCATTGCAGAAAGTCCAACCAAGTCCACACCAGCGGCAAGCACAATATTGTTAGCTCCACCAAACAAATCATTACCAAAATTACCGCATGCTTCCAAGAAACCAAGACCAACTTCTTACCATCCATCTTCAATGTCATCTACATTAATGCTGCCAACAAGCAATCCAGCAGATGTACTTAAGATTCCAACACCAACTCCTTCCAACTTGGCCATGACACAATACATATCTACATCACCACCAAAATCTGTGGGATCTACCGATTCAGGTCATAATTACAATCATATGAATAACAGTAGTAATAGTGTTTCATCAAAGGCTGCATCTAGAAGAAATTCAGTGGTTACACATGTTCACGTTAATGGTGTTTTAAGTAAAGAGAATTTGATTCATTCAACTTCTTCACCAGACAATAAGAGAAATTCAGTATTGAGTTATTTAGAGGATAAGATCGATACTTTAGAATTAACCGAAAGTCACTCACCAACGAAATTAGCATTTGAAGAAATTGTCGATGCTGCCATTGCTACTCCTGAAATTAATCAAGTTCCTGCCTTTGATTCTCAAGTTTCTCCACAAGATTCACAGTCAAGCCAATCCAAAGCTAAAGAAATGGATGATACTATTCAACAAATTGTTCAAGAAGAATCAAAGGAAACTATAATCAAAGAACCAGAAAATCATCAAGAACTTGAACCAAATCAAGACAATGCTCAAGAACATGAAATGATTGAGGAAGTTAAAGAATGTGACCCAATAGTTCCTATTGAAGAATATATAAAGAGACCAGAAGAAGAGGTCAAGGTTATTCAAGTGAAGAAACCCGAAAGAGCTGCATCAACAAAGAAGAGAGTTAAAGAGGAATCGATCAAGAAACAAAAAGATACTGAAGCTAAGCCAATTGAAAGAAGACACACAATAGCATCTAGAAGACAAAACAGTCATGACGAAAATAAAGAAAACAAAGAAACCAAAGATGCCAAAAAGAGAAACAGATTTAGTTTATTGTCATTCTACAGTACTTATAATTCTTCGAGTTCCAATATTTCATTAGTTGAACCAACTACCAATTCATCCACCAATTCTACTGTTACTCCAAAGAAGAAAATCTTGGAACCTTCAAATGATGCCAACATTATGAAGAAGGAACAACAACAACAAAAAAGAGTTGGTTCAAGTGGTTCAAACAGTTCCAAACGTCAAAATCCAAAAGAAACTAGTGCAGCCAAGAAAGTTATGGACTTCTTTAAAAGAAGAAGCATTAGAGTAGGTTAAATTTCTAGGATATATTAAAAAGTTAGAGTAATTTAAAGGTGTTTTTTTTTTTTCATTCATTTTTTTATTAGTGTTTATTATTTTTATTATTAGAGGGTATACTTTTTTTTCATTTTATTTTCTGATTAATTTGTTTGATTTCTTAATTTTTTTTTTAACATATGTATTTAATTTTCTTTTTTTTTTTTATTATGATTATTATTATTCAAGTATTATAATTTCTTTTCATTTAACAATATACATTCTATACCTATTACGATTTTAAGAACATGAAATTTGTATCTCGGTGATACTCGTTGTTTCTTTGTTTATGTTTTGTTTGATGAGTAATCTCATTATCACACACACATTCACAGCAATCTAATTCCAACTGACGTCTCGTTTTTATATTTGTCTACAGTATTTAAACTTTTTTTTTTTTCACACCATCTTTATGCTTTTTTTTTCTTTTTTTCTTTAGCTACCTAGTTTTATTATTGAAAGATTATGGAACCAGATGAACAACATGATCCTGGGCTGAAGTTAAAACAAGCTGATAGTCTGCATAGGAATGAACAACTACAGGAAGAAATAGAAATAGTTATTGTCAATGCTGATGGATCCAATGCGAGATCTCATCTTGATGAAGATGACAATGATAATTATTCTTCCGAAAATGAAGCCAGAACTTCTGAAGAAGAAGAAGAAGATGATGATGAAGAAGATGATGATGAAATCCCTGATGAATCCTTAGGTACTACTATCATTCGAGAAATTCAAGATGGTACATATATTTGTCTTGTTTGTACTGGAGAAATTGATAAAGATTCTAAAATTTGGACTTGTGAAGAATGTTTTAGAGTTTATGATTTGGATTGTATTCAAGATTGGGCTATTCGAGGATCATCAACTAAAAATAAAACTTGGAGATGTCCAAGTTGTAATTCATCAATTAAGAAAATCCCAAGAAAATTCACCTGTTGGTGTGGCAAAATCACTGATCCGGAGAAAAATCCTTTGATGCCATTTAGTTGTGGAAATTCATGTAATTATAAATATGAAGATTGTATTCATAATTGTTTAAATGTTTGTCATCCAGGTAAACATCCGATTTGTGGTGCTATGGGTCCAATGATGAGATGTAAATGTGGTAAAGAAGAAAGACAATTACCTTGTTTAATTACTCCTTATGATGATGGTTGGAGATGTGAAGATGAGTGTAATATCAAAATTTGTGATTTGAATCATAAATGTCAAAAAGGTTGTCATTCTGGTTTTTGTGGGTTATGTAATGAAGTGATCACCATGAAATGTTATTGTGGGGATACTGATTTGTCCATAAAATGTCATGAGAAAGAGATTAAACCATGTGAAAACGAGAAAGGCGAGAAATGGATTGGTATTGGATCATGTGGCAAAACCAAGAAGGTTTATTATGATTGTAATGAACATTATGATTTGAAAGAATGTCAACCTCCATTATCGACCATTCCTAAATGTAAATTCTCCCCAGATGTTATATCCACTTGTTATTGTGGTAAAACTAAAGTTGATTTACAAAATCGTTCTAAATGTACTGACCCGGTTCCAGAATGTGAAAATGTCTGCGGTAAGTTATTACCATGTGGATGTCACTGTAAATTCAAGTGTCATGAAGGTGAATGTTATTGTATTTCTGTATTTGAAACCAAATGTGCTTGTGGTCATGAATCATACTTGGCTCCATGTAAATTCATTCAATCAGGAGTTCAACCAAAATGTGAGCATAAATGTTCAGTTTTATTGAATTGTCGTAAACATTATCATCGTGTTGAATGTTGTCCATATGAAAAAGTTGGTCTTGCAAGAGAACGTGACCGTAAAAAGGCAATTAGAAACAACACAAGAAATAATGTCAATCATGATATTATGACTATAGAAGCAGCACATATTTGTACTAGAACTTGTAACAGAGTAAAAGCGTGTGGTAAACACGAATGCCATGCATTGTGTCATAGTGGACCTTGTGAAGTCTGTTTGGAGTCAACAAATGATGATTTGATTTGTCACTGTGGTAAGACAATTATCCCTGCACCAGTTAGGTGTGGCACTACATTAGTTTGTCATGAACAATGTGTTAGAGTACCACCATGTGGACATCGTGCAGAACCTCATGAATGTCATGATGATACTGTCAGTTGTCCAAAATGTACGGCTTTAGTCAGTCGTGAATGTGACTGTGGAGCCAAACTGGATCTTCCAGGTATTTTATGTTCACAAGAACGTGTTTCATGTGGTAAGATGTGTCAAATTCCAAAGGATTGTGGTCATCCATGTTTGAGAACTTGTTCTGCTGAATGTACAAAACTTGACAATCATATTAGCTCCAAATTGTGTCAATCTTACTGTAAGAAAATCAGAACCAGTTGTCCTCATTATTGTAAATTAAAATGTCACTTCAATAAAGTTGGAGTAAGTCCAAATTGTGACGTTGTCAGCTGTTCTGAAGATGTTATGGTATCATGTGAATGTGGAAGACTAACTAAGAAAATCAAGTGTGGTGCTAATGTTGATACTCCATCTAGCATTGGGTCAGTCTTGGAATGTGACGAAGAGTGTGCAATTATCAAAAGAGATGCTGCATTGCGTGCTGCATTTATGGGTACACCAGAACCTGAAACAGCTGAAGATTCTATTCCTTATTCTGAATTTGTGTTGACCACTTATGAGAAACAAAAAACTTGGTGTTCTAAAGTTGAATCAACTATTAAGTCATTTATCGAGAATTATAATACCCAGATTGAGAATGATGTGAAATTACCCAAAAGATCATATCATTTCCCAGCAATGACTTCACCTCAACGTCACTATATCCATGAGTTAGCAAAAGCATATAATGCCTATACGGAATCACAGGATAAGGAACCTAATAGATCGGTGTTTTTGGTAATCACTAGATTAACAAAAATTCCTTCACTTTCAGTACATGATGCTGTGGAAATGTTGCATGAATTAGAAAAGGAAAAACTAAAGATTGATGAAATGAAACAAGAAGATATCAATGAGGCTTTGTTTAATTCTATTGTCATTCAAGATTTATTCTTTGGTATCATTAAAGATGATTTAGAGCGTGAATTAAAACCATTTTACGAAGGACAGGATTATATATTTGAATGGATTAAGGATTCAACATTTATCTTTTATTCACCAGAGAATTATAAATCTATGGATATTGAAAAAGAAAATAAATTATACATGTTGGTTAAAACATTCAAAAAAATTGTTAGAGAAAAGTCATTAGCATTTGATTGTAAATTATGTCTTGTTGATGATAGTGTTTCTTATATTTTGAAAATCGATGGTGCTTCCAGAGAAGCCAGTGCTCCTGCTGAATCAGATCAAAAATCCAATCAAAGCAAGAATTCATTTGATATTTTACAAAATGATGAATTGGTTAATGTATAGGTGATGATATGTATATTATTAGTTAACAAACTTTATTCAGAATTTTCGACATCTACTTTTGATTCAACTTCTGCCTCTGGTCTCGATTCAACTTCTTCCTCTGGTTTTGATTCAACTTGTCCAATTTTTTCATCTTTACCATCATCCTCATTATCAATTCCATCACCACTCTTTTTATGTTTTCTTCTTCTATTTGGTTTCTTTTTCTTTTCTTGTGATTCATCATTATTTACAACCTTCTTCTTTTTCTTTACACTTAAAGGATTTGGTTCTTTTGGACCTTTTCTCTTTTTACTCTTTTTTACATCATCTCCATTTTCTCCAATTTTCTCTTGTATATTTTTAATTTCATCTAATTTCCCAGCATCTTTTGAATTTAAACCAGCAGTTAATTTTAAATTTTCAATATTTTCATTATATTTTTTACTTGCATCACTTAATGGTTCCATAACCATAACTGATCTATTCATATAAATTAAAGGAATTCCAGGAATTTTTCTTAATTTTTTTCTTAAATTTAAATCTTGACTAGCTATAATATATCTATGTTTATTTTCTCCATTAATATTAACAATCAGTTCAATACAATCTGATGGATTTATAATTTCTTTATGATTACATTTTCTTCTTTCAAAACTTTTAGCAAAATCAATTAATTCTTGATTTTTAGTTTGATAAATCAGTTCAATACAACATTGTGTTATCATTGGTTTAGATTCTGATTGAATTGTACGTGCAAGTCCTTTAAGAATATCAAATGATTGGGAATTTGTGGTGATTAGAATTTCAGGATCTATAATTACTTGAAATGGTGTACGAAATTTAAATGTATTAGTATAAACACTCATTTGTTTCTTATATGATTTAGCACGCTTTTGTCTCATTGTGGCTTGTTGTTGTTGCTATTGATGTAGTTGGTGATTAGTAAAGATCTCATCTCTGATATAAATTTTTTTTTTTTTTGTTTAGGAGTTTTGCGAGTCTTTTCCATAATCTGAGAAGAGGGGTGGTTCATAGTCGTGTGAAAAACAATATATTCCATTAAATACAAGGTATACATTAATTGATAATTAACAAAAATAATTATATAATAAACAAGGGAAATAAAATTTTTTTGATTACATTATTCTATTTTTAATTCTAGAAAGTCCAGTTCTTTGTTTGTTTGTAAGCGTAGCATCGTTATCATCTTGAATAGAGGTAGTTCTAAAAGACATACTCTCTTCTTTCAACAATTGGTCACTTTTAACACATGCAGCTTTAGTAGCTCTTATTGGATGTCTAAAAACAGCAAAATTTCTTAAAATAGCATTAGAATATTTTGTAGGTGCATCTTCAGCTTCAGTCCATTCTGGAACACCAGTAAATCTAACCCGCTTGACAGTTACTGTTGCACTACCATCAGTAACACTGCTCTCACTTCCACTGCTATTTGTAACAGTGGTTGCTTGATCAATGGAACTATTGGTAGATAATGATACACTATCTACAGGCTCATTAAATGTAATTCTTGAGTTACGACGAGTATTTTGTCTAGTCACTTGAGCACGTGTTCTTCTTTGTGGTATCACTGCTACTTTCTCTTCAACTTCAGGCAGTAATTCTTCTGATGGTTCATTAATAATTGGTTCTTGAGATGGTTGAGAAGGAGCAGGTGGGTTATCAATGTATTTTTTCAATTGGAATTTTGCTGCATTGTTCGGATCAAAGGTAACCGAATGAAGCGTCTCCTTTTGTTGGGTAACAAGAGAACCTGATTTAGCCTGTTCTCTAACCTTTTGTTGAAATCTTTGAGCAGCAGTCAATTTGGCAGCTGCACGTGCTGCTGGAGCAGCAGCATCATTGATTGTTCCTGGAGGAGGTGGTGATGACATGGAAGAAGTGGTGGATGATGAAAAATGAATTGATTCTTCTTCTTCTACTTTAAGCAACTTTTGAGTAACTCTACTTGGTCCCGAAGTTGATGGAGTTCTTTCTGGTGATTGTTTAGCTTTTGGTATAGAACTCGTACTTGGAGATTTAAGTGGAGAGCTTCGTGTAATACTTCCATTCCTGGTTAAAGCCGCAGCTGCTCCCGAAGTAGCAAGAATCGCATCCCTACCTATTGGTTGTGAGTTTGATCTTCTCCTTCCACCCGTAGCAGGTGATGCAGGTGAACTTGATGATTTTTCAGAGTTTAAATCCGACACCGATGAGCTTTGTTGCATGGACAATAATGAGTTAGTTCTACCAAGGGTTCTTGGAGATCCTCTACCATTGGGTAACATTGCGGATGTCTTGATTGGTGAAGATATTGAGCTTCTTCTCATTAATCCTGAAGATGAACCATTGCTTGTTATACTTGAAACAGATGATGATCTTGATCTCAGTCTAGTAGAAGAATCATTGATAGTCAACTTCTCAAGAACTTTATCCATTGATTCCCCATTGGATGTAGTGGAAGGAGTACTATCGGTTGACTTTGATTGTGGTTCAGGAGCTGGGCTGTTGCTTTTTGTAGGCGTAGCCGGACCCGGCGGAGCAGTAACAGGAGCAGGGGCTACTATAGTTTCCCCCTTTGGCTTAAATTCAGGAACTGATTGGTAAACATCAAAAAGATTCTTTTTCGGCAATTGATAAACTCTTCTAAACTTTAACTCACTGATGATCCAATTCATACCAAAATCCTTCAACTTGGCTAATGTGTTTTCAACAACCAAAAAACCTTGTGAAGTGAAATTCATATTGTTGGTGACATTTTTGCTGTTAATATCAAATTTGGCATCTTGTCTAATCAACCTTGTCAAGTTGGCAATAAGCGTACCATTTTTCTTCATGGAGTTGAAATAATCATTCATATCCTTCAAATTGTTTGTCTTGAAATAATTTGGATTTTTGCAGTGATACAAAAACTTTGAATCTACCAAGTGTTGATAATTGGAAAGATAAATGTTTCTCCCATATCTTCGTATAATCGTGTAGATATCATTTAATCTCTGAGTCAAAAGGAATACTTTATGAAGTGCATAAGGATCGGCATTATTTGGTTTCTTTAATTTACTGATCAAAGGTTTCAATGAACTCAACAGACGTTCCATGTGTCTTACAATGATGAAAAGTTCTTTAACATCCATATCAATCAATGAAGCTTCTTGGAAATTTTCATTCTGCATCAAATCAGCATTGTCTATAGGTAATGGAAAAGTGGAATCGGTAATTGTTAAATCAATATCATCATGGAAAATCTCATTAACAAGAATTTTTCTTATAGTTACATAATAATCCGAATTGTCAATACTTTTCACTTGTTTAGATTTCTCAATTTTTGCTTGTTCCAACTTCTTCAAATACCCTTGTAAACAAGTGTTACATAAGGATTCTAATTGTTTCAAACATTTAATAGCTGTTGGTATTTCTGGTAGATCGTTTACCGGAACAATCTTTAAATCTGGTGTATCATAAGGAATATGTGAGGTAGTTGCTGTAATATTTATAGGGGTATTTTTGAACAATTGATAGTTGGATAATATATCTAATCTTTGATCAAATGATTTCTCACTGATTGCAAATGTATTGCCCACTAATAATACAATATAATGAAGTAATGGAAGATTTGGAGACGATTGCGACTCCGATATTAATTTCTTGATATGATTTATTAATTGCTCTAATTTATAGATACCATATTCATATTGCAAGATTTTGCAATCTAATGAACTGATAGATTCTGGAGTGTATGGTTGTTTAATGGATGATGTGGAAGTAGTAGAAGACGGTTTTGACAGTGGTGGAGCAGCCGTAGTGCTCTTATCTAACGATTCTGTTGACAAAGTTTTAGTATCCATTTGCAATCTCGTAGTTTTCTCCCTGGCGTTTTGGGTTGGAATCTATTTCTTTCTGTGGCTTTTATCTGTCAATAATAGTAAGTACTGTTTTCTTTTACTATCTGATATGTTTCTATCTTAATATATTATCTCAAATTAATAAGTATATAATTCTAGTCAAAACCCTTTTGTTCATTCAAAAAAAAAAATCCCCGTCCAATAATTGTGGGTGGTAGATTTGTATTTTTTTTTTTCCTGTCTGTCTGTAAGATCACAATTTTTAAACCAAATGAAATAAAAAAAAAATCAACAACTTTTTTTTTTCTCTCTCTTTGTTTTTTTCTGTTTTCTGGAATTTTAGGAGAAGGAAAGAAAAAGTAATATTGGGATTGTTTGCTTCTGTTTAGTGTAAGCCTTTGGTAATCGACTTGTTCGCCTGTAACGCGTGTTGTGGTATTATTAGAATTATCGCCTACTGTACTGTGTTAACTTCACGCCAACGACATTTCATATTTCCATTTGAGACATTATTTGCGACATTGCAAACTCTGAAGAAAAAGGAGAACGAGCAAGCGAAAGAAAGAGAGCGACAGAAAGAAAAAATTATTAAAGAGATCGTAATATAACTACAGAAAACACTTTGACAACCCAGTAGCTAATCATCAATGTCATCATCTACATCAAAACAATATTTGTTATATTTATTAGGATCACTTCTTTTAGTTCATTCAGGATATTCATCTTTTGAATTCCATAAAATTACTATTCATCATCATGATTTAAACAAATTACCATTAGATATAGTAATAGAGTCAATAGTCGGTATCTTACTATTAGTTATTGGTGCAATTGTATCAATTCAAAATGAATCATACTTGTCTTTAGATAATAAAATAGTCAATAATGAATCAACATATTTGAAATACATTGAAATGAAAGATGCCGTACAAGTGGGTGAAAAAGTTGGTGTTACTGATTATGAAGAATTCAACAGTAGACTTCCATTTATCGATGTTGTTAAAAAGAGAAAAGAATATTCAGAATGGCTTGAAAAAGAATAGCTATTAATTGTATAATAATAAAAATAATAAAAAAGCTGTCTAACTATCAAGTAGCAAAAAATAAATCATAATAATCAAAAACTAAAAACCAAAAAAAATGGCAAGTTACTAAGAGTTTGAAAAAAGAACCATCTATAAATTCTTCTTTTGAGTTCTTTCAACCTTTGCTCTTGCTCTTTCTTCTCTTGCCTTCTTAGCTTTTGGACCAGCTTCTGTATCTAAAACATAATCCCACCATCTGAAGGAAGAAGAATAACCTCCAACGAAATAATGATGGTGTTCATCATGATGGTCAGCTCCAGCCCAGAATGGCAAAAAGTGATGTAATGAGAATGGGAATTCATATCCGGAATGTGAATCAACGGCTTGGAATAATCTTAAAACGATCCAGACGGAAACGGTGAAAAGATGCAAATTACCAGTGATGATACACCAAACAATTGGAATACCGACAGTTCCCAAACCCAAAAGAGCAACTTCAATAGGATGGGCATATTCAGCAGCCAAACCAAATGGAGCAGCATATCTATGATGTTGTTTGTGAATATACTTATAGAAAACACCATAATGCAAACCTCTATGGAACCAATAATGCCATGCATCTTCCAAAACAAAGAAAACTGCCCATTGGATCAACATATCAGTAATCTTTGGGAATGGAACTTGATAACTAATACCAATCTTTTGACATAATGGATGGAAGAACCAAATTGGGAAAGCTTCAACTAAGAAATGAGAAGTTAAAACACTTTTCAAACATTCCCATTGTTCTTTATCACTTGGGACTTTTTCATCTTGAATTTTCCATTTTCTGAAATATGGAATTCTATCAATTATGGCCCATGGTAAACATCTACCAAAATAGAAAATTTCATGAGTTAAGAAAAATAATAATCCAGTTGCAAATAGATCATTATTCATATAATAATAGTAAGATCCCCATAATTTTTCAATATAATTCAATCCTTCAACTTGATTGAAGTTGTTGAAAATTTCGGAAAATGTAGTTCCATTCAGGAAACTGGAATAATCGTGATAAACTAAAGATGTCATCTTTGCTGCAAGAACCTAAAATAATACAAAATGTAAAAGAAAATGAAACCCCGTAATTAAATCAGTAAGCGAAGGGAGTTGATGATGTAAGGGTAAGAGAGGGTTTGGCACAAAGATAACGTTGAATCTGACGATTTATGCAAATATCAACTGATTATTTTTGATAAAATTTTTTTAATACCAAAAAGCGTTTTAAAAAAAAAATTCAGGAAATGCAGGCAATCGATACAAACAAAAAAAAAATCTGTTGGGAGAAGGAAAGCAAATAGAAAAAAAAAAAAAAACTCTATGGAAAATAATCGCTAAACGATCGCAACGAGCATTGATGCTTTCAATTTATTTCTTTTTTTTTATTGTAGTCTTTTTTTTTTGCAACGCGCGCCATTGTTGTAATATTTTAACCCTGATTGCTTTTTCTAGCCCAATCACAGATCAATTCGTCTACCCAGTAACTCTCTACAATTAATGTGTCAAATATAAACTTATTCAGCAAATATGAACGGAAAGATTATTAACATGTATTTGCCCAAAAAATGTAAAAGCTAAAGAATAAATAAAGATGTAAAAAGGGAGAAAATGAAGATTAATTGTTATATGAGAACTATAAATTTAGAAAACCACGCTTAGTAACCCAAGTTTTTGTTCAATCTATTGGCAACAGCATCGATAAATTCTTCAGTGGTAACATAAGATGATCTATCGGTCTTTCCTTGAGTCAAGGCCAAATCTTTGGTCATGATGTTGTCTTTGGACACGGTTTCAATAATAGCTCTTTCCAAATCTTCAGCAAATTTAACAACTTCCGGAGTATTATCTAATTTACCTCTTTGGATCAAACCTCTAGTCCAAGCGTAGATAGATGCAATGGAATTAGTAGAGGTTTCTTTACCTTGTTGGTGTTGTCTGTAATGTCTGGTAACAGTACCGTGAGCGGCTTCGGCTTCGAAAGCTTTACCATCCGGAGTAACCAAAACAGAGGTCATCAAACCCAAAGAACCGAAACCTTGAGCAACAATATCTGATTGAACATCACCATCGTAGTTCTTCATGGCAATGATGTAACCACCTTTGGATTTCAACATTTGAGCAACCATATCATCAATCAATCTGTGTTCGTACCAGATGCCTAATTCGTCCATTTTAGCCTTGTATTTACTAGCATACAAGCCTTCAAATATGTCTTTGAATTTACCATCGTATTTCTTCAAGATGGTATTTTTGGTGGATGAGAACAAGTTCAATTTACGTTCAATGGCCAATTGGAAAGAACTTTCTGCGAAATCGGTGATGGAAGCGTCAGTGTTGTACATACTTAAGGCAACACCTGGACCATCGAATTGGTAAACTGGGTATTCTTGGATTTCACCACCATCCTTTGGTTTGAAAACCAATTTCAAGTCACCGGCAGTTGGGACTACGATATCAGTAGCTTTATATTGATCACCAAAGGCGTGTCTACCAATGATGATTGGTTTTTCCCAAGTTGGGACAATTCTTGGAATGTTGTCAATGACAATTGGTTCTCTGAAAACAGTACCTCCAAGAATATTTCTCAAAGTACCATTTGGTGAAAGCCACATTTTCTTCAAGTTGAATTCTTTAACTCTGGCTTCATCTGGGGTAATGGTAGCACATTTGACACCAACACCGTATTTCAAGATAGCTTCAGCAGCATCAGTAGTGACTTTATCATCAGTTTTATCTCTGTATTCAATACCCAAATCGTAGTATTTCAAATCAATGTCCAAATAAGGCAAGATCAATTTATCTTTAATGAATTGCCAAATGATACGGGTCATTTCATCACCGTCCATTTCAACGATTGGATTTTTAACTGTAATTTTTTTAATTTCACCCATGATTGATAAACTCCGAAGTTAACAATAATAATAATATTAAGTAATAAATGAACTAAAACCAAGTAGAATAAACAAGATAAAAGAAAAAGGGGAGGAGCTTTCTGATATAAGATATTCTTTTTTTTAAGAAAGAAAGAGAAAAAAGTTTTGTATTAAGTCTTGAGGGGAATTCAGTGAAATCGTGGAGTATTTATGTATCTCAAAATTTTATCTCCTTTTTTTATTTGTCTTCTTCTTGCTCTTGAAAAAATCAAAGAAAAAGAACCACTAAGAATTATTCCAATAATAAAAAAGAAAAATTGCGTTTTTGTGTAAATAATCGGGGTTCACGAATAGTCTGACTACAGCTGTAAATTGGTGGGGTTGAAACAATACTCAAAGGAACACTACGGAAAAAACATAAAATCCCGGGGCAATTCAACAAATTTTTTTTTAATCTACTGTACTATCCACAAAATAATATCCTTAAACTAATAAGTGAAAAATGTATAACGTGGGGGAGAGAGAGGGAGTTATCACTTCCATAACAATATGGATCTTCATTCCAATGGTGTGCACCAGAATTAGTATTTGATAACCCTAGAACCAATTACGTTTATACTTCAAACCATTGGCTTGTCGGAGTCGAGATTATAACTCCGGTTCTACTCTCAAGAAAAAATAAAAACAATTCTTAAAATCAACAATTCGATTCATTTTCTAACCAGCTGGTGTATAAATGAAGCGCATTTGTTATAGCGGTTAGGACGTCCACTCCCCTCAGCCCCTATTCAGGTTTTTGAGAAACTGCGAGATCGGCCCCAGATGAAGCCTTATCGATACTGTGGTCAGTTCAGCACGATTGCGTTATCGATTTAGAATATCCTTGGATATTGTACCGATTGCCTTTCATCATTCCACAAAGAAAATAAATTTTACAGTTAATTTTTCTTTTTTTTTGTATTACACGATATTTTATATTAACTCGAAAAAGGAAATTTTCAACGGAGTTTTAAACCTACTCCGGTTTTATCCTCTATAACTGCAATTGATCCCGTTATAATCCTAATATAATAATGGCATTTTCTTTCCATTTTTTTTTTTGAGTTTATATGGTTTATACTTTTGTTATTACAGAGCCGGTTGTAGGTGACAAAATAAAGGTCCATTGTTGGTGCGAGATATCGGTAGAACTATTCAAGCGGACCTTCTTCAACCTCACAAGCTTGAACGTGTTTCATTTGAAAGTACACAAGGGAATATAAGAAACATGTTAATACGGTGATCATAGTCAAAGTGATATTTGGGTTATCACCTCCAATGATGTTTCAATCATGAATAATACTAGATTTATAATAATGACTGACGGACTTTGACAATAGTAATTTTTATACTGGCATAGTTCCGTTCTACAGCTTTTTTTTTCTAATATGATTGTCTCCTCCAACATTTTCCCCATATTTTTTTTTTTTTTTTTCAATTTTGGTTTGGCCTCCTCCCCATGCATTGTTTTTGTATTTCGAATCAAAACGGGGTCGTGTATATATGCACAATTGATTTTTAAATATTTATTGAAGCAAACTTAAAACTCCGAAATTGTTCTTCATCGTTCGATTTGTATTGTTTTCCTTGTCTTTACAAATGAAGAAAGTTGCTATCTTAATGATTTGTAACAAATTTTGCATTTAGAATAAAATTATTTTGCATGATATATATCAAAGCAAGTTTGCAACTCATTTTCTAAATCAGGATTGAGCTTTTTTTTTTAATCTCTTTTTGATTTTGCAATTCACGTGATTATCTCTCATTTCTTTTATTTCAGTTTCCAAAACATGTTGTTCATTGTTCAACCTCCTTAATTAACTCCCCACTTTTTGATTGATCGCCCATTGAGCGTGTGGCGTGCGAATGCAACAAAGTGTGACGTAGTTCACGTTTCACTTCACGACAAAAATAGATAAAGTACACAAAAATTTACTATGGGACGGACAAAAAAAAATCGAGACAACAAAGTGAGACCATCATTCTTGATTTCAGATCGTTGTTGTTTTTTTAGGAAAACAAAATAGACAATTACAATTCCCTTGTTTGATCATTAAAAGAATCTTGATTATCAAATATGCCGGACTCAGAGGGACATTCAAACGATGGTAATATCTTTCAAACACCAAAGAAATCATCAAAACTTACATTCTCATCAAATACGGATTTGAAATCCCCCCGTATTATATTTCGCGATCCAGATAGGGATAGAGATCGGATTCATCATGATTCAGATCATGTTAAACAGATCAGAACTGTTCCAAACACTCCAAAACATGAAGAATCCCCATTACTTAATGCTTGCTCTTCTGCTGTTACACCTAAATCATTATCTCGCATGAAATCATTAGGCAAGATTGATATTCGATCCCCTGTTTTGAAAAGTTCTGTTTTGCAAACCCCTGGAGGGATAAGTAACTTTGAATTACATGACGAATCCAACTCTTTGAGAACTACAAAAACTAATGACTCCATTAAATCAAAATTTTTTGGTATCGTTCAGGAGACATTTAATCCAGTTAGGAATTTTTATAATGATTTTACAACCATTGATTGGACCCGTGCATATTTGAGAAGTAATGAATTCAATTACTCATTAGAGAAGAAGAGATGGACTGGAGATTCATTTGAAGATAAAGAGGGATTACCTATTTCTTGGTATCAGAAACTTTCGTATACAATGGGAAGATGGATTTTGATTCTTTTGATTGGATTATTCTTTTCAATAATTGCATTTGGTATAGATAAAGTCGAAATATTATTGGTGGGTTTTAAACATGGATATTGTCGAACCAATTGGTTTGTCAGTCAAGTTGCATGCTGTGTTAATAGTCAGAAAACAATCAATGTATTTGAAAATACATTCGAAGAAACATGTGATGATTGGATAAGTTGGAACAGTTTAATTAATAAAAATTGGTTAGTTGAAATAAGATTTGATTTTATAATCTATGTTTCTTTGTCGGTTATATTGGCTATATTTGCATGTTTGATTACTTTGACAACAAAGATCACCGGTGGGTCCGTTTCAGAAAGTCATAAAAACGACGATAAAGAAAGATTTTCCGCATATGAATCAAGGAATGGATTAGTCAAACCAAGGGTTATCTATACTGCCACAGGATCTGGGGTACCAGAAGTCAAGACCATTTTGTCGGGATTTGTTATTAGAAGATTCTTGGGTACTTATACTTTAGTTGCGAAAACGATTGCATTGATTTTTGCCATTGCCCTGGGTATGTCATTAGGTAAAGAAGGACCATATGTTCATTTAGCTACATGTGTGGGTAATATTACGTCAAGATATTTTTGGTTTATTTTTGAGAATGATTTTTTTGAAAAACAAATCTTATCTGCAAGTGCCTCTGCGGGTGTTGCATTGGCATTTGGCTCTCCACTTGGAGGGGTTTTATTCATCTTGGAAGAAATTAATAACCACTTACCTTCGAATCAGTTATTCCAGATTTTCTTCTGTGCCATTATTTCTACTTTGTTTTTAAAGTTTTTAAACCCTTACGGCACTGGGAAGACGGTTTTATTTGAGTTAGATTATTTTTCTGATTGGACTCCTATTGAATTGGTGTTTTTCATTATGATTGGTATTGCTGGTGGGATATTTGGTGCATTGTTTGTTAAATTTGTTCATTGGTGGCCAAAGAAGTTTAGAACTCTCAAACCAATAAAAAATCATCCTGTATTTGAAGTTTTTGTTGTTTCAGCCTTGACAGGTATTATTACATTTTGGAATCCTTATACTAAGCAAGCAAGTGCAGAGTTGGTTTTAGACTTGGCCACACCTTGCACTGGTAGAGAATTGGATCGTTCCTTATGTCCATCTACAAAAGATCAACTTATCAAAGAATTGGGATCATTGATATTTGCATTTATTGTAAAAGTAGCATTGACTTTTATCACGTTTGGTTTGAAAGTTCCCTGTGGTATTTATGTCCCTTCAATGGTTTGTGGTGCATTATTTGGGAGAATATTTGCCATGGTTATTCAACTTCTTCAAGTTGTTACCAAATCAGAAGACAGTTCAACTGCATCGTCAGTATTTGGATTTGTTTGTTCTCCAACATCTACCAATTGTGTTGATATGGGGATATATGCAATGATTTCCGCTGGGGCATTTATGGCTGGTGTTACCAGAATGAACATCACATTAGTTATCATATTATTTGAATTGACTTCATCATATACTTATGTTCTTCCAATAGCTATTGCTATAGCAGTTGCTAATTGGGCTGGTGGATTATTGGAAAAAAATTCCCTTTATGAATCATTGTTAGTAAGTAATGACTATCCATTTACATCACCGGAAACAGAACCTATTGATCCATATGTTACCGCATCAGATATAGTTAATCATGGAATAATTATCCCTACTACTATTGTATCAGCACATGTTCCACAAGATAAACAATTATATATTGATATTAGTGATTCAAATTATATTTCTATGAGTATATTAGAATCTAAATTACATTTATTAGCAGACCGATCATTATTAGATGGATGTGTTTCATTGCTTAAAAATAACATATGTGTGGGATTAGTTTATTTTCTGGAATTGGAAATGTGTTTGGATAAGTTAAAACTGTTTATTATTCAATATGATATAAAAGATGAAATTTATTGTAAAATTTTTCATGATGATGAAGTATTTAAACAAATTTCAAATATTCATTTAAGTCATAATGGAAAAGTAATTAAATCAATTTTAAATCAACAACAACAACAAGATTATTTCACTTATGGTAGTTCAAATAATGAACAAGAATATTTGGATTTGGTTTTAATTATGGACAATTTAACTAATTTAATTAAAATCGTCGATACAAAACCAATTTTTTTAAATTATGATACCGATTTATGTTTTGCAAATTTAATATTTGATAGGGTTGGAAATAGAGTTATTGTATTGATTAAAAATGGAAAATATTATGGTGTTTTACATAAAAAAGTATTAATTGATTATTTAAGAAGGACGGAATAAAAAAAGACTATTGTTAGACTCATCATTATTATTGTTATTTGAATTGGTATTTTTATAGACAATATGTTTAAATTTAGAATGGACGTATAATTGACTCACAAATACTTTAAACAATTGTAAATTATTCTCAATATTTGAATAATCAATATAACTATAGTCTTCATCATTATCATCCTCATTTAATAAACCATTTATCTCTTGTAATAAATCATGGCGTCGTTGATAATATGTTTTATTAATATGAAGATTTTTTGATTCCGTAGAATCATATTTATACTTTTCATGTTTCTGAAACATTCGAAGAAATTCAAAATAATTAGTATACAAAAAGTCAACTACCATCCTTGCATGCTCGTTATTTAAAACTCCCAATTTAAGGAAAACAATGTTTGAAAATTCATTTAAAAAATTATTAAAAATCAGCAGATTATGGAAATAATTCAAAAGTAATGTCAAATAAACCTTGGAGATACCAGATCGTATACTAAATGTATACATTGTCACTTTTTTCATTTCACCAACCATAGGAACCATAATTGTGGTGATGAAATTGGTATCATTATTTGTTATCCGCATCACTTGAGTTCCAAGATTGGTAACCGAATATGGTGCATACTTACATTTTTTACTATTTGACATCATTCTAATCAATACCCTATCATGATTACTGAACAACAATGTTAGAATATGTAACAACTCTTGGTCATGTAGTCTATCTTTGATCCATGTTAGCATATATGTATTGGCAAATAATTTCTCAACTACATCAATAGTAGGTAAACAAATCAAACATTCAAGCATCGAGATTGTTAAATAGTCACACGATTCATTTACTAAAATAATGTTGATAACTTGTTGTTCAAATTGTGCGTAATAAAAATCCCCGGTTTTCAAATTGCAATTTTCAACAATAGTACAGAATACACGGAAATATCTTGAAAATTCATCAGAATGACGATACAGTACCTGGTTGATAATTGGAATACAAGTATCAATAATCACCGAGATTATATTACAACTCTCTTGACACCAATCTGCAAAACTTGAAGATCTTCGTGTTAATTTAAACAATTCAATAATATTTCGTTCTTGATTGAATTCTCCCAATTCATCATACACCAAGAAATTTTTAATTATCAGATATAAAGGTAATCTTCCATTTTTGGGTAAACCAGACACAAATTGAGCAAATTTTGAATCATTTTCACAAAGTATCCATATCTTTAAAAACTCGGGATATTTGTTCAATATTTTTAGAATATCCGAAACCAATTTATTGAGGTACACTTGTTGGTACCCCACTAGAGAATTATACTTTATGAAGCCATACAAGTAGCGACCCAAGATTTCTGCAAGTTCATAAATGGGTGGAATATTATGTTCATTAATTGCATATGAAATTAGCTTTTTGAAATAAATTGTTAACGGTTTGAATAGACCGTAATCCAATGGTGATATTTCTGCTAGCTGATAGTAAATGTTACATTCAATCATTCGAGGTATGACTAATCTATCAGGATATCCACCATTTTGCAACAATTTTAAAAATTCGTCTAACTTGTTTGACAAGGTATCCACTTTCAGTTTCTCAAATAATGGTGAAATATTCACCTGGTACCGCTAGAAATCAGGGTTAGTTTCATAGTTCAAAATACACAAAATGATACTGAAAGGATTCGGTGATATTATTTTTTTTTTTCCTTCTGCTTTCTTTCTAATGATGTTACATACAGTTTGATTGTATTCTGAAATGGATACTTTTAATCGATCTAAGAAATAACCGATCTGGATGGAATCGGCTCTTCCCTCATTGACAGTTTGATTCCATCTATGAAACATATTATTTGGTTTCAACCCTGTTTCAATAATTATAATACTAAAAAAAAAGAACGTCTTTTAACCTGGTCGTAAAAATGGAAACAACAACAACAACAAAAAAAAAAGAAAATTTATTTTATTCTTTGCAACCAACTTTGTATGTAATCGATTTCTCACAAATAGAGAGAGAAGAAGAAAAAAGCTTCCACAATGTGTGTATGTGTGTGTGTGTGTTTGAAACTTTTTTTTAACACTCTGAAACAATATACTAAAACCATACGTTGGTAACTTTTCTTGATATACCTTTTCCTTTGTTACAAACCAAAAATCACATCTAATTTGGTTGAAACCAAAGGTGTATATAAAGGTGTCGAGATTTCAATTCAAAGATAGATATTTATTGGTTATTTTTTACTACCATCAGTTATTCTTTTTTTTTTTTAATCGGAATCTCTAAAACATACAACCACTTGCAAACATCAAAATTCATATACCCTAAATCTATAATGTACACATACAACAAATTTGGGTCTCGTGCTTCTTCTTCTACTTCAAGTACAAACAATACTACTTTAACTCATACATCATCTAAAACCACTACTGAATCAAATGAAGGTAGACCTATTATCTCCAGAGTCAGCAAGCAAGTTGATTATTGCAACCGTTATATTCATACTGGTCAATCAGGGATCAAATATATTAGAAATGTTAACAATTCCGTTGAAGGGTATCCCAAGTTGGCTAAATTGCATCACTTGAAAAGACTTCAAGTTAAAAAGCATTCATTGCAACCATATGGTGTAAGATGTGCTACTAATCAGATTGTTCCAACTTTAAACCGTTGGATTGAAATTTATAATTTAAAGTTTGATGTTATAATGATTGGTGCTTTGGTTGAGAATCAATTTATTTTACCCATTTTAAACAGTATACCAATTCATAGATTATGTTCAAAACCAGGATTTCTTTTCATTTGGTCAACTACTCAAAAAATCCAAGAATTAACCAAATTGTTAAACAACGAAAACTTCAACAAGAGATTCAGAAGATCCGAAGAATTGATTTTCCTACCAATTGATAAGAAATCGCCTTACTATCCAAAAGGTGCTGAAGCTGGTAGTGAAACTATACCTTTATTTGAAAGACAACAATGGCATTGTTGGATGTGCATTACTGGTACTGTCAGAAGATCAACCGATAACTACTTGATCCATTGTAATATTGACACTGACTTACAAATAGAATCAACTACACCAACTTCTGCTACAAAAAAGAAATCACCAAGTGGTGGATTACCAGCTAATAATGCAGTACCAGAAGCTATTTATAGAGTTGCTGAGAATTTTTCCAACGCAAATAGAAGATTGCATTTAATTCCATCCAAATTGGGATTTGATACCCCAGTTAGATTACGTCCAGGGTGGGTTATTATGGGTCCAGATGTTTTAATCAATAATTTTGATCCAAGTAAATACAATGAAGAATTACATGCTAAATCAATGATCAAATACAAACAAAACCCAAATACTCATGGTCACAGTCATGGTAGTAACCACACTATAGTATCTACACAATTCTTGGTTCCCCAAACTAATGAAATTGAAGATTTAAGACCAAAAAGTCCTGTTATTTCTGCAAAATAGTTAGTATTATTATTCCAAATAGAAGTATATAATTTATCAAAGAATAATTTCTATTGCTAGTATCAGTAATTGATGAATGTTGGAAATAGGAATGTTATCAGCATCGTCAAAAAACTCTGAGTGAGCTGAGTAAGGTTTTCATCCCAAACAATATGAAATTACCTTGATAAACTGGTACAAGTTTATAAACATACAATTCATTGGTGTTTAGTTGTAAGAAAAAGAACGAAAGAAAAAAGTGATGAGAACCAGAATGAAAATTTTTTCTTTTTCTTTTTATAGAATTTACTGTCCTGTTGACAAGTGGTTGCGCGAGAACAACGAGGAAACAAAAAAAAAGTCAAGTTGTTTGAAAACCCTAAAAACTAATTTGACAACCAAAATGTATGTGATATTGTACATACTTAATAATTTGGATGTTGAACAAAATCGAGGTATAATTCATATCAAGTATATACATATATTTCCACTACTGTTTACTCATTGAATCAAAGTAGTTTGTGGTGACAGTTGGAGGATTACAAGAAGCAATATTTTTGGTAAGATATTCACCCAAATTGTAGTGAAAATCTGAGGAAATATTCCCCAATAATAGGCTATCCATTAACAAACCATCAATCAACGATTCAGCCTTATCTAATCACAAAATGTGTATTGGTCTTTAATCATCATCATTTTCATTGTACAGCATTACCATGGGTTGCAAGATAGTTTAGATGGTTCTATATGCAGGGTCTTGCAAAATATTAAGTTCTGACAAATGTTGTAATAAGCTTTAGTTTCTTTTTTATTATTATTTGACAAAGAAGGTAGTAAAAAATAAAATCGGAAGAACCAGCTAAGGTTACAACGTGGATATCAGCATCCGTTAATTATGATAGAGTAATTCCCCTCCTTGCGATTGTAATTATAAATATAAAAATAAATATAAACAGATGACACTATTTGATGGGGTTACTTACATAAGATTTATAAAGAAGTGGTTGAATACTAGGGGATTGAATGCACATACGAAAGGGGGAGGGGGAGCAGAGAATGATGTGTACTAGACAGAATTGTCTATGTGAGTGAGTGAGTGTGTGTCGAATATTTTTTTGTTGACCTTATTCTAGGTTGTAGAGAACAGGGATTGATCGGGTTAATAAAGTACCAAAAAATTCATGACTACCACCCAGTTTCTGGGGTTATTAAACAACAAGAACAACAACAACAACAACAAGAAGAAGAAAAAAACAAAAAAAAAACAATAAGAATAAAAATCAAGTACACAAACCACTACATTGTGTCTGAAAGGATAAACAACTCATTTGAGTAGTAGATGTTGGCAAAGATAAACGACACCAATATCACATCTAGTCAAAATTGAAATGTGATTTGATGGGCTATGTTTAAACTGAACAGCTAGGCTCAAAACGTAATTGACCACACTTACACTACCAGTGCTGGAGACAGATACACGCCTATGATTTTGTTAGTAACAAAAAAAAAAAAAGAAAGAGATTATACTGAGTATACGCGAATACGATTACATAGCATTTTTCTTTTTTATTTTTTTTTTTAATACAGAAAGTATATCCACCAAGAAATTTTTCCTCATTTTTTTTTATTAAATCTTTCCTTTTAGTAATATCTGAAGTGTTCGGTCATATATATATATATATATATAAATCATCACCATCAGGATCATATTCATAATAAATTTAACGTCATTTTTATTACAATTTAAAGTATTTGATTTTTTTGTCTAGAATTTTTTTTTATCGTTATCATCATTATCCTTGATTTATTATATTATAGTTGGTGTATGATTCAGAAATATTACTGTTACTACAATATTATCATAAACCCAATATGAATACACCACCGTTTAAACTAATCACTACACTTGAACAGGAAGTCAAATCAAACATCACATTACACCCTCAGATAGCATCATTTATACAATTATTCTTGAAGTATCTTAAAGAACCAAGGTACCAGGCACCTTTAACCATTTCGGAATTATCCAACTTGTTCAAAAAATTCTATGAGGATTTAAATGTTTTAATTATTTGCATCTTTACCCAATCAAACTCCACTAAAAAGCAGTTGATCTCGCATTGTGACTATTTTAATGAAAACCCAAAAGTATTTGATTATTTACTAGCTATTGCAAATTATAGTACATCATCTATTAGATTATTGAAACGAAGCGATAATGATGCCTTGTATCAACTACGTGTATTTAACTACTATAAGTTAGTAACTATTTTACAATCCATAAATCTTGCAGAGTTGGAACTCTTTAATTCAATAAGTTTAGGGGACGAAGTCAGTTTATACGATAAACTATTTCGATTTGATAATAAGGACACCGTGTACCAGGAATTCTTACAAGATAAGTTGGATGCATTGAAGAAATTGGATTTATCATTTAAACATTTTGTTGATCATGACCTTGGCAATGAGGATAAGTTGGTGAATATTGTGGATGATTTCACCACAGAAGACTTGGTTCCTTTACAAGTAAACCTTGACAATATGAATAAAAGAATCACAGCTTATGGGAAATTAAAATGCATTGTGGATTTAAGTAAAAGCTTGATCAAGTTGTTTACACAAAAGGGGATAAAGAATAAAGAGATTAACAATGATTTATTATTGCCTTCTTTGATTTATTTGATAATCTATAAACTCAAGGTTGAAGACTTGTATTTGAATTTCTTGTTCATCAAGAATTTCTTAAATCTAATTGGGTCAGACTCGATTGAGCTATACCTGATCAATTTATACTTGTCTTACAATCCATCACATGAAAGAGTCCCACTTACGAGTAACAAGTACAAAAAGTCCGATTTGTTAGGGTATTTGAATTTACAGGAATCCCAAAATACTCCACAGGAACAAAGTTATGTAACCAATGACGACTTTAAATTCTTTACCAATGATAAGGATTTGGTAAATTTCATCAACCAGAAATACTTAAACACAGGGGAGTTGCATTATTATTTGACAAATTTTGAAGCTATGATTGTTTTCTTGTCCAATACCACCGCATCAGAATTGTTATCTAACAGCGATAGTGAAATTCCGAATGAATTGAAAAACAATAGCATTTTGAAGCATCCAATTGATAAACTCGTTGATGAGGAGTTGTTGTCACATTTCCAATTTCCTGATGGTCAATTAGAAGAAGAAATTAAGGCAGCAAAAGAAGCAGAAGAAGCTAATCGTTCTCGATCATCATCTTTGTTAAATACCATTAGTAGTAAAATAAGTGAATCCAGATCAAGATCAAGTTCATTGAGAAAAGAAACATTTCCAAGTTTACCTTCTCCATCAGAAGATTCCAATGGTGCCGCAGACGAAAATACTGGATTTTCCATGATGAGAAGTATTTTAGGAAGATTGAGTTCTGTCAGTGGCAGTGGCAGTGGCGGCGGGGCAACCATCAGTAATGGATCATCTCAAAATCACGAGTCTCGTACCACCCCAACTGATGACTTAGAATCTATCAATACGCCATCAAAAAGGTCTAATTCATTGATTAATAAAATATCACCAAGCCATTCAAGAACTCGTTCGTCATCGTTAGAAAACGGAAATGGTAATGTAAATGGAAATGGTAACAGCAGCAATGGAAACCATAATCATAATAAGAGAAATTCAATAAGTGCCAGGTTTACTACGGGGGTATCTGAATTCATGACCAAATTAAACCAACCGGTTGGACCAGCGCCACTTGAAATGCATCCCGAGAATAACACATCACATACCACATTGCAATCTATTGAAGATGGTGAAAGTGATGCCACGATGGGAATTCCTAAACGACCAACTGCTGGAAGGAATAGAACTACAAGTATTCAAATTTTAGATAAATGGTTTAGTAATTTATCTGCCAATCAACCAACGACACCGATTGAGCCACAATCTCCACAAGTGCAACAAAGTTCTCAGTCTATATCTATACAGAGAGGTAAACCCGAAGTATTATCTGAAGAACTGGAAGTTGATATCCAACAATTAATGAAATTTTACACAGCTGATTTTGATTCACTTTCCATTAGAGATTTAAGAGATTTGAAGAAGTATTACGATATTTTATGTCAAGATTTACTTACTAATGGAAATCATGAAAGGAATGGTAAATTGTTCATTGATACTAGTAGAACCAATTCTATTGATAAAATTAATAGTAGAACCAACTCCATGGATAAATTGGTTGGTGGTAGGTCTTCTACTAGTAATGGTGCAGCTACTGTTGGTGATGTAACTGATTTGAATAGCAAAGCAGAATCAATCGATTCAAGCGACAAACCAAATTCCGAAACTTTGATTACATCAAGTAATAATAGTTTATAGATAGATATACATATATATACATATATATATAACTCATAAGAGTACAGAATAAATTTGTATGTGTTTGTTTCTACAATATACTACGATTTCAAGACATTCATAAATACGATAAAAACCTTTGTTTTCACTTTCTTAAAACATATTAACGAACTATATCGTTGGATTAAACTGAACAGTTTGAGTTGAAACAAAATTAAAAATTAACAAAATAAACTAAAAAAAAGTTAAAACACGACAATTATTTTTTGTTGTTGTTGTTGATTTTGATTTTGAATGGAATTAAGATTATAAGAAGGCCAATGCAAAAATATAAGCCATAACACCACCAGCAACTAATGAAACAGCTTGAGCAGTAGCAGTAGCAGTTTCAGTAAGAGTAGGACCAGCAGTTTGAGTACCTGTTCTTGTTTGAGTTCCAGTTCTTGTACCTGTTCCTGTTCCTGTTTGTGTACCTGTACCTGTCTGAGTTCCAGTTCCTGTGCCCGTTTCATTTTGGGCAGTTGTGGTGTTTGCATAAACAGTAGTTGTATTAGGTGGTAATGTAGTTGTTTCAATAGGACTGGTGGTATTTTCAGGAGCAGCAGTAGCATTTCCTGGAGCAAGAGTTGTTTCATTTCCAGCAGCACCATTTCCTGGTTCAGTTTGGTTTGCACCTCCTGCTCCATTTGCAAAAGGTGTTTCACCAGGACCTGCTCCATTAGCTGGAGTAGCACCACCTCCTTCACCATTTGTTGGAGCACCAACTGTTCCTCCATTACCAGCTCCTGGAGCACCTACTGGTACAGGAACAACTCCTGGTGGTTGTCCTTCACCTACAGGTTGACCTTCCCCAGCACCTGGTTGCCCCGCTTCGCCAGGTTGTCCTTCACCAGTACCCGGCTGACCTGCTCCGACACCAGGTTCACCAGCACCTGGTTGGCCATTACCTGCACCTGGTTGTCCAGCACCTGGTTGTCCTGCTTGTTGACCATTAGCTCCTGGTTGACCTTCACCTGCTCCTGGAGATGGACCAGGGACAACTGTAGTGACGGTATATCCTTGAGTAACTACAGTGACATCATCTTGAGCCAATACTGATGAAATGATAAAAGCGATCTGAACTAAAGTTGAGTATTTCATGATTAGATATAAAAACACACGAATGAAAAAATTGAATGAATTTTTTATATTAAAGAAAAAGAACTCTTTTTGAAACTAGAAAATCTCTATTTTTTTTTATTTATTTATTTTTACATTTGGCGATTCTTGGAATATATTTGTTTGATTTTATTTAATTCATTATCTTATTCATCCCTTAATTTATGTCCATGTATTATCAAGGAAAGGATAACATGAATTGACATTGAATTGTCTATTTGCATTTGGCAAAGAAATTTATCCGACATGGTTTTGCAGAACCAAGAAAAATAAAAACAATATGCAAAATGAAAGAGATTGGCAAGACAAGGAAGAAATAGAGCAGTTTGTTGCATAAAAGGATTCTTTTTTTTTTTCTTTTCAGGGTAAGAGCTCATTTTGCACCCAATTTCAATAATAAAAACTACAAATACATTAGAAGTATTCACTATTGTACAATACTTTTATTTTTGGTTCATTAAATATCTAATATACACAATTTATTATTCATCAACATCGTTTCTAAATCAAAGCTAAAGCAGCAAGGGCAAGAACATTAGCAGCAGCTAAAGTGTTACCAAAGTTATCAGCAGATGTTGAGTTACCACCAGTAGCAGTACCAGTAGTAGAAGTACTTAAAGATTTAGTAGTGGTTTGACTGACAGATGATGAGATTCCCAAAGTTTGTGGATCATTTCCAGAAGTGGCAGAAATAGAGTCAGCAGAACCAGTAGTTGTAGCACTAGAATCAGTAGCATCTGATTTAGCAGAACTGACTCGACTCTTAGCATCACTGGCAACAGATTTAGCATCACTTTCAACTTTAGAAGCAACTGAAGCACCAGCAGCGGTTATTTTAGATTCAATAGAAACGGCACCAGAAGTAGCGGTTTTAAAAGCACCAACAGCACCAGAGGTAACAGTATCGGCAACACCTTCACCAACTGAAGTGATTTTAGAAGCAGCTTTAGTGGCTTCACTGACAACATCAGTAGCAACTTTAGTAGCTTCACTGACAACAGCAGAAGTGACAGTTTTGAAAACACCTCCACCAACCAGGGTGACTTCAGTAGCAAATTTTGTGGCAGCATTGACAACATTAGAGGCGACATTACCAGCAGCAGAAGTAATATCTCCAAGAAGATCTTTGTTTTGTTTATTGTTGACGTTTTCACCTGGGGCAGCAACGGCGGAAGCGATAATGGCGGTTGAAACTAAGATAGTAGAAGTTCTCATTGTTATATGTGTGTATCGGGAAAAATGTAATTGATTAAATTTATTGATAATATAAAAGAAAAAAAGAAAAAACTACTAGAGGAAAGTATCAACAAATCGATTCTTTCCCATTGTATTTATACATTTTTGATTTGATCGAAAATTTTTCAACAAAAACGTATCTGTGTTGGGTTTTTGAGCGATGGTAGTTACAGATTAGAATTTTTAGTTCACGCTGATACTAGAGAATTGCATCACTGAATTAAAAATTTCAGGTTTTACTTTTGGTAATCACACCGAAATCCAGCAAGGAAGAACAACAATTTTATCATTGTTTACTCTAGAAGTTAGTCAAGATGCATGTTCTTCACTATAGTCAACATTCCATGAAAACATACAAAAATAGTAACAGTTAGATTTAAGGATCACACAACACAATCAGTATAAGCCACCGGCAAAGATAACTTTTTTTTTTCTTTTTTTTTTCTTTATTTGTTTATTCGAGAGTAGTGGAGGCTATGATTAGGATCATTAAATCGAGAACCTCCTCGGAAATGTATGATGACACAATTAAAGTCACATGGTATTACAATCTTCTTGCATTCAAAAATTGTTCCGATTGTTTTTGAGTCTAAACATTCATTCTGTCTTTGATTGGTGTATGTATCAAATGTAAGTTAGTTTTGTGTATTTGTGGTCTAACTAAAATTGGAAAAAGAAATGATCTCCTCTCTGTACTGCTGCTCCCCGTCGTCTTCGATATGTAATTATTATTAAAAAAGCGATTCTTATTTCTACAACCAGCCAATTCAACCAGCCATGTTGACCAATTGATATCGCTCCATTGATCCCTTGAATCATGATATCAGAGACAATAAGATAATTATAAAAGTGGTACCTTTTTTTTTCTTTGGAACCGCCCTTGGCATCAGTCATGGAGGTCGAATTTGGGAGGCGAAGTAACTCGAAAAAATTTAGAGAAAAAAAAAAAATAAAAAAAAAGAGGTATAGCCGGTACCATGGTTAGTTTATTATATTTAAGTTTCTCCTTGGACCAAAGATTAAAAATCAACTAATTTGCCAAGTGAGTTACTACTGATTTAGGAATATGATCGCATGGTATTGTTGATGAAGAGGGGTTTAATTTCAAGACAATATGGAATAACTGGCTTGTTGTTATTTGTCACGGATCGATCAATTGATTTTTGATGAGGAAATATTCTCGGAATTTCATTTTACATTTTTTTCTCTTTCCGGTTAATATTACCGACGGAATTGACATGGGTAGTACACGACTCAAAGAGTTCATGATCTTTTTTTTTTTTTTTCTAGAATGATCTTTTTCGGGGGATTAAGCACTTGGACTTCCGATCATTAGCAGCAATCAAGAAGATTAAAGTTTCCAATGGGAAGAGAGTAATCAGAACAAACCAGTCCAACAAGGCTACTTCATGCACAGCCACTATTACAGCGTTCAATTATTGCATCTAAGGGATGACCGTCAATAGTAAAAAGCACAGTCGATCAGACGATAATGACGACGAGGAATATATTGACATGAGTGGGAAGAGAGTTAAACTTCAGATGAATGATCTATCAATTGAAGATAAGCGACCCGTGAAAACACGAAGGTACGAGATAAATCCCAAACTACACTTGTTTGACAATTCAACAAGGTCATCATCATCATCATCATCATCATCGTCATCGGTACCACTTAAAAATACATCATCTTATACATCATCGAACTTAACATCAAAATTGAATGGTATTCTAGCTGATCATTTTCAACAAGTATTACATTCTGGATTACAAGTGATTAGATGGTACAATTATAGATTTGTGGTTATATATCGATACAAGAGATGGTTTGTGAAACTATGGAACCGGTTTGTTAAGAAATACAATGAAAAGAATAAAGTATATATTCGTCCCTTTGCATCAATGGAACAAATATTAAAGCTTATACAGGATAATTTAATTTCTTGGAATGATTTAAGTAATATTATTGCCCAAGAGAATGAATTAGAAATCAAAAGATTGGCATTAAAAGAAGAAATCCGAAATCTGAATAAAAAATTTGAACAAATCAATGACGAAAATGAAGCTTTGAAAGACATTCATTATAATTATTGGGACAATCTAAATTTCGATAAAGATTTAGATATGCTTGATGTATCTGACGATGTTGAACTACTAGATTCTAGAATACCATATGGCAGAGATGATTCTTCAATGGAGTTTTAAGTACAGACACGTGTAATTACGTAATAAATATTGTATTTATTTATAAATCACTAGCAACAAGGGGGGTGAGCAAAGATAAAAGTTTATCGTTGTATATTTGATCTGTTATCGCACCTGTTTAATTTTTCCTCTCTTCCGTCTGTGTTACAATGATTCCCCTCTGTGATCTTATTATTGAATAAAGAAAAAAAAAAACACTTGGATCTAGATCTTCTTTTATCTAATTTCACCATTAGAAACCAAATTACATGTCGGGAATACTTATCCTACCCAACGAACTAATTATCAAGGTATTTCAATATCTATCACCTGTGGAAACAAATGAATTAATCCTTCAACTTGGTGATTTCCGTACTACCCATGCGCATCCGATAATCAACTTGTTATATGAGAGACTTTTCAGTGGCAAATTGATGCTTATAAATGATGAACCAAATGAAACATTTGATCCAGATTTACAATTGACATTAAGTTCATTTCAAGAGAAATTCATTGATGGAAAGATAAATTATGAGAATTTATTATTTCAACTGATTCGACCTAATAAATTAGAATTTAATTTCACAAGACAACACGGGGATTATATGAGATTTATATGTAATTTGAATCAATTTCATGAAATTTTATTTGATCCAAATATTCAAAGATATTTTGGTAAAGTATTTCAAGCAGATGTTTATGTTGATGCCAATTTAGTATTGATTGAAAACCCAGATAATTTAACCGCGGTGATCATAAAAGTAATTCTCGAATTGAGTAGACATGAAGAGTTTATACATAAGGTGAAACATCTAACAGTTAAAGCAAGTGATATAGGGAATATGTGTGTTCCTCAATGGTCATATTTGTTGGCCAATTTCACTTCATTGATATCACTTAATCTACTGCAGAATTTATTACGGAGTAACTATGAAGGATTTTTGGATGTGTGGGGTGTACACAAAAAATTTCCTGACCGTTTGAGGATATTGAACCTAGATTCGAATATGTTGACATATGTTAGTAATAATTTTCTTAAAAATCTACCTGATACATTGGAAGAATTATATATGAATCAGAATGATATTGAAATCATTGAAAGTTGTGAATTAGGTGAGGTACTCCCGAATTTGAAAAGATGGGAATTGAATTACACTAAATTGAGACTTATGAATAGCATGATGATTAGTTCATGTAAGAAAGGATTTACATTTGAGATTGTTTCTACTTATCTATCACTATATCAAATTGAAAAATTGCACCAAATTGCCAAACAAAAGGAGTTGATTTTAGTATTGTAAGTCATTGATTATAGTGGATATACTTGTACACGCACGACTCGTTAATAGATAAATAAAGCACACGCACAAAATCACAGCAACACGTAAATATTTTTTTTTCTTCTCCCATTTCTCTACAAGGCAATCACACGAACTGCTCAAGAAGCAAAAAAAAAAACACCAAACAAAAAGAAAAAAATTCACCACATCAATTGTTTATCGAGATCACATCACGGTCAATATTAATGAATTTCTTTACTAAGACATTAAGTTCATTTACTGGTGGATCTATTCCATATACCATCAAGGATAAAATAGTTGATCCTTCAACACCAAATACCGCCTTGGATCGTAATTCAATTTGGACAATTTACAATGGATTAAATCCAAAAGATAATAACTCACCAGTAACTATTTTTGAATTCAAATTAACTGAACCAACAAATCAACAACATGTTGATTTAGCAAGAAATGCATTTAAAAAATTAAAATTGATTAAGTTCCCAGGAGTTGTTTCAATTATTGATTTTATTGAAAATGATTATTCTTTATATATAATCACCGAACCAGTTAAACCTTTACTGACTTATCTTGAAACCACTGAATTAGGTAGTGATTCGATTGTTGCGGGTCTTCATTCAGTAGCTCAAAGTATTGCATTTATTAATGATAGTGCGAATTCTGTATATGGTGGTTTAAACTATTATTCATCTATTTTTGTCAATTTATGTGGAGATTGGAAAGTGATGGGATTTGAATTGGTTACAAACTTGACCTCGGATCCAGATCAGCCTATTTATAGATTATCAAGATATATGCCTGTTTCCTGGAGGGATAATTGTGATAATGATGACATTGAATCTATCAGAAGAGAACCAAAGAAGTTTGACTCCTACAGATTTGGTAAATTTATCAAAGAAGTATTTGAAAAAAGTAACAATCAAGTACCTGCAAAGTTGTCAACTCCAATGAGAAGATTATCACTGGATAAACCAAATTTGAGAAGTTCAGCAAGTCAATATTTGAAGGATTTGGAAACATGGCATCAACAAAATCCAGTGATTACGTTTACTGAGCAAGTCAATGAATTGAAATTTGTACAGGAAGATGAAAAATTACGATTTTTCAAATATGAATTACCAGAATATTTGGAGAATAATTCTTCATTCCCACCTGGGTTGTTGCAGTACAAATTGTTACCAGAACTAATTCATCAATTTAAACAATTATCCAAAGTTGCCAATCCTAATGATCCAGAACGTCAAGAAACTTTATCCACCATTCTTAATTTGACTATAAAATTTGGGGTCAAGTTACCAGCTGAGGAATTTAATCAAACGATCAAACCAATCATTATTGACAGTTTTGCTCTTGCCGATAGGTCAATTAGATTGGTGTTGTTGACTCATTTACCTGATTATGAAGGATTCTTGACTGAATCAGATATTCAATACAAAATATTCAACCCTTTGATTACTGGGTTCCAGGATACAAATTTTATGATTAGAGAAACTACATTGAAATCCATCACTATTGTCATTGACAAGATATCCGTCAAACAAGTCAACCAAGAATTGTTGAGAATCTTGGCTAAATCTCAAATGGATCCTAAACCGTCTATCAGAGTTAATACATTGATTTTAATTATTAAAATATCCCTGAAGATTTATAAAACTTCCAAGAATAATGTTTTAATTACTGCATTGGCCAAGTCTTTGCGTGATTCATTTATACCCTGCAAGATGACAGCTTTACAAGGATTTGAAACTTTAATTGAGGAATTTTCTTTAGAAGAAATATGTACCAAGATTTTAGGTAACTTGGCAATTTCGTTAATGGATCAAAAACTGAATAAAGTTAGAGTCGAAGCCAAGAGAATATTTCAGTTGTATTTGGATTCTGTTGAATCTCATGCTAAACTGTTACCTGATCAAGAAGTTGATGAAGATGAGGAAGAACGTGAATTTTACAAGAAATATGCTCCATCTAATCCACCACCATCATCCCAAACAACGACCAATAATAATGAAAAACTCGATGCAATTGATGATAGTAACAACAATTCAAGTTCTGCATTTGGATGGGGCAGTAAGTTATTTTCATTAGGTGGAAGTATGAATCAAGATTTCAATAGATCAACACCTGACATAACTGGAAGTACTGAACAGTTAGTAACAAAAGAATCGACATCAGCATGGGATGACGACATTGAAACAAGTCCAGTTGAAGTTGTTGATAAAGTTCTTGTTGAACCTGTTCGAAAGATCAATTTAGGTAAATCAACTAATTCAACAACCCCAAAGTCTTTATCTTCATCAAAACCAATTCCAAAGAAATCAACTTCATTGAAATTAGGTAAGTCAACAATTAACCCAAAACCAAAACCAAAATTACAATTAGATTTAAAAGTTGAAGAAAATGATCTTGATGATGGATGGGATGATGGTTGGTAGTGTATCATACATAGATATAATAGAAATTATAGTAATACCTTCCACTGTATAAAGGGAAAAAAAAAATTTTCCATCGTAGAAACACTTAAACCTCAAAGCATGTATTTTTAGAAACATTATCAGCTAATTATAAAATAATTTTTTTTTTCATTTGACGCATAATAGATCCCCATAAAAAGAATTGAAAGCCTTGATTTATTTCAATAATAAATTAAATAACCAACATTCCATGTTGAATTGTATTAGACAGAAATTTATACATCTTGCACCAAATCCTGTATATAACGCAGTTGCAAAATGCAACAAAAAAAAAGGGGCGGACAAACTCAATGTCGAATTCTTCATAGACCGTATTCATTTTGGCACAAAACGAAGAATGAGGCAGGTGTGAGTGAGTGATATATGAGATGAGGTGTTTTAACTTGCTAGGAGTTTAAATTAGATGCAATATATAGGAAAAGTTTCATGGGTTTATGTTTTATATATATCAATCTGGTTTGTCATTGTTTAACCATGATGTACAATTGAATATGACAGAGATTTAGAATTCAATAATAAAAAAATTCTTTTTTTTTTTTTTGATATCATCTAGCATCACCAAGTGTTGAGAAGATTGAAGACACAAGGGAATTTTATGCTAGTTTGTACCTTACTGTAAGTAAAATAACATTCTCTTAGTATATGCGTGTAATTATAAACTAATTATATACTGTTTAAATGGTCTATAATTTGAATTCATTGGTTGATATATATGTAAAAACAGAACACATAAGTGGTGATTAATACTTTGGAATCTCCTTTACGTTTTACCCCTTAAAACATTGACTAAGGGAATTTTAAAAAAATAATTTTTTTTCTTCTTCTTTAGGTCTTGACTTTTGTTGGCAAAGCCAATGGTGATTCGTTAATCTACAAATGGATACTTAGATAATCATCAATTGTCATTTTCAAATCGTAATTATAAATTTTCTAGATTAGTTTGATGATTTAGAATCAAGAACTATATCCTAATTAGTTGAATGAATTGACTTGAGGAATATGATAAACCGGCATTATAGGACTATTTGGTCAGTGATTATGTTTCACGTACTTTTAATGGAATATTTTAGTACTATGCACTTTTGATCCTTATAATTTAATTCTTTGAATTTATTTTGGGGGCTTGCACTCTGGTAATTAAAAATTTTTGAACATAAAATCATTTTGTGATTAATTTTCTAATCCTTCCAATGTATTATATAGAATCAATGTTCATCATATAAAGACAGGTATGATTCTCCATTAATTCAATCATTTCCCAAGGTATGTTTTATTCTATAATTCAGCTTGATTTAATTCACAAGAAATGATTTCTTTGAATCAACTTAACTACCTTGAAAAATCATCAAGTCATTCAATTCAACAAGATCTTAATTCAGAATTATCAATTAATAATATATGCTATAAACTTAATGAAAGTCAAAAATGGTATATTCTTAAAAGATTACATTTTGATAATTTATTAAATTTAAATAATTTGTTACCAGAAATTAAATTTATATTTGACAAAATTGAAAATATCAAATTTCAAGAATCAATAGTCATTTTGAAAAAAGCTATAGTGGAACATAATTTTGATGTAAATATATCTGAAATTGATTTGAAAAAATGGAAAAATTTAATTGATTATAATGAAAAACATGAATATATTTCTACAAGACCTGATACCATTAATGATTATAGTGGTTCTTATGATGATGATGATAAAAAGTCTTGTTCTCATTCAGTAAATGAATTATCAAAAGAAACAACCACAGAAAAAGGTGATGATGAAGAACTATCTTTGGATTCAGAGAATATTGATTTTGAATTAGATGTTAGATTAGAATCTGTTTTAATTGCTTATTGGTCTCCATATTCTGAAGTTAGAGTAGTTACTTATCCATTTGATGATTCAAGTATTCCTGTTGAAACATTACGTGTTTATATTATTGGTATTTTATGGACTGCTATTGGAGCTTTAATTAATCAATTTTTCATTGAAAGACAACCTTATATTACATTATCAATTCCAATAATTCAAGTGTTCTTATACCCTACCGGAAAATTGTGTGAGTTGTTACTACCAAAAAGGAAAATCAAATTTAGTAAACGATTCATAATTGATTTAAATCCTGGTCCATATAATTTCAAAGAACAAATATTGGCAACTATTTTTTGTAGTGTATCAGGTAATGCAGCAGCATATGTTTCTGCAAATATATTGATGTTAAAATCAGAACAGTTTTATGGTAATGATTGGGTTGGATTTGGATATCAAATTTTATTACTTTTATGCACGAATTTTTTTGGAATTGGTTTAGCTGGAATAGTTAGAAAATTTGCTGTTTACCCAGTTAAAGCAGTATGGCCAAATATATTACCTAATCTCGCTTTAAATAGAACATTGTTAACTTCAAGTAAAAGAGAAATAATCAATGGTTGGAAAATTTCAAGTTATAGATTTTTCTTTATCACTTTTGCAATTTCTTTTGTTTATTTCTGGATCCCAGATTATTTATTTCAAGCTTTGTCTACTTTCAATTGGTTAACATGGATAAAACCTAATAATCTTAATCTTGCTGTTATAACTGGTTCAATTGGTGGATTGGGTTTAAATCCAATGAGTACTCTTGATTGGAATTATTTTAGTTCAGTGTTGCAACCATTAGAAATACCGTTTTATAACACAGCTAATAACATAATTGGAATGTTGATTGCATTTTTATGTATTACAGGTATTTGGTATTCAAATTTTAAATGGACAGGATATTTGCCTATTAATGATAATGGGTTGTTTAACAACAAAGGTGAGAGATATCAAGTTACTTCAGTTGTTAATTCCAAAAGTTTATTTGATGCTGACAAATATAAAGAAGTTGGGCCACCGTTTTATTCTGCTGCTAATTTAGTAGTATATGGTGCATTTTTCACGTTATATCCTTTTCATATAATTTATGAAATAGGAATGAATTATAAAGAAATGTGGGATGCCATTAAAGCTTTATATCTAGTTTTCAAAGATTATAGAAAATCAACTTATGATGGGTTTGACGATCCACATTGTGTCATGATGAAAAAGTCTTACAAAGAAGTCGCAGATTGGGTTTATTTGATAATTCTTTCCCTTTCAGTTGTATTTGCTATAATATGTGTTAAATCATATCCTGCTCAAACTCCCGTATGGAGCATATTCTTTGCATTTGGAATCAATTTGATATTTTTAATACCAATTACTACAGTATTTGCCAGAACTGGATTTTCTTTTGGTATTAATGTTTTAATAGAATTGATAATTGGTTATGCTATTCCAGGTAATGGACTAGCATTAGGGTTCATTAAAGCATTTGGATATAATATTGATGGACAACCACAAAATTTTGTTAATGATTTGAAACAAGCACATTATGCCAAATTACCACCACGAGCTGTATTTAGAATTCAATTACTTTCGGTGTTTGTTGCTTCTTTTATTCAATTAGCAGTGTTAAATTTTCAAGTTAATGGAGGTATTAAAAATTATTGTGATCCTTTAAATACTCAAAAGTTTACTTGTCCTGGTACTCGAACTTATTATTCATCTTCAGTCCTTTGGGGTGTTATTGGACCTAGAAAAGTGTTTGGTGGAATGTATCCTATTTTACAATGGTGTTTCTTGATTGGATTCTTAGGTGCTATTCCATGTATTTTAATTAAGAAATATGGACCAAGAAAATATGTTAAATATTTTGAACCATCAATTGTAATTGGTGGATTTTTAAACTATGCTCCATTTAATTTATCTTATTATATTCCTGGATTTTACATGGCTTATATATTCATGATGTACATTAAACAAAAATATGAAGCATGGTGGCAGAAATATAACTATATTTTATCAACTGGAATAAATGCTGGTATTGCCTTTAGTTCAATTATTATTTTCTTTGCCGTAATGTACAAACCAAAAGACTTGAACTGGTGGGGTAACACTGTCTCTTTTAATGGTATTGATTATGGTATAACTGGCAGATTGAATGCAAGCAAAGATGCAGTTGATGGATACTTTGGTCCACGTAAGGACAACTACCCATAAGATATTACATAGGATTATAGAACATTTTTGTAGACGACTAAATATGTCTTGCAACTTACTGTAAATATGGTGATTTCTATAGTCTTACAACCCATCAGGTCGTGCATCTGTATAAAATATCAAGAAGTCGCGTGTCTGTGTGAAATAACCCACAGAGAAATTTCTGTTTTGTTTATGTTTTTTTTTTTTTTCTGTGTGTGTGTTGATTGTTTACTTTTTATTCATAAAACTATAAAGACCCACGATTTCATATGATGGTAGTGAATAACGATTTAAGTGATATTGAAAAGTCATATATGTTTGATTCACCGGTGTCTACTGACCATTCAACACCTGGACAAAAAGGACAAGGAAGAAATATCATTTCTGTTTATTCTGAAGATCAAATATTTAAAAAAGGAAATATCCAACAACAACAACAACAACAAGAAAATAAATCATTAAATATGATAGAGACTCCAAGTAGAGTTCCAAGTAGAGATAAACAATATGAATTGTTGAAATCACCTACACCTAATCCTAAACCTAAACCAATCATTCCTGAACGACAACAAGTAAGACAAGAGCCACTGACTCAGGAATTTCTTAATGGTAGATTAGCTAGTGATAATGGAGGTCGAAAAGTATCTGATAATTCTGATAGATTAAGTTTAAAAAGACCAAATGATATGCATTATAATCATAATAGAAATGATAGCAATAGCAGCACAATTACCTCATTACCTAGTGTGAATCATGAAAGTAAACCATTTTTTGATCCTCATGATATTCTAGAAGTTCCAAAGCAAAATCCATTAAATCAGGAATCAATATCATTTCAAAAACAAATTCAAGAAAAAGATGAATATATTAAACTATTAACACGACAAGGACACGATGAACGAGATAAAAACAAGGAATTAGAAAGAGAAATTAAATTAATTAGAGATCAATATTTATTACAAGAAACTAAGCATCAACTAGAAGTGGATAGATTGAAATTTGAAAATACTAAAGCTATGTATGAAATAAGCCAATTAAAGGATGAAATTGCTAAATTACAAAATGAAACTATAACACTTAGATCTAAAACACAAGAACAGATGCAAATGAAACCTAGATTCGATGATTTTTTCAATGAAATAACTCCTATAGTTGAAGAGAAAGAAGGTGTTAGTCATGCTCCTCAATCAAAGGAACATGCGCGTCCTGATGTATCAAATGAAGAAGTTAGTCCGATTGATGATGAAAAGGTACCAGTGAGTCCAACTAAAGAACAACAGGAGGAAGAAGATTTAATTACTCCAGTCAAAAAGGTTATCATATCTTGCAACAAGTCAACACAGACAAATATTACTAAGAATCAATCTACACAAACAGAACCACTGTATGACAACATACCAGACGATGCTGCACCTGTTACAACAAGCAAGGATCTCAATCAAGAAGAGCAATCTCCAATACCAGATGATGACACTATAGAAATTCAACCATTACAAGACCTCAAACCAAACAAATATCCAGAGTTTTCATTGTCATCGCTTGATCCAGAAGTTATTCCGTATTATAAAGCTTTGAAACTTGATTTGGTTGATGAATTAAGTGCAAGGGATAAAGAATATTTAATTAAGAAACTTATGAGTAAGTTTATGATTAAATTTGATATATTAGATGAATCAATTCAAAGATTTTCGAAATTCATATTGATATGTTATGACTATCTCAATCGATTACATCAAGTTGTTTATCCGGGACATAAGTTAAAATGTTCTGATTATTATAGAGGCAGAGCATATAGAAACGGTAAAGTTGATGAAGAAATGATTGGACTACAAGAGTGTCTCGAAGGTATGATACATGTAATTAATGATAGTTTACATGGGGTTCAAGTATAATTTAGTAGCTTTCGGAGATTATTTCATTTACGAAAAAAATAAGAGTAAAATGCATTTCTTTTTAATTATTGTTTCAGAATGAAAATGGATCTTGGGTATAAAAAGAAAAGAATCAACATACACACGATGACATAAAGACCCTGTAAAAGAAAAATGTTCATTTCTAAAATTCTTTTCTTTTTTTTTTCTTCTTCTTTTTACATTGTATATTGTATAATGGAAGACATGCAGCACTAGGTTATTATATATTACTATAATAGGGAGTTATTTTACGTTAAAATACATGTAGGAACAGCTTCTGAGAGAACAAACAAAAAATTTAAAAAGCAATCATAATCGAATATCAAGGTAAAGTAGGAGAAGGAGAGGAGAGGGGATGAAGGAAGTGAAGAACTTGGTAGAAAGAGAGAGAGAGAGAAGATTTATCTTATTGTTTTAAATATAATGTGGCTGTGATTGTACACATTAGGTCATGAATGAATGAAAGCAAGCGTAAACGAAAAAGTTAAGTTTCCCGGAACCCCATAATTATTGTCATAATTGAATAATTCTATTTTATTCTATTTATTTTCCGATAAGCATAGCTTTACATTTACATAAAGATACAGATGTATAGGAATCATAGAATTAATGAGCTGATTAAAAGTATCACGTGAGACCACACACACACACACATACACACATCTAATAAACGACGGATGACTGACTTGATATTTTTTATCCGCTTTAGTATTTAGTTTATTTTATTTTATTTTTATTTTTTTTTGAAAAACAACAAATCTAGAACTTGTACTTGGCTTCTATTATTTGTTAAAAGTTACTACGGTATGTTGGTTTTTTTGGTTTCGTAAATCCATTGTCTACTTTTTGTTCAGCAGAATGGAACCAGAATTTCTTGCTGGATGCTGGCGGCAGTCGTAGTGCTACTACGGTACTTCCCCCGCGTTGTCCGACCCGTATCGTTTACAAAGATGAGATGAAACTAGAACAACAACAAAAAAATGAAACTCATATTACAATATCACAAAATCAATTAATTTTGTGCATAAGCCGAGATTGTGCAATTATGCACGACTAGATTTTTTTGTTTTTTAGTTTTTTTTTCTTAGTATGGATTGTTCGGTCATTTCATTAAGTGAGATGGAGTGATTGCGTTGTAGAATATCTTGGAAAATTCGGGTAGCGCACGGGAGTATGTCTATCTTAACTATGATGTAATACAATGATAGGTCATTTTTTATGGAAAACAATATATTCATGGTGGTAAATAAAGAGGAGAATTAATATACTATTAATGATGATTGTGATGGTCAGTAGCGGTTTGTTGTTCCTTAAGGATTATTTTATTTTTAATTTCCATGTCACAAATCATCAATAATTGTATGATAATCTAAAAAAAATGTTGCAGTTAGTTTTAGAAGTAGTTAAGCATGGTAGAAGTGGTATTAGTAGTATTAGTATAGAGATATAATAAATCATACATAAAAGTACCTATTTCCATCGGTACCATAATATTTTTGGAGTAAGGTATATTTCCATGTAATGATGATTGCTCAACTCTTAACCCATTCCAAATCCAAAGCATTGACGTAATTGTAGAAGAGCTGATCAAGTTGGATTAAGCAAAAATCATGAAATTTTCAAAGTAAACAAATAAGCCGTTAGATATAGCAACCAATTATAATAACTCTAACCATTCCAAATATATATATATATGTGTATATATCAGGACTTTTCTTTTTTCTTTCCCCCGTTCGTGTTATAAGATAACTTACAGATATATAACCAAAGCCAAAGGTATAAAGAGAGAAAAAAAAATTAAACGAAGTAAATTTACCTATAAAACAAGGGCAAAAAAGAAAAGAACAAAGTATCCACATCATCAATAATATCATTTAGTTTCTTTTAAATCTCATTCGATTTTAATTCCAAAGTATAGAAGGGGTCAAATCAAAGAGAAAAGAGTTCCCTATCAATTTAGATAAAAAGTAACTTATTTAAGAGATTCCTTTTTCTGTACTACCACCACAATTAGCAAAAAAAAAAAAAAAACCAAGAGGAGACGGACTATCTTACTTGCTTTCTTTTTTTGAATAAATTTTTGAAAAGAAAGATAAATATCAATTATCAACTCCATCAAGGAAGACAGAGTATTATTACTGTTACTACTATTATTACTTGTGTTCCTGTTTCTGTTCCTGATAGATCATTGATCCCCGGGTTTATCCAATCCAATTATTGAATTCAAATAAAGGGGGTAATAAACAATCTTGAAATCGATCCGTTCGGGAGTTATCAGTTAGATTTATTTTTGGTTGTCTATCCTTAATTGATTTACGTGATTTAGTGTGTGCGTGTAATACAGAAGACACAGACAAACCAAAACCGACCCACGAGAAAGACAAACAAAACAAAAAAAGTGGTCATCTTTTTTAGTAGTTGTACAACAGGAAAGTGAATTTGCCGCAATCCTTTTTTTTTGTTGTTTCATTCATTCTTCATATTACATTAGATTAAATTCTTATTGTACTACTCATACTAAAAGATAATTCTGTTGTCTCTTCCATTAACTCCTTAATTGGCACTAAATAGACAACAGGCAACAAAACAAAACAAAACAACATCAGACAAACCCAAAAAAAAACACTCACACTAAAAACCCACAACCCGCAACAGAAATATATTTTTTTTTTTTGTGAATTTTGGACAAAACAAAACAACAACAACACAGCTCAGTGGGAGTAAAAGAGACAGTGAGAAACAAAGGAAAAAAAAAAATTCCAATGGGGAAAACAGCAGTTTCATCTTCATTTCAACAACAACAACAACAACTGCAACAAGAAAGACAACCTACTAGTTCATCATCACCATCCACTCAATCTCAGCAACATCATATTCAACAATCATCTTCTAGTCAACAATTTATAAGACCATCTACTACAAAATCTCCAAAAACTAAAGATCATCATCTTCCTTTGTCCACTTTAACCTCAGGTGGTAATGATGATAATAATAGCAACAACAGATTTTTATTTAGCAATTTAAACAACACTAATAACAACAACACTAATAGTATACCTGGTGATTATAACACTAGTCAACAAAACTCAACTTATACATTATCCTCATCGAAGAACTACAACCATCATCATAACCATCAGCCAAGTTTTAGTTCACCTTCATATAACAGCAACTTTACGTATACTACATCTAATCAGTTAAAAAGTCCGATATTTACCAATACCCAACAACAAACAGCTACTGATTCAGACTCATCAACTACTGCTTATTTGAATTTCAAAAACAATATGATGAACTATCCTCCTAATCAACAGCCACAGGCGCAACAACATCCCCATCCTCAGCAGCATGGAATTCCACTACCTTCTTCCATAAACCCTAATTCAACTACAAATGCAAATCATCTTCAGTTTCAACAATACCAACAATCATTGTTGAATCCTCAACAACAACAGCAGCAACAACAGCAGCAACAACAACAACAACTACAAGCTCAACAACAATACATGCAACAACCAATTAGGCCTCGTGGAGACTCTATTGTATTACCTCCTCCTATTCGTCTGCAGGGCAGCGATCATTTATATGAAAGTACATCTGGTAGTAATCAATTACCATCTACTTCAAGATCTAATAGTATTTTTAGTTCATTGATAAATATCCCCGGATCAAACGGTAACTCAATAAGTGAACCATCTAGTTCATCAAACAAACAAGATAACAATCACAACAACAAACCATCATCATCTAATGCTCCACAATTGCCACCAACTTCGCGTTCGCGTCAAGTTTCTACTCAAGATTTTACTGTCGAAGATTTGGAAAATTTTTTGAATAGAGAGAGTATGAATAACATATTTAATTGGCAGAATGATTCTAATAAATTCTCCATAAGTGGAGCACTTATGGGTAATGGTGGATTTGGTGGATATAAATCTAAAGGTAATTCACTTGATTTGTCCAACTGGAATGATGCTGGTAATAATCATAATAATAATAGCAACAATAGTATAACGGAGTTACTTCAGAATATGATTTCAAATGGTTCCATTGATGTTAATAGTTTTTCAAATATGAGTAACCAACAAAGAAGAGATTCCATATTGAAGATTATAAATGATCAAAATGCCCTACGAAGTCAAAGAAGTTCATCTGACCAATCACGAAACTCAAATCTTAATGCTAATTTAAGAGAAGATATATTTGAAAAGAAGAAACAGCAACAACAACAACAACAACAAAGACAACCACCTCAAATCAATGTACAATCCACACCAACCCAACAGAAACAATCTCCTAACATAAGGAAATCTCCTCACCAACAACAACAGCAACAACAGCAACTTCATTCTCCAAATCAGCAACGTTCACGTACATCACAACATCAGCAATCAAATAGTTTGAATATCCCAAGAGATAAAGATAATGTTTCGCCAACATCATCAGCTAATACATCTCCAAGATATCAAGATGAACCACAATCTCCAAAAGCATCTCCTGTGGCATACCCTAATATGAGATTGAATGAATCTTTCCAAACAAACATTTACCAACAGCAACAATCTCAGCAACAACAACAACAACAGCAGCAAAGACCGTTACCTCAACAAGGCCAAGGTCAACAGAGAGTGTTTCAAAACTATCCTGTATCTCCACAAAATCAATATCAATATTCTGCTTATCCTAATTATAATCCATCTTTAGGCTATAGCAATTTCTCATCTCAACAACATCAACAATTTCCAGGTAACAGGAACAATAGTTTTGGTAATTACATTTATCCAGTTCAAACTCAACAACAACCAATGCCACCACAACTGCAGCAACAACAATATTATGCACAACAAATGGTTGCACCTCAACAACAACAACAATTCATTCCACCTGCTGTAACAACCAAACCTCAAGTTGGTTTAGCTCAACAAGCACAACCACAGCAGCAACAACCACAGCAACAGCAACAGCAACCTCAACAACAACAACAACAACAGCTTCAACAACAACCGCGCCAGCAATTGCAACCACCAATGAAATCACCACAACAGAAACAACAAAAGGCTCCTGCTAAGAGAACTAGAAGACCTAGAAAGGGATCAAATACTAGTTCTAATAGTAGTGCAGTTAGTGGGAAGACGTTGGGTTCTCCAAGTAATCCTAACTTGGTTCCGGCACAACAATTTGCACAATCTGAAGATGGTCGTCCATTATTGGGTGCTACTAAAGTTGACCAGTTGATGTTGGTAATTCAAGCAAGAGAAAAAGGGATCACCAATACCATTGAACAAGCTCCTGATGGAAGTATATTGGCGTCACCGGAGAATTTCGGTTTGGGAAGAAGTAAAGCAGAATTGGACAGTGGGATTTTACCTAGACCTGTTAGTTTGGTTGGTGGAGTTGACAAGCCTCACAAGAAAGATGATGAAGAAACTGAAGTTGATGGAAGTCATCATCATAAGAGAAGAAAAAACAAGAATCAACAATGTCCTTATTGTTTCAAATATTTTACTCAATCTACCCATTTAGAGGTGCATATAAGAAGTCATATAGGCTACAAACCATTTGAATGTCTGTATTGTGGACGTAAGTTTACTCAAGGTGGTAATTTAAGAACTCATTTGAGACTTCATACTGGTGAAAAGCCATTTACGTGCAATGTTTGTAATAGATCCTTCAACAGAAAGGGTAATCTTGCAGCTCATAAATTAACTCATGAGAATTTGAAACCATATGAATGTAAATTGGACAATTGTGATAAAAGTTTCAGTCAACTTGGTAATTTGAAACTGCATCAAAATAGGTTCCATTTGGAAACATTGAATACCCTTACAAAAACAATTGCAAATAATTTACCATTTGAAGATCAAGAATTGTTGGCATATTTCAAAGATCTATACAAGAATTCTAATAAAGGAATTCGTGGAAGAGGGAAAACACAGAAGGAAGGTTAATGTATATTAGGTTATCGTTATTATTATTCTTATTATTATTATTTTGGGTCACTGTAATCATTATTTAGGTCTTTTTATTTTTATTATTATTATTATTATTATTATTACTTTATTTTATCATTAGTATCATTTGTGTATTTTGTCTTTTTTTTATATATGTACTTTTTTGTAATTGTTGTAAATGAATATCCGTTTGCTACTAAAAAAAAATACCAATTTTGAGTTGTACACGACTTTTATGTCCATCGCTATACCCATCTCACAGAAGAACAAAACTGAAAAAAAAAAAAGGAAAATCAAGAATTCAAAGATAGATTTCAATACAAGCCAAATACACCAATAATATTACAAATCCTAGATTACAATGTCTGAAGATATACCAATGGAAGATCAAGAAAATGTTAGTCAACAACAACAAGAAGAAGTTTATGATATTAATAAGATTAAACTTCTTCCAGGTTCCTCAGAAGATGGAACATCAGCATCATTTCAAATTATTGATGAAGATCATACATTAGGTAATGCATTAAGATATATTATAATGAAGAATCCAGAAGTTGAATTTGTAGGATATTCTATACCACATCCAAGTGAAAATAAATTAAATTTTAGAATTCAAACTTATGGAAATATTACTGCTGTTGAAGCTTTTCATATGGGTTTAGATAATTTATCTGAATTATGTGGTGTTATTGAAGATAAATTTCAAGAAACTTTGGAAAAAGGTGGGTTTAGTACTGAAGAACCATAATTGAAAAAAAAAGAGGAAGAATTACGTTTTACAATATAAATTTTGATTGTGGATGTTTGATTATTTAATGAAGTCGTATATATTAGAATACATGTATTTGAAGATTAAATACTGTTATGAAATGTAGACTTAGAGGAAGAAGAGTTCTGTAACGAAAGATATGAGAAGTAATTTTACAAAATGGTTATGATTTGGGAATTTACCATAACAATAGTCAGAGAAATTACCTGCTTTCTATGCAAATCAAGTTGATCATCGTTCTGGTGATTTCTACCTTTTTCCACCTCTAACAATTCTGTGCTGTCAATGGCGTTAGAATTCAATAAGACTCCATGTTCGTCCTTATCGAACACTCTATTTGAGATCATCTCTTCTTGTTCGGTGGTTTCTTTCTCTATGTTACTGCAATTGATGAACCATCATCTATGTCATATCTCTATATCTACCGCATACATTGTCACAACGGTGCATATACAACTGTTCAGTTTACCAACCTGCTTTGATCGTGTTCATCCTCTATCACATCAAATCAACGTGTCTGCGGCGTATATCAATTTTTCCTATTTAGTGCATTTCTTTCTTTTTAATATTTTCCCTAGACGAGCAGAACAAAGGAGAGAGAGAAAAAAATTTTCTTTTCTTTTCTGGCTGTTTCTTTTTTTTGTGTGTGCATTGCATCTCAAAACAGTTGTAAAAAAAAAATTGCACATATAAAAACTCATCGTATTCTCCCCCCTTTGTTAAAAAAATTTTCCTTCTTTTTTTACTATTCTTACAAATCGTTTTTTTTAAAAAGACTTATAGATATACACACAGAACTGATTAATAATGTCATATAATAACGGTGGATACAGAAACGATAGAGGTGGCTACAATAATGGTGGCTACGGTGGTAGAGACCAAGGTGGCTATGGCGGAGGCCGTGGTTACGGTGGTGGTAACAGAGATGGTGGTTTTGGTGGCCGTGGTGGCGGCAGAGGTGGTTACAATGATAGAGGATTTGGTGGTGGCCGTGGTGGTAGATTTAACGATGCCCCAAGACAAGAATTAACTGCTCCACAATGGGATTTGGAATCCTTACCAAAATTTGAAAAGAATTTCTATACCGAACATCCAAATGTTGCCAGTAGATCTGATAGAGAAATTGATCAATTTAGAAGAGAAAATGAAATGACTATTGAAGGTAGAGATATCCCACATCCAATTACCAGTTTCGATGAAGCTGGTTTCCCAGATTATGTTTTGAGTGAATTGAAAGAATTGGGTTTCCCAAAACCAACTGCTATTCAATGTCAAGGTTGGCCAATGGCTTTAAGTGGTAGAGATATGGTTGGTATTGCTGCTACTGGTTCTGGTAAGACCTTGTCTTATTGTTTACCATCCATTGTTCATATCAATGCTCAACCAGAATTACAATATGGAGATGGTCCAATCGTTTTGGTTTTGGCTCCAACCAGAGAATTGGCTGTTCAAATTCAAACTGAATGTTCTAAATTTGGTAAATCTTCTAGAATCAGAAACACTTGTGTTTATGGTGGTGCTCCAAAAGGTCCACAAATCAGAGACTTGAATAAAGGTGTTGAAATCTGTATTGCTACCCCAGGTAGATTGATTGATATGTTGGAAGCTGGTAAGACCAACTTGAAGAGAGTTACTTATTTGGTTTTAGATGAAGCTGATCGTATGTTGGATATGGGTTTTGAACCACAAATCAGAAAAATTGTTGATCAAATTAGACCAGATCGTCAAACTTTGATGTGGTCTGCTACTTGGCCAAAAGAAGTTGAAAGATTAGCTAATGATTACTTGCAAGATCCAATCAAGGTTACTATTGGTTCTTTGGAATTGGCTGCTTCTCACACCATTACTCAATTGGTTGAAGTTATTGATGAATTTTCCAAGAGAGACAGACTTGTCAAACACTTGGAATCTGCATTGAATGAAAAGGATAACAAGATTTTGGTTTTCGCTTCTACTAAGAGAACCTGTGATGAAATCACTACTTATTTAAGATCAGATGGTTGGCCAGCTTTAGCTATCCATGGTGACAAAGACCAAAGTGAAAGAGACTGGGTTTTGAATGAATTCAGACAAGGTAAAACTTCTATTATGGTTGCAACAGATGTTGCTGCTAGAGGTATTGGTATGTATTATTTTTTTTTTGTTCATGAAGAATCTTTTTTTATTTATTCTTTAGAACTTACTAACTGTTTAACTTGTTGATTAATTTTAGGAAAGGATTTAAATAGGAGCTGGTCTCCTATATCAATACGAGTATGGGTTTTTTTTTTTTTTTTTTTTTGAGAAGAAGTTTTTTTAAAACATTGTTTATTGGAATGTGAAAGAATAATAGAGAGACTTTATTATGAATGTTGAATAACATTCATCGTATGGATAGAAAATAACGAAATATTAAAAGAGAAGACTAAGAATTTACACATTTTATGAATTTATTGTTTTGATTACGAGTGATGGCCATTATCATTATTTTTTTCAAGTTTTGAATGTTTTAAGCATCCAGCCTATTAAATATGTTTACATTCAAAATGATTACGCCTGATGACAATGAAATGAATATCATTGTTAATCTATTCAGAGATGGCGTTGGAAGAAATGATATTTGCAATTGATGCATTGAGACTTGTGATTAAGTCTTTATCATGTTTATGAATTGCAATCAAAAGAAGTAAGAGCCAGAGCTTTCAAACAAACAAAAATGGAGAATGTGTTTTTTTTTTATATATATAATAATGATGAAAGTTTTCTTTTTTTCTGTTTTTGATATTTTCTATATAGTTCTTTCAATGATAGAATAATCTTTCAATAAACATTCCTTTGGTGATGAGTATTCACATCAATGGTTAACTTCTTCTATAATTAATTACATTATAAAAAAAAATTCCTGTAGATTTAAATTCCTTTTCATCGGTAGCAAGTAAAGCAGTTGATTGTATTATCGAATTTATTTTACTAACAATAATTATTGTATAGATGTCAAAGGTATTACTCATGTTATCAACTATGATATGCCAGGTAACATTGAAGATTACGTTCATAGAATTGGTCGTACCGGTAGAGGTGGTGCCACTGGTACTGCTATTTCATTCTTCACTGATGCTAACTCCAAATTAGGTGGTGATTTATGTAAGATTATGAGAGAAGCTAACCAAACCATTCCACCAGAATTACAAAGATTTGACAGAAGAAGTTACGGAAGTCATATTAGATACGGTGGTGGCCGTGGTGGTAGAGGTGGTAGAGGTTACGGTGGTGGCCGTGGTGGAAGAGGTGGAAGAGGTGGTTACGGTAGACCATCTGGTACTGGTTCCAACATGGCTCCATTGGGTGGTAACCGTAGATTCTAATGAATTATTCTCAATTGTCTCCCGATTTATAGTATTTTTTTGATTGTTATTTCTTATTATTAGCTTTATAGATTGTTTTATTTAATTTGATATTTTGAATTTTTGCGTAAACATAATTGTTGGTTATTGTTGTACATGTAGATGATAAAATGGTGAAAAAAACCCCTCTCATAAAATATTCCCATGTGTCACGTGACTATTGGAAAAAAATCACATGCGAATTATTTTTCATTATTTTTTTTAAAGTTGGCAACATAATCTAAAAAATTTTTAAGCCTCGAATATTAATAAAAAAATAAAATTGACTAAAAAAATGTTGGGGATCAGAAAGACAAAAAAAAAAGACGTGTATGAAAATATAATCCTGCTCTTGTTGTAAAAACTCGGCGAATAGGATCTGATCGTGTGTCGGTTTTGGAGATTGTAATCTGGTTTGACTCAGTTTACATCAACAAAGATTTTTCATTTGATTTCTATTCCTTTTTCTTTTTCTTCTCTTCTTATATTTCACTACAGGTGATTTGCAACACGGGACCTTTTGTTTCATTTTACAGTTATCAATTAGATCAAATACTGCTATATCATTGACTCAGATCAATTTATAAACTTGTTCCATCCAATCAGAGGGTATTATTCAAGAGAAATAAAACCCAATTGTCAGACCCACAATATTATTAAATCTTAAATTTGTTTGCATCACAAGACTTTTATTTTTGTTTTGCTTTCTTAGGTATTATTATTTATACGCTGTATCCGTTGTCTTTACCCTTAAAGGAAACCAGAAATTGAATAGAAAATTTTCATTTTTTGTTTTCAATTTGATTTATTCAATCTGTCTAGAAGTGTTATATTTATCAATTGCATCACATACAGCTACTGTTGGTGTTCATCATTGATTTCATTATAGTTAGATATCGTCTTAGATTTATTCAAATCCGTCCTTCGGTATCATCTGACATTCAGTTTTCTTCTGTGCCGCACATTCAACCGTTTTTTTTTTAGGTGCTGCACACACACACACACACACACACAGAGTAAGCAAAGGCTGACGTATTCGCGTTGCATAAATTTTTCGAAAAGAAGATGCCGTCTTTAACTCAAACTAGATCCACAGTTTCTGAATTAAACACATCTGCCATTGAAACCAGCACTATGAGTGATTCGGGTCATCAAAATAAACCAAAGGGTCCAAAGGGGATCACATTCTCAGGAGAAACTTTTATTGTTCCTGAAACTCATGATATGGTTAAGACTTTATTTGATCCAACTATAAAGAAATCAAATTTCGAATTAATCATCTTGGGCTTGCTATTCTCCAATTTATTGGTATTTTTGATTCCTAATAACAATTTAAGAATTTCTATTTTTATTGGATTTTATATATTCTGGAGATTGTCTTATAATTTTGGTATTGGTTGGTTATTGCAGCATCAATCAAATGATCACTTGTTAGTTCAGTGGGCCATCAAGTATAAATTGTTTGACAAAAATAATAAGAATTTTTTGGCTAAACTTGTTCAAAGTGAAATTAAAAGTCAAAGAGGTGATGCTTATGATATCAATTCTTACCCTATTGAATTCAACACTTGGTTGATTTTCAGAAAATTTGTTGATTTGATCTTGATGCTGGATTTTACTACTTTTATTTGTGTTGTTTATGCTTGTTCAATCAATAATGACTATCAATTTATCAAGAACCAACCAAGTTGGTTAACCATGTCCAGAATAGTTGGAGGCTCTATTTTGATCTTGTTCAATTACTGGGTTAAAGTCAATGCTCACAACACAATCAAAGACTATGCTTGGTATTGGGGCGATTTCTTTTTCAGACAGATCAATAACGAAGAATTGATCTTTGATGGAGTTTTTGAAATGTTCCCTCATCCAATGTATTCTGTTGGTTATGTTGGTTATTATGGTTTTGCTTTGATTTCTAAAAGTTACATTGTTTTGTTAACTGCCATCTTTGGTCATTTTTTGCAAATGATTTTCTTGCATTACATTGAAAATCCACATATTGATAAAATCTATGGTCCATCCAAGAATGAGATCAATTTAATCAAAATCTTGAAATTGAAAGATTTGAAGAACTTTGATAATTTGAAACCTTTAGTTGGGTTGTATAACTTCAACTGGATGAGAGCCAGTGATGTGATCAATTTAGTTTTGAGTTTAACTTACGGTTTAATTATTCCTGTTTTTGCTAAATCCCTTAAGCTGTTGTTTGTATTAACTGTGGCTACTAAATTGTTTGAATCATTATCAATCAACATATTGTTGATTTTGCAAAGTCAATTCAAATTTTTTACCAAGTGGTCCCTTTCAAATGATATTCCAATTGAAAAATCATTAAATAATTGGGCTGTGTTGTACAATTCTTTGATTAACTTGACATATTCTTCATTATTTGGTTTGAATCTTGGTTACTTCTTACAAGGTACTGGTTCTTCATTGGTTACTGATTATTTCTATTTGCGTCTTTTCTTAGGATTGTGTTTGATTTACACTCAAAGTTGGATTAACTTGTCTATTATTGATCTGATTGGTTACTTTGGTTGGTTCTATGGTGATTTCTTTATTCCAAAATCTCAATCATCGATCAAGAACTTAACTCAAGCTGGTGTTTATCGTTACTTGAACAATCCAGAACAAATATTTGGCGTTTGTGGTGTTATGGGAGTTTTCCTTATTCATCCAACTGTTGAAAATTTAACCTGTTGTATTTTATGGATGGTCAACAATTTCGTTAGAATTAATTTTATTGAAAAGATCCACATGATTAGAATTTATGGTGAAAAAGAAGTCAACAGAGACTCAGGTGTTACCAAAACCGTTAAGAAGCACTTAATCCCAGATGTCATTCAAAGAAAAATGAGCAATGATGATCCAAAAAGAAGAGGGGGTGTTGCCAATGGTACTTCATTAGGTGATTCTTTGGATAACTTTATCAAAGAATTAAGAAACTCAACTACTAAATTGTCTCAACAAAAATTGATTGAATTATCTCAAAATTTATCATTTGCTAATTCTAACTATAAATTGAGTATTGATGGATTGAAAGAATCAAATGAATTGAAATACACTACCATTGGTACCCCAATTACTGTTTCATGGCAATCACCTAGTAACACGCATTCTATTCGTGATTGGGTTGGTTTATACAAGATTGTTCAGACTTCCTATTCTAGAAATAAAACTATTCTTTCTTCTGCTGGTAGATGGACTTATTGTACTGATTCCAAAGGAGTTTTCACATTTGAAAAGGAAAAATTGTTCTGGGAAGAAGGTGTCTACGAATTTAGATATCACTTAGATGGTAAACACGATGTTGCTTATATTTCAGAACCATTTGAAATCAAGAGTGTTGATATTGACGTTCCAGGTGATATTTCAGAAGCAGGAGAGTTTTCTAAACAATTGAAAACTGAAATTTTTGATAAGATTATTGATATTAAATCAATCAATGAATCTATTGCACCAATTGCAAATCAAGCTGATAATGTTATTGAGGTTTACAAATTGTTTAGTTCATTGATCTCTAAATCCACTCAAATCAATGTCAACTACAGGATCTTCTTGAATAACGATAATTTATCCATCAGTGATGTTGCTCACAAACTCATTGATATTAAACAAGTTTTACAAGAATTATCTTTCAATAGTTCTGAAAAGAAAAATTTATAGAACGGAAGTTCAACTTTCTTCTTTTTGTAAATACAATTAAATAATATATATATATATATTACAAATTACTGTGAATTTATCTAGACTGAATTAATCAAATAGGAATTAATATTAGCTCTTACAATCTTTGACATTTTATTACATTCTTCAATTAATTTTTCCATTTGTGATTCATCCAATGGAACTTTTTCATCATCATTACTTTCAAACCAAATTCCAACAATTTCATCATTCTTCAAATTCATAAAACTAACCAATGCATCAACACCTTCTTCTTCATCATCTTCTTCTTTTTCATTGGTAGTATTTCCAATTGGGTTAATTAAAACTTTACCTGATTTAGTATATCTAACTTGACCACTACTTACAATATCTCTCATTTCAATTCCTGAATCAACCAAAGCTAAACTACAACAACATACCATCCATTGACATAACCATAATAAACTTGAATTATCATTATTTGTTCTTCCATCATCATCATTTAACATTTCTTTATCAACACTAATAATAGAAACTTGAATGTCTATAGTTGATTTTGGATATTTTTCCAATACTAAACAAGGTAAAAAACAACTTTCTAAATAATTACTTAATTTATGTTCAACATTAGTCATACCAGTTCTAATATTTTTTGAACCATCATTAAAAATATTTGATTGAGGTTGTGGTGAAATATGAGGAAGAAATTTACATTCAATTGATAATGTTGCTCTATCTATAAATGAACCTCTAATTGGTCTTGGTCCAAATATAGATACTTCAATTATAGTATTATTAATTTCTAAATATGCTGATCCATTTGCATTTGTTATTACTGAATGTTTAAGGAAAAATGATGGAATTGATGATGATGATTTAGTAGTAGAAGCAGTAGATGGTTGGGTATGAGGAATGTTTGGATGGATCATTCCTAAAGGTCCTAAAATTCTTCTTCTATCACTCATGGTTGTATTATTAGATGATTATTAGGGATATTGCTTGTTGTTTGTTTATAATATTATTGAGATGAGGTTTGCAAGGTTTGACTAGAGATGTTAGTTTTTTTTTTTTTTTCTTTTGTTAGTTGATCGTTGGAAGCAGACTTGGTATGTTGGTGGAACAATCAAGTATGAAAGAGTACAACCTCCATGGGATTACGGTTTTATAATAGGTGAGAGGAAATCATTAGGTCATATATCTCCATTTAAATAAACATTGATGGTATATTGAGGTTTGTAATGATAATTTCTAGAGTACAACTACAAATGTGTAGACTATGAAACAAAATATAATAAACAATTATGTATATTACTTAAAGACTAAATTGAAAAATGCTAGATGAATTGATAAAATGTTAGTAACGACGAGCATATTCTCGTGTTTGGTTTCCCTCACAGCAATATTTCGTGACAAGGACATCCGATTCATTAACCCAATTTACGCTTAATATGGCTAATTATTCGTTAACATTTTTTTCTTCTTAAATTATTGTACTCTCCTTTTATAGTGCAATCAGAGCAAAAATTTCATTTTTTCTGTTTTGAACACGACTTTTTAGTGCGTGTGTAGTTCAATTTCACATCGATTATATCTTGAAAATATGAGTTAATCATCATCTACAGGTAAGCATTGGTTGCCTTTTGTCTTAAATTAGAGGCTAATATAATCTCATTTAATTAATTATCTTTTACATCTTCATCAGAAAATAATTCATATCTACACTTTTCTATGTATACCCCAAATAGAAGTCAAGCATTACAACGATTTTTATTCAGTTTTCTTTTACCAGAATTTTTTTTTCTCTCTTTTCTTTTTGCCTAGCCACTACGAAATATTCAGCCCAACATCAAGTTTTCTTCGTGACTAACAAGTATAGACCAACAACAACAACAGCAGATAATAATAATGTCAAATACGAGAAGACCAGTATTGGAAGAAGTCGATGATGATGACATCGATAACATGGATATGGATATTGCTGAATTTGATCCATCTTTAAAAACACCTGTTGCTCCTAAAAGACCAGAACCAAAAATTGTTCGTTCACAAGATTCAGAACCACCATTATTTCCTAATCTTCCAATGGGTGGACAAATGCCACCTATCCCAAGTCAAGAAGAAATTGCAGCTACTAAGAAAAGTAGTGGAATTAGAGATCCAAGATCATTTACTGAAGAAGAAAAGAAACAATTTGATCAATTTCAAATGATATATCCTTGTTATTTCGATATGAATCGTTCTCATAATGAAGGTAGAAGAGTTAGTATTGATAGAGCTGTGGAAAATCCATTGGCTACTACAATTGCTGAAGCTTGTCGAAAATTATCATTACCTGTATTTTTAGAATTGGATAAATCACATCCTCAAGATTATGGTAATCCAGGAAGAGTTAAGGTTTTATATAAAGCTGTTTTTGATGGTGGTAAACTTGTTGATCCAAAAATTAAAAATAAAAGAGTTTTATTTAATTTGATTGCTGAATATTTGGCAGAACATCCAACAAGTTTAGATTCTATTGGTTCTAAAAGTGGTGTTCCTTATCCACCAGAATTCCAAAGTGGATTTACTCCTGAAGAAATTCCTAAAGTTAAAGGTTATAAAATGAATACTATAGTTCCTGTGCATTCTAGTTTGACTTTGAAACACCCAATGACAAAGCATATTTATGATCCAGAACCAGAAACCCCAGCTGCAACTAAACAAAACGTTCCTAAACTTCCTAAAAAGAAGATCATGAAAATAAGAGGTTGATTATTCTTATAAATATCAGTTTTATTAATTTAATGTACGAACAATGTTTTTTTTTTCCTTTCTATCTTTTTTGGACAGCAAGATGTAAGCAATTAAGCACCATATTTACTTCTGTATTCTTCAATAGATTTAAGATCAGTTTCACTGATTTGATCTTTCAAAATACTGACAACTTCACCTAAACTGACAATAGATAAAACAGGAATGTTGTATCTTTCAGAAACGGCTTGAGTAGCAGATTTATCACCATCTTTACCGGTAGTTTCTTGTCTATCTAAAGCAATAATAACACCAACAACTTCACCTTTTTCATTACCAATGATTTCAAAGGCTTCATTAATTGCAGTACCAGCAGTCATGACATCATCAATAATTAAAATTTTCTTATCTTTTAAAGCACATCCAACAATTGATCCACCTTCACCATGATCTTTCTTTTCTTTTCTATTGAATGAATATCCAACATTTCCATAATTTTCAGGATCCAATTCAGCCAATTTAGAAACAGTAATGGCGGCTAATGGAATACCTTTATAAGCCGGACCAAATAAAATATCAAATTTAATACCACTAGCAATAATTGCTTCAGCATAAGCAGTAGCTAAATTAGATAATAATTTACCAGTATTGAATAATCCCAAGTTGAAGAAATATGGTGATTCACGTCCAGATTTAAGAGTGAATTTACCAAATTTTAAAGCTTGAGAATCAAGAGCTAATTGTAAGAATGAAGATTGGTATGATGACATTGATGATATTCAAAGAGATTACTACAAGAGAGAGGAGAGGAGAGAGAAGGAACAGGAGGAAGAGGAAAAGAAGAAGACATAGGTTTAATTGATGGATTTTAGATTTATTGAAAAAAAAAAAAACTTTTAAAAATCTCGAAGAGGTCGTGTGCGTGAATCCAATTTGACTATGGGTATAACAGTAAAGTATATCTAGGTCATTGGGAGTATATATCAACGTGTATTAGATAGAATGTTAATTGCTTCATTAATCTGATTAATATTTTATAGACTTGAACCAATTCATGAAAGTGATAATTTTTGTTCAAATTTGGAAGGAATCTACGACGAAATTTAGAAGAAAAGTTGAAGAAGAATATTCTCCATAGATATTTAAAACCTAATTATTGTATATGTTATGACGGCGGGTCAAATATTTATGGATATGCACCGTTTCTATAAAAAATACTCAGACTTAATGATATCATTATCAATTGATTCATTGTATGCTTCAATACAATGTCTTGAAAGGTATTCATTGAGTAGTTACAAATCGGATCCTGGTTACTTTTCTTTAACAATCCAATTTTCTGATTTAGTTACCATGTCTTATCTCAATCATGTAGTAAGTTCAAGGACATCAATTGGGTTTCTTCCAAGATGAGTCGGTTATCATAAACAGCTACTATCTTCGTATCATCGTAATTGATATTTCAACTAGAAATCTTCGTTGAAATTTCTTTTTATCACAGCGGACTTTGGTTTTCGTCGTACTTATGAACAATCTTCTACAGAAATTGGGTGCAAGTTTAGCATTCAAATAGTTTTTGTTGCCAAACGCTGCTAATGACAGATCTGTCGTTTAATATCAGAACCTAGAAACCCTAAAATTAAACACCATATCAAGACAACCATTGTTTCTCCGTTGATTACCCGAAACAGCATCAATTGGCATGTAATTCGAATATTACTCACGTCCCGTTATCGGCTGTCGTATAGCTCCGCGAAAAGGACCAAATAAGTTACACAATAGTAAAGAAAATTTTGCTGGTAAAGAATAAACTCTCAAACTTTTGGCACAAATCCAGAACCAAAAAAAAATATATGCAACAGAGCACGTGAAATTGTATGCCACACAATTTTTTTTTTTTTCAGTACTTATTTTTAGTTTGGTCTGTTTGAGGAATTGTCAACCAAACAATCGTGTAATTTATAAACTGAAGACACGTGAACAATAGTCTAATGATAAATTGTCAAACTACACATGTGGCAAAAAGAATTGTCATTTATTTGAGCACCACAGTGAATAAGACACGCCTACAGTAGCTCACCAAATTTTTTTTATCGCCATCGAGATCTGTGTCCAATCAAATATTAGTCATTCTGGGGTGGAAGATGTGAATATTTTTGATTTTAATTTGGCTGCACGTTTTGCATCACAAAGTATTAATGGCTCATATTGGATAATTCAAAATTTTTCTATTTTCGTTTTAATTGTATGGGTGGAGAATTAAGCGCTTTGATTTGACTCTGAAAAATTTTTTCATTTGTTGAACAAAAGTGAAAAATTTTTTTTTTCTTCTCGTTCTCACTCTTTAGCTAATCTATGGGTGCGATCGTTTTTGTTGAATTTTGTGTCTCCACTCCCCTATTGTATAGACTGTATTACTGCACCCACCCACACTTCTCTGTTTTTTTTTTCATCCAATCCTTGAATAATGTCAGGAAAGGAAATTGAAAAAAATTCGTATAAAGATCATTGAAATTTCCCTTGCTCTGAAATCAATTTTTTTTTTTAATTTTTCTCTTTTTTTCCTTTTTCTTCTTCTTCTTATTATCATTGAAAAACTACTTTCATAATCCCTCCATTATAATCACAATGGTTCAATCATCTGTTTTAGGTTTCCCACGTATTGGTGGCCAAAGAGAATTAAAGAAAATTACCGAAGCTTACTGGTCAGGTAAAGCCACTGTTGAAGAATTGTTGGCTAAAGGTAAAGAATTGAGAGAACACAACTGGAAGTTGCAAAAAGATGCTGGTGTTGATATCATCCCATCTAATGATTTCTCCTACTACGATCAAGTCTTGGATCTTTCCTTGTTGTTCAATGCTATCCCAACCAGATACACCAAATACGATTTGGCTCCAATTGATGTTTTGTTTGCCATGGGTAGAGGTTTGCAAAGAAAAGCTACTGATGACAAACCAGCTGTTGATGTCACTGCTTTGGAAATGGTTAAATGGTTCGATTCTAACTACCATTATGTCAGACCAACTTTCTCCCACTCTACTGAATTCAAATTGAACACTGCTGCCGGTGTTAAACCAGTTGATGAATTCAACGAAGCTAAAGCTTTGGGTATCCAAACCAGACCAGTTGTCTTGGGTCCAGTTTCTTACTTGTACTTAGGTAAAGCTGACAAAGACTCTCTTGACTTGGAACCAATTTCCTTGTTGCCAAAAATCTTACCAGTTTACAAAGAATTGTTGCAACAATTGAAAGCCGCTGGTGCTGAACAAGTCCAAATTGATGAACCAATCTTAGTCTTGGACTTGCCAGAAGAAGTTCAATCTAAATTCCAAGAAGCTTACGATGCTTTGGTTGGTGATGATGTTCCAGAATTGATCTTGACCACCTACTTCGGTGATGTCAGACCAAACTTGAAAGCTATTGAAAACTTGCCAGTTGCTGGTTTCCACTTTGATTTCGTCAGAGTTCCAGAACAATTGGACGAAGTTGCTGCTATCTTGAAGGGTGCTCAAACTTTGTCTGCTGGTGTTGTCGATGGTAGAAACATTTGGAAGACCGACTTTGCTAAGGCTTCTGCTACTGTCCAAAAGGCCATTGAAAAGGTTGGTAAAGACAAGGTTGTTGTCGCCACCTCTTCCTCTTTGTTGCACACTCCAGTTGACTTGGAATCTGAATCTAAATTGGACCCAGTTATCAAGGACTGGTTCTCTTTTGCTACCCAAAAATTGGCTGAAGTTGTTACCATTGCTAAGAATGTTTCTGGTGAAGATGTTGCCAAAGAATTAGCTGCTAATGCTGCTTCCATCAAAGCTAGAGCTGAATCTTCTATTACTACCAACCCAAAGGTCCAAGAAAGATTAACCACCATCAACGAAGCCTTGGCTACCAGAAAGTCTGCTTTCCCAGAAAGATTGGCTGCTCAAAAGGAAAAATACAACTTGCCATTGTTCCCAACCACCACCATTGGTTCTTTCCCACAAACCAAAGATATCAGAATCAACAGAAACAAATTCGCTAAAGGTCAAATTACTGCTGAAGAATACGAAGCTTTCATCAACAAAGAAATTGAAACTGTTGTCAGATTCCAAGAAGAAATTGGTTTGGATGTCTTGGTCCACGGTGAACCAGAAAGAAACGATATGGTTCAATACTTTGGTGAACAATTGAATGGTTTTGCTTTCACCACCAACGGTTGGGTCCAATCTTATGGTTCCAGATACGTTAGACCACCAATTATTGTTGGTGATGTCGACAGACCAAAAGCTATGACTGTTAAAGAATCTGTCTACGCTCAATCCATCACCTCTAAACCAATGAAGGGTATGTTGACTGGTCCAGTTACTATCTTGAGATGGTCTTTCCCAAGAGATGATGTTTCTGGTAAGATCCAAGCTTTGCAATTAGGTTTGGCCTTGAGAGATGAAGTTAACGACTTGGAAAAGGCTGGTATTACTGTTATCCAAGTTGATGAACCTGCTATCAGAGAAGGTTTGCCATTGAGAGCTGGTAAAGAAAGATCTGACTACTTGAACTGGGCTGCTCAATCTTTCAGAGTTGCTACTTCTGGTGTTGAAAACTCTACTCAAATCCATTCCCATTTCTGTTACTCTGATTTGGATCCAAACCATATCAAAGCTTTGGATGCTGATGTTGTTTCCATTGAATTCTCCAAGAAGGATGATCCAAACTACATTCAAGAATTCTCCGAATATCCAAACCACATTGGTTTAGGTTTATTCGATATCCACTCCCCAAGAATTCCATCTAAGGAAGAATTCGTTGCTAGAATTGAAGAAATCTTGAAGGTCTACCCAGCTTCTAAATTCTGGGTTAACCCAGATTGTGGTTTGAAGACCAGAGGATGGCCAGAAGTTAAAGAATCTTTGACCAATATGGTTAATGCTGCCAAAGACTTCAGAGCCAAATACTAAATTTGATTCTACCTATTCCAGAAAAAGGGGGATTTGAAAATTTTTAATCCAAAATTACATTTTATTCAACATTAATGTAATTCTTTTTTTTAATGATGACAATTTGTTATGAAACTTATTTTTTGATTTTTATTTTTTATAATGGCATCTGGATCAATTCATTGTTGATTGTTTTTTATTGTATAAAAGATGATTTGAAATGATCTGAAGCATTTTAATTATTTTCTTGATTTTTTTTTTTACATATTTGTATTTTATTACTATTTTTTATATTTTGGGATTTCAACATCGGTTAGTTTATATATATATTTATTCTGTTTTATATAGGAATATCATTTGTTTCAATAAACATTGTGTATATAACAGTTTAAACCATGTCTGTACTTGTAGTTTGTCTGTTGTTCCAATATTCGTGTTGCCACTAAACTCCACAGGGGAACCGAAAACAAAAAGACAAACCGAAAAGAAAAAATCCAGAACGAAAAAAAAAAAAAAAAATATTGGTTGCCATCAAAATAATTTCACCACGATTGAAAACGGAAACACGTTCTTTACCAATTCTTCTTTTAATACTTCGTTATAACCAACAAACATGTCTGAAAGTGCACATGATCAACAAATTATAGCTGAGTTTGTCTCAATTACCAATTCATCAACTTACCTTGCGGAACAATATTTACTGAGAAACAATGGTGATTTGGTTGAAGCCGTAGAAGACTTTTATGCCAACAACGAGCCAACACAACAAACATCATCAGGTCAAAATCACCAATCACAATCGACTTCATCTCGAGCCAGAGGATCAGGAATTAGAACATTTAGAGATTTGAATAATGAAGACGATGATTCTGAAGATGATAAAACAAATACCAACTTTTTCACTGGTGGAGAAAAATCCGGATTACAAGTTGAAGATCCAAATAAGGACAAGAAGAATGACCGTTCTATAATTGATCAAATTTTTCAAAAGGCAAGAGAACAAATGCAACAACCTGATGATAGACCAAGTGCTAGACATGAAAATGATGATGAACAATCAGGTTTAAAATTCTCGGGAAAGGGATTCAAATTAGGTGATGGAAATGAACCAAGTCAAATTGTTGAAGATCCAAATGATAATGCTCAGAGATTTAGACCAAGTAAGGTCAATAGAGAAATTACCTTTTGGAAGCAAGGCTTCACTGTTGGAGATGGTCCATTGCACAGATATGATGATCCTAGCAATGCAACTGTATTACAAGAATTAAATCAAGGAAGAGTTCCGATGTCGATATTAGATGTTGAGTTTGGTCAAGATGTTGATGTTTCTGTGTTTAAAAAAACTGATGAAGATTGGACCCCACCAAAAAGAAAAATCGGCGGTTATCATGGATCAGGTCATAGATTAGGAAGTCCAGTTCCTGGAGAGCCACTTGTTAAAGAATCTACACCAGTCCAACCACAAACTGAAGTAACAGACAATGGCAAGCCAAAAGAAGACCAAGGTGAAGGTGATGCAACTGTTCAAATAAGATTTGCAAGTGGGAAAAGAACATCACATAAGTTCAACTCTACCGATTCCATTGTTAAAGTTTATGATTTTGTTAAAACTCATGAACTTAATAATGAACCTGGTAGAGAATTCACCTTAAGTCATGCATTCCCAGTCAAACCAATAGAAGAAAGTGAAGATGTTACTGTAGCTGATGCTAAATTGAAGAATGCCGTCATTGTTCAAAGATGGAAATAGAAGTGAAAATACATAGGGATCTTGTAGGTTTTTTTTTTTTCTTTGTAACGATAATAAATTTTCAAGCTATTCTATTCATCACCACTATGGACAGCACGAGAACGATGAAGCGGGAAAAAAAATATACTGTGAGGACAGAGAAATATCCAACTGGAGAAAAATTTGCAACAGTATTTGAACAAAATCATCCAGTGTTGAGAAAGAAGTCTCTTTCGAAGTCTCCATAAGTTTCATAGTACCAATAACTCCATGTCAGATCTTCTTTTACTACTACGAAGGAGGTTCAAAGTTCCTCGGATACGATATACCCAAACACTACTACGACACTACTCATCTATTCCATCAAAGGATTTCTTCCTTGAAAACAACATTACAAATGATATAAATACTCCTACACCAGATAACCAGTTTAAGGAGTATTTTAGTAATAGACTGAAGTTTGTTAATCCTTGTTCATATTTTAACAAATATAATGCTTCTAAGAAACCATTTGAAAATATGGATACCCCACCAGATCATTTTCAAAGCATTATAGATCGAAATGAAAATAGTATCCCCAAAGAAGGCTCAATAGTCGAAGTGACATCACTTAATAATATGAAGCCAAAACTTGGTATAGTGGTGAGACAAGCTTTATCACGATTTGATGAAAGGTATAATAAACTACTCGTATTAACATCGGATAATGAGTTGATTGATGTATCTGCATTTAATGTGAACTTTCATTTATATCGTGTCCTACTCCCACAAGGCTCGATAAACTTTCATGAAATTGTGAATAATAGATATGATGAAGATGACACAAATAGGATTCAAGCAGTGGAATTTATAAGGTCATTTGTTGATGATGCATTGGAACTCAAACAGGAACTACATACTAAATTGGATCGTGTTTATTCTCAATTTACTGGAGATACTATGAATTCAATTACACTAATTGACATCATTGATGCCATAAAGTTTAAGGAAACGACAGTTATTAAGATAGGAAACTCATTTTATAATCAATGTGTTTTATTACTTGCGATACATTGGAGTTTAGTCGATTCACCTAAATGGATTGTTCCTAATTATTTAAGTAACAATAAAGTTTCAAATGTGCTCACTGGTCATTCAAACAACTTTCATAGTACATCGGAATATTTTGTGACACCTTCTCCTATATGGATGTCAATATCAAAATTCATAGAACAAGTTGAATTAGTTGAATCACGAGATGACATGGAGAGTTTCCTTGATGAATTGAAACAATTACCGGTAGATAAATTAAGCTCATTCTTGGAAGTTTATGAAGGTAGACATATGGCTTACATTCTTGATGTTTTAAAATTTGCATTAGTATATCCTCATGAATTAATAATGGAGAGCTTAAAAAAGTTGTCCGTATTTAGTGATGAGTTATCATCAAGAAAGATTTATAATTTCCTTGTTGACATTCATGTATTAAATGATAGCAATGATATTTTACTGTCACTGGGGTTGATTTCTGGTTCCGGAGATAACGATCTATGGTCTAATCTACAAGCTGAGGGTTATTCTACTGACTTTTTCAAACATTTGAGATCCAAAAAGACATACTATCAAGATCATGTTATTTATGGATTACCAATAGATGGAGACAAATCTAGTTCTCGTTTAGCTATATCTTTGGAAAATATCAATGCAAGAAAAGATGTGGTAAACATCCACATACCAGATATCACAACCATAATACCACCAAATAGTTCAGTTATGGAAAACATTTTTGATAATCTTTCTACCCACTCATCATCGTTAACCAAATTGATGGGTGGTAAAACCATTGGTGATTTATTTCCAGCAAACCTTGTAGAATCTAGGAAATTCCAAAAGTATGAAACCGAAACTACTGATAATTTGTGGGATGATGGGTTGGAAACAAAGAAAAGAAGACCTATTTCGAAGGCAACATGTATGACAATATCATTTCAGTTTAATTTTCACGAAGGTGATCCATTCAAATCATTCAAAGATAAAGTATATGTTAGTTTTGATTCCATTTCTGATCTAAATGTGAAAATTCTTGACACTGAAACAATTGAAAAGTGTTTATCGGGTCAATTAGAAAGTCCAATATTTAGATTGTTAAGACGTACTCAAAGTCCGAATTCATCTGGTAAGGTCCAATTGAATAAAGCAGACATTCACAATATCAATTATATTAATGGTATTATGAAGTCTTTTTTCAAAAGTCGAGAACATTCTGGTGCTGCAAATATCAGCCCAAATCAGGAAATTGTTCCAACAGATGCATCAGCTTTGACAATTGAAGAATCTGCAAATTCTCAATCATGGATTGTTCGTGATACACCAGTACCATCACCAAAATTTGATTTTTTTATTAGAGAGTTGCAATTGTTTGCAGGTGCATTGGTAGGTGAATATTGCTCACAATACAGTATTCCAATAATCAATGAGAACCAGACTATCGAACCCACAATTTATGATATGGATAAAGTAGTGGTAACACATGATAATTTATTGATTCCTCCATATGAATCAGAAAACTATCATCATAGTGTTATAGCCAAAGACCAGCATGGTTATATATCCCTACCAGGAAATCTTGTGTCAAAGAACTATTTATCACCAAAAACGAAAACAACTACTGCACAGCAAAATTTACCAATGGGATTAAAGAAAGGTTTTGTTAATGTTGTTGATGTTTTCACTAAAGGTGAGGCAATCTTGAATCAATATCAGTTACTTTTTTACCAACATGAATTACTTGCTCGTAAGTTGAGTATGGATTGTGGGTTTCTACTGACAATGCAGAAATTTATTGATTTAAAACAACACGGATATGAACTTCAGGGGCCGTTAACAGAATCTCAAATAGAATCTCAGATGAGAGTGATTAGAAAAGGTAGTACAAAGGCAAACTACGTTGGGAGATTTAACAAAAAATACTGGACATTGAGATGGTTAGAGCAAGTTAAGTTAAAGTTGGATGTTATTGGAGAATCGAGATTATTCCGATGCATTGTCACTCGTGTGGGTGAAACTATTAATGCAGGAACAATTTGTCAATGCTATTGTGTGGATTTTGGTATTGAGATTGAAGTCTTAACGGAGAAACATGAAATACATATTGGTAGTAAATTAACATGTGACGGGATTATAGAGGTTGATTCCATAAATGGAGTATGTTTATTAAAAGATGAAAATTATGGCACCTCATTATATTTATAGAATGCATTCTTGTATATACACACTCATAATAGATATTATGTATTTATTTTGTATATTATATTGATTTGGTGTTTTCGCATCATCGTGGAGAATTGCTTATATCCCGGAAATTGCAACTTGCGTTTACTTACAGACGACAGAAAATTTTCACGGGAAATTTTTCAGTTCTCTTCAAGATTGACTCATAAGTTTAGCACTCTTTCTAAAACCACATCAAATCTCCCAGAAAAAGCAAAAGAATATAGAATGGTATGTATTATATATGTATAACACTTCAAACTAATTGTTAGAATATCTCAGACTAACACGAAATGCAGTCTCAACTGGTTCAACCAACAATTGATACATTAAAAAAAATCATCGATACCAATAATTCATTGTCTGATAGTCCAAATGTTTATCCAGTTTATAAATATGTTCCACATAATGATATAACTATTCATCAAGCATATTTGAAATTATCTAAATTGAATGATCCAAAAAGAACAGAATCTTTTCTTTTCGAATCTTCAATTAAAGGTGATACTGTTGATAGATATTCATTTATTGGTATTAAACCTACTAAAATTATTAAAACTGGAGATGATGAAAATAAATATCCAAAAGGTTTTTGTAATGTTGATCCAATCACTGTTTTAGAAAAAGAATTATTGAATTATAAACAAGCTGAATTACCTGGATTACCTAAATTTAGTGGTGGAGCAACTGGATATATTTCTTATGATTGTATAAAATATTTTGAACCAAAAACTAAAAGACCAATGAAAGATGTTTTAGGTTTACCCGAAGCTGTATTGATGTTTTGTGATTTGGTTATTGCATTTGATCATGTATTTCAAAGATTTCAAATTATTTATAATATTAAAATAGATGAAGATAATGGAAGTTTAGAAGAATTATATAATCAAGCAACTGCTAAAATTGATGAAGTTGAAAAAATTTTATTAACTGAAGTATCAAATGAAGAAATTGCTCCAAAACAAGGTCCAATTAAATTAGGTCAAAATTTCACTTCAAATATTGGTCAAGAAGGTTATGAACAGCATGTTACAACTTTGAAAAAACATATCTTGAAAGGTGACATTATTCAAGCTGTTCCTTCTCAAAGAATTGCTCGTCCTACTTCATTACATCCATTCAATATTTATAGACATTTAAGAACAGTTAATCCATCCCCATATTTGTTTTACATTGATTTATTAGATTTCCAAATCATTGGTGCTTCACCAGAATTATTAGTTCAATCTGATGCTAAAGGCAGAATCGTGACTCATCCAATTGCAGGAACTATGCCACGTGGTAAAACCAATGAAGAAGATGAAAAAAATGCTGAAATTTTAAGAGCTAGTTTGAAAGATAGAGCTGAACATATTATGCTTGTTGATTTGGCACGTAATGATGTTAATAGAGTTTGTCAACCAACTACTAATTCAGTTGATAAATTATTAACAATTCAAAGATTTTCCCATGTTATGCATTTAGTTTCTGAAGTGAGTGGTACTTTACGTGAAGACCAAACTAGGTTTGATGCATTTAGATCTATTTTCCCTGCTGGTACTGTTAGTGGGGCTCCTAAAGTTAAAGCCATGGAATTAATTGCCGAACTAGAAAAAGAAAAAAGAGGTGTTTATGCTGGTGCCGTTGGACATTGGGGTTATGATGGTAAAACTATGGATACTTGTATTGCATTAAGAACCATGGTTTATAAAGATGGTATTGCTTATTTGCAAGCTGGTGGTGGTATTGTTTATGACAGTAATGAGTATGATGAATATGTTGAAACTTTGAACAAGATGAAAGCTAACAACAATACAATCGTTGAAGCCGAAAAAATCTGGGCTGACAAAGTTGGATCAACTGAAGTTTAACCTCTATTACATGTACAATATCAGTTCCTGAATCCTCCAAATTCTTTATAATTATTAATACGTTTGTAATTATTTGTGTATTAGATAACAATCGGAATTGCCAACAAAAAAACAAACACACACACAGAGAAAATGGTTGTTGTAGAATCAATTGAAATTTTCCTGCAGACAAGACCAGTCGGATTTAATCGTGGAAAAAAAATAATAATTATTGTTTAGAGTCACATGACTTCTAGCCGCACCCAAACAGCAATAGTTAAATTGATGAACACACACAGAGAGAGAGAACAACGTCAAAGTTTCGCTGCTCCTCCCGCTCCACCAACGACATTGAATAATAAAAATATCGATGATCATCTTGAAATTACCACACAACAGGGTTCACCAATTCTACAAAAATAATAATACCATTTTCTTTTTTTATTGATTTCGTTCCTTTATTATCGCGGTTTATATTTCTACTCAAAGTCATCAACCAATAAATTCAACGAACATTACTGTGTATTATTATTATTTTTATTTCTTTGGTTTTAATTAGAATTTAGGTTTTTTTTTTTTTTTGGTTGGCTTGCCATTTCGGTTGACCTTACTTTTTTTTTTTCGTTGATTGACGATTTATAATTCCAACGAGTTTCAACACATAAATTGTATTAGTTCATTAAGTTTAATAGGTCAACACATGAGTTCAGCAGAAGTAGATTCAAATACAACTTCTGATTCAAAATCAGGATCAACAGCAGCAGCAACAACTACTACAACACAAAAGAATCCTTCCCGTACTCCCACTTCATGGGATGCTGAAGATGATATTCTTTTAATGCACCTTAAGGACAACCAAAAATTAGGTTGGAAAGAAATAGCCAGTCATTTCAATAACAGAACACCAAATGCTTGTCAGTTTAGATGGAGAAGATTGAAATCAGGTAATTTGAAGAATCCTCCTAAATCTGCTGCTGCTTTGGGTGCACAATTTAAACAAAATCCAAATATGAATGCAGCAACAAAGAAAAAGAAAGCCACACCAACACCAACATCATCATCCTCATCATCATCGACGACTAAGAATAAAGAAAATAAAAATACCAATAGTAATCTTAATGATTCAATAGGAAATATTTCTCGAGAAGATACTGCAAGTCAAACACCAACTAGTAATAGTACTAGTAATTTCACATACAACCCAATGACAACAGGTACTTTTCAAGGTTTCGACAATAGTATTTCAACGGCGTTAGCAGGTCTCAATGCGTTGTCTAATTCCCCATCTTATATTTCAGGTTCATCTCCTCCAACACCAAGAGGTGGAATGACATCGCCAAATATTAGAGGATCCATTTCCGGAACCAGTTTAAGTCACAGGTATGAGGCATCCCCTGGAGCAAGTGGAATTGGTGATGATCGTCGTAGGTCAAGTGTTAATGGTCCTACATCAAGTAACGGTGGATATTATGTCGATGTATCTGTTGATCCAACTATGAATCTCCCACATAACAAATCACATCCAACAACTCCTTCAGCACTTACACCAAGAAATTCTACTTCAGGAGCAGACAAAGCATCAAATCTTGCCACTAATCATAGAGCATCTATATCAGGAATAGCAAGTATTTCTGCATTACGCAACAATTCAATTATACAATTCACAACAGATGAAAGAGGATCTATACTGTCTTTGGGTAGAGCATCAGTTTCTTCTTTGCCTTCAAAATCAATGAAAATACCTCATCATGAACTGGGGAATACGGCGCTAGCACATTTACCAGTTTTGTTTGGTGGTACTGGAGGAAGTGTTAGTGGACCTTCAAGAAATTCAAGTGTAAGTGGAGCATCTGGATTACAACAATCGGCATTATCAAGTTTACGTAATGGAAGTACAGCTAATTCAACTACTGGATATTTCTCACGTTCTGGATCAGTGGTGATACCTCATAATGCCGATAAAAAGGATGAAGAACCTTTGAAATTTGATAAAGAACGACTGGAGATGGATAATAAGAAGTTTAATAAAATTAGGAGAAATATGCCACCAAGTACGGTATCAAATAGAACTAAAAGAAAACCAGGTACCCCACAACCTAAACTAGATATACCATGGACAATGGAAGAAGATGAATTATTGATTAACAGACGTAATAGAGAATTATCATTTGCTGAATTGTCTATCTTATTACCTCAACGTACAGAAGGTGAAATTTGGGCACGTATAGATCATTTGGAGAAGTTGAGAAATGGAGGTCATAGAACAGCAAATTCACGAGATTCAAGAAGATTAAGACAAGAAAGTATAGGACTAGATGATATGGATGATCTTTATGATGATGATGACGATGATGATGTGCTTAGAGTAAGTGATGATGACGATGATGTATTAGTTGATGTTGATGATATGACTCTTCCCAAGAAAAAGAAAAGAAGAATGAGTTCAGCTGTCAATCCATTATCTGTCAGAAGCACAATTAGGAAATAGTTCATACTCCATATTTTTTAGTCTTTTTTCATTTCTTTTTTTTTTTTTTTGTTTTACTTACAGGTTTGATTTTTCTTTCTTTGACATATTTATAAATGCATCAAAATTAAATATATTACAAATTCTTCTTGTATTGTTAATAATATCAAGTTTTTTTTTGTTATTATTATTCTTAACAGACTACATGACTCTAATTTAGTATAATTTCAAATCACCAGTAACTTCGTCAAGAATACGTTTTGGTGCAGGACCTAAACCTAAAACAGTTGCACTTCCAGCAGCTATTTGAGTTCTTCCAGCATCATGAACAATATAAGAATTTATACCTAAACTTATAGCTTTAGCATATAATAAATCCATTTCTTCTTGATTTGGAACTTGTAAGGTAATTTTAGCAGTTCCATTACCATATTCCCAACGTCTAACCATTTCAGGATTATAAGATTCTAAATTGGCATTAGTTATTTTTTTATATAATGCTAATGCTGCATGAGAACATTGAGCTGCTGCTTTACCTTTACCCATTTTTAAATCTTGTCTAACTATAAGTGTCATTCTAACTTCTCCTGGAATTTCATTCAAACTTGTAGAATTGATATCTAATCCATCATCTTCCTCCTCCTCGTCGTCGTCGTCATATTCAGAATCAGTTGTATTATCTGTCATTTCAGATGATGATGAAGTTGATGGGAGTGGGATATGGACATTTCTTGGTTTGAGATTTTTGGTCTTTGAAGGAGCTAAAAATTGATGTAAATAATATCCTGTTACAAATGATATTACACCAACTGATACAATAGTAATACTTGATTGGTTAGCCATGGTTATTTACTAATAATGACGGAGAGAACAACTGATAACTAAGATTTTTATGATTCACTAAATATTTTTTTCTTTCTTTTTTCTTAGGCATTTTTTTCTTGCGTCTCTCTGGTGCGAATGAGTATCCAATACTACGGAGTTCTGCTACCAAGTTCCAACGACATCTCCACGACCACGTCAGGGACCTTAGACTCCTTGAATATCAATTTATATTATTATGTATTTGAATATCATTAATTATACAAGTACTTTTTTCTTTTTTGTAGATTTCTTCTTCAATTGTTTCTTTTCAACTTTATTACTATACTTTCTCCAATTATCAACTCTTACATCTCTTTCATCTTCCCAATTTTTCTTCAATTCCCTTTTTAATTGTTCTTCAACTTGTCTAGTCTTTCTTAATTCATCTTTACGTATAGTTTCATGTTGTTTATAAATTTTTGATAAATTTTCTTGATTTATTTCATCTAATAATACTTCTTTAACTTTATTTCTTATCTTTATATTAATATCATCATTAAATTCAATTATTTTTGTGGCATCTTTTGGTTTATAAGCATCATAAATAGATTGTAAATGTTTAATTTCATTAATATCTGATTCTAAATCTGAATTTAATTTAAATTCTGATTTTTTTAACTTATCAAATGCTTCAGGTGCTTTAGGATTATCGATTTTATCAGGATGTATAAGTAGTGATTTTTTTCTATAAAGTTTTTTAACTAATGTTGGTAAATCATTTGAATTATATGATGGTGATATTGGATTAATTTCAAGAATTGAAAAATAATCTAATTCCGAACATGATAATATCCTATCGATTTCTTTATTTTTATTTAATGCTGATTCTTCTATTGAAAGTATTCTATCTAATTCATCTGACATTCTTGGGAAACTCGTCACTCGTGTATGTTTAACTGATTGATAAAGAGAGGCATGAAATCGAGTGTATATATGAGATTTTTTTTTTGTCTGTTAGCGATATTTTCTTAATTTTTTTTTTTTTTCAATTCCTATCGTTTGTATGTTTCAAAGATCAAGAAGAATAATTCTAAGGACAATGTCAACTAGTTGGAAACCAAGCTATTATGATATTGGAGTTAATTTCTCTGATTCAATGTTTCAAGGATATTATAATGGTTCATCAACATCAAAACATCCTTGTGATATTAAATCAATAATTGAAAGAGCTCATTTATTTAATGTTGATAAAATGTTAATTACAGCATCTACTATTCAAGAAAGTGAAGATCATTTTAAATTATGTGAAGAATATTCAAATCAATTTGATTCTACTGCTGGTGTACATCCATGTACAGTAGCTTCAGAATTTTATAAACCTGATCCTTCAGAAGAAGGTAAATTCATTGATGAATTACGTGATGATGTTGATGAAAAATTAAATCGATTGAAAAACATTATTATACAAGGTCATAAACAAGGTCATGTTAAAGCATTTGGTGAAATTGGATTAGATTATGATAGATTACATTATAGTACGAAACATCAACAATGTGAAATGTTAATTAAACAATTGGATTTATTAAAAGATTTAAAAGATTTAAAATTACCTTTGTTCTTACATATGAGAGCAGCATGTGATGATTTTATAAATATCTTAAAACCTTATATTGATCAAGGTATTATTGAACCAGGTAATGGTGTGGTTCATTCATTTACTGGAACTTCCGAAGAATTGAAAAAATTATTAGATTTAGGATTTTATATTGGTATAAATGGATGTTCTTTGAAATCTGAAGATAATTTAAAAGTTGCAACTTTGATTCCAATTAATAAATTAATGATTGAAACTGATGCTCCTTGGTGTGAAATTAGGAAAAGCCATGCAGGTTATAAATATTTAACTAGTTATCCAAATAAATTTTATCCACAAATTAAAGATGAAAAAGAAATGTCCCTGGATCAATTACCAAAGACCACGTTTAAATTAGATGAAAATTTACCATTTCCTTCAATTAAAAAGGAGCACTATGGAAAACATAAAGATTATGTTCAAACATCAAAAGAAAATGCAAAGAATCCAGAATTGTTAGAAACTAGAATTGGATTGTTGAGTGAACCAATGATTAAATCAAGAAATGAGCCAGTCAATGTTGGTCTTGTAGCAGAGATTCTTTGTGCATTACACGGATTTAAAACCGATCATGAAATAGAACAATTCATAGATACAGTTTTTGAAAACTCTTGTAAAGTATTTCAAACTTCATAGATTGTATATTAATTAACTATTTTACTTGACTTTTACCTTACTTTACTTTATTGTTATTTTTGTTTGGCTCTTCTAAGAGTACTTCTTCTAGGTTCAAGTTTAGGCAAAGGTTTTGCAACTACAGGTGTTCTTATTTTAAACGTTCCTTTAGGTCTGCCTCTACCTCTTGGTCTATTGTCACCTGCTAAAACATCTATTGTTTTTCTCTTTGGTGGAGGAGGAGGTGGTGCACGTCTATTCCAATCAATATCATCAAAATCATCAGATTCAAGATCAATAATTTCTGGGGAAACATCTTCATCGGACGAGTCGTCCTTTATTTCAATGATTTCTTGTTCTTGTTCATGTTCCTCCTCTTCGTCTTCTTCTGATGGATCATCATCATCACTTTCGTCGTCATCTTGTAATTCAATCTCTTCTTCTTCCTCCTCCTCCTCATATTCATCATATTCTTGGAAATCTGGTTCATCGTCATCAGTCGAATCTACCTTTATCACATCTTCATCTAGATCATCTTCAATAACAAAGTTCTTTATATTACCGTTTGCATGAGGTTTCTTTTTGCATCCAATACCAGGGTAGCAAGGAACATATTCAACAATGCTTTCACTGATAATATCTTCGTTCTCTGTCAGTAGATACATTTCAATTTCTTTAAATCCCTCTTCTTCAAAAGTATACGGATTATTAATATCATCTTTCAAGAAATTTGTAATTAGTGAAATACTATTCTGTGATACCGTTGGAGCGGCTTTATTCTGTTGAAATTGTTGTTGTTGTTCTTGAGGAATTGCAGGTGCTGAATTTATACCACCACTTGGACCAAATAACATTGGTTTCCATAATAGATTTTCATATCTCAATGTGGTATATGACTTTTTTTCCCATTTTTCAATCTCTTCATTAACCTTTTGTACATTTATTGTAATTGCATATTTGTGAGTTATCGGGTTTCTCATTAAAGAATCCAATTGCTCCAAACCAACGATTACATCTGACGGGATCATTCCTGTTAATTTACACAACACATCAATTGATAATGAAATGGGTTTTTGGTTCGATGAGTGTTTCAAGTATTTTTCATGAATTTCTCGTAACTTGTAAGCAATAGTGATCCTCCAATAATTTCTATAACTTAATAAACCCAAATCACTTAATGGTTTTTCGGGAGTTCCGTATTTAAATTCATTTCGACTCAATAAATAACTAAAATCAATTAATAAATTACCATATCCTTTTCTTTGATATATAGGCAAGGTTAAAATACAAGAAACATTATAATCGGAACTATTCAATTTTTCTTTAGAAAAATACCCCACAAAATGATATTTCGAAAAATCATTATCGTCAATTTCTGTCAAAATATAAAAAACAAATGGCTCAACATCATAATATAAAGTCTTGGAATTCAAAAATAATTTGGCTAGTAAACATAAATTTTGACAATAGTTAATGTTTTTCCTACCATCAACTTCCCAAATCAGAATTTTCTTCTCTATATCTCGATAAATTTCCAACCCGGGTGGATGATTATTTGAAAAATTACAATTTTTCAATTGATGTCTTTGATAAGATATAGGAGAATTCATGTATTTCAAACAATGTTCACAAATGTACAAAACTTCACATTGGGAATACTCCTCGGGATATGGTGCAATATACCAAGTATTGATTTCATAATCTCGAAACACAATGCGATTGATTTTTGATTTACTTAGTGTTAATACATTTGGTGCAGGTGTTGACTCTGCACTTTGTTGTGGTTCGAGATGATTTTTGGAAGGAGGTAGGGAATCTTCTTTTTGTGGTTGGTTTTCCTCTGATGTGGATTGATTTAATGTCTTGTTTCGTAACAAAACACCTTCTTTGAGAAATTGATTAAACTGATCCTTATCTTCTTTTGTCGGATCAGTATTATTAATTATACAATCAGGGTATTTCAATATTCCATTATACGGTAATTGTCTATCTTCCAACGAATCCTCTTTGTCTTCATCTTGTATTCGAAACCCATTTGAAGCATCATCATCATCATCAGTACAATTTTGATGCTTAAGAATAGTATCTATTGGAGTGTTTAGTAGCGATACTCCCAATTTTTTGTCATATTTTATAGTAATCCAACATTTCCTCTTTCTCATCTTTATTTTCACACGAGAATTCCTTGCCCGTTTCGCTGGCTTCGATATTCCTGCAACTGTGCTAGAAACAACCGGTAAACGGGTGTTCTTTAACATATTTTTCAAAGAATAATCATTTATTGGTTTCACCCTTATTGTTCGTTTATCTAGATCCTTAGGGACAATATTAGAATATATATGATTATTAGTTATCTTCAACTGCTTTAGTAGTTGCAGTCCCATCGTTGTCAATTATAGAATATGAATGTTTGTCTAGTGTTCTTGAATACCAACCAAAATGACAAAGATCAACAGCGACAACAACAAAAAACAAAAATAAACATTTCTCTTCAAATCTTCTTGTCAGCCATGCACTACCTTTTTCTTTTTTTTCTTTTCCTTTCACTGTTTAAAAGAAGGAGACAAAAAAAAATAAAAATTCGCGAGTGTCGGTCGTGTATCAAAGGCGAATCAATCAATTAGAGTTGATTTGCAACATGGTAAGCCCAAATTAAATACGAGTTGAAATGAAAACATGTGAGCATGTGAGGAAATGACGTATGGAAAATGATTGATTAAATAGCATAAAGAAGCATATGTGAGTACAACTAATTGATGAAACATTTGGAATTACCAATTATTGAGCAAATCATTGCAACACGGCTGTGAGTGCTTTTCCAAAAGGAATATTGTAACTTATATGTCAACTAAATACCATAGAAATAACCCTGGCAGTATATTATACCAGAAAAACGATATCCAATATTTGAAATTCAATTGATTAAATTATAATTTCCAACAAACAAACGACAGCAAAAGAAAAAAAAAATTCTGGCACCAAAGAAATGAAGAAAAAAAAAAAATCCA